AATCTATTATTTATATTTTTATAGATTATCTATATATCAATTACTGAATTGGAAACGGAATCGTTATATAATATGTTTAAGTTCTTAATTATATATTTTTGATAAAATGTAATTATTCTGATTATTATTTATAACTATTAATTATTAAATTTGTTCATTTCATTTTAATTTCAATAACATTAAACATATTCAGTAATAAATAAATGTATTAATAATTTCATATAAAGTCATTATTACTACTTAAAATTCATTTGATGTAATCTAACAAAAGTCATTTATAATTTAATCAAAATATATAAAAATTAAATACTAATATCTAATTGTTTTATTGGTAAGCATAAAATTATTGTCAGTTTCATTATTATTCAAAATATTATTAAAAATTTAGTTCAGATATGGAGTTTAGATAATGAAAATTACTATTTTTTTCAATTATTATTTTATATTTGACTCTAAATCTATTTTTCGTAACCAAAAACTAATAAATTAAAAATTACTTATTTTTAACTAAATATTATCATTTAATTGAATATTTACAATAAGTTTGTGTTTTGGTAATTTGAAAATTAAATTATTTTACTTAAAATTGTACTAAACTGTTTTATAATTATATATTATATTATTAATAATAAATGAAAAAATTTTAAAACTGATCGACACATTTGTTTAGTGATTGTATTTATAAATTAAATTTTTACATATTTTATATAAATTTAAAACTATTAATTATAATTTTCTGAAAAATTTTATAGAAAATTTCTTGAAAGTCTTTATATATTTTAATCTTTGATTATATTTCATAATAAAATAGTCTAGATTTTAATTCGCAAAAAATTGAAGTATTGTTTTTTGTAAAGTACTGTATATAATAAAACTAATATATTGTATAAATTGATCTTAAATTACAAAATTTTAAATATATAATAATTTATATGCTGAGCTATTACATTTCATACTAATTATTTTTATAAGTAAATTATTTAAATGATTATATAGTATAGCATAAAAACATATAATTATTATAATCTACTATAATTTATATTACAGTATATGACTACATTACGATATATTATACATAATGTATCCAATATTACTAACTATATTTCATCCTTTTTATCTAAATTAATAATGTGTATAAAAAATGCATTTTAATTGAATTCATTATTAAAATTATACATTAAAAAATTATAATTCTATCATACAGTATATATAATATGTAAGTAAATATTATATATAAATATTATTTTTATACAGTACCTGTATTTGCTTACATAAGTAAAAACTATACGAATAATATTGTTTTTGTAGATTTATATAAAATATAGTATATTGATATAATTTCTATTGCAGTAAAGATGAAATATTTGTTAAAATTATACAATCATAGTTTTAATAATATTTTAGTTTAAATAATTAATTGTTTTCATATTAAAATTTTTTATCATTTAAAAATATTAGACAATTTAGACTATATTTTAAATTATAGTTCTTAATATTACTTATAGAAAGTAATTTTCTTATAAATAATTATAAACTAAAGAGGAGTCCATATGTTTATGACATATACTGTATGACAGAAAACTTAATTTAGTAGATATAATATTTTGTCATTTAATGACATTTTCATCTTTTATCTATTGAGTTGTTTGCTAATAAATATAATATTAGACAGTATTATCATCATCAACAACAACAGTAACAAAATAAATATATTGATTTCAGTTAACAAACAATAATTTAATTTATATTATTGTTGTTTTATAAAATAAAAATTTATAACTCATTTAAATGCAAGTAAAACGTTGTCTTATTGTTGTTAATGTTAATCTGTTGCTAATATAAAACGAAGTCTCAGTCAACCAAATGCCAGTATTTAAGACATAAAACACATAAAAGTGAAGTAATAATAAAAATGTTTAAAAATATAGGAGTGCTATAAGTAAAGCACTGGATATACGTATTGTAACAGTAATGAGATATTTAAAAGAAAAGTTAATCTTTTTATTAATAGAATATTCTGTAAGGGATTCACTCATTCACTGAAGTGTCAAATGAGTGAATGAAATGCAATTTTTAGTTAACATGTTTGTTGAATAAAAACAAAAAATTCACTTTAAGTTTTAAATAATTTCTTGAAATTCAATCTTTTAATATAACTAGTGATGTACAGTATGTATCTATGTATGTGTATGTGTATGTGTATGTGTATGTGTATGTGTATGTGTATGTGTATGTGTATGTGTATGTGTATGTGTATGTGTATGTGTATGTGTATGTGTATGTGTATGTGTATGTGTATGTGTATGTGTATGTGTATGTGTATGTGTATGTGTATGTGTATGTGTATGTGTATGTGTATGTGTATGTGTATGTGTATGTGTATGTGTATGTGTATGTGTATGTGTATGTGTATGTGTATGTGTATGTGTATGTGTATGTGTATGTGTATGTGTATGTGTATGTGTATGTGTATGTGTATGTGTATGTGTATGTGTATGTGTATGTGTATGTGTATGTGTATGTGTATGTGTATGTGTATGTGTATGTGTATGTGTATGTGTATGTGTATGTGTATGTGTATGTGTATGTGTATGTGTATGTGTATGTGTATGTGTATGTGTATGTGTATGTGTATGTGTATGTGTATGTGTATGTGTATGTGTATGTGTATGTGTATGTGTATGTGTATGTGTGCTGACTCATTCACAATCATTTACTTACTCTTTATACAATAAAATTCATACATAGGATTGAAAACATCAACTGAATAACATATAATCATTTATATTTAGAGCTTAATTCTCGACGTTATAATAAATACTATACAATACTGTTATTATAACACATAAATGAAATAATATAATACCCATTATTAATATGTTTACTGAAAACTCAATTTTATAAATTGTTTGAATGCTTTTGCTATCTTTCATTCAATTTTCTCATAATTCATATTTTTACCATTTTCACAACATTTCCATTGAGTTTTAAAATATATTATTGAATATATAAAAGTATATAATTTATAATAAGTTAAATATTAATGCAACTTAAAATTTATACTAAATTTAAGTGGTTTTTTAAGCGTTTAATATTATTTGCATAATTATAAAATACAGGTATATTTTAATAATTGGTATTTAATTTTAAAATAATAATTTCATTTATTCTTTTATTTTATATATTTAGTATTAACTAAACAAACTAATTTAAAATATTGTTAAGTAATCATTTTGTAACTTATTTATTATTATTACTGTATATTATAGTATGATAAGTATAATATAAATTATGAATATCTAGAAATAAATGTTATAATCGTATTAGTATATAGTATACTATACAACATTAAGTACTTGTATTATCTAAAAATATTGACCGTTAAGTGTCGTATTGACTTTAATTAACGTGTATTTTAATGAACTCATATAAAATACTATGAAAAATTAAATGAGGCGTTAATTATCTTTATGTTGTTGTATAATATAATTTATAGTATAATATTTATGTATAGTTTGGTTATAATGTGCTACACTTTTTTATGCCACACATCACTTTATTATCTCTCAATTGAAAAATAAATCTCAACATAAAAATAATTTTAATAAAAACAAATTATGTTATATAAAGCAATTATCAGCGGAAGTAATAAGATTTGTGTAAAAATAAAATATAAGTAATAATAAAAATTTATAGCAATCTAAGTATTTCAACACTTATGTAGAGACAATTAGTTAAAAATATGTTATTCAATAATTTGCATACATTTTGACAAAAACAATTAAAAACAATGCAAATGTTATCATTTAAATATTTAATTATGTTTTATATAATATTTCTCTGTGATTAACATACTAATTACTACAATACTTTATACCTCTATATTCAGTTTTATTTCAACAAAAAATATATTTTTTATTTGTATATAATAAGTAAATTATCAGTGAATCCATATTATTTATCAAAATAATTGGGTGCGTCAATACTTTAAAATATTATTATTTTATTTATATTATTAAAATTATTAATAAAATTTTACGATATATAACAAACTAAGAATTGGGCTATTATTAAGCCGTATACAGTAATCAAAAACACTACATTACTCATTGTATAATTTAATTATAATCGGCCTACAGTTGCATTTATTAGCTAATATACTACATTAATGGCATAAATACTATTTTATGAAAGAAAGTGATATAGAGAGAGAGAGAGAGAGAGAGAGAGAGAGAGAGAGAGAGAATCCATAGTATATATGTCCATCATTTGTCTCTCACTTATGCAATGCTATGTAATGTTTGTTCATTTGATTGCTGAGCTATTTTGCTCTACTTTTTTTTTGGTTCATTCACTACATAACCAAATAGTACAACAATGAGACCAAAACATACATAACATACATGTGTTGTGTCTGACTGACTGATGCAACACTAAACATACACTCTTTCTAATCTAATTTACTATAAGAAACCATTATATCAATATATATATATATATATATATATATATATAACATCTACACAAATACAATATATATCAAGTTGTATACATAAAGGGATATAATGTATTTATATAATGATCATAGTTTCCATCCTTTTATTATAAATATATTTGAACTGCAATTCAAGTAAAATTGTATTATATTTTAATATACATTTTGCTTATAATAATTGAAATACTGTACAAATTGTTTTATGTTGTTTATAAGTTAAAACAAAATTTAATATATGATGTGTAATTAGTTTATATATGGTTTCTCAACTAAATAATTATATAAATACGTCTAAAAATAATAAAATAAATCAATAAAATGTGTAATATAGTAATTATATAGATGTATACTACACTATAAATTGTATAACAAACAAGATTTAGACGTTTTGATAAAATCATTGTAAACTTTAACAAATAAATAAAAATAAATATTTGTTTAGAGTTTACATCAAATATGACGTATTGTTAGATAAAAATAATTCAGTGATTGTTATAACACTTACTTGAGCTGATGGTGGCGGTGGAGGTGCAGGAAGTGGTGGAGCAGCTGAAGGGGGCGACACTATAGGGAAACCAAAAAGAGGACCCAAAGATGTGACCGCATTTTGTCTATCGATTATCAATCGGGGAAACATAGCTATACTTTAAATATTTATTTGTTTTATTGGTTTGTTTCACTTGATATCTTCAATCGATTCTCTGATCACTCTATGCTCTCAATAGGCTTAAAGTCAAATGTTTGCCAAAAAGTTGAATACAATAATTATTAAAATAAATATTAACAATCAATAATCAATTACTTTTTAAATGATAATTTTTTCACTTTTTATAACAAATCAAAGTAGTATAACTTATAATACAATTTTTATAATTATAAATTCTTAACAAACATTTAATTGCTTTATGAAACAAAAAATATTTTAATTGTATGAAAGAGTGAGTAAAATAAATAAAACAAAGATTTGGCACTCAATTGATGGTGTCTTGTGTTGAGTCAAATGTTGGTCTCATTTACGATATGTCTTAAAGTGTTTTATCGCGTATTTCAGCAAAAATTATTTATAGTTTATATCTTAGTTATACAGCTTAGTTATACAGTTATATGTAATATTACTGTAAATTATAATAAGATTCCAATGCTATAGTCGTACAAACAATTGTTATATGAGTTTAACTTATAGTATAGCCATAGATACATAGTATGATAAGAGAGCATTAATAAGAGAGAAATATATAGATTGAGAGAGAATGAGAGAGAATGAGAGAGAATGAGAGAGAATGAGAGAGAATGAGAGAGAATGAGAGAGAATGAGAGAGAATGAGAGAGAATGAGAGAGAATGAGAGAGAATGAGAGAGAATGAGAGAGAATGAGAGAGAAAGAGAGAGAGAGAGAATGAGAGAGAATGAGAGAGAATGAGAGAGAATGAGAGAGAATGAGAGAGAATGAGAGAGAATGAGAGAGAATGAGAGAGAATGAGAGAGAATGAGAGAGAATGAGAGAGAATGAGAGAGAATGAGAGAGAATGAGAGAGAATGAGAGAGAATGAGAGAGAATGAGAGAGAATGAGAGAGAATGAGAGAGAATGAGAGAGAATGAGAGAGAATGAGAGAGAATGAGAGAGAATGAGAGAGAATGAGAGAGAATGAGAGAGAATGAGAGAGAATGAAAGAGCAGTTTATTTGATTTGAAACAACAGTACACAAGTCTTAGACATTTAGCATCTCTTTCTTAGCGTTCAGAAAACAATGTTATGAATGTGTTGACTACTAGTTGTGCACTAAAGTAACGCCAAAAGCCGTCTCCTCCTAACTAACCGTACTTTCAAACAAAACCTCTGAAAAGATATGAAGTGATGTACGTATTGCGCAAACATATGAAGAGTCGACCTTAAGGTTGTCACGAGCAACAGGTTCAGCTATGGCACCGGTAGACATACTTATATATACCGTATACAGTATGATATAATCGGTTCAACATTATTAGGCAAAGTATAATACAGTATATTATATAAATGATTATATAAAGGCATTCAAAACATATTGAATCTTCTCTCTCACGCTTCACTGTTATATTGAATATATTTGAGTTTTTATGATATTATAGTATATTATTGTATAGATTATAGAGTGATGTACGACAACAGCATTCAAGCGGTTTCACCGCAAACACTACAATTGAATTTGATTTTATGGCAAATATTACACATTTACATCACTTCATCAAAAAGTCAATGCTTTAAGATTTTCTACTGAATTTTAGCCAAATATCTTATATAGTTTTTGACATCAATTATTGAACATACAGTATATTAGTCTCAGACTTAATAGCTTTATTTTATTTATAAATACTATATATTATTAACTTATTTAATACTTTATATAATATATTATTTACGGTATATATAGTATAATATACTGTGTATAAAAAATAAAGTATTCTGTATATACAGTATATTATACACTACTGAATATTTTGATATCATTTTTTGAAATTTACAGCAAATTCATGTCAACATTATTTATAACACAAATAGCTATTAGTTTAGCAATTTTGAATATGTTATACTCAAATGTTTATATTATATTATATTTATAAATATAGTATATATTTATATTTTATTAATTTTTAAAAATTAACACTAATTTTGGACATTTAGCGTAAACACGTGAAAAATTATTGCAATACATTGATGTTATACACTGTAATATACAGTACTGTAAATTTAGTATACAGTATAACCCATTATAACTATTTAAGTCATCTCTTATATTAACATCAACACAACTAACATATAATTAATTAGTTTGTGTTTGTTTTTATAAAATCTTAGATAAATAAATATAAATTTATATATAATTTATTTAAAACATACATACTTTAGTGTAAATAAATTATGTCCACATTATTTGTCAAATTTTAAAAACTAGAAATTTTTATTTTAATATAATGTGTTTAATTTTTATACAATAATAATAATATTAAAATTTAGAAATTATTTTTATTTATTAAATTTTAATAATATTATTTAAATAAATATTACAAAAAATCTAGTTAAAATATTTTATGTACAGTATTTTATTTTTTTTATAAATATTAAACACATTATATTACTGAAATTTTACAGTAAATAAATAAAAATATTACAGTAAAATTGAAATAAATTTCTTACAAATATTATACAGTATTATGTTGAGTTGTATCAAATTAATGATTTTTATATTTTTGGTTTTAAGTCTCATAATATAATACATCAGAAGATTATTAAAAGATATTAATATACAGTTTTTGAGTGTAAACCTGATGTTATGCCATAATTTACAAAAACATTTATCATAAACTTAATGAGTTGTCATATAATTATAAAATTATTGTTATATTACATGTGGTTTAATACAATACAATATGTCGTATTCTTTTAATATAAATTTAATGAATATAACAATATTGTAATTAATATTTAATATATATTTAACAAATCTATTTTTAACGAAAAAATGAATGTATTTTAAATTATATATAATTCTTAATATTTACAATAAAACTATATTTTTTTAAATAATATTATTAAATTACAGTAACTCTACTTTTCATCAATTTTATATATATATATATATAGTTAAAGTATTTCTTTTAATAACACTTAAGTAACTTTAATTTATATAAAAGCCCTACAGTTTGGTTTACCATTAAATTTATTTAACAAGTTTTGATTTTTCAAATATTTACTGTAATATATAAATATAAATAATGCACTTATATTTAGAAATATTAATATTAAAACTATGAGTTAATCTATAAAAGTGACAACAATTTGCCTTATATTCTTGTGATTCACTAAATTAAGCCTAAAATGCAATATCTTATAAAGTTTTGTCACGTTTTACTTAATTTACATTTAGAGCTGAAATCTTTACTTTTGGCACAAATTCTCTTTTATTTTTAGCCTTTAAATTGTTTGTTATACTGAATACCATTTTTATTGATTGATATATACTAACAATTATATTAAATCAGACGTTATAATCCACTATTGAAATTGAAATACAAAAAAGTAAAATATTTTTAGATATATTATAAAATTATAATTATTTTAAAAATTATATTTAAAAAAAGTAAATGTTAATAACAACAGAAACCAGTTGATAATGCTAGAAAGCATTGCCAGAAACCAACTTTAATGACATAAATTACTTTTTATAAATTCATATTAAGTTATAATTAGAATATTCATTGTTTCTAATCATTAGTCAATATGAGTCATAATATAACCAAAATATAAAATTTATTGTTAATAAACATCAGTCCATATGAGTTGTATTATAACTAGGGTTAGATTGAGATTCCCAGGGAGGGAAGTTCCCAAATAAAATCCCTCCAATTTTCCCGGAAAATATGGAAAATATATTATATTCCCTCCTTGATCGTTAGAAAGGGAATATATAATTTGTCATACATTAAAAAGTACTTAATCTCAATGACTATGTGCTTCAATTGGGACCAGTATGTTAGTAATAACTCAATCAAAATATGATTCAAATATTATTAAATATTTAGTAAAAACATTAAATACATTTTGTAGACATTTACTATACAAACGTGTTTTTAATTAAACATTATGTAATGTGAGTTAGGGTACGATAGGTGGTACCACAAGGAAATGTCTTCCCAGGGAATTCCCAGGGAACAGGGAATATAAGGAACTTATGGAAAATAAGACGAGGGAGGGAATCTGATCTAACCCTAATTATAACCAATATATTCATTAATAATATATTGTAGTCCTTATGAGTATAATCATGATATAACTAAAATATTCATTGTTTATAATCATTATTCTGTATGAGTAATACTGTATTATACCTAAAATAATTTAATTACTATGAGTTATATTATATTTATTTTATAATTAAATAATTATTTTAATTTCACTCTTAAAACTTTTAAATAACTGTTAATCCATTTGACTATTAATGTAAACATATGACACTTGTTATGACAATCTTATTCTAAATTTGAAAATATTATATGAATTTATAGTCAAAATTTTAAGTTTGTTTTTTATAATTTGGCCGCCATTTTGAATATGAATCACTCCTGAAAAGATGAGTCCTTTTTTATAGTGATATCCTATACATTATTTTCGATGTTCTAATCGAATCTAATGTCGAAATATTAAAATTAGCAAAATTATTGACAAAACAGACATACATTCTATAAAACAATTTTTCAAAATTTGTTTAAAAATTATAATATACTGTAATAGTTTGTTATTAATTTTTAATTTCTATATTTTTTTTATTTTCTATAATTTTTATTGATTATCGGTAAACACAATTCATTTTTCAAATTATAATATAATATTATTGTAATAAAACGAAAACATTTATCATTAATATTTTAAATAATTAATGTTTAATAATTTATTTTTTTTAATACAACAAATTTTTACAGTATATCTGATAGTATAAGCGTTTACTTGTATAACGATAATACATAAACTTTAATATTTATAAATTATTTGTTTATTGAAATACTGATTACAGTATATTTTATGCGTTATTATAAAAATAGATGAAATTGTGAATATATGAGACATATATCTAATTATTTTTCCCAAATCTTAGTTGAAATATAAGACTAATTTTTTATTTGTTTTGATGTCTCTTGTGTTTGATTGTATGATATCTTAGATTTCATGCGATAGAGTATTACTGTACTGTATATCTAATTATTATATATTATATTAAGATATCATTGAATTATAGTATGTTTCTAATCAACACTACAACTAAACAATACAACTAATATTATTATAAGATTTATCGTTATATTTTAAAAATGATATAAATTAAACAAATTAATTAACAAATAATAAACTTATTCAAGATATTCTATATTTGTAGTATATTATATATTCAACTACTATATACCGTATATATATATATATATCAGGGTTAAGCAAGGTTTTGGATTTTAGGGGGGGGTAGACCGGGGTAAAATTTACAAAATTCTCAAAAAATCTTGGGGGGGGGTATTGGGTGGGGTAAGATTTTTATTGCATTTTTAAACGGCAATTTTTTCAAAAATCCAAAATCAAGGGGGGGTCTAGAGAAAATTCCATAAAAATTCCTTAAGTTCCCGAATATTCCCATGTAAATTCAATAAAATTCCCATAAGATCCCGTATAAATTCCCGGGAAAATAGGTAAAATTAACAAAAACATAAATTTTAACAAAAAATAAATATTTTTAAAAAAAAATTTTAAAAATTAATAAAAACAAATTTTAACAAAAAAAATAATGTATTTAAGATTTAAAAATAGTTGATAAAAGCATTAATGATACACTATGAGTTATTCTTAGTATTTTAATAATTTTTAACTTTTAACATAATTAATTTTTTAAACAATACTTAATGTTTAGTTTGTTATATATTTTTATTTTTATACAAATACTGACTGAATACTACTTATTTAACTCAAATTTCGTTAAAGTTTAATTATATTAAGTACAAAATTGAAAATATTTTTAAATTTTTTATTTAAAAATTAAAAATTATTAATAAAAACAAGTATTTATTGTTTTATTAACTTCTTAAACTTATATTTAAATTGTAATATGATTACTCTTTTCAACAAATATGTAATTTTTAATTTTTTAGGTTATTTTAATTAAAATAATGTTATTTTTGATGAGTTTTAACGTTATTTTAACTATTTTTAATCAATAATTAGATTTTTATAAATATTGAGAACATAAAAATACTTACTAAAATAGTATCATCTAAAATTAAAATTTTTATAAATTTCAAAAAAATTTTCGGCGCCTKCGGCGCCGAAATTTTAGGGGGGGGGTCATTTCTCCTCGTTTTTAAGCGACAATATTTTCAATTTGGTCAAAAAGTCTAGGTGGGGTAAAATCCCAATTTCTCGATCTTAGGGGGGGGGTATTTTGGTATTACCCCCCCCCTACCCCCCCCCTTACTTAACCCTGATATATATATATATATAATTTATATCAAAGTTAAGTAAGGGGTAGGGGGTCAACATAATAACCCCCTAAGATCTATATTTTGGTTTAAACCCATACTTTTTGATCAGATTTACAAATTGTTTTTTTTGCGAATTTTTAGGGAATTTTCTCTTGACACATCTTGATTTTGGATTTTTGAAAAAATGATGTTTAAAATGCAATAAAAGACAATATCCCACGCTATACACCCACTATTTTTCGTTATTTTTGCAATTTGACCCCTTAGACCACATCTAAAATCCAAAACCTTGCTTATCACTGATATATGATGGTTGTGAAAGGTTTTCAATTTCAGGGGGATTATAGGGGGTCAAATTGTAAAAATCGTGGGTGTATAGAGTGGGATGTACTTTTATTAAATTTTAAAAACAGTATTTTTTCAAAAATCCAAAATCAAGAAGTGTCAAGAGATAATTCCTTAAATTCCCAAAAATGGCAAAAACTCGAAAAAGTTTGGGGATATAAATAGTTTGGGTCAACATTTTTTATAGTATTTATAAACAAMAATTTTTTGCCAAATTTGAGTAAATTCCTACTAAATTCTTTATAAATTCTCAATAAATAAACTAATAAAAATATTTCCAACTTAATTTATCAATACTCAAAATGTTTTTTAAAATTAAAAAATAATATTTATTTTTACAAAAAAAAAATTTAAAAATAAAGAATTGCATAAATATATATATATATTTATAACTCTTTAATTACAACAATTAATTAAAAATAAAATTATTTAGTTTTTAAGAAATTTTTATTAATTAAAAAATTAATGATATAGTACTGTATTTATCATAACATCTTAATAATAATAATAAAATTCAGAAGTCAGAAATTTAATTATTATTTTTTTATTATTTAAAATTAATAAAAGTCAGAAATAATTATTAATTAATTCTAAATAATCAATTTAAGAATATCTCTTTATAATACTATATTGAACCTTAATTAACACATTTTATTATAAAGTTTAAAAAATATTAAAATATAATTATATGCTAAAAATTTGAGTTTCGACTTTTAAAATGAAATAAAATATATACAATATTATCTTTTATAAAGAGCTAAAAAATAAAACAAAATATTTTTCTGAAAAATTAGTGGGAATTTATTAGGGAACTTTTTTCCTTTATAGTGATGCCCGAACTCTACATACGTAATATTTGGTGCTGAAATTTGGTAGGTGCTCCTTTATTTTTTGACTTTAGGCAGTGGGAGTAAAAACTAAAAAATCTCGATCTCAGGTGGGGTAAGATGGCCTTACCCTACCCTAACCCCCCTTTCGCAACCCTTATATATATAGTGACTCAAAATTTGTTATCTCTATTGCAATATAATTATAAAATAAATGTATTCCTAATATACTCCTCTGTCTATTTAACTCCTTTTGTTATTTTCATTTGGCAGTCATATACATGAGTGATGTCTAACTTTAATTAAATGTATAACACGTTTCAAACTGAGATCTATTACTCAAACTTAATGAATGTTTAATAAAAGTGACCAAAAATACAAACAAACAAAAAACAAAATAATTAATTTTTTTATTGATCTGATTATAAAATTGTTTTTTTACTATATATTATTTTTTATAATAATAATGGTTTAATTGAATATAATTTGTACACAAATCTAGATTTTGAAATAAATTACCGGTAATGTAAAATATGACCTTTTATTTTCATCAATGATCTTAAGTATATTAGTTAAACTATACTGTATATCACTTTACTAACTGTTAATCTAATTAATAAAAAATATTCACATGTTATTTAAAACAATACTATAGATAAAAACCATAAAAATATTGTTATTTAATGATAAAATCTAAACATTGAATGTAAACTAAATGGAGTGAATTCACATTCAAATTGATGTCAAATTTCGTGTTTTACTTTTATTACATCAAACATAATCACAACTATTTTTCACACAACTATACAAATTTGTTGTGTATTAAGAAATTGTGTTTAAGTATTGTACAAATATTTAGCCAACCATTGCTTCAAACTTTATGCTAAAAATGCAATTTTATATAAAATATTTTATTTTTCGCAATATTCTGATTTAAATTACATTTTTCCATTTGTTGTATTTCTTCTTTATTTTTGTTAAAAGATTTCATCTAAATATACAATAAATTTATTATATAAATTGCTTCAAATTTTTTTTATTTGAAAAAATTGTTGTAAACAGTTTACAAATACCGGTATATACTGTATATATAGAAATTAATTTTTTACAACGTATAACATTAAAAATCTTTTTGACGAAATGTTAACAAAATGTTTAAAGTTTGTCAATAATATTTTATTTGGAAATATATGATTAAACGTACAAAACATAAATTTATTACTAATTTGCGTTACTTTTGATGACAAGTTAAAGCAATTCAATAAATGATACAATCATACAATTAAAACAAATTTTTGCAATTAAAACAAATGATAATTATTTATTAGTAAATGTTTGTGCAAAATAAATATTTATTTAAAGCGTGTAATCGAGTTCATAACGAATGTAATTATTTTTTGAATCGTTGTGAACCCGTGAATACCCGGCCACAAGTGCGTCCTGTCCTCCGATATATAATGTGTTATAGACTTTCCAATAGACATCTCTGACTTTACGGGCCGGATGGAAGAGACCCTATTGAATATAATATTAATGTAAGATTTTAAATGTAAAAATAAATAAAATAATAAATCATTGATACCTGAATGGTGTATTGTAACATTTTGATTGGACCCAATGACATTTTCAGTCCCTCAATGGCTCCCATAAACGCTTGAACCAAATGTGGTGACGTCTCGAAAATATTAGGCCAAACATAATTCAAAATATGTGTCAACGCATCTTCACATCCAAAGCCATAGACTCCAAGAGCCATATGTTGAATAGCGGCGCAAGCAGTCTGTCTGTGAACTAGATCTCTGTCCATAAGTGCATCTTCAAGAAGTGGAGTAATGGCATAAATATAGTCTTTGCCCATTTCGCCGATATATTCAAAAAGAAAAGCCAAAGATTTGAGAACTCCATTTTGGACATTAAGTTCTGGTACTCGATATTCATTCATAAGAGCTGGTAATACAGTAAATGGCGAACAGGTTTCAGCAACGATAGCGATGGCAACTGTAGTACAAACACGGTTTTGTCGCTCTTGTACTCGAAGATTGTTTAACAAAGTGGCCAAAACATCGTGAGGACCAATGGCTTTAGCAATATAACCAAATGTATTGACTGTGGCTCTTCTGATAGCCTTTTTGTGTGCTTTCAATAGTTCTAATAATTCAAAACATATTCTCATCCATTCCCGAGCGGACACATATTCAGCGCCGCGATCGGCAATTCTACCGACTAAATCAATACAATTTTCTTGTACTTTTTCGTGTCGATTCTTAAGAATTGGTGTCAAACGAGGCAATAAGTCTTTTATGGGAGGCGTCATCTTATGCATACCAATCACATTAACGATAGCTTTTAGTGCCCCTAAAATAGATCCCAATACTTCTGGATATTCTTCACCCAAGTATTCATAGAGAACAACACCTAAATGTCCCATCAATTTTTCTTCCTGACACGTCTTCATCACGATTGCAATTCGTGATATAAGATCTGCAGCCTGTTGTCTAACTTTGGCCGACTTATTGTTTAAACGCCAAAGAATAGTACCGCAGATTTGAGGTAAATATGGTTTAACTCTTTTTCCTAACGCATTGACAATAGTTCCGAATCCATTCAACATAACTAAGTCCTCAGTTGTCTGTTCTTGAAATGCGTAAAGAATTCCATCGATAAGTTGTTCTTCAAGTCGTGAATCAATTTGCGCAGCGCCTAAATTAGCCATTATCTTCTCGATGGTCTCCATAACCATTTTACGATAAGCTTCGTTTTCATCTTTGAGGTCATCAACAATTCGGTGTATAATCTCTGCGGCCTCTACTTTGTTGGCGATCTCAACGGTTGTGTCAACTAATTGTCTATAATTTCTGCGGTCGAGTGCCATCCGATGATTCCAAAAATGTCTGAAGAAATGTGGCAATACTTCATCTTTAATATACTGTGCTTCAACACCATCGGTACCACAACACTGTTTGACTACTTTAAGCACAATTTTTTTCATCTCTTCATCAGGCGATTGAAACTCACGAATCAATATAAGCATCACTTCTCGTGTATAATAGTTAGCGTACTCGGCGTCCATCAAAGGTATCAAATAACCGATAGCTTTGAGAAAAGCAGCCAAACCTTTGCCTCTATGGGTTCGAATACCTTTCCATAACGGTTTGAGAACTGAATCAAATGATTCGATACCGTAAGGAGTGGCAGCTTCTGCTAAAGCGGCCAAAGCAAGGGCTGTAATGGTTCGTACTTTTTGTTGTTCATCGACTAATCCGTGTTCAATAATCTCAACTAAACTTCTTAGATGTGGTAAAATAGCACAACCCATAAGTATAGCAATTTGTTGGACAATCTTAATGCCTGTATGTCTGGCCTGCCATGACTTCTTGCTTTTACAAACAGCTTTCAAAAATGGCAAAAGTGAAGGAATGCCGAGCGCTGAAGCAACCACTGCGAAGGCACGAGCCGTTGTATTTCTCACATACTCATCAATATTGTCGATATCCGGTCGCATAGTTGAGATCATTGTGGCTAAACCGGCGGCTTTGGCCAAATTTGATATAATTTCTCGGCCCTCTACTCGAGCGTAATAGTCTTCATCGATAAGTAAAGGTTCGATAACAACAAGAATTTTATGAACATAAGGACGAACCAAATCATCCAATTTATAGAGAATCCTATCAATAACTTTCACCAATAAATGTCTTTCTTGATCTTCAAGAGTTGGGGACATAAGAAGTGGCAATATTTGGTTAAATAGAGGTCCGGCACCAAACTCTCGTGCCTTATCTGTGATTTGTCTTAAAGCAGACTTCCTCATCGGTGGCGTTCCGTTTTTTATTTTCAACAATAGTTTCATTATTTTGCGTTCCTTTTGTTCGTCCGGACTCAATGACTCTTCGTCCACATCTGTCAATAATTTGTCAAAATATTGAATGTCTTCGGGTTTAAGTGGTGGTAAATTTTGCCCTTTAGGCTCCATATCCATCATTTTTGACGATTGTTCTTCTTTCTGCATAAAGAAGCCGCCGGCGCCTCCAATGCCAGACATTGGTGTTGGTGTTGCTGTCAATTTTCGAGCGGGTGTTCTAATAGGCATATAACCAGCGGGTGGCGCAAGAATTTTATATCCGGGAGGAAAAAGCGAATCGAGTTCGTCATCAGTCATCGGACGGTTACGTTCGTCGATCTCCTTTTCCCATCTGAAAGCCTGCATCTGCTCGGGTGTCATCGGAACTAAATGGCCCGGAGTTGGAGTTGCCATTGCCATTGCTTTAGCACCCATTGGTGTGGCGCCACTAGGAGTTATAGGAGTCATAGATGGTGTCATCATTGATGGTGTTGCCGGAGTCATTCCGCCACCGGCTGCAGGTGTCTCATCCCATCGAGATCTACGTTTAGAAGCACTCGGAGTGGTTTCTTGTATATCAGCCCCTCTATCGGCACGCGGAGTTTCAGCCCAACCCGAAATATGACCGGGAGTTTCTCCACGTTCAGTCTTTGGTGTTTCATCCCAACGATTTCGACGAACACTTGATTTAACACCAGGAGTTTCGTGTCCAGGAGTCATAGGAGTAGCTGATTGATGCATTGGTGTCGGTTCCCACATCTCTTGGCCGGGAGTTTTCGAACCATCCAATATTCGACCGGGTGTTTGTTCCCACAGTCCCGGAGCTGCCGGTGTGGCTGCTTCTGCATATTCCCATGTAGATTTTTTTTTGGGCGGTTGTTCTTCACCCGACTCTTCAGCCTGTGGCTGATCCCAACGTCTTCTCTTTTTGGTTGTGTCTGCATTTGTTGCACCTTTTAGTTCACCGGATTTTGATTTTTCTATCAATTTTTTGCGTAATTCAGCCTAAAAAACAAATAAAAATGTTATAAAATTATTAATTATTTAATAATAAGCAAACTTTATACCTCTTCATTAGTAATGGCAGCCTCTTTGATAATTGTTTGATAAGTACGAGCTCTAGCATCTGGTGTTTTACCGCCTGAAACATATAGTAAATAATAAAACAAAATAATAGTTTGATTATAACATGTACTTTAAGATCCAGTTTATGATTAAATATTTTTAAAACAAGACATACAGTTTTGTCATGTCTTGTTTTAAATAATAAATTTTAAATAAAAGTATCAAATTTTGGAGCAAAACGTATATAAATTAACATAAAATTAATAATAATTACGTTTACACTAATATTTTTTAAAAAATTACTGTTAAAATCTATCAATAAAATAAATAATAATTTATTAAAAATAGCTCCAAATGTTGAGACTTATTGTACGTACTTTTATTGTCCGCATCTATAGACCAATCGGTGGTCTAATGGCTTAAGACTTAATCATTTAAATCTGCAAAAATAGTCTCTTTGGCATTAGTAACGGTTTGTACTTTTCATTCACACAAATCATTTAAAGCCCTAATTCATTACATTATAATTAGATAATCATATCATATAAATCCCTAACACAAGACATACTCTAATATTGGTGTTGACTTCAAGACATTATTGCGAACAAACAGATTAATGTCGATAAAGACTGGATGGAAAAGAAATAGCGATTAGACTTCGCTTTTAACCCAATTCTTTCAAATAACAACATGTCTTGTCTTTCATTTTCATTACATATGCCTTTAAAAGCATTTTATTTTAAACATAAAAAATAGTCAATTAATGACAAGACATCAACCAATAACTCATCACAAGATTCAAGTGTTTAAAAACATTTTTGAATATCAAAAATTTGTTACAAAGTCTAACCAATACATAATTACCGTAAATACTAAATAATGAAAATTAAACGATACATACCGTCAGCAAAGAGGTCAACCCTTTCCGGCGACAGTTTTCTCTGTCGATATCTGCTTCGATACTCATCCTCGCGATCGGCCACTCGAGGCACTCGGTTTTCGGCCATTGGGTCGAAATCCTAAACAAATATATAATTTACTAAAACATCTAAAAATAATTTATTTACAAACCTTTTCAACCATTTCCGAGAGAAACACTTTGGGAGCTGTAATGGACTTCTTAGCCAAAAGGGATCCGTTTGTTGTCTCGTATTCGTCGTCCTAATCAATGGATATATCAGTTATAGTCTATATTAATAATAATATGTCAATCATTGCAAACCTCATAATCATTGTCATCATTGGCGGCAATGGATGTGTTATAATCGGCATATTTGTTATGATTGTCTCCATAGATGTCTGAATCCATGGCCGCCTTCGTCAGTGACATCGAAATTCTTCCCTCCATTTCTGCGCCATTTTCCACATTCAGTGACACCTTCTTCGCCTGAATTTCGCGGATCTGTTCTTCAATTTCTGCAAAAAATAAACAATTTATTAGTAAAATAATCAATTGAATGATCACTTAATTGATGTCAAACCCTCGTGAGTTCGCGCCGGTTGTGATGCCATTGTGTCTGCAATAGTCGTGTCCAAAGATCTTATCAATGATTACATCAATGACTTTGTGGTCAAACAAATCATATCAACTGTTTGTCTGAAATATTGTTAAATCAAATCAACAAATGTTTACAAAACGTCAATACATTGAAAGTCAAAATGGAGTCTAAAATGTGTTTTAGTGGAGACATCTGGCAGTCATTTGATTGCAATTTTGCCCATAAATTAACATTAATTATATTACAGACATAAAAAAAATTACTGTACTTTTAATACTGTTTTAATAACATTATATTATATATAAAGTATTAATACAGTAATACAACATTTAATGATTACAATAAATATTAGATATTATCAATTGATTGACCAGTAAATTGAAAGACATTTTAAATAATTTATATATAGATATACAACATATTTGAATATGTATTACCTGTATGTTGATTATCTAACTGTTAATATAATATCCTATCTATAAATTTTCAAATTATCTATTTCTGTAATTTACACTATATATAGATTATAATAATAATAATAATTGTATAAAAGTATAAGTATTTTTAAATATTTTTTTATTAATATTAAATTGATATTCAAACCTCATATATCTATTATAGCGATTTATGAGTAGTTTATAATATATAAATACAATATTATATGCAAAATAAATCAAATAAAGACAATGTTTTTAAAAATGATTACCATATATATTGGAAATATTGGAAATTTTAATGTTTCTCTATATGAGAGAAACTAAGTTTGATAGTATTAATTAAATATTGATATACAAAAAATACATAAATTCATGTCAATCACATTGTTGTAATGACATAATTATGTTAATGAAATAACTAACAAAATATTACGGTAATTATAACAAAAAAGTATTATCGCAATGAAAATTGCATTAATAGTCAGTTATGGTGTTAAAAGTAGATCAATAGTTGCCTCTCGCCTGTCCTATCAATGAATTAATGCCGGCATTCATTTGTCTTTCTTGTGCCGACTGTTTGTATTCAATGATAGCATCAGTCAAATCATTAATGATTTGTTTGGCAACTCTAATGTCTTCATCGCCTTCCAGTTTACACGCCTTAATCTGTTTGAGAGCCTGTTTGAGAACTTCAGTTTGTTGTCCAGACTCGACAACAATGATATCAGATTCAATATCCAATTGTTCATCAGGAATAGTAGGTCTTTCATGTCTAACTTCGAAGTCTCCCCTACCATAAACCAACTCAAGCTCTTGAGCTCTTCCCTGAGCCATTCTAATGAGAGCCGCATTACGATTAGCTCGTCTGCCGTCTGGCATTAGATAGGTTTTAGCCTGATTTGGGTATTTGTTGGCAATGTATCTAACTCTGTGATTATAACCAGTGATGTGCTCCATGATTGACGAGCAAGTATTGAATTGTTTGCAAAGTCGGCAATGATAGACACGAGGAGATTGACCGTCGGGATCGATGTATTCAAGCACATACTCAAGTCCTTAATTAACAATTAGATTATACATTTGAATAACAATTATAAGGTTTACGCATCAATCGGCAATGTTGTCAATAAAACATTACAATACTATCTAAACTTAATATAAGCGGTATTAAAAACATCACAAAAACTAATTGTGACAAAAGTCAAGACAACTTCAATATCTCGATGGATAAGTAAACCATACTATAGTTTAAATAACTTTATGACATATCAATCACAATGACATACCGACGATGGGATGTTTAGATAAAGTCAATTGTGATTCAAGTGTTGTTTTATTGTTTAAAACCAGATCAATAAGGAGTGCATCCTTTCGTGGAACTAATAAAACAATTATCATATTATATAATCATTAAAATTAATATTTTCAAAACATACCAATGTTTCCGTTGATAATCAACTAAACAATTACCGGTAAATAACAATAATATTAGACATTAATTATGGAATAAATAGTAAGATTAGTATTAGTGGTCATTACCGGCATATCTCTCTTATCTCTCCTGCGTTTAGGCGCCGGAAACATCTGTTGGCCGTCAAGACTCGGATCTAAAATACAAATCAATTGACTTATAAAATATGGCAAAAATATCACTCAATAGATCCATACCATTAGCCTTCTGTTCGAGCATATCCTGAACCTTAGATCCCATTCGTTCCCAAGTCATGTCTTCCATCTTCAGCGGCATATTATCGCTGATACGATTGAATTCAGTCCTGAGGTCATCCAATGAAGACGACGGAGCGGTACTACTTATCTTCGGTATGCGACCTAAAGATGGCGGCGATCGGCGGCCGTACTCGCGAGGCGGTGATCGGTCGCGACCATACATTCCCGACTCACCCGGAGAACTGTCGCGTCCTCTTCCGTAATATGAAGAATATGCCATCAAATGTCTGTTAATATCAAACTCAAGAAATCACTGAATATGTGGACAAAGACTTTAAGACTTTTTCACTCAATTTGTCAGAAATTGTTGCTTAAAATCACTAAATATTTTCATAAATTACGTTCACTTTTAATACAACTCATTGTTTCATTCATTTCAATAATCATTTTATTTTTTGTTTAAATAATTATTAATACATTAAATACTGTATATTAATAATGTTTTAAGTTTTTAACCGTTTTATTAACTTAATAATCAATTGAATTGTAATTATTTTTTTAAACAAATATTTATATAAAAACATATTTTATTGTATTATTAGTTATTTAAAACTGATGTAATAATAGATAACACAGTATTTATATTAATATTTTTGGTCTGTTTTTATACTATAAAATAACTGTAAATTTGTATGAAATGCTATTTTTAAACAATCCAATCATTGTTTTGATTATTACTGTATTCTATTTTTAACAATTAATTTCAAGTCAATACTTGTATTAATAAAATCAATTGAACTTCAAATTTATTAATACAATAATTACTGTATAACTCTATACCGGTATTAAACAATACAGTAATAAATTGAATGTATCGGTACTTTATATACTACATTGTATTATTAACTATAGTATTGTATGTTTAATACTACAGTAATACAGAAAAACTGTAATACATTTATAATACATTACATTACAACTTGTAATTTACAAAACATTATAGATATAAATCATATTTAAATTATATAAATTATTTAATGGTAATTACCTTAATGTATATTTTTATTAGTAGTAAGTATTTAAATATATTGTCATTAATTTTAACAAAAATAATATCAACTTTTATATCAGTGAAAGTGATTAGATTATGTTTTAATGTTTATAAAAGATTATGTTTTTTGGGTTAATTTTTAGCTTATTTTATAAAAAAACATATGATTTATAAATAATTAAAATTATAGTAAAACATAGATCAGTAAAATTATGATAAAATGAATTAATGAGAGAAAGTTTAAAACATTTAAAAAATATAATTATAATTTCAATTAATGTGACAATAAGTATAGATTATATAAGAAAAGCAACCAATCATTGACTGGCAATCTGTTGAATAACATTCAAATCGGACTTTAATTTCTTCATGATTTCCACTTTATTAACAAATTCTTTGAGCTCTTTGTCGATGAGTTCATCAAAAACAATATCATTACTTATATACTCATTAATGTCTTTTAAACGATTTTGAAATTTCTTTTCCGAAATCTCCGACCAGTTGTTAATAAAATTAATTTGTTTTTCAAAAACACTATTCATATTATTTGCGACTAACTGTGGACATGAGTTTTCGTTGGCAATCAGTGTTTCTTGTAATTTATTAATCAACTCAACGACCTCTTTCTCGTTCATGTCTTTCAAATTCCAAGGAAGTATTTCTTCATTTGTTGATTCATTCAGTGATTGATTCAATGAACCCATTCTCGGAACAGACTTTTGAATGTCTGCCAAACAAGTGATTCGACGCATCGATCGATTAATTTGTGGTGTTTTGATGGCTCTGTTGGCCATCACTTGATTAATGTGTTCAGTGAATGATAACTCTGGTTCTTCATCGACATCGGAGTCGTCGGCATTATTGAGATAACGTTCATAAACAGTGAAGAGCTTCTGATTGTCAAAATCATTGTGAAGCTCGCAATCTATGGTCATAAAAGTTATTTCAAATATATTAACGACATATTTCTGACTTACCATCGATTGAGTGTTTGCTGTCGTCATCGCCATCAATGTCTGCACCAAACGAGACATCCATTTGTCAGCTGATGTTGTCTTGTCTTTGGTTTTGTCTGTTGTTTTTGAACACCGGTTGTCTTACAGTTGGCGCCAAACCATAGTATTGACAACACATTGCAAACACAACATATGTGTAGACATTAGTGATCAACACATCAACTAATGGCTTACTATTTAATGACTTAAAGTCTTTTGAACGGTTAGTGTCAGCACTAGTACTCAATGTATAGTTGAGTCACATATTAGGCAATCATTCATGTATTCAATGAGTGCTACAATACGTCTACATTCAAGTCATATAATATGAGTCCACATGTAATGCAATCGACAATAAAACGCGTGTTTTAACTAATCGTATGTCTCGTGGATTGTAATTAATTATTATTATTATTAATAATCATTGAATTGTTGTTTTAAATTAATAGTTTTACTGACCGTCACTTTGTTTGTCGTTTTTTTGTCGATTTATCACTTCTTAAACATTTTAATTAGTGGACAACACATCACTTGTCAAACAAATCTGCATTTTAGTTGATAGTATTTGACAAACCATATCCTCAGTTGATTTTATCGATTTGTTGTTTATTTGATCCAATAAAAGATGCCGTCGGACAACAAGAAGAAAAGAGATCAGAAGAAGAAAGAAATGGCGAAACAAAGAGACCACAAGAAGGCTGCCGGTAAAACCGATAATGAAGATACCAATGAAGAGACAGCAAAAGTAAACGGCGACTCATTGCCCGTCACTGAAGAGGAAAAGTTAGTCAAGTCTTTGGAAAAAGACATGGATTTGAACTCCGATGCCCGAGCCTGTACTGGTGTGCTGGCCATACATCCGCGCTCAAGAGATATTAAAATTGATAACTTCTCCATTACTTTTCACGGCGTTGAGATGTTTCAAGACACGAAAGTTGAGTTGAATTGTGGCAGAAGATATGGTCTGATTGGACTTAATGGTAGCGGAAAATCTACATTATTGGCATCTTTGGGTCGTCGAGAGGTTCCCATTCAAGATCACATCGATATTTATTATTTGACTCGTGAAATGCCTCCTTCAGATAAAACAGCTCTCGAGTCGGTATTAGATGTCGATCAGGAAAGAGTTCGTTTGGAAGCTTTAGCTGAAGAGTTAGCTCAATATGATGATGAAGAAAGTCAGGACCAATTAATGGATATTTATGAACGACTCGATGAAATTGGTGCCGACAAAGCAGAGGCAAAGGCTGCTTATATTTTAAGTGGTTTAGGTTTTACTAAAGATATGCAAAATAAGAAAACCAAAGATTTTTCTGGTGGTTGGAGAATGAGAATAGCATTGGCCAGAGCTCTATACGTCAAACCACATCTATTACTTCTGGACGAACCAACCAATCATTTGGATTTAGACGCCTGTGTTTGGCTGGAAGAAGAACTAAAATCTTATAAACGTATTTTGGTTCTTATATCTCATTCACAAGATTTTCTGAATGGTGTCTGCAATCAAATCATTCACATTCACGACCGAAAACTAAAGAATTATGGAGGAAATTATGACGCGTTTGTTAAGACACGAGAAGAACTTCTTGAGAATCAATCTAAACGATACAATTGGGAACAATCACAGATTGCACACATGAAAGTAAGTTACGGTATTTCAATTGGCATTATATATGTTATATGAATACATTATGTCTTAAATATGATGACTAAAAGGCCGAGTTGTAGACATCATAACTGCACTTCTAGTGTATAGTTAAGGTCTCAGTGATCTAATACTCGAAGCGATATATTGTTTATCTGAACCAATTATTATATATTACTTATATATATATATAAATAAACAGTATATTGATTTGAATTAATTTGATTGTATATTACAGGACTATATCGCCCGCTTTGGTCACGGAAGTGCTAAACTCGCGCGTCAGGCACAGAGTAAAGAGAAAACGTTAGGAAAAATGGTTGCAAACGGATTGACTGAAAAAGTTGTGAGCGATAAGACGGTTCAGTTTTACTTTCCTTCTTGTGGTACAATCCCTCCGCCAGTCATTATGGTTCAGAACGTATCCTTTAGATATAACTCAGAGACGCCTCATATTTATAAAAATTTGGATTTCGGTATTGATTTGGATTCAAGAGTAGCATTGGTTGGTCCGAACGGAGCCGGAAAGACTACACTTCTTAAGTTGCTTTGTAGTGAATTAGTACCAACTGATGGTATTGTGAGAGTTCACAGCCATTTAAAGATTGCTCGATATCACCAGCACTTACACGAACAGCTCGATCTGAATTTGTCTGCACTCGAGTATATGATGAAATGTTTTTCAGAAGTTAAAGAAAGAGAGGAAATGCGTAAAATTATTGGCAGATTTGGTCTAACAGGTCGACAACAGATTTGTCCAATTAGACAATTATCTGATGGTCAGAGATGTCGAGTAGTGTTTGCTTGGTTGGCCTGGCAGTGCCCGCATTTACTACTAATGGACGAACCTACCAATCATTTAGATATTGAGACAATTGATGCTTTGGCCGATGCTATTAATGATTTTGAGGGCGGAATGGTATTAGTTAGTCACGACTTTAGGCTTATAAGTCAAGTATGTATTCATTATTTTAATTATTATAAATTACTTTACCTGTAATACAAATGTTGATTATTTGTCAAACAGGTGGCTCAAGAGATATGGGTTTGTGAGAAGGGAACAGTTACTAAATGGGACGGAACTATACTAACATATAAAGAACATCTTAGGAAAAAAGTTCTCAAGAATATTGAAAAACAACAAAAATAACATAATTAGTGCTGAAATTGGTTAGTAAGTTGTGGTGCACTGAGATATCAGCAAAAATAAAGTAATTTCTAAACTTATCCACAGTATATATGATATAAATTATATTAATTTTTATTAGTAAATATTTTATATCCGATTTATATATTTTTAAAAATAATGACAACTAAACTAAAACCAAACCGATATATTGAATTACCGTAAATTGTTAATTATAAAAGTTTGCCACTATTTACTAACCAATTTTCAGCTTATTATCTAATTTAGCACTAAATAATTGTTATTTATTTTATTTTTACTATTTCTTTAAATTAGTTTAGAATTAATTGATTAATTATCCTTTACTTGTTTTAAATGTTTTTTACAGCTATTGTACGAAACAATTATTTAATTTTGATTTTATTTTTGAAAATCAAAACTTATTTATTAACTAATTGACAAACAACTGTATAATCAGTTAAATAAATTCTTGAAATAAAATTCTTATATTAAGATTATGTCGACAAAGTTTTAATTAAAGTTAATACTGTAATATACAGATAATTATTGTATAACTGAATTTGTAATATCAGGTAATAAAAAAATTATAAATAAAAATAACTGATTTTAAAGTAATTATTATAACATATTTTATATCGTATTTCTTGGAAACGATACAAAAGTTTTAATAACTTAAATAAGTGTAAAACTGGATTAACATATTGTTGTATCCCTTTTGTCATATAAAAAGATAATTGAAGGACAGGTTGTGATTCTAAGGTTTGTATAAATTAATAATTTTAATGAAAATTGATTGCAAAGAGATGTAAAAGTGTTTGTACCGCCCGTTTGTATCGTCTAAACCAACGAGTTTTTAATGACTCCCGATGTCGCAGGCCTTGGATATTGGGCGGTATGTTAAGCCCTGATGTACTGTATATAACTCACTAACTTGTTATATGTTGATCTATTTTCAATGATTGTCAAATAAAAAATTAATATAAAAAATAATATAAAATACCTTAAAGTAAAAAATTGGAGCAAATTAAGGACGACTGACCGCAAACATATAGTTAATGTTTGCTCTAATGCTCTAATTATTCCAAATTTTTATCATTTATTATTAAAGTCTACAAAACACGGGAACTGAAACATTTATTTTATAGATTCTGGTTATGAATTTAGTAAATACCATTTAATTTCAAGGTATCTTCAAACTTTTTGAACAAAAAAAACAGCTATTTTTAATTTTTAAAATTGTTTTCAACCTTTTTAGTTGATAATAAGTTTGTTGATAAAATTAACAGATTATAAAGTTAATTATACATTTTAAATACTAATATAACGCTCTATTTTTGTATAAAAAATAAGTGATTAGCTTATGATAAATTGTAAAAATATTACAACAAAATTAATTGCAAAATTTATATAATAATAATATTATTAAAGTTCTATTATAATGAATTTAAAATTATTAAGTAACAAATTATTATATTTACAAATTAAAATAACTTTTATAAACATTAACGCAAATATAAGATAACAGCCAAACATTGAAGTTTCCATATTTACAATAAATTATTTAAACACTTTTAGTTCCGAAATTTGTTAGTACTAATCATTATTACTTCAATTATAATTTATATATTAGTTATTTTTTACAATCATTACTACTGTATACAACTGTATTATAACAGCACCTTATAATTGGTTCCTAATTTTAAAGCCATTTATACAAAATTGAGATAAAGAAACAAGTTTTGTCAAACTTTCTCACAATCATTTCATAGAAAATTTTAATTCAAAATAACTTAATTTATTTTATGTATATTTTGTTAATAAAATAAGAAAAAACTTTATTATTATTATTGTGTAAATATGTTGTCAACATTTCATTTAATTGCGATTTTCGGAACTGTTTTATTAAGTTTTGATTACACTTTTGGTAAGAAATAGTTGTGCTATAAATTTATATAAATTTTATGAAGTTGTAAATCACATAATTTGTTATAATCTCAACAAATTAATTAACAAATTATTTCGTGAGAAATATGGATATTAACTGAAACTTTATTGTCATATTAGGTCAGTTGCATTGTCCGCCTGAGGGTATCTATGCTTACGAACACCCGAAAGCTTGTGATCAATACTTTTTGTGTACTAATGGTTCGCTAACCCATGAATTTTGTCCAAACGGGTTGGCGCACGCCATCGATGGTGCCGTCTATGGCTTCTGTACTTATAATTGGAAAGTCGACTGCAAAGACAAACTGCTTCGTATGTCTCAATCATTTTTTATATACTATTCAATATAATGTATTAGTACAGCTGTATAATACTTATAACATTTACATTATACGATATATTTAATAATTATCAAAAAAAATTGATAATTATCACAAATTTAAAAAATTCTATTAATTGAATATAAAATTATATGAATAGAAATAATGATATATTTGACATATTATGTATTTAGCTGATCCCATATCATCACATGGATGTCCTTGGCAATTTGGCACATTTAGCGAAGGAGATCCTAATCTTTGTAATCCTCACTTTTCAGAGTGTGTTTGGGGCGTCCCTGAGCGCAAAGATTGCCAAAAGGGACTCTTCTATGACGACCGTATTAAAGGTTGCAATTGGCCGGAGAAAGTTGGTTGCAGTAGTGATAGAGAGTTAGGATTTTCGTGTCCTCACGAAGACAAACAAAACAAATACTATCCGTACCCAAGATATTTCCACAGCGATCACTCTATCATCACATGTGTTGATAATCAGCCACGACTTGTCAACTGTGGTGAGGAAGAGTTGGTCGACGCCAACTCACTGACCTGTCAGCCCATCTATAAAGAGGAAAAGTTAGAAACCAGACCATTGCTGTCGAGACCTGTTTTGGCTCCGATTCGCCACCGATTTAATTAATTTTCACAACTAGTGATGCAATTCATCCAATTATTATTGCGATTGTTTTATCTAATTGTCTAACATCTTCTATACATTAATAATAAAATGTTTATTAAAGATGTAAAGCATAATGCATTGTATAATCATTTAGTTCACTCATAGTATTAAAATAAACTATTTAGTGATTTTTAAAAATTACTAAAGCGTTACTTTAAATTATTTTTTTAAATAGCAAACAACAATAAAAAGCTTTGGAAATGTTATTGTTTTATCTCATGAATAGTTAGGTGTTCTGTAGATCTAACTGTCCTACAAAAAAAAATTACAAACAATTTAAATATAGAAATGAATGCTATATTCTTATCCCATAAACACGAAAAGCCTGATAAATATGTTTGACATATTCATACCTGTGCTCAGCCTTTGGAGCGGTTGGTTCGGTAGTCACTTAGATTAGTTGAGTCTCAAAAAGCCAGTTATTGCCTGTTATTAGTCACATAAGCTGTTAGTGTTTTTAAAACAAAATTATAGGTTCATTAAGTCTCAGCAATGATACGTCTGTCGTGTTTTTAATAAAAAACTATTTAATTGCATTAAGGTGTCAGTGCGTGACCAACATTAAGGCCTGTCCTGTCATTGCAATTATCAGTAGTGACTAACTGTACATCGTTTCTGTACATTAAAACTTTGTGTGTTTTAAATTTAGTTTTGCCCTTAAAAATCAACATTTAATTTATAATTTATTTTTAAAAATTATTTACTATATATATGTTGCACTCATTTTTAAAAAATTATTTCCTATAATTTCTTATTATTTTATTTTGTTTTTTTAATTTTTAAAAAATTTGCAATGTTAAAACTATATTCAATTTGGACAGTTGTTATTTTAATTGCCATCAATATATTATATGTGTTTACCGCCGATGACGATCACGATGGTAAGTAATATTAATTTAATAAAGTTTAATATTTAAGTTTTAAATCTTTAAATAATTATGTTATATCTATAAAATAATTATTGTTATTATATTAATTTATAGTTATTGAAGAATTATTAATAGAAAATATAGAAATAAATCTTTTTTGTTGTATTTCAGGAAGTTTTAGGGGTTTTTTATATTAATTTTTAATACGGATATTGTCGCATACAGTATATACTTTTAAAATAAACATTATTTTACTGTGATAATGTAAATAATAAATATATACGGTAAATAAAACAAAAATATATTTAACTTTTAAAAAATGATTTTGAATTTTGATTTTTTTAAAACTAAACATTTGAGGAAATATTAAAACAATAAATGAAAGTTAGATAAATTATAGCTGAAGGAGTCGTATCTAATAACCTATATTAACCTCTGGTGACAAAACTAAATAAAAATGTAATATTAATTATATATATATATATATAATTGACATAAAGGGTCAGTGGATGGAGTTCCCTGTATAGATAACGGCAAATTTTATCGCAATCCCGAAGCAAAGGGTGTTAGAGATTGTGCCAAATATTATTGGTGTCCGCGACAGAAGGTTCTTGAATTCAGATGTAGCGCTGGTCTGTGGTTTGATGTCGACCGACAAATCTGTGATTTTAAATTAAAGATCGATAATTGCGCCAAATCTCACGGTATAATCAATTTGATCAAACTTTTGATTAAAACTATCAAAAATTTTATTAAATTGTAAAATATATTTATAAAAACTAGACGCCAGTACTCCTCGACCACTGCTTGCCACTGAAGAACCAATTTGTCCGACTGGACAGTTAGCTTGTGCTGACAGGAAATGTATTAATAAGGACTTGTTTTGTGATGTATGAGTAAAACTTGTTTATTAAACAATAGTTTATAACTACTAAAATATTTTGCTATAATTTGAATATAGGGTCAGATAGACTGTTTGGATGCATCAGACGAGTCGTGGTGTGATCCCGAACACGACCCAAACGCACCGGTCAGATGTGATGCCAGCAATTGTACTCTTCCGGACTGTTTCTGTAGCAATGATGGCACTCAAATCCCAGGTAATCTTAAGCCAGAAGAAACGCCACAAATGGTTATCTTAACGTTTGATGACGCCGTCAACAATGAAAATTGGGAAATATATCAGAAAATATTTGCAAACAATAGAACTAATGCCAATGGATGTCCTATTTCTACCACATTCTTCCTCAGTCATGAATATACTAACTATAGACACGTCCAGAAACTCTGGAATGACGGACACGAGATTGCCACCCACTCCATCACGTAATTAATAGTTAATTAAATCTAAATTTATTTATATTAAATTAAATATACTTTTAGTCACAAACAGCCAGAGCTTTGGTGGACATTCAATGCAACGATGGAGGACTGGTTCGATGAGTTCGCAGGAATGGCTAATATTATCAACAAATTTGCTGGAATACCACTCGATGAACTCAGAGGCACAAGAGTTCCCTTTTTGAGGGTTGGCTGGAATACACAGTTTATTATGGTTTGTGTTTTTTGTGTTTTTTTAAATATAAAAATTATATTTCATTAGCAAATGTTTATTATAGATGAAAGAGTTTGGTTTCTTATATGATTCATCAATGGTTGCTCCTCGATCTGATCCTCCTCTTTGGCCATTCACTCTTGACTATAGAATTCCTCATAAATGTCACGGTTCTCGACAGAGATGTCCTTCCCGGTCATTCCAAGGAATGTGGGAAATGATTATGAATCCATTTGATATTGAGGTATCAATTTTTTTAAAATTATTTTAATAATAAATAAATATAACTTTAAAAATATTTTTACATAATAAAGGGTCACATCTGTGCTATGGTTGACAGTTGTCCGACACATTTATCTGAAGATGAAATTTATAACATGTTTATGGATAACTTTAATAGACATTATACAACTAATAGAGCACCGTTTGGTCTATACTTTCACACCATTTGGTTTAAAGAGAAACAAAATTTTAAAATTCTTCTCAGATTTATTGATGACTTAATTCAAAATAAGGTAAATGTATTTGAAATTAAATTTGTCTAAAACATGAAACAACAAACTATAACAAAACATATTTACATTGAATAGGATGTCTACTTTGTAAGCAACTATCAGGCCATTGAATGGATGCGAACACCGACACCAGTGTCTCAATTGAATAACTTCGAGCCGTGGAAATGCAAGAAAGATATTGAACCCAATTTGATTGCTTGTAATCACCCGAAGTCATGCAGACTGGCCAGTCGTCAACTCAAAGGGGAACGATATTTACACACATGTTTTGACTGTCCAGATGTCTATCCGTGGGTTAAAAACGAGTTTGGCTTAGAGTTTAAAAAATAATATTTTTTAGCCATTAATAGATAACTATTTATCTAAAATATTATCTAATGAAATATAATTTTAATATAATAGATCATATCTTTAAAAGTATAAGACTGTTCATTAAAAATTATTTTGATTTAAATTATGAATCATAACATTTCATTATTAAATTTATAACATTTTAAATAATCAATCAAAGATTTTGTGTCATAAGTAGAAATAAAGTTTAATATATTAAATATCTACATTACATAAAAAATACTGCCAATTACTGATTAATTGTATATTAATTTGATTAAATAGCTATTATAAAGTATATAAAATAAAAATATTTTTTACATTTAACTATTAAAATCACGAGACTTATTACTAATTGTGTTCAGAATTTATATAATATAATAAAAAATGAAAAAAAAATTAAATCCTATTCAATTGCAAAAAATGTCAAAACGTTATGCTAATCAAAGTTTAGTTCAAGTGATTCAATACATACTTTTGGTGTTATTTTTGCCGATTTGTGTCCTCATATTATTGTGTGCATTGTATTCAACATATCTGACAATCACTACATGGGATTGTGTGATCAAAGTAGTGAACAATACTATTATATTTAATGACATTACTTGCCATACAGTTATTGATGTCTTAAGCAAAAAGATTGTGACAATTATATCGCAAAGAAAGATAATACTATGTATACGAACCATATCTTTCTATAATACTCTGATTGCATACTTGTCGGCCAGTTATGCCATTTATAGACTCAAACTGATACCATTGCTTTGGTTATGTATTGCATCCATACTTAGCTTTTTTATTACTTTCTATGTGTCCATCAGTTATGGTCCGTTAACTGGCATTAATAACTTTGAATTGGTTCCAATAGTACTTGGATTATCAATACAATCATATGTGGTGACACTTTTTGTCTTAATTATAGACCTAATTATATCAGTGTTAGCAATGATTCTCGTTTTGGATATCTATAGAAACAAAGACAAACAAAAATAATATATTATAAATGTCGTTGATTTGCATAATATATATTCAATAAACAGTTTAATTTAACATTTATTTTATTTATTTATTCAAGAAATATATATTTAAAAGTTTATTTAAATAAATATTTACCTACTTTTTTCATAAAACATTAATTATAAAACACTAGGTTTACTAATGATTCATTATTTCCTATTTATTTTTAATAAACTTTTTTGAAACTAAGATAGACAAACATGAGTTAATTTTCTACTTAAAAATATATTGTAGTTTGTAGTAGAAATAGATTTTGTTTTGTAATTTATTTTTTACATTTTATAAAATAAAAACTTTGTTAAACTTTAAACCATAAAGTAGTTTAAGAAATTAGAGTAACAATATTTATACAGTTATATGATTTCAAATTTTGTAAATTTCTCAATAAAATCAGTAAATATTTCAGTTTAAATATGTTTATATTAATATTATTGTGTTTAATTGTGTTTTCTATAATAATCATTTTAACAAAATATTTGGTAAAAGCTAAATTGGATAATAAACGTATATTAAAGGGACCGATTGGACTCCCAATTGTAGGCTATTTGCCATTTTTGACAACAAAGCCTCACATAAAGTTATCGAAATTAAGCAAAAAATATGGAAAAGTGTTTAAGTAAAATATTTTATTACTAATACAGTATTTGATGACTTAATTATTTATTTTTTGTGTTATAAATAACACTTAGGTTGCGTTTGGGAGCAATGGATGCCATAGTTCTCAATGATTTTGATTCAATTAGTGAAGCATTTAAAAAGGATGAGTTCTTAGGACGGCCTAAAAGTGTGGCATTTAATGTGTTGATGGAGTTGAAGGGTATTTCATCTGATTTTATATCGATATTTTGTATACTTTATTAAACATATTATTTAAATATTATATATATATTCAAGGATTTGGTACATTAAGTGGTAACGAATGGAAAGAACAAAAAAGATTTACTTTATATCAGTTAAGAAATCTGGGTTTTGGTAAGATATCGATGGAAAAGCATATTAACGATGAAATGATTGATTTATGTCAACGTATTTATCAACTCAATGGTAAACCCGTTAAAATTCGTACACTTCTTGCATCGAGTACTTCCAGCAATATATCTGCACTTGTATTTGGTAAACGGTTTGCTTATACTGATCCAAACAGAGCAATATTAGATGAATGCATTGAAAGAGCTATTAGAAAGTTAGGTCAAACCGGATTCATAACATTTTTTCCATCATTTGCTAAATTTTGTGCAAATTTGGGTTTATTTGGATTAAATGAAGTAAAAAAGGATTTCATGATTGTTAACAATTATATTAGAAAACAAATCAATGAACACAAACAAACATTGGATGACAACTATATTCGTGATTATATCGATGCCTTTCTTGTAAAAATGAAAAATGAAAATATGACTAAAACTTCATTTACGTTGGATATGTTAGCCGGTAATGTTCAGGGATTTTTCGCTGCCGGCACTGAAACCGTCAAAACAAGCATAGAGTGGGCGCTTCTCATAATTGCTGATCACCAACACATTCAACGAGAAGTACAGACAGAAATAGATAATATCTGCGGTCGACAAGTATTTCCCTCTTGGAGTCAGAGAAATGCTATGCCATTGACTCAGGCAGTCATTAATGAGATATTTCGCTGGAAAACAATCTCTCCGTTAAATTTGCTGAGAATTACCACAAATGATACATCAGTTGATAATTATACCATTAAAAAGGATACCGTAGTTATTGCTAATTTATGGGCCGTACACAATGATCCACTCTATTGGGTATCACCCCATCAGTTCAATCCATACAGATTTCTTAGTGATGACAGAAAACAAATGCTTAAATATGATAATTTGATTCCCTTTTCAATAGGTATTTATTAATTTTATATAAATGTATTTTTATATTAATTGACAATTTGAATGCACCGTTAGGTAAAAGGTCGTGTCCGGGGGAGTCATTAGCACAGACAGAGATATTTGTTTGCTTTACTGCTTTGTTGCAAAAGTTTAATATAAGTCCTATCAATGAAGTCTCATATGAAGAAGACATGGGATTAATATTACGCCCAAAACATGCGGTTACTCTTCGCTTTGAACCAAGACTTTAAATTAAACTAATATTTTATTAGACAATAAGTTAAGATAATTAGTTAATTAATTTTCCATATTTTTAAATAACTATTAGTTGATTTAGTTTTTATTGATAAAATTAGCACATAATGTTTAAATGACTAAATTTTATTTATTAATAATATTAGTTATATTAAAATTTTTAAATAACCATATTACTTTTCAAATATTTTCTAGATTTTAAAATATTTCAATAAAATATATTAATTTTGTTAATACTATCTAATAAATTAATACTAATTTATAGCGATTTAAATTTTTAATAAAAGCAAAATTTATATACCGTTAGATTGTACTGTACTGTATTGTACTGAAAAAGATTTATAGCTGTATACAGGTATTAATAATATTTTTATATAATGTATAAAAAATACAACAAATTAATAATAAATATTAAGTAAAATAAATTTTGATTAATTTGTTATATTTATTTACATCTATTTTATGTGATTATAGATTATTTAGTAATAAAAAAGTTTATTATATAAGACTTTTAAGTAATATTCAGATCAAAGGTGTGGTTCATTTGAAACATTCATTCAATACATTGACGTAATTGTATGACAAACACAACAACACAGCAATCAATGCATTAGTGTTGACATCACATCAAAGGGCGGATACATTGCCACAGATTATCACTTATTAACCGCTGTTTTTGGTCACAGATTATCACCATTTGTTGCAATCCATTGTAATAAGACTTCTTGAGATGATTCTTCTGGAGATTAACAATAGAGTCGTTGAGGACATACTTCGTGTGAAGATTCAAGAGATTGAGTAAGTAATGACAAAATCAATTGCTTATTGATTACTAATGTAGTGAATATATTGTCGGTCACCTAAATAGATCCAATAACAAGATAGAGTCTGTAGATGTAACAGCTGCTGACTTCGATGGCGTATTGTTTCATATTTCTAATATTAACGGAGATAAAGCAAAGATACGGATCAGTATATCACTCAAGTTTTATAAAGAGCTTCAGATTCACGGAGCGGATGATCTATTAAGAAGAGAATACGGATCACTACTTATGACACCACCTGAAGATGGATACAATGTGTCACTTCTTTTTGATTTAAAGAATTTGCCGCAAAATTATGAAGAAGTTATACAAAAAGCCGGACTTCTTAAGCGTAACTGTTTTGCTTCTGTCTTTGAGAAGTACTTTGAATTTCAAGAGCAAGGATGTGAAGGACAGAAAAGAGCTGTCATTCATTACAGAGACGAAGAGACAATGTATGTCGAGGCCAAACCTGATAGAGTCACTGTTGTCTTCTCGACCATCTTTAAAGACGAAGACGACATAGTTATTGGTAAAGTATTTATGCAAGAATTCAAAGAAGGAAGAAAAGCTTCACAAACGGCACCACAGGTTCTGTTCTCACACAGAGAACCACCGATGGAATTGCAGAACACTGAGGCCCGAGTGGGCGACAACATTGGATACATTACATTCGTATTGTTTCCGAGACATACAAACAAAAATTCCAGAGACAATACCATTAATCTGATCCATACTTTTAGAGATTATCTTCATTATCATATCAAATGTTCGAAAGCATATATTCATTCGAGAATGAGAGCCAAAACATCCGACTTTCTTAAGGTTTTGAACAGAGCTCGACCTGAGAAACAAAATACTGAGAAGAGAACAATTACGTGAGTCTTGATGTCATAAATGATATTATTATTAATCTATTTATTTATTTTTATTTTATTTTTTCCATTTAGTGGTAAAATAATGAAAGTTGGAGTTTAAGACAAACTGATTACTTGTAATATTACTACTGATTGAAACAAATTCAAATATATTACACAACACTTACTTTTAGTAATTATTTACAGTATATTATTTAATTGTAATATTTAAATAATTTAGTTAATTATATTATTTTTATTTAAATTAGACTTTTTAGTAGTAATTAACAAAAAATATTACTACCGGTAACTATAATTCATTTTGGATAAAATTACTGTTAAAAAATGCAATCAAACTAATGTTATAATATGTATAAAATAAATGAATAAAATATTTTTTATTTATTAAATTATTAGGTTTTAATTAAAAAAAAAATGAGTCGGCTCAGGGCATTGCCGAGCAGGCAATGAGTGCTCCCCAGCCTATGTGTTATATCCCGTCCTTGTCAAGGGGGGTGCTAACCTTCTCTCCTTTCATATAACACAACTGTCCAAATATGACTGTTTCTATATATGTCTACAAAATTGTATACTTTATAGTGTGACAGTAGATAACTTCAGTAATTGGTTTTTTTGTTTATAAATCAAATTATTTCATTAATATTATTCAATAAATATATTAACCAATATTTATATAAAAATAATTTGTATATATATTTAAATAATTTTCATATATTATTTGATATTAATTAATTAACTTTTACAATCAAAATACAATGAATTAGTGTTGTTATAACTTTATCACAGTATGAGTACAGTAGTAACAGTGAAGCGGATGTGCTTTTATTTGATTTTTAATATTTAAACATTTTTATAATAATTTATAATTTGAATATTTATTTTTTAAAATAAATAAATTTAAAGCAATCCTAAAACTAATGACTTAAAACTTTGAGATTTCCAATTTTTATTACAAGTTTTGTATGTATCATATTTTGTTTGGCTAAAAATTTAAATAGTTTTTTTAAACAATGACCTGAAATAACAAGTTTTTAAAACTTGTATATATTAAATGTTTTAAAGCATTTGAAGAAAAAACAGTACAAAATCGATAAACAATGAATTATAATAATTATTGTTTCTATTTATAATTTGTGGCAAAATTTTACAAAAATTAATTAATGAGACAAAAGTTGATTAATTGAGAAATGGTTTCCTATGTGTTTGCCATCTGCTCTTAACTCTACAATCTCACAGTCGGTAACCGACCTATTAATATAAGTTACAACTTATATTCAAAGTAACTAATAAATTATATTTACATATTTTAATCAAAAAGTTATTTTATATTTATATATTATATTAGGATTAAATCATAGTATGATTTATTTTTACTACAATTTAATCAATGTATTAATGTTTAATCAACTTATAAACTAACGCTAAATATATATTGTTGTTTACAATTAGTAGATTTTTCTAATTAAATGTTGTGTACATTAAAATATACACATATTGTGATATATTTATTAATAAAATTAATCAGACATTCACTATATTAATTTATTATACTTTAAAATATATTAATATATCACTTAATTGGTCCTTAATTTAATCCGATGCTCACAAGCAAACCTATTGCCTTATTATCCAAGAGTTTAATTTATATGAATTTTTCGTGTCATTACTAGAAATTTATGAGAAGCAATGACACAAAATTAGTTAAAAACAAAATATTGAATATTATTTCATTTCCTAAAACAAAATAAAACTTACAAATTATTTAATTTATTATAAGAGCTTTAAACCACTTTATTTTTGCAAAACTCATATTTCATAAATGACTGACATTGGGATTAGTTTTAATGTTTTTTTTTTAAATAAAAATCAAGAATATCAACATAAAAGCATTAACTCGTAATAATAATTGTTTATAAATATAAAATCTTTAAGCAATTGAATATGAAATAAATTTATATTATTTTATATTTTATATTCATATAATTTAATTTTTTTTTTAATCTAAAAGTGATTTACATTATATTGACAATATATAATTATTTGTATATATATTTATTTATAAACATAGATATTATATAAATTATATAAAAATTGACAATATTTTCATACTTTAAGTCATGTATTATTCAATTATATAAAGTATCTAAAAATCAGATCAATACTTAAAACAAATTGTTTATAAATATAAATAAGACTTTTTATATATAAATAATGATTTATTTGAAAAAAGTGCAATTTCTGAGAAATAGTCCCAGAGTTAGGACTCCGAGAGCACCGGCAGCTCCGTAGACAAGCTTTCGTTTGCCACCGCCTTCTGGTCGGTCGTCAGCTAATTCTATGACATATTCCTGTAAATGAACTCTTAATTAGCAATCAATAAAACCAATTGAGAGACAGGTATACGAACCCAACCGCCGTGTTGTGCAATCCATTGGCTGAGGAATTGGTTTATATAAGTTGACATCCATTGTGACACTTCTGTTACAAGATATGGAAAGCCATTCTCAACACAATTGTAAGCAAATTCTGCACTAAAGACCAGGAAAGTGATTATATGATTCCATTTGATCCCTTCAATGAACAACTCATTGGACACACTATTGAATGTTGTCATTGCCGATAATGGACTCAATTCAAGTCGCCGACACATAGTAGACAACTGTTGCTCATAAAGGTTGACATATTTATGGCCCAATATCTTCAATGCTTCCACTATTTTAATCCTTTGACTCGCACTTAATGTCTGTTGATGTGAATCATTGGTCAAACCGTTTTCAAGCGGTTCTGGTGTCCAGTGATGTCCTTTAAGATCTAATTGTGAACATAAAAACTGGTTGACTATCTCTTGCACTGAACTATCTATTCGGTGACCATTTGTGCGCTCAACAGACTCAGCTGAAGAACCATTTGTTGCCATAATCTTCACAAATACTTCTTTGCTGACGATTATAGTGATCTCATCAATAATATCACAATATTTAATAAATCTTTGGGACAATTAAGCCATTGATGACCAGTGAAGACAACACAAAACACCAAGATTTTGATCCACAAAAATAATGATATCGTTTGCTGTAAAGTATTAGTGAGTTCATGAATGTTGAGGTCTTGTAGTGACCATTGATGACAGTTATTGGCAAAAGTGATGTCAGTATTGGTTTGCAATGTCTTTAAAAGCTATGAAAAGGTCGACAAACTATCAAATATTTACTGTATTTATCACTGCATTCAAGCATTCATTCAATACATTCAATGCATTCCCAACACTACATGTAATACTCATAATGCAAACAATGAGCTATCAATTCATTAATTACGTCCAAAAGGGCACTCATTTAATACACATTTTTATCCATTGTATTCAATCGTAAATATATTCAACAATAGGTAACATATATTATGTCTATAGTATTGATAGTATTGTATGTTAAGTACGATTTGGCAACAAATGCAGTGAAAGCTCCCATTCAGGCGATACATCAGCGAAGCATTGGTTTTGAATGTAATGTATGGATAGTATTGAAGGTTTGACTGCATTTCAATTGAATAATAATTATTGTATGGATTGCCGTTCGGCTCAATGTTTGCAACAAAAGTCAGGCCAACACTCAACACATATACAAGTTTTGCCACATTTTTGCCGATAAAACACTTCATTACTGTTATTAATAATAACACAATCATTGTATCACTCGTTCACCAGTTTTTCAGACATTGCTTTAAAATTCAAACGAAAAACTTTTATTATATTTCTTTTACTGATAATACAAATAATACAAAAGTGATGTTTTAAATTTAACATTTTTAAAATTAAATTGTTATATAATATTAAAATATATATGCATTACATTTGTTGTTTAATTTTTAAGATATAACAAAATATTTATCATTAAATGTTTAAATTTTTGGTATTAGAAAACACTAGCAACTAATAAGCAATAAATATCCTAAATATTTATCAAATAAACATTTTTTAAACAATAAAAAAAAAAGATTAGAAAAATATCAATTAATTTAAATATTATTAATAATAATATCACAAAATATAATTTATTTTTAATATATAAATTTGCATCGAAACAGATTACATGTTATAATCAATGTCTTCATCTTCATAGTCATCATAATAGTCTGGATCGTCGTCTTCATTATAAAAGTCAATATCATTATTATTGTCCAAAAAGCGATCATAATTAGGATCACTATCATAGCCATCCGCACCATATCCGTGATCGCAATCATAGTCACAATACTCGTAATCCCAAATTACCTCAAGATTTGTCGGCAAAGGTTTTGGCAGTTTTTCTTCGGTGACATTCGTGTCAATGACATCTAAATAGAAGTTGTCTGTCGGCAAGTTCTGTGCCTTTGTAACCATTTTATTGACTACAAAACCCGTTATATGACTGCAGTTGTGTAAAATTAATGTTCGCAGTTTTGGACAATTGTTGATTACAATTTCAATTTCATCTGTTATATGGAGACAGTCTTTTAGATCTAATTCACGTAAATTATTTAGCTGTGAAATGGGATACATTCCATAGCCGGACAAAGAGTTGGCTCCTCTTATGACTAGTTTTTCAAGAGATGGACAGCATTTATAGATATAGTTAAGCGATTCATCATTGATGCCCACATTGTTTAGTTGAGATAAAGTAATTTGCAAATTTGAAATCTTTAATTTATTAAGAGCTTGGATCAGATCATTGCTTTCTGCTATCGTTAACTTTGATGAATCGGAACAAATAATTTCAAGACATTCTAATTTTAATAAATTCTTGAATGAAGTGAAATCAAAGTCATGTGTTTCTAAACCAAGTTTTAATTTCTTGAGTTGAGTCARAGTACCGATTAAAGGCATTACCGTTGAGTCACTGATATCGATGTCAAGTCTTTCAATGTTTTTTCCGTTTCCATTGCAGATATCATTCATTGAATTCATTTCAAAACTACTGTTTTCAACAATTAGTTCTTTTATATTATGTCCTAATCTTTCAAAGTTTGGTCTTTCGATATCATTATTACGCTTAAGATTTAGAGACTCAAGATTTGGTGAATCAATGATACAATTCAAAGCCTTATCCGTTATATTTATTGCGGCAAAACTCTTGAGTTTTCTGAAATATTGGGCATTCTTTACAATTTTGTCGTCGATGTCCATCAAAGAATTCAAGTCTAAAATAGTCAAATGGACACAATTGTTGACAATAATGTCCAATATATTATTGTCTTCATTGGGATTATCTTCATAACTGCTTAAAATAAATCCATTCAAACAAACTTTCCTCACATTTGGACAAAGTTGAAGAAGAAAACAAATGCCTTTCAATGATATGTCACAGTTTTTGCTGACATTTTGTGTGTCGAAAGTCTTAACAGATTTGAATGCCTCGTCCACACTATTCTTCCACATCTTACATACCATTCTTAAGATTAATCTTTCGCGAAGAGTGAAGTATTTTAAGATTTTACTCATAAAAACATCTGTCATATCTATGGGCCAATCGATGGCTTCAATGGGAGGAAGCGATTGACCCCAATCTCCCCAATCTGTGTCTGTCATCGCTGTCCAATGTCTTCAGTGATATCTTAACTAACTAACTGACAACTCTTTATATGCGGATCAAGTGATCACTTGTTTAGTTGTAATTACAGTTAATGTCAATAATAGTCACAACAATGCAATCAAAACATCTGTCAATATATCAAACACTCGAATCACGTGACTCTACAAACATCACTCAATTTACTGTTAGTAACAAAAAAATAAAAACTTATTAATTTGTTTCAAACATTTTTATTATTAATAAATTTATTTACTATTATTATAATAGAAATTTTAAAAATAATTAATAATTGATATAAATATATGTTTATTTAAATTTGCAAAAATATTAATTATTATTTTAATTGAATACAAATTATAGTCTAATTAGACATTTTAAATGATATACTGCACTAATTAATTAATTAATTAATTTATTTATTAGCAAAATTATCAGTGATTTGCTTTAAATACGGTAATAATAATGCCATCATTTTATCAATTAAAAAAATATCCAATAATATTACAATAATACTAATATATAATATAAGTGATAATAAATTCTCTTCAAAAAAGCGATGGTTTTACTAAACCATTAAATTAATTACAATATTAATAATAAATGATTTACAATGTGATAAAAAATATTAATTTAGAATTTATATATACTATAATATAATCAAATAAACGATTTTTTTTATCAAATTCAATGAGACTTAATGTGCAAAATATTATATAATATATATAATAAGATTTAGATAATAATAATAAGTGTATTGATTAGCGCTTTTGGATGCGTCGGCAGATTTTCTTGTGCCCGGAATGCCAGTGCTGTTGTTGACATTGGGTCGAACAGTAGCTGGTGTTCCAACAACTGTACAATTTTCATACAAATTGATAATATATCACATAATTACTGTCAAACTAAGCAACAAAAAACACTTACCAGAAATATATGGCCTCCTGTTCACAATTGAAACACTGAAAGCAAAAAAAAACAAACAAATTTAAAGTAAATTTAATTTCAATAAAATAAATACAAATGTGTTGCCACTGTCTAACCCATTGTTTCTTTTTGATGCGTGAAATCTCTGCCGCATGTCTTTCTTTCAACTTATTGGTCTCTTCTCTTTGATGAGATTGAGTCTTCAACTTCATTATATCATTTTCAAGTCTATACTTTAATTGTTTCACAGCTTCCAAATCTTTCTTTAACTACATATAGAAAATATAGAAATAAAAAATTATTAATAAAATCAAATTATATTAATAATTATAATATAATCATCACTTGTTTGATTTCTTCTTTATATTGAAGTTCAACCGACTCTTTAACTTTCTTCAGCAACTTTTGATTTTTTGTGTCCGAAGACAATATGATTTCATCTGCAGGTTGTAATGGTCGTATGGGAGGTGATATAGTATTTGTTTTGATCTCCAATTGTTTCATCTTTTCTAGAGTTGACTTATTTTTGACACCTTTAGGTCGACCCCTTTTATTAGGACTGGGATTAAAAGTTGTAGTCGATGTTGTTGTTGTTATAGCAGTAATTGTAGTCGTATTTTGAATACCGTTCGGCATTTGTCCAGCAAATGATAATTTGTTGACATTTGTATTAATTGGATCAGCTATTGACTTATCTTTTATGATTTGAGTTGATTTAATGGCTCTAAGATTATTGCCAAAGATTTTGCCACTAATTATAGTGTTGTCACCAGAATTTGAATCGAAATCAAAAATGTTTCGTCCATTAGAGTTGACGTGTTCTTCGTTCGGCTCATTCTTAATATTATTTCGTTTATTTCGTTGGTTTTTCACCACATCTTTCTTTTTCATAACTTTCACAACAATTTCAGGTGATTTATAGCGCGAATTGGGTTGTCTTTGACGAATAGGTCTACTTCTGGCTATTGACAAGACATTTGATTTTTCTCCATTAAAATCATTTACATGATTGCTATCATTTGGTTCTCCATTTATAAGATTATTTTTAACCAAAGATTTTTTAGGTGTAGTTATATTAGTTGTGGTCAAAATTTCTGAGGTATTTTGAAAGTATCTACTCATTGACTGTAATAAAAATTGTAATTATAATAATTAATTTAAAATATATTTTTTATTAAATAATAAATATAACCTGTTTTTTAACAACCGGTGACTTTTGTTTTGTAATTTTAGGCGGTCGTCCCTTACGTGGAGTTGTTTTTACTTCAGATTCAAGTGGTCTCGTCTGAAATGGAACTTTCATTCCTCTATTTCTTGTCCGAATCGGTGACTTTATAACAGTTGGTTTCGGAGTAGAAGTTCGTCGAACTTTAGGACTTGTCTCAAGAGTTTTAAGATTAGCCACTAAAACATTAAAAACTTGAGAATCATTTGTGGTATCATTTTGTTCACTGTCTTCTTCTTCTTCTTCGTCTTCTTCTTCATCTTCTTCTTCATCCATCATTTCTTTTTTTATCTCTACTTTACTCAACCTCTTTCGCGGTCGACTTCCATCAGCTCTCTTTCGTGGTCTTTTGCTGGACATAGATCGTGATTGAGGACTAATAGCATCACTGTCTCTGGATGACGGATGTGTCTCTGATTGCAAATTATTTTGATAAACTTTAAGCTCTTTTAAGGCCTGAGCTAAAGGAGGTGACGGCTTTGTTATACGAAGTTCTTGTAATGTGGATGTTATGGGTTTAATAAATTCATAGTCAATAGACTCTCTTTCGTGAAAAGATCCAAAGAAGCGAACCTCGCATTTCTTCTTGTTTTCATCTCTTTTAATGACTTTCGATGGCCAATAGGGATAACCTTTTTGTTTGGCAAATACCAGTTCATGCAATGGATTACATGGCATACAGAACCAGAATTTGTCTGTTTTTCGATTCAACATTTTATAACAATCAATACATTCGCGAATTTCATTTAATCCGTCCAAACAATTAGTTAGTGTCTGTGCCGTCAAACTATTGATCCAACTGTTGGTGCCATACAATAGTGTTGTGCAATGATTAATATTCATTACGTCCGCTTGAAATTCAGTTAATTTCTTGTATGAATTGCTTTTGATTTTGTTTAAAATCTCAGATAAATCTGTTTTTTTAAACAATAACTTCTTAATTATTATATCCTTTTCATTGTCCATATTTTCCATAACTTCGACAAGTTTTTTGTTTCGCTCAACCATTTGACTATAGACATGGCTAAGCAATTCATTCAACTCAGATAATGGTATGACTTTATTGCTAATCATCCCTTCGGCTTCATTGTCCAAATCTTGACAGACATTACAAACAAACTGATTGTCTTTTTCAGTCAACTCTTTTTTCAAACAATGCGAGTGATATACTCTCCAACAATGGCTACACTCAACAACACTTCCAGGTTTATGACATTCATAGCAATACCAGTCGTGATCATCGGTATGATTGCCATCGGAAGCCGAATATGTGATGATTTGTTCGCCATTTTTATCGGCTTCTGTTTTCTCAATCAACAGCTGATCTTTGATGGCATTATTGATGTGTTTTTCGCAATCACTTGAAGTCATTCTAAATTTCTTATACATGTGTGCCTTCAGTTTGTCCAGAGTTGCCGTTTGGTTCAACTCTTTCAAGTGAACAATCGTTGGCCACAATTGATTGATAATAATCTCGGAGACGACCGATGAAGACAATATTCGGCGCTCTTTAAACACTTCATTATCTGTTATCAAATAGTTTCAAACATTTTCACTCAGTTTACAACTCTTTGTTTCAATTAATTGTATTTAAGTATCAATTAATATTGTGTTTTGCATATAAATAATAAAAAATATGTAAATATTATTTAAATATTACGATCATAATTGTATTAATACTAGATATTGATGTTATAATAATTTGTATAATAATTAAATAAAGATTAAAAAAATAAATAATCAAATTTACAATAAATTTGATACAAAATAATAAAAGCCGTATAAATAATTAAAGATTTCTTATTTTGTGTATTTTATTAGATTTAATATAATAACAATCATATTATACTATTTTGATGTTAAATTCATAATAAATTTATATTAAACGCTTCAATATAAAGATAATTATTATTAATAATTACCGGTTGAAGACATTATCAGTGAAGACACATCCAATTGTTCCTTATGGTGACAATTATAATACAGATATGTCTCCAATTGAACCACACATACAATCGATGATTACTTTAAATGAATTAATTCTTGTGTCGTGAAGATTGTGTCTTCAGATTCTGTAAATAATTAATTGAATCAATAAAATAATTAATTTATAAGAAAAAATAAATTCAAAATATTTATGAATCAAAATAATGGTAACAACTGTGAAAAAGATGAATATATGGCTAAAGTTTTGACAATAAAATCATTTATTTAGTGAACCTAATCAATGATATAATTATTTTTCAATTTATTAATTAAACTAAAAGTTTTATTAATTAAAATAATCAAAGAGTTTAGACACACGTTATATTGAGGGCTAATATATTTAACGGTGTATTCATTGGACACACGGAGTCACTAATGATATCATATATTTTCAATCAAAACTTTTATCCATCAAAACTCAACTATTTATCCAAAAATTGTCATCAATTTTAGTTATTTATCCAAAATTAATATTTTCATTACCTTATCATATGCTTAAACACACCTAAAGTTTGTCATCAAAATTATTTTAATCAATGTTTGACTTTTTTTGCAATTAATTTGTAATCATTTTGAAAAAATCGTGAAAAATCCAAATGTAATACACAATCCATAATACAGTAATAATAATAATAATAATACATTATATGCACTGTATATGTGATCGACAGTGGCTTTACTGCAATGTCAACAATCGTTAACTCAATATATAAATGCCTTATCGTATACAACGAGACATAATTGACTCAATAGTGTCTGTATTGAAAAACATTAGATATTTATTGTTTTGTGTCCAATGGCTGTCGCTTAGCATTTCATAGCGGTTTTTATGTCAAATTGCATTATAACTTATATAACTAATTAAATATCTTTTTTAAAATTAATTATTTTAATTAATTTAAATATAGGTTTCAATTTTAATATTAATAAAATTTGATTTTCCATTACTATTGTTTAATTTTGTAATATTTTAGTAGCTTGTTAAGTTTATGAAAAAAAGTTTTATTACAATAAAGTTATAGTACAGTAAAAAATATTATCAAGTTTATTTGGTTTTCTTTTAAAATTTAAACAAACATTTTAGTTAAATAAATTCAATAATACTGTAAATATGTGTTAAAAAGTTATGTTTATATGTAGTTGTATTGAATGCAATGCGCAAACACTGATTACCAGTTGATTTGGTTGTTTACTGTATATATACAGTATATATAAAGTATAAACCAATTAATAGTTTAGTTAACATATTTAGTAACAATTTTTATATTAAAGATTAGTGTATTTTTTAAAATTTTATAATTAATTATCAATTATTTGTTATTATGAACAAACAAATTGTTGAATGTGTCCCTAATTTTTCTGAAGGTAGAGATACTAAGGTATGTATAAAATTATAACTTATTAATGCATAAATGTTAATTATAAATGATGACCTAGGCATTTTTTATTTATATTGTCAATTTTACTTTATATTCATAAAATAAACATTATATCAATTAAATAATGTAAGTAATATAAATATATGACAATTTATAAGTTACATTGTTTTTAATTAAAATTACAAACTGAATAATAAAAATTAATAGAATTATGTAGAGTAAGACATTTAATTTAATGAAATTTTTAAAATATTGTCTATTATTAAATGTATAATTATTATTCTGTACTTTTGGAGTTTAACTCAATATTAGAAAAAAATATTTATATTAATATAATAATTATTATTTGCAATCTTATTGTAAAATTATTAATTTAATTAATTGTTACTTTATTAAAATTATTTCAATCAAATATGCTATTTTAAAATAAATTTAATAGAGAAACAAAAATATTTTATTTTTAAAAACTACAGTAAATATAATTTATATTTTTAATAAATTAATAACTTTTATGAATTATATAATTGTACCAGGTTATTTTGGGAATACATGATATATTATACATAGTTACAGTTAGTTAATAGAAAAATATTTTTGAATATTAATAATTATTTTATTTTATGTTATAAATTATAACTTTTAAATTCAAAATAGTTTTTAAAGTTTTTTTTATAATTAAAAAATATCCAGTTTTACCAGTGTTTTATTGTGAAGATGCTATAAAATATAAATATAGTTAAATGTAGTGAAAATCGGTATTTTTGTGAACGTTTGTTGAATAATTAAATAACAATTTATTGATTTGGAGTTTCTTTTATCAAAAAATCTTAAAATTCAAGGATTTCTCAAACATTAAGATTTATATTTATGAGTTGTTTTTGACAGAACTGGAATTTTTAAAAAATATTATTTAATATTATTAAATTATCATTTAATAAATTTATAAAATTAATTTTTTATATAACTATTATGTAATTATTTTATTAATATATTTTTTAAAAAGTATTATAAAATGAACATAAATTATCATTTAATTAATTAAAACTGATAGATAATTGAAGCGATTGCGAGTGCCATTCGTACCACAGATGGTGTGACACTACTTGATGTGGATCCGGGACAGTCAACTAATCGTACTGTCTATACCTTTGTTGGATCCCCCGATGCTGTAGTTAATGGGGCATTAAATGGGGCGAAAGTTGCCTATGATTTAATTGATATGAGTAAACAAAAGGGAGAACATCCACGTTTGGGAGCTCTCGATGTTTGTCCATTCATACCCGTCAGGGGTGTAGATATGGATGACTGTGTCCGATGTGCTCAACAGTTTGCAAAGAGATTATCTGATGAATTGAATGTTGCGGTATATCTTTATGGTTATGCATCAAATCTTGATTACAGAAAAACTGTGCCTCAAATCAGATCTGGTGAATACGAGGGTTTACCACAAAAATTAACTTCACCGGAATGGGTACCAGATTATGGTCCAAATGAGTTTGTTGCCCAATGGGGGGCTACAATGTCCGGCGCTCGCAAATTCTTGATTGCATATAATGTTAATATGATTTCCACTAAAGAACAGGCGCACAGAATTGCACTTTTGATTAGAGAAAAGGGATCTGAAAAGGAAGAGACAAATAGATTAAAAGCTACACAAGCTATGGGCTGGTGGCTCAATGAGGCCAATATAGCACAGGTTACTGTCAATATATTAGATCACGAAATAACACCAATTCATGCTGTATATGAAGCAGTGGTCAAGCATTCAAACAATTTAAAACTGCCGGTTACTGGATCTCAAATGGTAGGTCTGGTGCCATTGAAAGCTATACTAGATGTGGCCGAGTATTACATGAAAATGGAAGATCTGTTTATCTTAGATGAAGACCAAAAGGTTCACTTAGCTATTACTCGATTAGGTTTGAATTCTTTGGGACCATTTGATCCAAAAGAAAGAATTATTGAATATATGCTCAAAAACGACAACACATGTCCTCTGATAAATAAATCTGTCAAAGAATTTGTGCAATTAGTTGGCGACCGAATTACAGCACCGGGTGGTGGATCTGTTGCTGCAAATGTTGGTTCATTGGGTATTGCATTGGCAGCAATGGTGGCAAAGATGTCTTACGGCAAGAAAATGTTTGAACACAACGATGCTATTATGAGACGTCTTATACCACCAATTAATTTATCTATAAATGAAATGCTATCACTTGTCGACACCGATACTAATGCTTACAATGATTATGTTTTGGCGCTAAAACTTCCGCAAACAACACCTGAAGAACTAAAACAGTAAATCTCTATAATTAATAGCTTTTTATGAATTTTCTAAAACTTTTTATTTAATAGACGAGAAAATGCAATTGAAATGGGATTAAAAGGTGCCATTGCTGTACCACTTCGTTTAGCAAGAATTTCATCCAAACATTGGGATTCACTCAAAGAGTTGGCTCATATTATACATTATCCAACTAAAAGTGATTTACAAGTTTGTTCATAAATTGAGTTTTTAGTATTTTATTGTTTTTCTTACAATTATCAGTTATTTATTGACATTTGTATGTCCAGGTGGGTGCCAACTGTTTGAAAGTAGGAATTTTGGGGGCCTATTATAATGTCATGACTAACATTTCAGACATTAAAGATGAAAATTATAAGACAACTGTATGTAATATATTTAATTTGATATTAATTTTGTAATTTAAAAAAATATATTTATTGAATAAATAGATAACAAACGAAATTGAAAATTACAAATTATTGGCCGAGAGATCATGTAATCAAGTGTTGGATATATTAGATAAAAGGAGTGCTTAAAACTCTATGACATTGCTTTAGAGTTATTCAATTTTGCTAAAACTATTTTTTTTAATTACTGATAACTCATAAAAATTAAAAACTCTTTGTTTATTATGGTCCACATTATAGTAATTGACTGATAATAAGAAAAACCAAAATGATTTAAAATAACCCCAATGTTATGAACTAAAAGACAAATAATATGAAAATTGATTTTATAAAGTATGTAAAGTAAAGTAACAGCAAACTTAAACTCATTAAATATGGTAACAAAACTTTTGTTAAAGTATAATACCATAAAGTATTGTCAATTATTTTTATCACAATTATCTTCTAAGTTATTAAATAATTATCAAATATTAATAACATTATAACTAATATATTCAGAAATCAAAATTACTATTTTTATTAAATATTTAAGGAATTTGTACAACAAATTAATGTCTGTTATAAGTTTATATTTCAAAAAAGACAACTTTAATGAGTTATAATTACCGGTACATATTTTTACAGGTTATATCCAAAACTGTTTGAGTGAAATTTGGGTGAATTTTTATTTTTTATAATAATTTTATATACAGTACCTTAATATTTATATCATTATTAAGTACAATATGTATGCCTTTTGGCTCAAATAGTGACTGCTTTTTAAAAGTTAATTTCCTTTTCATTTGAGAATTTCAGGTCAAACCTATAAATAGTTGCTCTCATCTCTAGCCGGTTCATCTGTTAAAGTAAACATATAAATCATTTAATATTTTGTACAATTAGTTAATTATATCAATAATTAATAACGATATGACATTGTTGTAAATAAAAAATAAATTTAAAGGTTAATGTATCATATTTTCTCAATTAACGGAAATTAATTAATATAAAAAGTAACAAATATTTGACACAAAAACATTGATTTTGATATGAATGAAGTGAAACATCAGAATAATTGTATAAATAAAAGTCAGGAAAACAATAACTCTTGTCTTTCAAATATAAAGCATTCATCAATTGGTAAAAATTAATATATAATAATTAGATATACAATTGAGTGAAAAAAATTATACAAATATTATTTTATCAGATGAAATCAATGATTATGGGATACATAAGCAAAACTATATAACTATTAAATTATCAAAAAACCATTTATGTCTCTTAAAATTTATCCTTTGGCTACAAATTATCATAACTTTGGTGTCGTTTGTATTATGTATAGTATCACCTTTTAGGGCCAATGATAGGTTGGCAATGTCCCGGTCGTCTTATTGGTACTATTTCTTGTACTCTATTGTCATCTGTTTGTCTATATGTCAGGCTTTTGGTGCCATTTCTAAGAAACACAATAACAACGACGCCTTCACTTGTTTTGTAATTTTATTAATAATTTTAGCCATTATTGAAATTATTATAATAAGCAAATATTTTTTTGTTGCCTTTCCTCCCACTGATATTTGTAAGTTATTAACGAATCAATCATTAAATCGTTTTTATATAAAACTTGATTTTATATTTAATTTCAATATAAAAATATTATTTAATTTTAGATGAAAACTGGAGTATAGAGCCTATAGTCTTATATTTGATAAGTTTGTTGCGTTTGATTTTATACGTAACCATCATTTGTGTCATTATTTCATATATGGCTTCATATTATGACAAATGGGATGTCCGACGAGGAAATGCTTCCAGATTTGATGCAATTCCTTAAAAACACACAAATTAGTTGTTTTTATATACTATATTATACAATATTATACTGTATTTAATTCAAATAATGCATTTCATAAAATAATATTTTCAATATTACAACAGATATTAGTTACTAAAAATTTTAATAAACTATTAGTAAATTACTACTATTACTTATACTATAAAAGTATTTTAAATGATATGATTAAAAATGTTAAAATCTAATATAAGTGCCAATAAAAAAATTATTTGTTTAAAAAAAGTTAATTATAAAGAAATAAAAACAAATAATAAAAATGATTTAATTATATTAATGATTTAAAAAGTGAACACACCCCTGACCCACAATTGTTTTTTTTTTTTGAAAGATAAACCTTGGTTAGTTTTTATATAGACATTTAAGTAAACCTTGAACACTCATCTAACTTAAATAATGTACTGTTTATAATATTTTCATAAATAATAGAGTTTAAACTAATGAATTGACTAAAATGGTCTAAATGGTCTAAATGGTCTAGGTCATTGTATGTTTTATAGTTTAAATTGATTATCCATTTCAATTTATTTCAATTTATTTGTTTAAATCATAACAAAATTAGTTACACACTTATAATAACCCAATTTTTAATTTGTTTTTTTAACATCTTTTCATGTGATTAGAGAAGAGAAAGACTAAAATTTATTGCTTTGATAACAAACTTAATAAAATAAAAATGATTTAAATATAAAACTTATATAAACTTTATTATAATAAGTTGTATTACATCCATAAACAATAAATAAATTGATGGCAAAACAGCAGTAAAAATATTGTAAAACTTTTTTTTTGTTAATTTTATTGTATTAAAAAAATAAATATTGTTTGGCATTATATCTGTCATACAAATGATTTTTACAAATATTAAGCACAGCTTATGATATAATGGTTGGATAACTAACTGAGTTGTTATAGCAAAACAAGTTGTAGTGTATGACTGTATTATATGTGGGGAGTCATACAAATAGCTACCCTTACTATACTAATGCTAATACCATAATATAGATAATAATATGAAGACGTAATGAGTGGACGTATCAGACATTTTGTATTATTAGTCATTTGTATGGTTTGGTTGGGATTTGTGAGACATTTAAACAACAAATTGTGACAATATTTGGGTCAAACATAGATGTCTTAAACGTTTTGTTGATTATATTTATATATAATTATGTGATTCACTAATTGATTGAATCTATTGTTTGGATAACTTATTGATAATAAAAGCCATTGAATGACTAACTCATACAATATATGCCATTGATTTTGACACTCATTTGTCTAAATAGTACTTAATATATAAATAATATTAACATTACTTTCAAAATTAATATCCAATACGTAAGCATTGATTCATTTATTTCAATATTTGTTTTTTATTTATTAGTTAATCATTTATAGTATATGTAAACATAATTGTGTTATTGTTTACCTTTAATTTATTTTATTAATCAAATTTATTATTACTCTGAAAAAGGGTCACTAAAAATATTTTTTATAAATGTTTGTGTCATACATATACTGTATATGATATACATATATATCATAGTGTAATATAATAATTAATAATAGCTATTGAGGTAAATGTTTGTAATTAAAATGATTAGTAATAATATATGGTTTACATTATATTGTAGTTAACTATTTGATTATATTATTTTTTACTCACTTATCACTCAAAATGATAGCATAACTAAGTTATTAACAGTCAGTTAATACTTATTATTGAAAAACTATTGATAAGTGATTTTTTTGTTACCATTTAGTGATTATCTAAACATCATTTCACTTGAATTTGAAATATATTTTTATAATATACTGTATATTAAAATGATTTCCATTAATACAATCAATAGTGTGTTTTGATTAATACAAACAATCGATGAAATGTTATGAACTCCGGAATAATACCATAATTATCATTGAATTGCTTTATATAGACTTAAATTAAATGACTTTATTTAATAATATTAACTATAAAATCACTGTTTATTAATTTATTATTATTTATATTACAAGCAATAATATATATTAATTATATTTTTATGTTTTGTTTGATTTATTTTTATTTTTTTGACAGTAATTAAAATACTTGCTGTTATAATATTAGAAAAAATATTATAAATATTAAATAAAGTTAACTTAAAAGCCAAGTAATGGCACCATTACCTCCACCACCACCTCCTGCACCGCCGCCACCACCAATGGGTGGTCCGCCGGTTGCGGGACAGCCAAAGTTGTCCAAAAATCAGTCGACTGATCGAAATGCTCTTTTGTCGCAAATCCGCGGCGGAGCTAAACTTAAAAAGTCTGTTATTGTTAACGATCGGAGTGCGCCCGCCATCGATGGTATGACTGACCATTTTGACACTAAAGCTAATTTTATGTCATTTCACTTTATCTCATGGCTTACTAAAAAATAATACTATATTTTTATTTAAAACATATGTCCTACTAATTACTGTATATTAACACAATTTTTTAACACAAAAATGAAAGTGCTTTAACTTTGCATTAATTAATGTTATTAATATTTTTTTTTTAAATTAGATTATCTAAAAATATTTATATATTTGAATATTGTTTTTTAGATAAATCAAAAAATAGTAATACTAGTGGAAATAATGTTGGATCAGCAAAACCTATAAACAATGGACTCAAAGGAGGTCCCATGGGATTAGGGGGTTTGTTTGCTGGTGGTGTTCCTAAATTAAGACAAACTGGTAGTAAATTAGTCGCCAATGGACTGACTGTTAGCGCCAATAAAGTGAACAATAATTTAACAAAAACTGATGAATCAGTTCGTCAGACAAATACTTTAAATAAAATAACTACTTCTTCATCGACTTCATCGATAAAAACTAGTCTCGAATCAAAGTTTCAAAATAATCTTCATTTAAATAGTAATAATACTAATACTAATAGTAATAATAATCATTCAATTAATAATTCAATTAATAATAATAATAAAAGAATTAGTGGTAGTAATAGTAATTTATCTTTTTTACACTCTAATGGACTTAATGTTAACAATAATAATAGTTATAATAATAATAATAATAACAATAAATATCATACAATGAAAGCCCGTGAAAAACCAAATTATTTATTAAGTGAAGGTAAAGGTCAGGCACCACAAGTACCCGGCATTGCGACTAATAGACCAAATGCTCCCGATTTGCCTAAAAAGCCGCCTGCAATACAACGGTCAAACTCGCAGTCAAATTCCCGACTGGCGGGTAATGTCAGAAGACCCGGAGGACCGCCACCTATGAAGCCGCCGCCACCGCCCAAACTAAGTAATGGTGTGAATTCTGTGACTCCGTTACAACTATCACCACAACAACAGTTAATAACAACATTTCCTTCAAAGCCGTCTCACATCAATCAACGCAAAAGTTTTACTGAAGATGAGAATATATCTAAGAGGCCCGACATTTCAACACTTGTATCTAATTTTAATCAACAAAGTGTTAAACCCCCGGCACCACCACGTGGTCCTACGTCTAATGGAATATCTTCGAGTCCAACATATCCTCCACCACCCCCTCCTTTATCAACAATGCCGAATCGGTCCAACAGTACTGTAGGCTCAACTGTCGCACGTCCACCAGTGAAATCAATTGCACCGTCAGTTCCTACACACTTTAAACCGCCAACAAGTTTAAGACCACCGGCTGGACCACCGCCACCGCCACCTCACAGAACAACATCTAACAGTACATCTAATTACCCGACATCTCCTCCACCTCCACCGTCGCAAACAAAAATTTCAGCCAATCCTATAAGAAACGGATTACCATCCAATATATCTGGTCCACCGCCGCCATTACGCGACACTTCTATTAGAAATAGAGGTATTTTCTAATTACGGCTAAACAATATGTAATTAGTTTAGATTTAATATTATTTTTTTTTATTTTAATAAAAAGATGAGTTTTTGTCAAGATTTCCATTCCGAGGAATTTATGAAATCCCGGCGCCGTCTCCGCCGACTATAAGCAATAAAGTGTATCCGAGTCAGAGTAAGAATATTTTTATTATATTTATTTGAAATTTATTTATTTTTAGTTTGTCGTCATTTAGCTAATATTTATTTCATTAAAACTATAAATTTTAACACTATTTATAATTTTCATTATATTACTGTATATCCTTGGATTCATAGCAACACTTGTGTTGACTTTGAATGAGTATTGTTTGTGAAATAAGATGTTTAGGTCAACATTAACACAGAGTAAAGTACCACTAAATATGCCAAATCTTTATTATTTATCTATTTTTTTAATATATTAACAATTAATTAAACACAGTGTTGTCAAAAATTGTAAATTTATTTCATAAATTATCATTTTTATCAAAGTTAACAATTCTATATTATATAATATTGTATTATATATATATTTGTATATATGTATTATATTATCTTTTATAATGCAATATATGCTTATCTGACTAATTCAGTGATTCACCTCTATATGAATCATAGGATATGTTGTTTAAAAATACTTTGCAATGCTTTTTATAGATTGTTTAGCATTTGGTACTGAAATCTAATTATATACCGTATATATAGACCACCTCTTTAGCAAAGACATGACTGGTTTGTTGTTTATTATTATTTGCTGACATAAACCCACATAAGTTTCTTGTCTGAAGATCACCGATAGATTTATAACATTTCTTAAGCTTATAATAAGTTGTTTACATAATTTTTTATTTAATTTCTCTACAATACTAAAATAAATTTACATAATGTTTATTATTAGTTGTTTAAAAATACAATCTAATGTTTATTTAGTATTTAATGAACACATTAACACATTTGAGTTTGGTTTTAAAGTAAATAATTAAAGTTTTGACATTCATTATAAATTTTTATGACATAAATGGAAATTTTATATATAAGGCATTGAATGAAAAACAATAAAATTTATTAAACAATTATATTTAAATATTCAATTTATCAGAATTTTTAAAAATTTGTTTTCCGTTCATTTGTTTTTTGTTTTATTATTTTGTTAGAAATGTCGGAAAAAAGTTAGCAGTTTTTGAGTTCAACGAATGTTTTTAATTATAACACTTTTTAATGCTTTCGGCATTTTTAGGATATTTTAATTATTATCTATTTATTTATATACACTACTTATGCAAATGCGATCTCATTTCTAATAAACAAAAAAATGATATTATTTTATTTATAGTTAAATAGATTTGTAAATACCATCAAATGATACATTAAATAAAGTTTGGCATTAATTTTATGAAACCTGTAATTAACAAAATCATAATTATTTATTATATTGATTATATTTTTAGTGCAACAAAGTCAACGACGTCGAGACCCACCACCGCCTCCACCACAGGTTAACGGAGCCAAAGGAACGGGTGGTCCGACAAACTGGACAAATACGAGCGCACATAACAACAACAACATTAAGAAACTGCCATCGAATCCAATGCTTCACATCGGTTCCAATGGTGGTCACAGTTGATTAAGTGGGCATTGACTCAATTATTGCATTTTTATTGTACAGTATTTGGATTATCTGTTGGATTGGCTTTTGTTTTAAAGTTAATATAGTTGTGATCCCATCACTCAAAATGAATAATATTTGACAGAAAAATAGCTGTAAATACAATATCAATATCTGTCTCTTCAGTGCCTTTTCACAGCTGACCCAATGGACTGTGAAGTCAAATGCAATTATGTTTTAGTGGAAAATTGAAATTTTTTTAGCATTTATTGTAATTATAAAACGACTTTCATTGGAAATGATGAGATAATGTGTTTTATAAATGAATTTTATGGTATAAAAGTGATTTTATTTTTAAAAGTGAACTATTTATACAATATATAATTATTAACTATAAATATTACATAAACATGTAAATGAGTCACAATATTAATTATTAAAATTTTAAATATTGTATGTAAATCAAATAAATTATTAAATATTATTGTTAACTATGTATTTGTTTTTTATATTTGTTTACAAACAACAAAATTACAATAGTCATTTTATTATTAAATATTATAACTTCAAATAATATTATTAACAGTAATAATATTAATGTATTATTATTATCATTTTGAATGATTAATACAACATATAAATTTAGTAGATTATAAAAATAATATATGAAATACAATATGTTAAATAGTGTAGTAATAAATAATATTTCAACAAAAGCAAAAACACTATTAAAATATCAAACAAATTGATATTATATCACTTTTATGTTTGAATATATAATGATTTATAATTGATTTCAATAATTTAATGAAAATAGTTTTCTATGAGAAATGACAATAAATCACAGACATATTCATTGGAAAAATTAGACTAAAATGTATTTAAAAATAATAGAAATGAATATAATTTAAATGTATATTAGGATCAATAGTTTAACTTAAAGTTAAAAAATAATTTTTCTTATTTATATAAACAGTTGTATAGGTATACGACATATAAGTTAATATTAGTGTTTAAAACACAATTAGTTTTTAAAAAATATATTTACATTTTTTAATTTGTAAAAATTGATCAATTAATCTAAATTTGTTTCAAACTTATTGTCAATTTTGTGCAGTATTTTCAATATTGATTTCTTCATCAGAGTTTGCATTAGTAGTAGTATTACCTGCGACTGATGTGTCCAATAGTAACTGTCCGGCGTCTCGAAGGACCTGACATTTGATAAATAATTAAATAAAAGTTTTATAAAATTAGTTGAAATGTCTGTAAACATACCTTCAGCTGGAAGTCTAACTCGTCGAGCGCTTCTTGAATCCATTGACTCTTAACGTGACACAAATATTTGATAACAATTGCCAACTGTGACACCGCTAAGACAAGTGATAGACAACGAGAATCAAGTAGTCGGGGATCTAATGGTGGATACATAGACTGTACGACATCATCAACTCTGGGACTGATTCGTTGGGCAACTCTTATGATTTCCCAAAGTTTGTACTGTTGTTCTTCTTCCTGATATCTGGTCATTGCACTCATAGTGGCCGCCACTARACGTTCAGTCAAGTGGTGACAACTTTTAAGTATTGCCAAACAATGAGGTATAAGTCCAGTGGCGTCGTCCACCCATTGAGTGTCGGCTAATATCTTATCGATATTGGGATGTAGTCTCACGTCATCCAACTCCATGTTATTTAAACTGTTATCGTAGCCATTGTGACCACTAATTAGTCCGACATCAGGTCGCGAATCGGTAAAATGTTTGGAAAAGAAATCTTTACGACAATACCGGTGATGACATATCATTATGAGTGCAGTTAAAGAGCCCACAAATACCAAACATAAGACACCGATCGCTACCATTACTATACTCTCCATTATTATTGGTTTGTCATCACTATATACTCAAAATATTGTCATTTTTGGATCAAATCAATAATTTGGATGACATTTAAAGTGAAACATCACTTGTTTTCAGATAATTTCAGACATTTGGTGCACAAGAATCTCAATTCAAGGTCATTGTCCAGTGTTTCAAACAAATCAGTGGTAAAACAAATGAAAATTGAAACCACAGTTTCAGTCAAAACGGGTTTCAAAACTTGTTTCACAACTTTTACTCGCATTTCACTTGTGATCCAAACAATTATCAATTATATTATATTCAATACTACAGTATATACACAATGTTATGCTATATTAAATTATATCACATTATATGCTCTCTGTTTTAGTTTGTAAATGATTAGTGATATAGATTTCACTGAAATTTTAAATAAAGATTTTTACGATATTTTATTAATTAGTCTAAATGTAGATGAAATTGTTATTATAATTAATAATTTAAAATAATAAATAATAATAATAATAAAATTTCAGAAAATAACATCACTCGTTATACTGTACTATTTTCAGTTAATTTTTTTAAATATATAATTTGTTAAAAAGTTAGTTATTAGTAATTTATTTTACTATGAATTTAATATTATTGAAAATACAGAGAATCGGAAAAGTGTGGTAATGTTTGATCATCTGAAACATTATTTCATTACTTCTAATTTATTTATTTACTTTACTTTACTATTGTAAATAACAATTGTTTTTAATAAAAATACAATTATAATTATTATTGATTATAATAAAATTGTTAATATAGATTTTATAAGTTGAATAAAATTCAATTGCATATTGATGGCAAATTTTTAATTGTTAGTTAATTAAAATATGGATTGCAGTAATAATAATAAAATAAAATAAATTTACTCCTCAATTAATCGATCAATATATATACTATATATTGATAATATTAAATTTATACAGTATATCTACGCAATACTACAAATATAAATATTTATTATATACTGTATATTTTATTTACAATAAGTAATACATGTACAGTATATGAAATTTAGATTAATTACTAAATTTATAAAGTGTATAGTAATTAATCTAAATTTCATATACTGTACATGTATTACTTATTGTAAATTAAATTTATATATCATTTAAAACTATTTTCAAAAAAAATTGAAAAGTTTTGTTTTCTGAAATGTATGAGTCTTTTTGAGTCTGTGTGTCTGTGTGTCTGTCTGTAGCATTTTATTTGCTAAGTTTGATATTCTGACTGAAAAAATGACAAGATTTAGTACACGATTTTTAAAAATCGTAAATAATAAACAAATCAATATTTTTTAGATGCTTATGAGATAAAAGAGATGATAATGAATCAATTAGTACTACTGTATTGACAGTTTAACTAAACTGACAGCAAATCTTACTTTTAAGATGTCAAACATAAGCTATCAAAATATCGATTTTTTTAATTTTTTCACTTATCATAACTGTAAAAAAATTTAACTATTAATCGAAATGTTTTTAAACAACTATTATTCAATTAATTTTATCTTTTTAAGTATCATAGATTTGATGACTTATGATTTTCCATCATTTTGAGAATAATTTTTACAATATAGCCGTTATTACTAGAGACTAATGATTATCAAAATATTTATGTTATTCAAGTTTTTTTCTGGAAATGCTTTCTACCATCTCAACTGGTTTATCAATAAATTGAAGATAATTTTGTTTAAATAATTTAAAATACAGATTTTATTAAATAAACATTCAAACATAAGATATCTATAGTAATGTAAATTAATATTTAATTTAATAGAAAGTTAGTTACAATTTTGATTTTTATAAATAAATAATCTCATAATTCAGATTTAATTTATAAAAAAAGTTGACTAAAGCTTATAAAATTAAAAAACATTTGAAAATTAGTTTTTAGTATTCATTGAATACATTTTGTTGATATCTTTTTGGTAAAACTGTTGAATATTTTTTCGTCTTAATTTGAGAGCAGTGGTCACCAAATTGTTTTCTGGCAGCCATTCCTCGGCACAGATCTTCACTTTGTTAGGTATTTCAATCTTCAAAAGTTTTGCCATTTTTCCCATTTGTTGAAATCGTTTTAACACTTCATTATTTACATCTAAATCGTCGCACAAATCATTGAATTTTAATTGACTTTTTGTCAGTTTTGTAGCCAACGATTTCAACTCTACTTTATTGGGAACAATGAGTGCAATCAAAAAATCTTGACCCGAATCGCCATAAATACAGATATTGTCGACAATCGGACACTTTTTGAGTGCACATTCAATCTTATTAAAGAAACAATTGATAAATAATTGTTTAAATTGAACTTAAAATGAAGTGAACCTTAGCGAGAGAGACATACTCTCCTGTGGCTAACTTTATGATATCTTTTTTGCGATCAATAATCTTTAGGGATCCGTTTGGATATATTTCGCCGATATCTCCGGTAATGAACCAATTGACTCCATTGTCGTGTTTGAAGGACTCATCAGTCAATTTCTTATTATTATAATAGCCTTTAGTAACAGTTTCTCCACCAATCAAAACCTCTCCTCTTGGGTTTGGTTTGTCAGTCACTCTATAGCTGCCTTCTTCCCAATCAATGAGTTTTATTTGAATTCCTTCCAGAGGTGGCCCAACAAAACCAACGCTGAGATCATCCAAATCCATAAGTGTTGCCGAAGCAGATGTTTCAGTCAATCCATAACCTAATATATATTATATAAGAATTTATAAAACATAGATTGAGTACAACAAGACTTTAAAGTAAATTAATTAGACAAACCCTGTAATAGTATGACATGAAAACAGTTACGAACAAATAGTTGTGTTTGTTGTGTGAGTGGGGCCCCACCGCAAGCTATAATTCTTACTTTTCCTCCAAGAATTGCTTTAAACTTTCGACAAAATATAAAACTGATGATTGGAGTATTGATATCATAACCACTCCAGAAGTGTCTTTGATAATAGAAAAAGTTAAAAAAAACTCTCTTAAAGATGTTTTTGGTTACAATCTCTTCGATTATCTTTCGCATTCTGTCTAATATGAGTGGAACTGATGTCATAATTGTTGGTTTAAGTAATGTTAAGTCTCCTTTTATGCCTCTTTTAAGACCAGGCGACCTATCGGTTAGAGTATTAACACTCGCATATCCGACACTCAAACCATTTGATATAAAGAAGAGTTGAGCACTCATTTCAAGAATATGAGCCATTGGTAAGACAGCACAGTAGACATCACTGTCTGTCAGTGCATCTGACAATGTATTGAAAGCTTTTATAGCCGACAAAAGATTTTTATGAGAAATTTCAACACCTTTTGGTACTCCGGTTGAACCGGACGTATACATTAAGATAGCTGTGTCCTCAGCTCTGGGATCTTCACCTTTTAATTGCTGATTTGATTTTCCCATTTCTTCGATTTGATTCAAAGAATAAAAGCTAATCTTCTGTTGTTCTTCTTTAGTAAACAATTCTTCAATTTTGGATTCTTTATTAGTGTTCATATAAATAATAACTTTAAGATCTTTGAGTTTATTGTGAAGACCTTTCAATTTATATAAAAGATCAAAACTTGTGACCAAATGTGTGACCTTTGCTTCATTGATGCCATATATGATGCCGTCTTCACCTAATGTGGCATAAAGTGTGGCAACAGTTGAACCAATTTTGAATAGTGATTGACTTGCAATCATCCACTCAAGTCTTGTGTCGGCAAATATCATAACCACATCCTTAGGCTTTATTCCAATGGCTAGAAAACCTTTGGAAGTAAAATCTACTTTTTCACTGATTTCCTGACACGTGAACCACTTGTAGTCATCTAAGACTAACTTCTTAAAGATGCGACCGTCTTCTTGTTTTTCTTCATCTACTTGTAATACCTGACGACAACCAAAGCTATGTTTGTCTTTATACACAACAGTTGTTTTGTCAAACAATTGTGAGACAGTAGAGCACTTGTCAATCAAACTTATTTTTCTCTTTGATTTGGTAGTCCTAATCCATGGACTCGTCAATAACTTTGGTTCTAACTGTTTGGCTCTTTGAATAGTCCAACCACTGAAACACTTTTTCAGAAAATATATCACTAATGGTATGACATTGTATATCACTATTAGCACTAAAAACACAAGTATTATCACATCTATGACTTGTTTTGCTGTCATTTTGTGAGATACTGTACTTATAATTAATTCAATTACTTTTATAAGAATTTGAATTGATTTATAAAAACAGATTCACGAGATTTTTATTTATGAAATTAGTTTCAATTATATCATCAAATTTATTGTAATATACAATATATTTATCCATTTTTATTAATTTTTCACATATTATTCTGTTTACATTTAAATATTAAATATTATTCACGAATTGCTTTAATTGCTTTCAATTTAATGTTTTAAACTTTAGAGTCAATTAAAATATATGTTGTAATACTTGTTTATAAAACAGTATTACAATAAAACCAGTTATCGAAGTGAATGTAATTTTCTATAAATAAAATTGAATTAAAATAAGTGAACAATCGCTGAATGAATAGATAAATCGGTTTAAGTTTTGTTTATTTAAATTTAAAGTATTTATGTCGCGACACAAAACCCATTATCACATCATCTGTTGAAGTCTTATAGCTATCTTTGACTTATTGTTTGTCATAAGAATCTGTTAAGAAATAACATTAATTGTCTTATGATTTACGTATCAGAGACATCAATATTGATCATTAATAGATGAAATAGTGGTAACAATTATTATAGAAACTTATCATTAAAGACAATTATGCATTTATATAAAGGACTATTAAAACAATTTATAAATATATATTAATAATCAATTGATATTTGATTGAATTATTTATAGAAATCTATTTTAATTGTTAAAAAATGTTTGCAATTTTATAGCAATTTATAATAATTATCGCAAATCTTTTTTTTTTTTTTAATTTAATAATATTATCCAAATGTGTCATATGGTCTATATGTATATCCATATTTAGCTAATCCTTAGTTCATTTTTAGTCTTTATTATGGATTTATAAACAAAATTTAACGAATTTTCGTCTAAGATTTAATAATTAATAATTGTGTCTAAAATCTGCAAATTTCAGTTTAATATTAAATAGTTTCATAACTTGAGATTAATTCTAATTCTTTATATATAAATGTAATTTATTTTAAATATTTTTTTATTTAGAGTAATTTTATGTATATAGTTATGTATATAATTAAAATATTGCTTTAATCATATATTTAATTATTATAAAAATGTAATAAAAATTAATTATAATTTATAAAACAGCAAATAATAGAATTTTTATTAATATTATATTTTTATACACAAATTGTTTRTTTTTCAAGTCATTGAAAGCGTTATTATTGATTGAAAGTGTGTTTGTTTTTGAGTAAACATTAAATACTTTACTATTTTTATTAATATATTAATAATAACCAGTAATTCATTTTTTGATCACAAAGTTTGCAGACATTGCCATCAAAACTGACGACAAATGAGACCAAAGAAGAATATCGTTGGATTGACCAACGATTCGGCCGTTTTAAGCAAGTTGTCGATGACATCCAAGATGTACGTCACTGATCCATATCTCAAGTATTTCGTGGCCGACAAAGACGTGTCCAGAAGTCGGTCGCCACTAATAAATCGCTTTTATTATCTGCGATATAAAGCCATTGAATATGGATTAAAGCGATTACAAGACGTTAATCAAGTGATATCTTTAGGTAGCGGTTTTGACACCACTTGTCTTCGGTGGCCTAATATTAAGTTTATTGAAATTGATTTGCCAGATGTGGCCATCAATAAAGCCAAAGCATTGGTCGACAATCATTTAATTGATAACAATCAAAGACTTTTAAATATTAATGAATTGTCAACTAATTGTAAACCATTTATTATTTTAAGAACTGAAAATTACTGTCTGATTGGAGCTGATCTCAGAGATTATGAAAGTTTGTGTCAATTGTTTATTGACGAAGATTTGTTGAAAGATGTGACAAAAGAGTCAAAGATTTGTTTGTTTAATGAGTGCTCTCTTTGTTATCTTCTACAAGAAATCAGTGATAAAGTGATCCAAATGTTTAGACAACTATATCAAGACAAATGTCATTCCCTAAGATATTTAGGTTTTGAACAATTGATGTCTTTTATGGTAAATCACGGTTTTTCTCAGGTTATGATAAACCATTTTCAGACAATTGGATCGCCGCTTAAAACATTTCTTAATAAAACACAAATAATTAGTCGATTTAAAAATAATTTAAAGTTTGAAAGCATTGAAGTGATTGATATGAAGACTTTCTTTGATCTCTATATTGATATTAAAGAAAAACAAAGAATTAATTCTTTGGAAATGTTTGACGAATTTGAAGAATTTGATTCCGTCTGTAGTTGTTATGCTCTAACTATTGCTGAAACACTTTATAACAATAATGACATCAATAATGATCAAAATGAATGCATTGCTGAACAAAGAGATCAAATTAGAAGTATTTCAAAACCAATTGATTGCGATTGTCTTGTATTTCGTTTCGGTCACTCTTCTTGTTTAACAAAAGACAATCAAATTGTGATTTTTGGGGGATTTGGTTGCGATAGTAATGGTAATAATTCTCACAAAAGATTATCAAATATTATTAAAATTAACACAAATACTGATGAAATTCATTGTTTTAAACCTTACGATCGAAATAACGAAATTCAAAGAATTCATTCAAATATTATTGAAATAAAAGATAATATATTTTTTATAAGCGGTGGAAGACTATCACCTAAATCAGTGATGGACAACAAAATTGTTAGATTATCGCCACATTTACAAACATATCAATTACAAGAAGTTAAAGAATTAGATATTCCTAAAGTATTCAGACATTTGGTAATTAAAGACAAAGAATCTGATAAAATCATACAAATTGGTGGCAAAAGTTATGAAACAAATGTTAAATACAATAATTATTATTATGTTTTGGACACAAATTCTATGAAATGGCAAAAATTATTTAAAACTAACATTCAAACCGATATATATTCCCATTCAGGTGTTTCAATTGATCCAAATGTTTTCATAACTAATGGTGGTCTCAATTGTCTAACCAATGATTTTACAACAAATGATTTTAACATATTTGATGAACGAATGTCTTCAGCCAATGTGGTTAATATCAATCATATGAATCAATTGTATTCCCATAAAATAAAACTATTAGATAACAACAAACTGTTAATAATCGGCGGAATTAATAAAATGGGTGCAAATAATAGATTAGATTTAATTGATTTGAGATCTCATGAAATTGTCAACTCATTTGATATTATAACAGAAACACCATTAATGTTAACAAACTTTTCTTCGGAACTTATTATCACCGAAACATTCAAACAATTATGGCTTATAGGAGGTGGCGGTAATTGTTTTAGTTTTGGCACACATTTTAATAAACTTTCGGTTTTATCATTGGATTCATTTATATAAATTCATTAAATTTTATTGTTTAGATTTTATAAAAAAAATTAATAGTGAAATAATTGTATCTATTTATGTGTACTTTATTAAAAAAACTATTACCGGTACCGTATTATTACGGGTATATTGAATAGTATTATTGAATGAATTGATGTTATTAATAAAGACATGGTATATAATATATACAATATATGATATTATAATTAAATTCCTATTATTTAAAAGAATTTATTTGAATAATTATAAACAAAACCTCAGATTAACTACTAGTACAGTATATTAGGTTATGTTTATACTGTAATATTACTCATTATATTTCCCCGCAATTTAAAGCAATTTACGTATTAAACATTTATTTAAAATTTATACACAATTTTATTAATAATTCTTATTAAAACTAAAAGCTATCCATATTTTATAAATTATATAAATATTTAACATTAAATTAATAATTACTGTAATAAAAACAATTTTTAGTTTAAATATTTTCAAAATGTATTATTGAAGTATACATTTTAAAGTGAAGTATAGTTTAGAAAAGTATAATAATTTTGAATGTTATTTACCGGTAGTACTGGAAGTGATGGATACTGTTTGGAGAAAAATCAAACAATTAATAATCACTGAAACCTCTGATTATTATAAATGTATTGATAGTTACATACAGACAATGATAAGTATAATAACAGTGACGACAATAGCAATGAATATATTGACTCTCGTGTTTTGCCACCACATCTTACGGGACACACGTCGGGCGCCAACTCGAAACTCATCGGCTCTGTTGGACAGCATTTCAGACCTATCTTCTAAATGGTCTAACCTCTGACCCCTCTCTAAAATCTTATCGATGTTTTGTTGCATTATATTTGATACTTCATTCACGTGCTGTTTAAGTCTTCGATAAAGGATTCAAATAAATAACATTTTGTTACTATTTGTCAATTATGGCCATAACTTACTTCTGAATCTTTGGATCACTTGACGACTGAGGACTGTTTAATGACAACATAAAACATAAGATAATATAAAGACTGTGTATTTGCTATCAATAGAAACCTTTGTGCCGACACATTGTCATCGCTGTCCACCTGTTTATCATTAAATTCATCAAAAGTGGTCAATCAGATGATACAATAATAAGTTCATACATACGTTAACAGATGTGAAGTCATCGGTGTATTGTCTGTTGTGAGACATTTGTGTCCAAATCAATGACTGATCCGATAATTAAAATGTCAATCAATTGAAGTGACTGTTTGGTTGACAACACAATCAACAACTGAGTCAACAAACCTATCGTTTATTACATTAATATTAATATAAATATCAAATCATGTGATAAATCATTAATAATATGCGTATTGTTTGATATATCAGTTGTGTATTATTGTCATCACTAGATGTCATCACTTATTGTCCAATCAATGTATTTGTCAACTCATTGGTGGCACTGATTGGCTAAAGTACTAACCTTTTGGACCAATCAATGGAATGCAATATATGTACAAAATTTCAATCAATTGTTTAGTCAATGAAATGCAGTCAATGTTTAGTCAATTCAACGTTCATTTAAATGACATTTAATTTATGTTTACTTTTCTTATATTAATATATCTATTGTTTTGTTTGAGTTATTTAGTGATCAATTGATATCACTGTCGAAGACATGCGAATCAAAACCAATCGATACGCCGACACAAAAATAAGACGACAATCGCTAAGACAAAGACAAAAGAATTTTCAAAGTATTGTATAGTTTTTGAAATTATTATATCATATGATAATTGTTTTGATTGATTGATATATCAATATATATCCATAGATGAGATCAAACGTATCGTCAGTGAGACTGTGGTTAACGATAATAACAAAGAACTGGTCGACAAAAATATATTACTTCTGTCGGAAATCGAGACTTTAAGGAAAGAAAAATTGCAAATCTTTGAGAGTGTCCTCTTCGGCAACAATTCACAAAATTCTTCTATTGTTAGTTAATATCATTAATAGTTTTATCATTAATTAATTGATTATTATTATTATTATTTAGACCGTGAAGAATGAATTGATGTCATTATTGGAGTCAATGAAGAAAGATCACCAAAATATGACACAAATGTTTGAAAAAACAAATGCTTATTATAATGAAATGATTAATAAAATTGAAGATAAAGTCGATAATATCATCAAATTTGAAGAGAATTGTATTAATAAACGGTATTCAGAGGTAAAACAATTAAGGAATAGATCTGAATGTGAAGTACTAAATGCACAACAATTATATGAAATGAAGCGTTTGTCGCGATTGAATGGCCAACAAATGGTTATTAATAAAGATAACGATAATAGATTGAGTGTCATCGATGAAGTACATCAAGAAGTGGTGGATCTAAGTGACCAATTGTCAGATAATTCCAATGATAATACATTGGTAGCAACTCCTCAACGAATTGTCAATTCATTTTTGGACAATTCTGTAGCTAATTATGCTTTAACACCACATTTTGACAATCAGACGCATACAAGAACTCCATCCATATTTAATTTCAATTCAACTTCTTTTACTACAATAAATGTCAATCAAATGGATAGAACATCTCTGTCACCATTTAATCTGTCCATTAGACCTGAACTCTCATTATCACAATTTGAATCATTTAATACAACCATTTGTGATGAAGTGAATTACGGAATGACAGCCTCAACACCGGTCGGCAAAAGGAGATTAAGTGGTATTGAAATGATTAATAGACAATCAAAACGCCTCTCATCTATAGATAAGCCGTTCAGTCCTCGTATCGGTCGGACTTCACTAAATAACATTCAGAATATTATGGATAATAATAATAATAATCGTAACGCTAAACCTTTTAGTAGGCCATCAATTATTAGACAATCGCTTATAGAAAAGGCAAATATTGTTGAAAATAAAATTATAAATCAAAATAAAAATACCACTAAAAAGGCAAAGAGATCGAAGAAAAGTGAAAACATTAAGACGAATAAAGAAATATCTAATGAAGTGATGACTTCTGTTAATTCAACTAAAAATAAGTTAATGGATATCACTTTGGACTCATTTAATTCTTCTGACAACCAATCAGTAAGAACTAGTCGTCGTAATCGTAAACAAATATTTTATAAAGAACCGGCACTTAATAGGTCTGTCCATTATTATAATACAATTCAACAATTTTAACTAAAGTATCTCTACATAGTTATGCATTTCTTATAAATATATTTTATTTTTATTATAAACTTATATATTTTACTTATGGTATTTCACTTTCACTCATTGTATATAAGATATAAAAAAGTTTTGAATTTACGTTATTTTTAATTAAATAAAATAAGTTTTTCACAAATTATTTATACAAATTATAAATGATAACAGTATTAATAAAAAATAAGATCATATTATTACAGAATTATAGTTTCAATAATTGATTAAAGATAGTAATAGCAAATAATTCTTAATCCTATTATAATGTTATTCAAAGTGCGAGACCACCAGAAACTTGAAGTATAGTTCCCGTTATATATGAACTCTTTGGTGACAAAAGAAAAGCAATGGCTTCGCCTACTTCTTCAGGTTTGCCTTGTCTTCTCAAAGGTATATTAGATATGAGTTGATCCAAAACTATATATCACAATATCATATTTTAATGTTATATACAGTATGAATATATATAGCAGTAAAATGTGTTAAATACCTTTTTGAGGGATAGTTTGGACAATAGGAGTATTGATAAATCCAGGCATAACAACGTTGACCCGAATATTGAATTTTGCCATTTCTTGAGCGGCCGTACGGGTCAGGGCTTCGACACCAGCTTTAGAAGCGTTGTAATTGCTTTGTCCGATATTACCCAACTTTGCGCTAACACTCGACACATTCACAACTGATCCGTCCGTTTGTTTATTTTCAATCATTTGTTGGCAAAATAACTGTTCAAATATATAATAAATTGTATACATTTTTATTAAACTATATAATAATTTTATGATCAAACTTGAGTGGCCATAAAAGTGCCCTTAAGATTGACGGCAATGACTTTGTCGAAGTCTTGTTCACTTAGTTTTGTCATCATTTGATCTCTTGTAATACCCGCACAATTAACCAAAAGAGTGGCCACTCGGTTGTCATAGTTTTCATTAATTGCTTTAAAGACTCGCTTAAGTGAATCCATTTGCGAGACATCGACTTCAAGTGACAAATGCTTAACACCGCTCTTCACTTGACTTTCAATCAATTGTTTGGTTTCATTCGCACCATTGATACTCTGATCTGCGATCACTATTGAAGCACTTTCTTTGGCCAAAATGTTGGCCACAGCCCGACCAATACCTGAACCACCGCCAGTGATCAGTGCTATACGATTGGCAAACATTTTCAATAAGTGTTGTAATAAGTAATTAGTTTGTTATATAATTATGAGGAAAACTTATTTCACTTTATTGTACTTATATTATTCACTGTACTTATTATACTGTATTGAATAATATTAAAATATTTTTGTTTACTTTTTAAGTACAAAAAATTATATACACATGTTATAATAGTTATGAAAATAATAATGAGGAAAATTTCAAATAAATTCCTTCCAAATCTATGAAAATAAAATAACATAATTTATATTTTTATCAATAATAAAAAAATAAAATTTTTAATTAAACCTAAATTTAACTTTTTTTTATAATTTCACAAATATTTAAAACGATTTGAAATACAATGATATACTGATAACAAATTGCTAATTATTAACAACTATAAAAAATAATAAAAGTTTTATAATTTGGTTCTATTTGTAAATAAATTCCCGGAAACCTTCAAGAAAATGAATATAAAATATATTTTGAGTAATAATTTTGCCCCAATTTAACAGTGATAATCATATTAAGACAAATTGTAATTTATCATATACTGTACATACTATCAACATATATTTAAATATATCCTTGAATTAGTACAAAAATCAGAAAATTATTTTTAAATTTTATTCATATTAAATATTTTTTTAATTTTGATAAAATAGTATAGTAAATACATAGACATATGTATATTAATATTTTTAATATATATAATAATAATACTAAGATTTACATTTAAAATATGTTTGTCCAATACTATCGGCATATTCTATGACATTATTTAACTCATTTAATGAATTAGACTTTAATTTCGATAACTTATGAGTCCTTTTCTTAGACAACAATTCAAAATTGTCGAGTTTTGATGATATTTTAAACAACCAATCATTAGCTTTTAGATATTTTTGATACTCATTGGGAACAGATGTCTGTATATAAAATTGTTGACCATTTGGAGAGATGTGAAAGAGAACCATCGGTTTGTGTCCGAAAAGATCTAATCCTATCTTAAAAGAAATACTTGAATCGCCAATAGTTTTAAATTTATGGATAATATGGTTGAAGTCATTATTTGATTGAATTGCAAGCAATTCATCGCTAAATAATTGGGTTAACTTTTTCTCGTAATTATCCAAATATTGCAGCAAATCATCTATAGTTTGATTCAATTCAATCGGTAAATTGTGTCTTAAATTAATAGTATAATCACTTATAAGATCTTTAATAACAAATAAATATTTTGTTGTCGTATCTATAAATTCTTTATCAATAGAATTATCTAATGATTTGATGTCAATATCTTCTCTAATTTTTCTCAATTTTTGTATAATTTCTTGACTCAAATTTATTGAATATTTTATATTAATTTTGTTCAATGCTTTGACGAGATGTTTATTGTCTGAAACAACTGATTCATATTTCTGGATCTCATCAATGATGACATCGTTAATAAGTTTAGAGTTATTGTTAAGTTGAGGAAAGGCTTCACCCAATAATTCAATAGTAATGGATGAAAGTCCGTGTAATAGTTGTCGCGGACATGAAATACCAAAATCATTGGCTGCAATACCAATGGATTTTCGAATTATTTTTCGTAATATAAATCCCGTTCCCCTGTATCCAGGTCTGAGTCCATCGCTTATAGCAATAGTCATCATTCTTGAGTGATCTGACAGAATACGGTACGATATATCCAATGAATCCTTAAAACTGTGTCCATAAGGCTTACAATGACTCAACTAATTTAAAGAAATACAATTTAAGTACAGGTTATATATATATATAAATCTAAACAATATTATAATTACATTTTGAATATAATGAAAATAAGGCAAAAATAAATCGGTTTCATAATTAGATTTCACATTTTGAATAACTGATACAATTCTTTCTAAACCCATTCCTGTGTCAACAAAATGTTTGTGCAATGGTTCTAGACTTCCGTCTGATTTTCTGTTTAAATCAATTATAGAAAAAATGTTATAAAAAAATATACCGGTATTTTTAAAAAATTAAAATTATTAAGCAAACCTATTAAATTGAATAAATACTAAATTCCAAATTTCAATGCAATTATTCATTAAGACTTTAACATCACAACTGTCTATTGTGTCTAATAAATAGTGGATTTCAGTGCATATACCGCACGGACCCGTTTCAGACATTTCCCAAAAATTGTCTTTTGATCCCAAGGGTATAACCCTTTCATTTGGTAAACTAATTAACAAATTAAACAAAAAATAAAACAATAATCTAATGAATCCTTAACATTATAAATTACAAACAAAATATACCCAATTTGTAGCCATATATCTTTGGTTTCGAGATCAGGTCCTAAACCTAGTCTTTGATCGCCACCAAAATATGTAACAATCAATCTCTTTGGATCCAATTTATAAACATTTGTTAATAAATCCCAAGCCATATGACACGACTCTTTCTGTAAAATACAAACAATTCAATAGACAAACAATTATTACTATTATTATTTAGGAAATACTTTATGATAATCACCGAAAGACCAGTTGCCCAACATCTCGAAAAATGTGTGATGTCTTCCATCAGTTCCAACATTATTGAGATCACAATGTTTGCCACCGACACGAATACATTTCTGTGAGTTAACAACCCGTCGGTAATCATTCATCGGGTCATTTGATAACAGTTTGTTGAGAAAGACAGTCTTGAATTGGTTCATACCGGCCGACACAAACAGTAGCGTCGGGTCATTGTATGGCAGTACTGAACACGACTGCACCCGTAAGTGGTTATGTTGGCCAACAAAGTAATCGATGAATGCGTTGCGGATCCTTTTGGACGACCATTCAGTACTAACAATTTGTTTGTCGGGAACAACCATTTGGTGATAGTATTGCCTTAGAGTTGGACTTAATTTGATTGAATGCCAGCATTTGGTCAATGAATGGCATCTTTTATATGACTTCAATGAATTCATTTGTTGTAATTAACATTCAATCGATGGTAATGTAAGAGACTGTCCGTCAAAGTTGTATAACTATTGGACTCATATATCACCGAAAATGTCAACAAAACTCATGTGTTTTATAGTAAGTCATGTGTTTGTATGTGAAGTCAAATGCAATATATTGTAGTCATTGTATGCATTGATTGTCTAATTTTAATCAATTAGTGTATTCATGCGATTCATGTATTATTTGTAACGCAATAATTATTATTTACATTAAACATTGGTTTATGTTTTAATTGAATACAATGTAAATGAAATGTAAATTAATGTATTAATTAATAGGATTGACTGTATGTTTAACTGAAAACATTTAAATAGACTATAGAGTAAATCGATTGCAGTTATCAATAGAATCGACAATTGAATTGTAAATAGTGTTGGAATCGATAGTTTTGATGCATTTTATTGATTGTCTGGTTGTTATGACAACGGAATGTGTTATTTGATTGGTTGTTATTGTGAGCCTTGAGTTAGTTAGTGATGGGATCGCAATGTAATGCCTTATACTTTAGTGTAGTAATAGTTGTTTAGCTTTGAATGTATTATCGATTTGTCGTAAGATTGTCTTCAATGCAATCCAACAGAGAGTCCACACATTGAATGCAATGTCTATTGAATGCAATTCACGCACAACTGAACACATATACAGTCTATTACTTAAACTTAAAATTATTATTATATCAAAACACAACACAAACACATTATATTATATACAAAACTGTATATAAAACTGGTCTCAAACTATATTTAGTGAACCCTTAAGCTCTTTAAGTAAAATCTATGCTATTATATAATGGATGAGACAAACATTGCACACAATTATATGAATTGTGGATAACTATTATATTATATTATATATGATTTTTGGTTGTGATTCACGACTATAGTGATGAATATGAATAACAATTTTTTGCTATAATTAGTTTAAAAATGTTGAAAAACTAGTTATATATTAATTGAAACGGCTTTACAATAGCTAAGTATTTCTATAGACATACCTTACTTGACTACAAATAGGTTTTAATTTATCATATTTTACGCCAATTAAATAAATGACTTATTATGAGTGATATTTTGATTGATTTTAATCATTTTGAAAACATTTTGATTTTATTAAAAATAAACATTTATTTTATAATAAATGTACGAAACGGGTGCACACGTTGTTTACTCTTATATTAATAATCTAAAGATATTGATCACTATATTGATCTTAACTATAGTTCATTCAATTAAATAGGTTTGAAAAAATAGTGTCAAATAAATACTTCACTTATACATTATATTTAAATACAATATCTTCAAGCATTTCAATAAAATGTTTGAAACTTCAAAAATAGAGTTTAAGCGCAACTGTATGTTACATATGTTTTTTGACTAAAATACTAGTATTTTGTGTCTAATTTAGGAAAGTTAGACCCTATCGACCAATTATATCTCAACTTTAACAAAAAGATATAAATATAATCAGTATTTCTAAAAGTTTATAGAGTACTAACATTTTGGTCAAATAGGATGACTATTAAACCTATTATAATGTCATAAACAAGTCTAAGGATAATAAAGTATTTTGTTTTTCAAAGTTATTTAATAACAATTTTATAATTATATATAAGACCTTTAATTACTTGAAAGCAAAACCAGACGAATGTTTAGAGTTATTACACAAACATTTTGTGGACTAAGGGATGGGTTTGTAAAAGGATTGTAGAGATACTGCAAAAAAGTGAAATCTAATTACTATACCGACTTGTTTTGCCTTACTTTCATTATATTTTAAAAAAGTAATTAAATTTATTATTTCAAATTGTATGATTCAAAAAAGTATTTTTAAATATAAAGTATTATAAGTCAATTTGATTAAATGTATAATTTGAAAGTCGATCCGAAATGATATAACGATATATCTGTAGATATGGTTATATGATTCATATCATACCCAACTCTGGTCACTACAATATTCACTATTGCTTTAAGATTTGGACTCAGGCCTAGTTATAAGGGAATGGGATGTATATCACGAAATGTAATACGAAAATCCATTGTTATTACAACCAATGATTTTTGTATTTCATGTCCGCGTAAACTATTACACAAACTTTCATTCATTACTATTGATTTATTGGGTGAAGCCTTTCCTCAACTTAACAATAACTCTAAAGTCAATAACGATTGTCATCATTGATGAGATCCAGAAATATGAATCAGTTGTTTCAGACAACAAACGTCTCTCCGAAATATTAAACAAAATTTATGTAAAAATAATCAACAAATATAAGTAAAATAAATTAGACAAATATTGAGAAAAGATGACACTTAACATATTATATGAATTAAATTATATTTATAATCAAAATATATTTATTTAATTTGTTGTGTTTTACAATCTTAACAATGCATTTTATTACTAACACAAAACCAATACATTTTAAGCACATATTTTCAAATGGATCAACAATTTTATATACAGACAAATGTTTATAATGAATCAAATATATCTCAAAGCAAATGATTGGTTGTCTATAATCACATCAAAAACTTGTCAATTTTGATGTAATATACATTGGTTTGATATAAATCAAGTTTAGTATTTAAAAAACTGATAAATTATTTAAATTATGTACAATTTATAATTAATTAAATCTATAATATAAGCCGTAAAATAATGCTTAAACATAATGTATTTCAAATGTTAATTATAAATATACAATTATATTACTGAAACGCTATACGCTATACTAATACGCTATAACAATATTGTATTATAAGTTATAAAATATTACTATAAATTAAAATCTAATTTATCTTTAAATCAATTTCATACTTTCTCATATCTAGTAAAACATTTTTAACATAGTGTAACATAAGTTAGAAAAAAGTTATAATCATAATTTGCACGAATATTAATAAAATAAAATATGATTTTTTTATATAATAAAATAGATTAGCAAACAATTATTTGATTATATAAAATCACATTAATTCGTATGAATTATTAACTAAGTTATAAAACAAACACTTTTATAAATATGAAAAGTTAGTATAAAGTAAGTGTATATTACTATACACATGTGTAGTACATTGTATGAGATAAGCTAGTTTTGCTCAAAACTATACAACGAACTGATTATTACAACAATTATCGCAAATGTTTGCCAATCGTATAGCACAGGTCACTCACTGGCGGTGGTTCGGGTATTGGTCGGGCTGTGGCCAACATTTTAACAAATGAAAGTTTTTGGCAGAGTATCAATGGTGACAATCAAACCAAATAATTGATTGAAAGTCATGTGAAGAGCGGTGTTAAGCATTTTCTCTTGAAGTCGTTGTCTCGCAAATGGATTCACTTAAACGTGTGTTTAAAGCATTTAATGAAAACTATGACAACCGAGTGGCCACTCTTTTGGTCAATTGTGCGGGCATTACGAGAGACCAAATGATGACAAAACTAAGTGAACATCACTTCGACAAACTGATTGCTGTCAATCTTAAGTCACTTTTATTATATTATTTAAGTCTAATCATAAAATTATTATATAGTTTGACAAAATGTATACAATTTATTATCATATATTTGAACATATATTTTGCCAACAAATGATTGAAAACAAACAAACGAATCAATTAGTTGTGAATGTGTGGAGTGTTAGTAGAAAATGAATAACTTCTTGAATAACGCTAATAATGTTAGTGTCGAAGCACTAACCGTACGGCCGCTCAAAAAAATGACAAAATTCTCTTATTGTTCAAACTATCCCTAAAAAAGATATTTTTAACACATATTACTAGTTTTCAACACATTTATAACAATTGCTATATAAATATTACTTGTATAACAATACTTTATATACTGTATATAACATTAAAATATTGCGATATATAGTTTTGGATCAAATCATATCTAATATACCTTTGAGAAGACAAGACAAACGGCAAACCTGAAGAAGTAGGCGAAGCCATTGCTTTTCTTTTGTCACCAAAGAGTTCTTATATAACGGGAACTATACTTCAAGTTTCTGGTGGTCTCACACTTTGAATAGCTTTATATTCAATAATAGGATTACAAATTATTTGCTATTACTATCTTTAATCAATTATTGAAACTATTATTGTGTTATAATATGATAGTATACTCTTATTTTATTCTTAAAAATCATTAATATTTTGTACAAATAATTAGCGTAAAACTTATTTTAATTAATCAAAAATACTGTAAATGCTATAACTTTTATATTTATTCAATATTATGCTAAATTGAAAAGCATTATGCAAAATATACCAAGAAAAATATTTAAATTTATATTATGTTTAAGCAAAAAATTGAAGTCAAAAATAAACTGTTGATATAATTGTTAAAGTGTTAAAATAATGTATAAATCTATTATATTTAAGATCTTTACTTGCTTTCAGTTACTTTTAATATAAAACAAACAATTGTAAAAAATGATTTTCAAATTGTTTCAAATAATTCTAAATATTAATCAAAAATCTATCAATTTTATAACATTTTTCACTTTTATATACATTTGAATATATCATTATATATATATATATATATTATATGAAATAAAGCTATAATTATGATAAATATATAAATAATAGATATGTTTAAAATTTGTGTAATCTTACTATAATTCATATAAAACAATAGTGTGAATGTTGTAGTGGTCCGACCTATTGAGTGCTTTATGTTATAATGTTTGGTTTGATTGAAGGTATACCTGTATATATGTTAGTGCTATAGATAGAAATGTGTATAAATTATAAGCGGTATAATAGTTGTTATAAGAAAAAGTTGATCACATAATGGGATCCTCAATACAATTACACGTCTCGTGCAATGCAATGCTTGTTGTGCTTGAATTAGTGTGTAGTGTCAGTGCACTCTTTGCTGCAATGGTGGTAATGGTTAGGATATGTATGTATGTTAGGATATGCTTGTATTGCCAGTGCTCTCAACACAAAAAATATCCTCTCATTCAGTCAAAGAGAGAGAGAGAGAGAGACTAAGAGAGACTATGAGAGAGAGAATAGGAGAGAAAAGCTAAATGTGTTGTTGTATTGAATTGAGAGCTGTTCTCGTCGTGTGATTTGTTGAGAGCATTGGATTGGGAGGAGAGCTAAGCACAGGCTATACAGTGTTTGTACTGTCGGTGTAGTGTCGGTGCCTGTATTCACATGCATTCACTACTTGAGGGCTCAGTTCCAGTTGTGTTCAGCATAACAGCTGCCATACAGTCAAACACAACATACAACACAACATAACTCTCTATCTATTCAATGGAAAGCCTGTGAAACTAGTGATACCAATGCCAGACATCCACTGAATGAACACCAAATTCACCACTTTTTGTGCCCAAACTATCACTACTAATCCTAAGAGTTGGCCACTCATAAGGTATGTACACAAAGTGCTATCTTTACTCTAAAAGATGGTATAATTATTTTGTTTGTCGCGCTAACCTTTGCCGAGATATAAGCCTTTTCTGGAGACCTGTCCTCGAGTTTGTTGAGTCGGCACTCGACTCATATATAGCCATAAAATGGCTGATAGTAAGGGCGCTGCCAATGCGCGATAGCTAACTGTGCTAACCTCACCACTCAAACTATGATATAACATACAACACTATGCTTTTAAATAGACTGCAGTTATGCTGTGCTGTATATATTGTATACATATATTGTATATATAAATGCATCTCAATTGCAATGAACAACAACTCTCATCCAAAATATTTCATGTTTTATAAATGCCAGCAATTGTTTCATTTAATATACAATATATTATACATTGTGTCACTCTATGACTCTGTTATATACCTAACATAACTATCAATATAATCACATTCACAGCTAATGCTTGCCTATTGTCACGACTTTGATTTCATTAATGATTGAAAACAATTTTGATGGTTATGTCAAATCAATGAGTTGTAGACAATAAAAGTGTTCAAAATATGTGTGATTTTTACAATTAATTATTTACATAATCTATAGTATAGACACATTTGCTGTGTTGTTATTATCATTCAATTATATACGGGTATGTGTGCTATAACTTGTCTATAATTATATATAGTTTAATATAATTATCTAATCTCTCAATTATTTATATTTACTAAGTTATGTTTAATACAGACATTCATATTATGATTATTTTTTATTTAATTTTATAATACATAATAATTTTAACGATTTTTTGTTTTTGACTAAATTTTTCTGTGAAAACACTATTATTTGGCGTACATTTGAAAAATGCTATATTTATAACATGAAAGTATTTTCATTGATTTGTCAGTCAGTATATACTGTATATATGCATTGCTTTACTGTTTGTCAGTTTGAACGTTACTTAACCCCATAAAGATAATGATGAAATATAAAATATGTAAAAATGAACTTTATACATTAGATAATTGATACACATTTGCTGTCATCTAATATTTGCATATATTTATTATATTTATTTATTTATTGAGTGTTGTTTCAGTTAATGTAAGTTTTATATTTACGGTTAAGTTTTTTTTGATATCTTTATATTTACTTATTGCTTGATATCAGCAAATATTAAGACATTTAAAAATTAATTTATAAGTAATTTAATAGATATGAGATATTAACGTACGATAAATACTAACATATGTTTATTATTGAAGTCATTGCATTAAATTCTTTACTTTTAAATCAATGGATTCAATGAGTGCTTACAATGCAATGCTTTTTCAAGCTATGCTTTAATGCTTTCATAGCGTTTTCCATATAATTTATATATATATTAATTTTATTGTGAATACACTGATATTAAGAGGTTTTTCGATGATATACATAATTATACTGATATTAGGTATAATTATTAATAATTTCCATCAAAATTAATCCATAGATTAGGATTAACGGGACATTTTTTGTTAGCAAAAGTCGTCAAAAGCGAGAGTTAGCTAAATCTTTGAACGGCATTGAGTGCATGCGTTAGCCGCCAGTATTAGTGCTCTCAATCTCGCCAAACATTTGCTGCATTACTGCTGTAGTGAGTGAATGCATTGATTGCATTAATGTGTTATTATGGCAAACGTTAAACTATTTTTTAGTTACTATGCACTACACTTGTTATCAAATATGAAATATTTATTATATTTATTGTTATTTGATATTATATATGGCTTCATATTTTATAACAATTATATGTCTAATATATAAATAATACAAGTCATTGAGTACTGTATTAAAATTAGATACTATTTGAAAGCTTTAGTTTGAAATCTCAAATGACATCTCAATTATTTGATTTGAATAATCAATATTATATATACTGTATATATAAGTATTGTTTTTTAGTAATGAATATCCAAAAAAAATGATGTTTGTCTGTGATTATCATAGATTATAAGTGAAGCCAACATAAGATAAGTGATGTGAACATTAGGTGATGTTTTCTAGTCTATCATCTGTAACACAACTCCCTTCAGAGCGGATGTGTTTAATTAGTCGACAGTCGACTTGAAAAATGTTAGGTATATATCTATACGCACGACTCACAGCTTATATTTATACTGTATATATATATACTGTCTGTCGGTCTATAATCTATGTGTTAGTCCCACTCATAAAAGGAAAGTCACTCTATTAATGAATCGACGTTTTTGTTGACTTTTTTATTTGTATTTTTATCACATAATATCATTTGTCTACACAATTCACACTTATGTTTATCGATTAGTTTAACGATGAAACTTATATTTTGTAATTACATTAATTTAAATATTAGTTGTTTTGCGACAAAATTTTTAAAATATTTAAAATACTGTCACTATATGTTAGAAATTTATTTGAATTACAAAAGAGTTATTTTTGGATCAAATCTCTATAATATTGTTGTTTTATTATTTATGTTGAAAATTAGATACTTTGGATTAATATGAAAGTATTATTGAATGCATTTATTTGTTTGAAATATGTCTAATATTTGGTCACATAATGTAGTATTTGTATGAATTGACTCTCTTTGAAAAATCGATTATTTCTTAGACGTTAACGATTTGTATTATGCATTTGGCAAACAAACTCACTATTTATGTGCATTACTTGACATGAGATCTGAATGCTATGTTATATAACAGTGACACACATTATCACTACTATTATCATTATATTTATTGTTGTCTAAGTCAGCCGTTGAGATGCATGAGCTGTGCTTTTAATAAAATGTTTGTATGGATCGCACAGTCTATTGAAAGCTAATTTGAATAACAAATGATATCATATATAATATGACTAATGATTGCATTAATTATTTGTTGTGGTCTTTGAATTGTTAATGAAATACTTTTTGACATCTATTCTAATGAAATGGGAGTTTCATATAAGCAGTTAAGGGTTAAGATAAAGTGGGGACAGTGGGGGTATATGGGATGTACTGTTTAAGGGCTTACCACCTCTGCATTGGTATATCTGTGAAAATCTTGAAAGTTGAGCGTCAGTCTAGAAAAGGATGGTATGTGTGTTCACTTAGGTGTATGTCATGTAAATGCCATTCATATGGTATGAATGAAAGCAAAGTTATCGATATTTTGCGGTCATTTAGTTATCAAATGTTTGTAACAAACTTTTCGTTAGAGTCGTCGCTCAAAGGCTTTTTTGTTATTAGATTTTGCAAACAATAAACAAACAAAAAAAGTGATAAAAAGTTTTAGTGAACATTCATTTTCAATAATTATATTATAAAATACTTACATATTATTAACAAATAGTCTATTTTGAATCACTTGATTATCTCTAATTTAAGTATGAATTTTGGATTTATGCCATCATTTGTTTGTTTGATTCAAAGTTTCCTATATATAGCTTTAATTGAATCAATGACGTACTCTCCCGACTCTCGATACTTGTGAGGCACTGACTGTTAGTTTTCGTATTAGTTGTGTATTAGCTTTGTATGAGATAATAAAATATAGGGAATAGCCTGTAGGCACTAAACAATGTTCCCCTCATTGTGAATAAGGCAGGTGACTGTTCATACCATACCATACATACATAGTTACATACATTGACTACCCGTTTGAGTTAAAATATTGATAACTTTTCTATGACTCTCTCTCTCTCTTTCACTCATTCACTATCGATCCCCCAATTTCTCCCCTCACTCGCTATCGACCCTCTTTTAGTTTGTATGGTTCAAACATTGTGGTGAACGTCGTCTCCAATTGCATCCAACTATAGCCATAAACTGTGTCTAAAAAGCACTCAATTGGCAAATGAATGCCTATATATCTGTATCTGTCATTTGCATACATCTGTGTGTCTGAGCCTGTGGTCAACCAAAAGCCATAATTATAGTGTTTGAGACACTATTTGGAGCCACTCTTTCATAAGTCAATGTTTTATTGTATTTATTTTGCAAATATTTTGTTGATTAAAAAATAGCATTAAATAAAAGTTGATGTCAAGTACTAAACAAACATAAGTATTATTTTAGAGGAAATGTATTGTTGTGTATGTATTGGGTATATGTGTTAGTGTTTGTTGGATGTGTTAAATAGTGATAAGTCAACTCAACTTTGGTGGTATCACTTCTCAGATGCTATACATGCTATACACCCATACATCCCATGAGGTCCACAACAATACTAAAATAAAGTCTAATTCAAAACTTATCTTTTGCTTCATATGAGAGCACAACTCAGCTAAACATACATACCGTCAGTGAGTTAGTCGTGACTTTTAGTGCGCAAGCGTTGCACACATATAATGCTTGATAAGCACTTTGCCATTCAATTTGAATGAATCAATGAATGAATCAAAAAATCTCAATTCACTGCCAGTTAGTTGTACTGCAATACACAATAAGGCTTCGGGCGAGAGCTTCACTCAAATCAACTTTTTTAACAAATATTTTTATATTTCAATCTTTTATATAATTTCATAGTAGGCTTATTGTTATTGTTATTTCCTTTTAATTAGTTGATATAAAATACTCACTATTCATACTGTATATACAATGTATGTAAATACTGTATAAATTTATAGTTTTGTTAATAATTGAATATATTTTTCAAAAGTATTATCAATGTTTGGAGTGCTTTATGTTGAGTAATAGTATTGTTGATGGTATGCCTTATAAATGTGATTTGTATTGAGTTATATGGCATTCCTCTAATGCTTTATGCCTTATAACGCCAAACTGTGTCTAATGCTTAAGGCATTGAACAGTATTTTCAATATAACATATATATAGATATACAGTATATATATATATATATACAGCTTTAGTGAAGACGGAAGTGTCTAAGTCTTAAGTGGAGACCAATAATACTAAATAAACTGAAAGAGAGTGAATGTGAGTGCAGTCTAATGTGAATTCATAACTCAATTGCTTTAAAGAAAGAAACAAATGATAAGAAATGAGCAAAAAGTGAGTCAAAGCAACCAAATTGCGAGAAAACGATGGCTTGTTTTGTAAGCATTGAATTGAAGTCACGAAATAACCCACTTTTGATAAATACACACATTTTTAACTTTATTTTTCATGTTCTCATTTATGCTCAAAATTACTAACACTTGGATTATGTTTGAAATAAAAGTTGTTTTTAAAACTTATTTACGGAAAATTATGTATTAATTCATGGATAGAGTTAATGTTAAGACATTATGTTTGTTAAATAAATCCCATTTAAGTTGAGGCAAACATGCATTTATTGTAATCAATGTAACGATTGGTATATTGCTGTTATATATTGCTGTAAGCGATTATAATATAATCTAACCTAAAATACAGCCAAACTTATGCCTATCTATGTATGTATGAGTTGAGTGCATGTCTATCGTCTATCTCCTAGTGATTGCTGAAACTAATTCCCATTTTCCAAGAGCTCGACGTGTAGTGAAATGCCAGTCAAATGTTGTATATATACTGTATATAACTATCTATATAAGCGCACAGTTATTCCCTGATGCTGTGCTGCCTAACAGTATAACTCAATATAGTATCCATGGAAACACAGTTTCACTCAATTTTATTACTATTACTTTTGCTTTAGATTTGGTTTCCCTGAGCTCTCATCGCATCTCTTGTTGTGCCCAACAGTTCATAGCAAACACAGACACATATATATATATAATGCACAAAAATGAACGAAACACTTGTGTCCGTAACAGCCAAGTGAGTAAAGTTGACGACCAAACCGGGGGCGGGGGTGTAGTAGTTGGTAGTACTGTAGGTAATACTATTGCGATGGCATTGCCGACTAAGACATACCGTAGACCCCGACTCGTCGATGTAAACGCTGGACTGACATGTATTTTATGTAACGGCTATTTCATTAACGCCACAACTATTACTGAATGTTTGCACTCTTTCTGTAAGTCATGTATTGTTAAATATCTCGAAGCAAATAAATGCTGTCCAATCTGTGAGAAAGATGTCGGAACCAAACCATTGCAAAGTATCAGATCTGATAAGATATTACAGGATATCGTCTATAAACTTATTCCCGATGTCTTCCAAAACGAAATGCATAGAAGACGTGATTTCTATATAAAACATACCGAAGAGATGTCCACTTGTGCTGAGGACAGGGGAGAAGTGATAGATCACCGAATGTTTTATATGGCAAACGATAAGATTAGTCTATCACTTGAATACGGATATGGAGACAATCAAATGCCTGACAATACTTATAATACCAGTCCTACTGAGGAAACTCCTACTGACAACAAACTGTTAAGTATTGATGAGAACGACACTATGGATACTATGAAGCGTTATCTACTTTGTCCGGCGGGTCTCTCTATTTTACACCTGAAAAAGTTTATCTTCAGAAAGTATGGATTACCCGAATCATATAGAGTTGATGTCATGTATCTTCAAGACATCCTAAGTGAAGATATTATGCTTATGGATGTCGCATACATTTACAACTGGAAAAGGGTATGTCATATATAAGTTAGTCTGTGTAAGCATTGAAGCGATGCCTCTATTCATAATTGGGCGCACATTGTATTGCTTTGCTTTCCCTTTGCATGCCTGCAATCTCCCTGAGCTCATAGTGCTTGTCTCAGCCAATATATGGTATATAACTTATATGACAAGCATTGAGTTCAAGGGAACGTTGTATCACAAGCTGTCACACATATCGTGCATTCAATTGCATGCACTCTATTGTATGCTTTGTATTGACAGTCGAGTTAATGCTCACTACAATACTCTTATACCGACGTCTATCACAACTATCACTGAATTGCTATTTATTTATTGATTATTTCTCACATTCCTCTCCATCTCTACTTTCATCAAACTATCATAAGCTCTCTCTCTCTCTTTCTCTCCCTTTATTTCTCTCTCACTATATGTCTATCCATAAGCAAACTATGTATAACCGGCAAAATTGCAATATTAAATGTTATAATAAAATATATATCTGTCTCTGTATGCTCTGATAGTGCTGATTGTGGTAATATTGTAACAAAGTTATAGCCTATTGTCAATGAGGTATAATCTGTTTGCTAACTCCTATACCATCCCTTAACATTACAGAGCGATCCGATGCGTCTATTTTATCGCATAAGTGAGCGACCGATCAAACGATTAAAGACAACACAATCACAAAATATTGAATCCAAGAGTGGGAGTGGAGGCAGTGGTAACAGTGATATAAGTAATGCCAATAACCACAACAATAATAATAGTGTGAATGTGAGTCAGTCTAAACTAGTCGGTGCACATCCAACAGCATCCAGTCGTACATCACAAACATCAACAACGACTATCATAATGACAGGTGCGGCTCCAGTGCCCACTTCATCATACAATAGCAGTGCAAATGGCGTGACATCAAATAAGGCATCTCTTGCAACGCCCAAACATATGGATACATACAAAGGCAACACATCTAAGGGAGTACCACCTCATGCAGTAAAGACACCACAAGCACAGGCATCCAAACGTAAGATCACTACTAGTGTCAGTGCTGTGCAAACTGATGAACCATCGAAAAAGTTAAGAAAAGTTTTGCCGACAAACAACATGACTGCCTCGACGCCCAACAAAGCCAATTGTGCCAACACTAGTGCGCCCACTGTGTTATCCAATACAAGCACATCCACTGTTAATAGCTTACGTCAATGTCGTATCCATACTGATAAAAGTAAACTGTCCACTTCTAATACTACCAGTGCTAACAATACAAAGAGTGGTGGAATATGTGTTACAAAAATTTCCATAAAAGAGGATATAAAGGATAATACCAAATGTGCTAACAATGCTAATGATAGCAATGTGACCACAAAGAAGACCAGTAATCGTAAGTCATCGGCATTTGATGTCCGCACTCTTATCGGCACTAAGTCTCCAACCCTTGCATTTAGTCGTCACACGGATGGCATGATTGTCAGTGATTATAATGATAGTAATAAAAGTGTTGGTAATATGACTTTTTTGCAACAAAATAGCAAACAATCAAAAGGTTGTGATGGAAATGCCATTAGGGATACCAGCAGTCAATGTGTTATGCAGTCGAGTCATAACAAAAAGACTGCTTCAATCACCAGTAAGAGTACGACGACACCCAATCAAACTCAACCCACACATTGCAGTCATTCAATTGGCATTAAAATCAGCAAAAGTGGAGTAAAAAGTTTGAAAAATAATAACAATATATCAGTGAAATCCAACACAATTTCAAACAAAGATATGACTGGCGATAGTGTTAACAAAACATCGGGAAAAGCAATTAGTGGTACCAATGCTGGACCACAAACTGAGTCTATTACTGCTATTAGGCAATCGACACCTTTATCTCCAACATCAATACGTATCAAATTGTCTCCACCGCCACCATTGACCACAAGTATCAATAGTAAGGCAAACACTGGCTCTTGTAATAAAAATAGTGCCAAATCTAGTACTACTGCCACAAACACTAGCATTAAAACAATGACACTTCCGGTTGCACCACAAGTTCAAACAAATCATAAAAATAAAGAGTCATTAGAAAGCATTTTTGGTGTCAAGGAGTGCGATGTCAAGTTGCAGAGGTTGTCATCAGATGTTAAGATTAATAATACAATAATAACTGATAACAAATGTGTCAAATCTATTGACCAAATCGGTAATAACTCGTTGACAAAGTCTAGCAAAACTAAAGGTGCGTCCATTAATCAAATAGTCAACAAAATAGCGTCGGGAGTCACGTCTAAGAGCGCCAGTGTTAACGTGACCAGTACTACACCTACATTGCAATTGAACCACAATAGCACCGGTGGTTCACAAAACACCTTCAGTACACATGTGGATACCAGTAATGAGGGGAACGATAACAGAGTCAGTGTTACTACCGGTGAGAGTGGAGTCGGCTCTTCCTTTCAAAACAAGAATCAATGCGCTGGCAGTGAGAGTGCAATCAAATCAGTGAGCAGTTCCACCACTAATTCGGGTAATTTAGTGATACGTATCTCAACAAAGACTAACAGTGTTGAGAGTATCGTCTCTCCTAAGGATAAGAGCTCACAAAAAATCAATAATAAATGTGAAACTAAAAGGGATTTGACGACTACGAGTGCCAGTACTAACAACTTAGCCAAATCCAGTACTACTAATACTATTAATACCAATGCCAGCAGTGATACTAATACGGCTAACACTCCAATTGATTGCAAAACTAGTAAAACTTGTGCTAATGATTCAGTTAATGATATTACAAATAAAGTTATTAAAAAAGAAAATGATTTGAAAGTTAATATAAATGAAGAAGAAGATGATGAAGACGATGATGAAGAAGATTCGAGAAAATTGGTCGTTGATGTGCCCAATGAAGACAGTGGAGGCAACGATGGCAACTCTGTTAAGAATAATCCATCCGATAAAGACAATGGAATTAAACATAATTTTAATAATACATTAATGAAAAATAAAGTTCAATCAAATTTATCAACTAAATTAGCTATCAATATTGGATCAGCTACCAGATTGTCGGCTAATTGTGCCGTTTTGACATCACCTCCTCCTACACCCACTCCTAGTCCTAAATCAGAAAGTGATCACTCAATTACAAACGATACAAAACCTAATGCTCCTCTAAATAATGGACCGTTAGATTTATCGATGTCCACTAAAAAGGATAAACAATTGCATCCAAAAATGACTGTCAGTCCTGTGCGAGCAATATATGACATTCCGCCCCCAAAACCCAAACAATGTGTAAATCCCGCCGTTCTCGACAAACACAGAAGTTTCTTCCCTAATAATAGTGCTCCAAAACAACAGTTCCCGTCTTTTAAAATAATGAACACTCAGGGCATGAGATCCGGTTCGAGTTCATCACATTCTTTGTCGACGTCTAATATGGATTCAAATAAAAAGAAACGACCGGTAGTTTCGCCGATGATATCAAGCACTGGTAACAATCATTTGACCAATAAGTCGCAACAGAGGTCTACACCACACAGTCATCATCACAATCATAAAAACTATTCTGTCATTAGTCCCGAACCCAATCGGTTTACGACTAAGATTCCTAATTTAGTGATCAGAAATATAAGTTCCCCCCCATCTATAACATCTCACTTCAATTATCCAACACATCATTGATATTGAAGACACCAAATGATATAATGATTACATGGAGTATCACATCTTTGAATTACAAGTTAATGGTTTAACCATTTCTTCAAATGACAGTAGTTTTATATATAAACTATATATACGTATATTTCTCTGTTATTTATTTCTTTATTCGAGTTTATTATGCATTAGTTATGACATTATTATTATAAATATTATTATTATATAATATCTATTAATGTAAAAATTTATGTATACATGTTTAGTATTTATATTTATTGTAAACTAAAATTTAGTTATATATATATATATATAATAGCGTATCGTAAGTACAAAATCGATGATTTTCTTTTAAACACAAATTGAATTTAAATTTTTAATACAAAATTGTTTAATTTATGTTTTTAGTACAAACAATAATTAATATAACAAAAACAAATGTAGTTTTATTTGAATCTTTATTTTAATATATATTTATATTATTCACTTAATTTCTTCTTAATTTAGATATAAATGTTATATTTGTTTTTTATAATTAGATTTTTTATTTATATTATGTTGAGCTCTAGTAATGTATTGCTTACTAAATTTGATGTTTTATAAGCTAATCAAATGTGTAAAAAACTTAAATTACATTTTATAACACTTTTTACTTACACACAAACAAACAACAAAATGATGTTATATTCAAATTATTTGATTCTATAGTATACTATATTTGATTTATTTCCTAATCCATTATTAGTATTATTTATACAAACAATGGATATAACGTTTATAATTATAATTTAATAGCAATTTATAGTTTTTTATTATAAATTATGAAAACTACTTTCTGATGGTGACGTATGGGTGTCATTGATACTAATGGGACACATATTTGTTAAGGTTTTTTAGTGTATGAGAGGGACGGAAGCGAGCCTTATGTTAGAAGTCAATAAATCATTAAAACTAATGCAAACTGCTTTCACTATTGGGTCTCTCTTAACAACTTTGTCTGAACTGTTAACTACTGATCCGACCCAACACTCCATAACACAACACATACATTCATTTATATGGCTATAGTTATGCCTATTTCCAGTCGTAACTAACATTGATTTTCCAGTCCAATGATTCAATACAATCAACAAATTTCTAAATGGACTCAATCTTTGAATATTTAGTTCCATACCAATAGTGACTACAATATAGTTAGCATAGTATACATACAACTCATTAATCATATCATTGAAAGTCACAATTTTATCATTTCATTCAATATTTTTTTTTTAATTATTACATTTGCCTATCATTTTATCCAATTATTTATTTCTAATTATTCACAAAATAAGGATTAGACTTTGATTTTTTGGTTTTGTTTTAATCACTTAAGTCAATCGTTACTAAAAAAATAGTAATATTAGTTCATATAATCTAATGAAATCTACTAAAATTTTTAAATTATAAAAAAAACGGTGAAAACGACAAATTTTAGATGAAATATAACTTATATAAGTTGTTTTATATATATACATAATTATTGTAATTCATTTTACTTTTAAATATAAATAAATTATATATTAACTAATTAAATATAATAACTATACTTATAAATAAATATTTGTCTTTTTGAGTTGAAATTCACTTTTTAATATATATAATGCTTATATAATCATAAATACTATTACTATAATAATTATGATTATTGCTGTGTTTTTAATGTGTAAATTAATGTTATAATTATTAGTTTGCTTTTTAAATTAATTTTTGCTGTATTTCTCATACTTGTATATCTAAATAAAAATATTAATAAATAAAAAGATGAATTTGCAAATTATGAAAATGTATGAATTAATGCTTATGTATGTACTGTACAGTATGTGTAAGTTTGTCGACAACAGTGAAGTGAATATTCCCAAAGTAGTCATTAAAGTAAGTATAACTTGAAGCTAAATAACTGCAAATGTATTTCATATGATATACCAATGTATGTATGTATACCAATGGCCACAATTATTGTGATATCCAATCATTGCAGTCATTATAAGCACACACACACACACACATACATACACTCGTAAGTGCTTACAAAATATCACACACAACACAACACACAGCATATTATGCTTTATAATAGTGTAGTACTACTAGTGCTGTATATCGTATATATTTATCGTTTAATAGCATTATTTTCAATGCCATTCAATGAGCGCTTGGCTTACATTGAATTGTTCATTAAATTTGCATTTAAATAGTCGTTAATTCCTTATATAAAAAGATATATAAGTTTATTATACGTGTCTTTTTATATGCGCTAAAGCCCTGAGAAATTTAAATAAAAATAATTGACAGATATATAGATAGAGATATATATTTTATGAGTTTATTAAAATTAATTTTACTTTTCATAGCAATGACAGAGATGTGAAGCAAAAACTGGAATTAAGTCTGACTTATAAATTCCTAACCATTTTGTAAATGCAATGATTTATCAAAAGGACTGCTCTTTTGATGCATTTTCTCTCAAAGAAAACTTATCTCTTAATGATTGAGAGCATCATTGCATTTGAAGGACCTATGGTTAGTATCAACAAAATTGCTTTAAATTGTTTGCATTACTTAAGGTATAAACTTTTTCTCTATAATGTTATGCAAACATTAATGCAGAGGTGTTTTGAACTGATGCCCGACTCTACTAAACACTCCCTATAACTTCTATACTCTACAATATATAAATTTATATATATATATATATATACAAATATGCAGTGAATATATAGTATATAAGTATATATATAGATATATATCTTGGTTGAATTTCAATTATTTTTACTCTATGTTAATATAGTATGAGCTATCAAATATATGCCACCCTAACTACAGGGGCATCACTACTCCCCCTAAGTCATGTTGGATACCCCTGTTATATACATCTAATGATAGCATGTAGTATGTAGTTGTGATCGCATTTATGCATTTACTGGACTCATACCGTATGATAAATAGCCGACACCTAACACTCTAAAGCAATCAATACTATGCTTAGATATACTACGCTTATATTGTATATACGGTATAAATGTACGGTATATGCTGTATATATACGTAAATTTATATATATAAACGTATATCTAGTATATATATATATATATATATATATATATATATGTGTGTGTGTGTGTGTGTGTGTGTGTGGCTACAAGTTTCACCACATTTTACACTGCATTACATCTTTAGATTGTTTTATGCAATTATATATATTTTATGCACTTCTCAATTATTATAGCAAATATTTTAAATACAGTATATAATAATAATAATATATAAAAAATAATATAATTTTTATATATGTTTAGTCTAAATTGTTATAAATGTATCATGCTTATTTTTATTCTTATAATATATTATAATCATTTACTTTTATAATTACAAATACAGAATCATTGTTTAGCAATCAATTTACTATATATTGATTGATAAGAAATGATTAAATGAATTCAATTGATATATATATTACTGATTAATGACAATTTGAATGCTTGTGTTGTCTATTATTGTTCATTCAATATATGATATGAATGTCACCAATGGATCCATTCATACATCACTCATATATACATACATTTGTTCAACTCTTGCACTGACACTATAAGACGTTATTTATATACAATTATTACACATTAATATCGATATTGTATTGAAAATTCAATAAATATCGATATTGTTGTGTATTTAATAATACATAGAATTTGTAAATAAATTATTGAACAATATTTAAATGACTTATTGTATAATCAATACATATAGACATATATAGTGTAGAAATAGAAACAATAATTCTATACATTTAATAGTAAATTAAATAATTTWTATATAATTGATATAATATTAATATTATAGACATATAATAAATTTATTAATAATGATTTTTTTCTATTAATATCAATAACTTATTGATCACATAATAGTAAAATATGTGAAAATAAAATTGTCCGCAAAATATATACATTTGTTGATCACTTGACTGACAAACAATGGTTAAGAAGAAGAAGAGCGTATCACCCGATGTAAGACACATGTCATTAGATTTACAGACATTTTGATTATTATTGTTTTGTTTTAATCAGAAGAGCAATGCATCCCAAGACACGAATAATGAGTTAACCACAGACTTGCACTCAGAGACCATATCTTCAATTAAAAACAATTATTCTTTTAAAAGTCAAGAATGGGTTTCAAGTCGTTTAATAAATAATGCAAAGAAGGCAAAGGTCTGGAAGAATTTGAAACAGATATTAGCTATCGATAAGACATCGACAATCAATGGTAACTCTTATGCATCACTTGACTGTCATCCGTCACAAAAAGTAATTAAAAGATATTCCGATTTGAGTGGACTTCCGGCCAAATACAAAGACCCGACAACTCAACTATTATACCATAATTTGTATGAATTCGCTATAATTAAGACATTTTCTAATGATATTATTAATGGATATTTAGAGCTTAGAAAAGCTAATTCATAATATCAATTAAAACTATATTATATTTATTTTTATGCTAAATATCATTATATAAATAATTTGATATAAAATAATATAAATATATTATATTTTTAACAGTCAATGAATATAAATTTTTAATTTTATTTTGTTATAAAACTTATTTATACAGTATTTATATAAAGATGACATCAAATTATTTAATGAGTTGACAGACCATTAAAATTTTTAAAAATTATTATTCATTACTTTTAGAGATTTCTTGTTTATATTTATTGATGGCTTCTTTGGCCACTTTAAGTCTTTCCTTTAGATCTGAAATCTCGAGACGAACTTTATTCTTGGCATTCAATATAGTGTTGAGTGTTCTCTCTTTCTTGTCGTCGAAGTCTGTCTCGTGTTTGAACTGTCCTAAAGTCAACTGTCTGTTTGATGACAATAGCTGTGACATCATAACCGATGGATCTTGAAATATGATTTCATCGTAAAATTCAGAGACTAAATGCTTCTTAACATTGATTACATTATTGCTGGGATCAGTTTGAAATAACTTTAAGATATGGTATATAGTGACGGGTCGTTCATTAGGATCAATGAAATATATTTTGATGACAATTTCAAACTCACCCCAACCGGTCTCTGTCACCTCATAAGGAGGTTTAGTGATCATTCGGTTCGGGTTTTGATATGACTCATGAAGTTTGAAGTGAACTTTCTTGACATATGAAGACATGTCTTCATTCTTGTATGGCTTTACATAGACTGTCCATTGATGTGTGTGTCCGTCCTCTTCACGCTTTTTACCGAAATATTTGGCAACATTTCCGTAGACGACTGGTTTGACAACAACTGTTCCCTTCACACGACCGCCAGAATCGGGTCCGTACTCACAGATCTTGGACTTCAATAAAGCCATTTCAGTCATTGTGGCGGTTATTGCAGTGATTGTAATCACTTTATAACTAAATTATTGACAAAATTTATTACAATTTCAATGACAAACAATTCAAATACTTTATTATTATATTAATATCAAATTTATGAGTCGTTCACAAATGTTGTGACAATAAATATATTATTTTTTTCGACACAAAGTTGTTTTAATTTCACACATTTAATGATAAACTTTATGTGATTCATGTGTTCCCCAAAAGTCACACAATATATGAGTGAATGACGTAATTATTGAAGCATTGAATGCAATGATTCGGTGTTTTGTTTGTGTTGTGATTAGCCGTCAATTGATTGCATTGAATGCCTAACTGTTTGTTGAATTGAATCATAGTTTTGACACTTTTTGTATGCTTTAAGACATTTGATAATCACATTTGACATCAATGAGTGTCAACAATGATAATACCGACCAATTGGTCATTCAAGAAGACGATACAATTGTCACCAATAATGACAACGGGTATTGACCTTTGATGACCACATTTGTTGATAATTTAATTGATTTAATAATTTTTTTCTACATCAGTGACATCAAGAAGTCGAAGAATAAAAATCGCAAGAATAAGAAAAACAAAGACAAGAATCAGACTTTAGAGGTGACGCCAAACGATACAACACTACCGGAAAAGTGTTGTAACGACGCCTCATGTGATGTCACACACAATACATTTCAACCAAACGAAAGGGTTTGCTTTGACCAGACTATTGTCACCAATTGATTAGTAATTGTTTTATTTAATAATTAATTATTATTAAAGGATTTGAGAAAAGCAATGGAAATGCTTAGTCTATATCAAGGGGCCAGTTCTTCGGCAAAGACACCCGAAGAGGCTATGAGGAAAAAGTATGAGTTTTGGGAGACACAGCCGGTGCCCAAACTCGATGAAATACCAGAAGTTAATGACGCCATTGAAGCTAACAAATCAAATGATCAAATTAAGAAGGATTCATTAAATCTTCCAAATGGTTTCATTTGGGATACACTCGATATCAATGATGAAAATACTGTAAGTTATTTAAAAATAAATTATTGATGTATTGATAGAAATTTTATTACAAAACCCAATAACAAACCATAAGAAATGATTTGAGGAAAATGTTTAGATATTTATTGAATAAATTAGTTATATTTGGGAAAACAAAACAAAAAATGAAAGAAATACGAAATAACATTAACTGAAGAATAATATACAAGTTTTGAATACTAGTGACAATTCATACATTTATTATAACATAAATTTTTACAATAATATCTAGTTTTTGATTTAAACAATTAAAATTTTTAATTGCATTTACGGTAATCGAAAGTATAATTATCGATAAAATTACTTTCCGTGTAATAAATATTATTTTATTTAGATATAATTCTCTATTGTTATTATTTTTTTTATAGCTCCGAGAGTTATATCTATTACTAAATGAAAATTATGTGGAAGACGACGACAATATGTTTCGCTTTGATTATTCGCCTGAATTTCTTCATTGGGCTCTCAAACCTCCCAATTGGCAGAAGGAATGGCATTGTGGGGTCAGAGTTCAAAAGAGTAGCAAATTGGTTGGTTTTATTAGTGCAATTCCAGCCAATGTTAAAGTCTATGATAAGTATGTTTTATTAAATATATTTATTTAAATTGTGATGAATTTATTAATTACATTTGAATATATTGACTGAATTATTATTAGGCAAATAAAAATGGTTGAAATCAATTTTCTTTGCGTACACAAGAAATTGAGATCAAAGAGAATGGCTCCGGTCTTGATTAAGGAGATAACCCGTAGAGTCAATTTACAGAACATATTTCAAGCCGTATACACTGCGGGTGTGTTTTTGCCGAAACCAGTTGGCACCTGTCGTTATTGGCACCGCTCTATAAATCCAAAGAAATTGATTGAAATCAAATTTTCTCATTTGACCCGAAATATGACACTTCAAAGAACTATAAAACTCTATAAACTTCCCGACGATATTAAGACACATGGCTTTAGAAAATTGCAATCAAAGGATATGAAAAAAGTCCACAAATTATTGACTCAATATTTGAATGGCTTTGAACTCTCGCCTGTCTTTGACATTGAAGAGATGATTCACTGGTTTACTCCGAGAGATGATGTCGTCGATAGTTTTGTGGTTGAGGTTTGAAATCTATATATTTGAGATATAGATAATACTGTATATAAGATTAATACATTAAATTGTATATATTTTTAATACAATTATAGAGATCAGTTAAGAATGGAAAGAAAGGAGAAACAGAGATCATAGGTTTTGCAAGTTTTTATACATTGCCGTCAACTGTTATGCATAACCCGACCTATAAAAATATTAGAGCTGCCTATGCCTACTATTGCGTTGGCTCTGCCGATGTCAGCCTTCAAGACCTCATGCAAGACGTGCTAATTGTTGCTAAAAATGTAATCATTAAATCCATTAATTGTTGTGACATTAATATTTAATTTTCAAATATATAGGCCGGTTATGATGTATTCAACGCCTTAGACCTTATGGATAATAAACAATTTTTGGAAAAATTAAAGTTTGGTATTGGAGACGGAAATCTACAATACTATCTCTTTAACTGGAAGTGTCCAACACTGACATCCGAACAGGTTTGTTGTTATTGTTAATATTTATTATTATTTGTATTTGTATTGATATTTTTTATTAATAAATTTAATCCAATATACAGATTGGACTAGTATTGCAATAAATGAATTTACATTTAATGGCCAATAATATATTTATGTTTACTAATTGAAAATTTTTTCATTGCACCAAACAATATTATGATTAATATTAAAAATATAGATTTAAAATGAAAGTAATGTTTTGCATGTTATGTACCGTAAATCTGGTCACTAATAAGTTAGTTATGATAACAAACTATTATTTGCATATATTATTGTATTACTTGTACCGTACTATCAATTTTATTACTGGTATTTCTTAATGATTTTTTTAATATCACTGTACAATCAAATTCGCTAACAATATTTTATTTTTATTTTTTTTGCTCAAAAGATTTATCATTTTTGATACTATATTAGTATAACTAAAAAATTATATAAATAAAATAAAATTTTTCTAACAACAAAATTATAAAATAATTAATTACTGGTAGTTTGAATTTATTAATTTTTTTGTTATTAAATATATTATTTGTTTAATAAATAAAATATGTTTAAATTCATAATTAAATTATATAATTTTTATACTTATCTTTAATTTATATTACCGGTAATATAATAATAATATAACAGTTTTACTGTAATTACGATTAATCAAAAACGTTTTTAAATGTATAAAATAGATTATTTTGAAAATGAATATAATATTACAATATATTATATATTATGGCATTACCTTAACTGCAGTGAGAGATGGGAAGCTTGCGGTCAGTAATTATCTCGAGAACCAGTGGTCAGATCTTGCGGTCAAACATATAAAAGTTGTWGAGAATAAAAAGTTAGAAACAATGGTACACATTAAAAAAATTAGGTCCACCAGGGGGCCCACAAAAAAATAAAACCTATTTTTTTATAGAAAAAAAGTGCGGTCATTGAAAAATAGTGGTTTTATTTTATTTGTGGGCCCCCTGGTGGACCCAATTTGTTTTTAATGTGGACCATTGTTCCTATCTTTTTATTCTCTATAACTTTTATATGTTTGACCGCAAGATCTGATTAACGGTTCTCGAGATAATTACTGACCGCAACTTCCTATGTCTCACTGCAGTTAAGGTAATGCCATATATTATTCATAATGTATTGATTTTCAAATGAAATAATCATTTTCCCGATTTGTCGCTTGTATTTAAAATTTATTACTTCTACTGAAAATAACTTTTGAATGTAATTAATAATAACTACAAAAACTATTTTATAAATTATCATTTTTTAAACTTTTAAAATAATTATAGATCTGAATATTGTTTTTAATCTAAAAATATGACATTTACTGTATTTCTGGTTAAAACAATTTTTTTATTACCGGTAATTATTTTTATTTTAACAAATTTGATTAGAAAAATAGATATTTGTATTAATAAAACATTTAATAATTAATAACAATAATCGTATAAATATAAATATAAATGAATTAATGATTTCCATTGGAGAGAATGGTTGGCCACACAAGTGATAGTGAATCGGATGAAATCTTTTTGAACATAACTGATGGTTGATTGGCATTGATGTCGATATTTACAATCTTATCTTTTTTGCCGAGTTTGCAGTGAACGGGTGTCCCAACCCTTATACTTAACTCTTGTTTTCTAATTCTATATAAGTATTGTATTAATAAAAGTCTTAAAATGTATCGAAAAAAATCAATTATAAAACTTACAGATAATACTGACGAAGGAGAATAGCCACCAGTTCTCCCACTCTATTGATTTCTGAATTAAAATTTGATTTCATATTGATTAAGGAAAATACAAAATCATTGCCATCTCTAAGATGAATAGCAATTAATTGATCCAAATTAGGTGATACACTGATCCCAGTAATGGAGTCAATAGGCATTGGCTTATTTAGTGGCAACTGTTTCTTAATATCAAACTTATAAATGTATTGATTTGTCACAACAACCGCTCTGTCGGCACTTTTATTAAATTTGTTAATTTTCTTGATATAAGCAGAAAATAATATTTTTCGACAACCAGTTGAGTCTCGAAGTGTTAGTCGAGTAAAAGCCGACGAGAACTTTCCGTAGTCATCACTTTCGGCACTTTTATCCAAATAATTTCCTTCCCATTTGTAAGCATAACCCCAATCTCTTCGCTTTCCTTTGAAGACATCGGCGGCAATAACCTTAAGCTGCATTTGAGGCCAATCTTCGCGGGGAAATCTCTTGAGAACCATTAATGCTCTCCACTTGATATAAATAGCTCTTAACTGACTAATACCCGGATTGTTTTTAAGTCCAGAAGGAGGTGTTGGCCACGGAAGTGTTTTTCCGTAATCTCTTAAATTTTTAACATTTCTATAGAGATGAAGAAGTTGAACGACATATTTGCGAACTTTATAGCGCCTGTAGTATTGAATGATAGTCATCGCTGCTCTCATTTTGCGATACCTCATCCTAGCGATGGCACCTCTCCATAGTTTCTGTAAAAATACGACGATATTATGCAACAACTTTGTCCTTTCAGTCTCTAGCGTTGCAATAGTTTGTGGCGATCGGACAAAGATCTTTGTTTTGCCATATTTGACATCATTTGTAAACCTGTTTTCATCTATTAATACCCGACAACCATCCTTATCATTGCCACTCCTAAAGTTAGGCCACGTTCGCGCCGATAACATCTTATATCTTCTTAAGAACCTTTCATAAGTCATTCTATAAGCAAATCCGGCTCTTCTGACCCTAACGTTCTCAAGAAGTCCCAGATATGCGACCTGATGTCTAACCCTTTCTTCATCAAACATTACGGGAGACTTTTGTTCATTTGGTTTAATACATCTCACATAATATGGCGCTTTGGACATCAAATTCTTAACCAATGCAATCATCGAAGTCTTAAACATAAATCCTGCGGTAAGCGGTCTTTTGTTGACAGCACTCATGTGTTGAGATCCCTCGGGAAACATATCTATAATTAAAATTATAAAATAATTTAATAATAAAATAAAAATTCAGTTTTATTTAATTTTAATAATAATAATTGTGATCACCAAAACAGTAGATACTATTTATAAAATCACAAGTATTTAAAGTGATTATTATTTGATTATTTTTTGTATTAAGATATATAAGTAATACAAAATATTCAAGTTTTTATTATTTATTTATTGTTTTAATTATAATTACAAACCTTTTATAACTTTATCATTACTGTTATAAAGAAGTCGTTTGAAATCTTGAAAAAGTGAATCTTTATTTTTATCAATGAATCCAATGATAGAATAGTTGACATCTCCGGCATAGTGTTTGATCCGGAAGTCTCTGTGATGTACTAATGTCTTGTCTGATGGAGACAAACGACGACTCGTATAGTGTTTGTGTTTCGCAAGTTTGTTATCCATGTTTTCGAGGAGCAACTCATCCGTGATTTTACCAACATTAAGACAGGCCTCGTCAATGATGGCAAGGACTCCCTTATGGTTTTCTTCAACTAAATTACAAATGATTGCATTATTGAAATACTCGATGTGTTGCCATTCAATGTCTTCTCTTTGGTATTCTTCCTGTTCTTGTTTTAATACTAATTCAATGAACAGTTGTTGTAATTTTTCGTTACAATAATTAATACAGAATTGTTCAAAGCTGTTGTTATCAAATATTTCAAAGCCATAAATGTCAAGAACACCGATTACGGCACCTTTTTTGCCGGAACTGATGCTTCTTCTATTGGCTTCTTTGCTCATATCTATTGCGTTATTAATTTGCTCAACAATTTGAGTGAACAATCGCTCGTAAATTGCTTTTGCAAACGAATCCCTTCCAAATGTGGCCTCAACTTTGGTATGTTGTTTGGACATCACTTCTCCGCCGGCGGAGATCACTCTATGGCACAATGTCTTCACTAATTCAGATTCATTGATTGACAACAACTTTGCAATTTGACTGATCTCTCTTTTGCTTGAATCTGTTATCTTAATATTATCTTCATTTTGTTCATCAACTTTAAACTCAATATTTCCCAAATGCATGATCGCTGCCAGTGTTTTCCAGTAGGTCTCAGATTGCGATTCATTAAAATTTAATATTTTCATTGCATTTTCCACTCCCTTATACTCAGTTTTGTCATTAATTGAATCCACCTTTTTTTGGAAAAGACAAAAATTATGTTAAATCTATAGTTTGAAAATAAGTTAATTAATAACAAATATTATACATTGATTTGATTAGTTCATTGATCTAATATCTTAAGATTTAATCAGAAAACATTTATCAGTTTAAATAAATTTTAATATAAACTACTTATCCATATTATATTTATAAATAAAAACTAGTTATCGTAACTTTACATAAAATTGTTATTCAACTTTCTATAAATAAAAATAAAAATACGATAATTCAATGCAAATACAATACCTTAGGACTTCCTCCTTGTTTAAGATAAAAATAACTATTTGGATCTCTTTTAAGACCAAACTTGTTGAGAGTCTGATCTGAAGCACCGCTTAATAAGTGATAAAATGAATGAAAATTTCGTTCACCAGTTTGTTGTCCGACAACTCGAGACTAATGAGTATATTATTAAAAATAGTTAATTAATTTCATGTTTTTTTCACTGTTTTTAACATTTGAAATAAAAACCTTTTCGAGGAGATAATTGTTAATATGACCGCCCAATGGATCTCCTTTAAAGTCAAAGTTAATGTCCATATATTTACCAAAACGGCTTGAATTGTCATTTCTGTTGGTCTTTGCATTGCCAAAGGCCTCCAAAATACAGTTTGACTGAAGTAATACATTTTTAACACTAATATAAAGTTTGATAATTATGTTAATAAGTTTTGTAATGAAATAAAAAACAAAATAAAATCTTAAGCGAACCGTTCAATCTCTTGTTGTCCGCTTGTATTAGTAATGGCAGCGATGTATCGCATAATTATTTTTGATGCCTCAGTCTTTCCCGAACCACTTTCGCCTAATTATTGTTACGAAAACACAAGTCATTATATATACCGGTTTTAATTAGGATTATAAGGTCTATAATTAGTAATACATTAAAAATGTTGAAAATACCTGATATAACAATACAGGTGTCTTTGAACCTCTGTTTCATTGTCTTATAAGCGGAATCAGCGATTGAGAATATATGGGGCGGCCTTTCAAATATTTCCCGTCCCTTATAGTCATTCACATAATCATTGCCAAAGATATTGACAGTCCGGTAGGGATTCACTGATATACAGACTTCTCCAATATATGTGTATAGTTTAGCTGAACCGTGCCTTTAATCATTAATTTATAATACATTAAACAATCATTTATTATTACATTATAATATTATTCAAAAATATATACCAAAAAATCAATAAAATATATTTTAAATCAACTATATATTAAATATTTACAATAAAAGTTGTTTATTTGTCAAAATAGCAAATTTCAATGTATATCTAATTAAATTCCTATATTGTTTTTCTTAAATGCTTAAAAAATTGAATAAAACAAATTGATAATTGCATAATTTGAGATACAATTGATATAGACATTTACAATTATTTAATAATATATAATTATATTACTAAAACATAATAATAATAATAATGTAAACACTTATTAGTTAACATATAAAGTAATGTTAGGAAAGTCTGTGCCCTTAATCTCATCAAAGACTGCTTTTTAGTAAAACTGTGTTTCGGTTAATAAATTCATTTATGCATCACTTGTGCTGTTTAGCCGTAATTATTAACTTATAATAAAATATTTATTTTTATTTAACAAAATTATAGATTTTGCGTGATTTCTTACATTTGACTAATTTCATTAACATTATTTAAATACAAATTTTGCTTTTAAATTTAGACTAATTTTTTCAAAGTTAATCAATATAAAAAATTTCAATGTTAATCACCATAAAAGTTTGCATAAAATAAATCAAAAATTATTTAAAATTCAAAAAAATAAGTCATTAATAAATAATAAATTAAAAATATACAAAAAAGTAAATAGTTTTTAAAATTACAATTTAATCATTTTGTACTACATTTTTCTGTTTATACAGTATTTATTATATTAGTATAAGAAAATGTTATATAAATTTTTACAATAAAAAAATTATATTAATGTTATTTTTTTATATTTACAAAATTGCTTATTAAATAAATTCAACAATTTTGTGATTATCAGCACTCAAAATTAAATTATAATAATAATAACCATGGTAAATCATTATCATTTTTTATATATAAACTGAAATTTTAGTAACTTTTTATTAGTTAAACTATTAACAAATTTTTAAAAAGTATATAAAAAACCTATGAAAAGAAATATTTAAATTTTATAATATAAGTCTTATATTATAAGATATGCAATAAAGTATTGTTTAATCATAATATTACAGTACAGTACTGTATATACCAATACACATACATTAATACTATACTGTATATAATATATATTAGGCGTGGTTCACATATTACGTTCGCACTTGAGGGGAGGGGGGGGGTTAGTCAAAGCGAACTTTTGCGAACAAGGGGGAGGGGAGGGGTAGAGACATTAAGAACGTTCGCAATTAAATAATATTTTATTTATTGTGGTGGGGGGGGGGTAGCGGTTAGGGACAAGCGAACGTAATTTTTTTAAATGACTACATGCGAACAATTGCGAACATAGGGAGGGAGGGGGTCTAGATTTCTTAAAAAGTGCGAACGTAATATGTGAACAACGCCTTATATATTATTTGGCAATTTTTAAAAAGATAATGCAATATACAGTGCAGTACTAAATACTATATAAAAGTTTTACATTAAATATAATAAATCTTTTATGACTTCTCATTACATTTGTTTTTATTTCTCACTACAAATAACCTTCAATTTATAAAATTTTTTGAAAGTATGAATCATTTTTGTTAAATTATGTGATGCTTTTGTTTTATATTAAATCTTATGAAATGTAATAACAGATTAATTATTTTATATTTGTAAATAAATTATTTTGTAAATTAAATTTCTTTAATTCCATGCAGTTTTTAATTAAAATATATATAAAAAATAAAAACTTTAAAATATAACATTTATAATTGGATATTATTTAATAATATATATATATAAGTAATGTAAAAAAATATTTTATAATATCAATTTAGATTTGCTATCTATTAATAATCACTAAAAATTCATATAAATTAACCATGGTAATTTAGATATATATTCTCAATACCTCAGTTAACTTAACACTATTATAATTTAATAAAGTTATGTAAAATATAGTATTATATGAGTTATATAAGAGTTAGTTATTTTTATATGTATTTATAATTTTTAAACAAAAATAAACTACAATTTGCAAATATTTATTGTTTCCAATTTTTAATAGGGGTATGAAAATTAAAAAAAAATTACAGTAATTGAGGTCTAACTAAACAAATAATTTTTAATAATTGTGTTAAATTTATATTTAAAAATAGTAAAAATAATTTATATACAATTTATTATATGTTATTTTTATATTTAAGTTGACAATTAATTTATTATATAATTGTTATTTGATCATTTATTTTATAACATATTTGTGATTATTAATTAAAAAACAATTTATAACAATCTTAAATGATTTTGAAAATATTTTTATAGTCAAGTCATTCAATAAATTGTGGCTTAACTTATCAGTTGTCATAACTAAGAGATTACTTTCATTTAATTTTACTTATTTTTGTATTACCAAAATTTTTTTTAGTAAATAGCAATAATAATAATAATAATAACAATAATATTTGAAAATAAAATATTCTAATTAATATTTTTATTAAAAAACAGGAAATCATTTGTCAATATAAAAATGTTTTAAATTTTGTCACTCCATATACAGTATACATGAATAAAATAACAAAAATAGTGTATTTATTAACAATTTAATAAAAATAAATTATTGATATCATTATTTAATTAAACTTTAAAAATATTTGATAAAGAAAATTTTGCTAAAATTATACAGTATTTTAATAGTTTTTAGAAATGTATATAATATAGAATCTATATTATAGATACAGTAGTATGTATTGCATACTAAATAGTAAAATAATACTGTATTAAATAGTAATTAAAAATTTATTTATAAATAATGCTAAAAATATCAAGTTTCAAAGTTATTACTACAGTATGTTATGTTATTATATTTTACAGTATATATTATGATAAATTATTAGGGTATTTGAAATAACATTCTTAAAAACTGATGGTTAAATTCTAAACAGACTGAAATAACAATAATTTTTTAAAAAAATTGATATTTAAACATTTATTTTATTTTTTGCACAATTTTCATTGAAAATAATATAATAAAACTATTACTTCGTTTAATAATTTGCCAAACAGTAAGTAATTTAATCTAATTAGATTTACAATTTATATTAATAAATTAGATATTGATAAAATATATTAAATATTGTTAAAATTATTTCAATTGCTTCAATAAGAATTATATTTTAGTTTAGAATATTTAATAACTGATAATTAATTTAAATATTACAGAAAATTTGAAGATATTTATATAAAATTTTCTTACTTAAAAATACAATCAAAACTTATATAACTGCAGTAAATTATACATATATTACATATACAATATGTTATATTTTTTTAGTGATTTTACGAGTTTTTAATGAATATCTAAATATATATTTTAATTAATATTTTTCTATACAATATTTTTCTAGAATTGTAATATCATCTATAATTATTTATCAATAGTGATAACTTAATAATGTAACATATGATATGTTTATTAAAAACAAAAAATTTTAATACACAATATATACTGTTGAATATGAATTTATATGAATTTATCAATAATATCAACAATAACTATGATTATTATAAAAATTACTCATATTATACTTCATATTATACTTCATATTAATACAAACAATATTAGTTTATTATTAACATTTAGATGTTGACTCATTTTTATCGATTATTTTTTTATTATTTATAAAAACCTAATCTATAAATAAATATTATAAATCTTTTCTATACATGAGATCATAGTTTTTATTTAGAATTTTCAGACTAAAGACTACACAACGCCTACGAATATTTCCAAAAATGATTTCTCAAACATTTCTCAAATAATCTTGACTTTGAAACGATTTTAATGTTTTCTCTCGTAAATCATTAATGTTTTTATTTTTAAAGTAGATATACATATCAGCGGGACTTAAAAATTTTAAAATAAAACACTTGAATAATAAGTGATTTTCTTATATATAAATAGTTTTTAAAAATAAGTATAAATTTGATGGTAAACCTGATTCTTAGATTTTCTACGAATGCATTCATCGACAAGTCGTCCAAAAGGACTGCATCTCCGACACCGACCTCTGAATTACGATAAGACATCTCTTGACTTATATATTAACACAATTTAATAAATTATTAATTAACTGAAAACATTTACTTTTAAATAAAAAATTTGGCAACAAATAAAGTATCGAGAAATAAAAAAAACTAGTTATTGTAAACTTTTAATAAATAAATTAACAATTATATAATATTTAAGTGAAAGCATTTGTTTAAGTAAAATTGCAAACACTATCATAAAAATTGTTTGTCTCCCATAACTCAACGGATATATGTTTTAATAATTGAATGAAAAAGCAGATGTTATTAGTACTGGTCGTTAAGTATTGTGTCGTAAATGAAATAGAGGTTTGGTTTAACTGATAACAAACCTCAATGATTAGCAAAACCTGTGTATTGCATAACAATTTTTATTTAGAGAGTCGGCACAGAATCAGGGAATGGGAGTCAACTACAGTACACTCTTAACCAGTTTTTAACTATTTTAAGCGGTTGTCTCAGTGTTTCACATATAACAAGTTTGAATTGTTTGGCGGATATTATTAAAAATGATTATATTATTGTTTTATTTGTTGTTTGAATACAATGTTTTAGGAAAAATGACATATATTTTATGTATAATTTAAGTTATATTAAAGTTATTTAACTTACTATTTCTTGTGTGTTTCACAACGTGAACTTCACAACTATTGTATTATATTTGTAATCATATAAAAGATAATAACTACCACTACTGTATATGATTGATAACACTTGAAAACTTAATACAATTTTGACATTATTGACTCTTTGAATTTAGTAACAGTAGAAATGCACTATTTTTTCTTTATCTACTTATAAGGTAATAATAATAATAACTTTTATAAAACATTTTTTATTTATAAAGAGTCTACATTGCATATTATAGACTCTATAAAAAAAATTATTTCATTGAATATATAAATTTATATAATATTTTAGAAATTATAATYAAAAAAAACTAAATTATAATAATGAAACTTAGAAAAAATGTATAAAAATTAAAATTCTATATAAACTTATTTTATAAAATTTTTCTATAATTGCATCAATTGTATAGAATTAACTCATTTATTCTATTTGTTTGAATCGATGGACAAATTTTGTGAATTGTCTGAACGAGAAACTGATTTACGTTTAATATCTTGAGGTGAATAATAAGCAATCAATTGATTGCAAACATTGCGAATAGTTTTAAACGCTTCAATTGCTTTGTCGACAGATTGCAAATCATTTGATTTGCAATTATGGTCCAAACCTTTTGATTTAGACGACTCTCGGGATCCGATGTCTTTGAAGCGACTTTCATCACGACTTTGAAGCGATGATCTCTTAATGAACCGACACTGTCCTCTGCCATATAGTGATTCATACTCCCGAAGAATTACGCAGATGTCTCGAGATCTCAGTTGACATTCTTTAGAGCTGTCAAATGGATTCAATTTTTCGTCCGATTGAATAAATTCCTGATTTTAACATAAATTATATGTTTGTATAATACTTGCAAATATTTTTTTTTGCAAATTATATTACAATATATTTTTTCTGATGTTTGATACCATTAATATGTCTGAACGCTGAGTCTGTGGACATGTTATGGCTATTACAGAGAAGACATACAAAGTCTGTCTCTTTTGACGTCGAAGTCTTACGAATTTGTTTTATAAAATCTAAACCTAAAAATCATTTATAATATCATAATTTACTCATTAATTAAAATAATATTTATTTAGTAAATCAAGGCTCAAATAAACTTTAATATAATGCTAACCAACGATCGCATCTTTTTTATTATCCAATAGTTTTTGCAATCTATGACCACCTTTTGATTGCATTGAGTGGTCATATAAACTTAAATTCTGTAAATTAAAAGTTAGTATTTTTAAAATCAAAATCAAACAAAAAGTATACCGATTGATGTCTTTTGCCTTTCAAATGTTTCAAGAAATCTCTTCTCGAGTGACATAAAGAGTCGCAAACTCTACACAAGAGATCAATCGGAGAATTTCTGGAGTAATAGTCATTTGCATAGTTTGGTCTAAATTCATGCGACAATGAATTCAATGTATCAAAAGGAGACCAAAGTCTAGATCTCTTAATTGGTGACTTGTCGTCCATAACACCACTCGATCTCTTTGTTGGATCTTTCGAAACATATCTAAAGTCTAGACTATAATTTGAATGATTGAGTATTTCTCCGGTACTGTTGCCGTGTATTGCAATATCTATGAAAACAAATTATCACAAATAAATGATTCAAATAATTGGTTATACAAACCAGTCATTTGCTGATTTGATGAACAATTTGAATAATGAGAATCATTTAAACCACTTGGAGATGATAAGAGAAAACTTGATGAAAACCAATGATTAGATCCATTTGTGGACCAATTTTCAATCATTGATCGATTCATTGACACTTCAAACGATGTGATTCTCTAACAATTAAATAAATAATTTGAAGACAAGTGTTGTCTGACAATCAAGAATTCATTGAATTTCAACATTTGTTTCTAAATAATTGCTTTTATTCTACAGTTTTATCCATTTGTTGATCGCGTGAATTGCAGTAATATTAGCAAAATATTACTTAAAACTGTGTTTTACAGTACATATGATGTCAAATCATAGTATCACTGATTTAATTAAACTATAATTATAATTAAAAATTGTTATATTTTTTGTATTTGTTATATTTAATAATAATTTTATACTGTATAAATTAATTGTAAAAAAATACTTTTTATTATAAATTAATATAAACAAAAAAATATTGTATTTTTAATTAATCATTTAATATACTGTAATTAGATGTTGGAAACAAAATTTATTTGTGAATATAATTACAAATGTCTTAATAAATTGCATGATATAAAGTTAATTCTAAATAAAGTTTAATATCAATTATAATAATTTAGTTATTATTTATTAATTTCTTCGTCGTCTAACTCTTGATATTCTCCAAGAATTTGGTTCTTCATATTTATTAAAAAGCGGTTCCAATCTGAGTTGTTTCTTATGTTTACTAAGTTTGGATGGATCAGCAAACTTAAAGAAACTGGGAGCAAATTCAACCAACCATTTGGGATCAATTGTAGTACATTCACGCATATACTCTTTGGTAGTCATCACTAGTTCATGATATACAACCCATTCTGGCTGTCGATTAAACAAAGAACTCGATGGATGAATATAAACAACTTGTGAGTCGACAAGTGTTCGGTACCCCTCCTGTGGGTCTTTTTTGGCGGCATTTCTGAAAAATCCACTGCAAATGGTTTTCTGAACGCGAGCCGTATTTTTATTACAAGAAATGACATCTAACTTATGTCTGTCCATAATTCCAAGCAATTGTTTGCGAACATCCTGTGCTCTCTTAAGAGTTCTAATCTGAACAAAGTTTTCATAACACCACGGATTAGAAAACTTATTATTTTTCCACGAGTTATACACTGCAAGAAGTGTCAAGTGGTCGCCTTCCAGTTGGTTAAACTTAGCCTTCTTCTGGTCGGCCAATGCCTGCTTGTCTTTAGGTCTGTAAAATACATTTTGCACGGAAAGCATGGATACAATTGTAAGTATCTCATCACTACAGCCCAACTTCACTGACATAATCAACATTTTGCAGAGTCTGGGCTCCAATGGAAACTCTGCCATACGTCGGCCTAAAACAGTGAGCAATCCTTCATCATCTAATGCTCCCAATGAATGCAACGATTCCAATGCCATAATCAATGTTTCAGTTGGTGGTGCGTCCATGAAATCAAAAGATAATAAATCATTGATTCCCATAGCTTTCAATTGTAAAACAGTTTCAGCTAAGTTTGTTCTCTGTATTTCAGGTACGGCTGTAGTCAACATTTCATCTCTATAGGCGCGCTCTGTATATAATCGATAGCACTTTCCGGGTCCGGTACGACCCGCACGACCAGCTCTTTGTTTGGCCTGTGCTTGAGATATAGGAGTTACAATAAGAGAGTCCATTCCTGTTTTAGAGTTATACACATTTTGTTTGCCAAATCCCGGGTCCACCACATAATAAATGCCATCAATAGTTAGTGAGGTTTCGGCAATGTTTGTGGCAATAACTACTTTTCGAGAACCAGGAGGTGTCGGTTCAAAGATACGGGTTTGCATTTCACTGGGAAGAGCTGAATACACGGGCAGAATAATCAATTCGGGTACTTCTGGACCCAACGATTTCATTCTTTCGTATAGTATTTCACACGCCGTATCAATCTCTTCTTGACCGGTAAGAAATAATAGTATATCTCCCGGCGGTTCCGTCAAATGGATTTGCATAACAGTAATGAGTGAAGCGTCTAAATAATCAGTTTCGGGATCTTTTGTATAAAGTATTTCAACGGGATATGTACGGCCAGGTATTGTAAAAATAGGCGCTTCAAAAAAATATTGTGAAAACTTGACGGCATCTAAAGTGGCTGATGTCACGATTAACTTCATTTCTGGTCTCTTTTTAACAGTATTTTTAAGCAAACCAAACAATACATCTGTATTAATGGTGCGCTCGTGTGCCTCGTCTAACATAATCACTGAATACTGCTTCATATCGCCGTCGAGTAGACATTCTCTAAGAAGCATACCTTCTGTCATGTATTTGATGGCAGTCTCAGGACTCGTACAATCTTCAAAACGAATAGTATATCCGACTTCTTGTCCCAAACGGCAACCATACTCTTCAGCTACGCGTTTAGCTACAGACATCGCGGCTACTCTTCTGGGTTGAGTACAACCAATCTTTCCACGCGCTGTATAACCGGCTTCAGCTAAATATTGAGTCATTTGAGTTGTCTTTCCCGAACCGGTTTCTCCGATAACAATAAGTATTTGGTTATCGAAAATAGCTTTTATAAGTTGGTCTTTAAACGTATAGATCGGAAGACTCATTCTTTGCTCAACTAAAGTCAATTGAGTCTTCTTTCCATAGGAGCCTCTTGCGCCTCCAGTCACGTGTTTCTTCCACTCGGGCACATCCATAACGCCAGGACCGGCACTTCTCATATTAGCAGCTAATGGTCGGGTATCGTTGTCAGGCATAGGATCGATCCAATCCTTGTTCAAATTGGAGGGAACGCCTTCCATCTCTGATTCTCTCTGTTGTTGTTTGACTTCCCGTCTTTCTTTAGCGAGTGCCGACTGCATCATAGCCGACTGCGCTAATGAGCCGTCCGGGTTCTTAACAATACGTACGGGACTTAAATTCATTAGATTAGCTCTACCGTGACCTTTAAGAAATGCTGGATCGTCTTCAACCAACTCTATTTCAATGTCTTCATCGTCATCTTCGTCTTCATTAGGCAATAGTCCGTTCACGTCATCAAACTCTGGTAACATTGATTTGTCTAAAACATTTGCTGACATCATTTGCTTCAATTCCCATTTCTCTGGTGATGATATCCTTTGAACAATACGTCTTCGAGTATCTACATCTTCATCATCGACGGTATTATTTACTCCGGCCAATGGCAAAGTTAAGGGTCGGTCAGGATTTCGGGAATTTAACAAATCATCGTTTGGATCCTTTCTATCCCGAGAAGGATTTAAATCTTCACCCGTTTCCTGATCCACATCTTTAATAGAGAGACTGGTTTTTTGTCCGGTAAATGAAAGTACTTTTACTTTAACTCTCTGTCCTCTCTGAACCACTTCATTAACATTATTAACTCTTCCTTCACGTCTTAATTGTGAGATATGGACCAAACCTTCCCATCTTTTTCTTAGTCCATCCATTTGGACAAAACACCCGAATTGCATAATATTAGTAACTTTTCCTTCATATAAGTTTCCGATAACTGGTTCTAAAGGTAACTCTTGTATCTGACGTTCTCTCTCTTCTTTTTGAGATTTCTGTCTTCGTTCTCGACTTCTATCCCGATGTCTATCTTTTGAATCGCTTCTACTTCTTCGCCTTCTTCTATCACGACTTCTATCACGACTTCTATCTCTACTCCTATTTCTATGTCTGTGTCTGTCATCACTTCTGTCACGACTTCGATGTCTTCGAGAACTATGTTTATCTCTACTTCGACTTCGTTTTCTTCTTGAGGTTTTTTCGTCATCTTTTCTCTCCTTTTTAATGCTTTTGTGACTTTCTTTTGATTCGGCTTTTGGTGCCATAGAGTCAAACAACGCCATCATATCGTTTGCCACTTTTTGATCTTCATTTTTCTCTAACTCTTGTTTTATATCTTTATCGCCAACTAATTCACAGTCTTTGATGTCATCATTTTCAAGCAAATGTCTAGCTTTGGGATCATTAGGAAGAGCTAGAAATGGAAACAAAGCTTTTTTCAATTGTATGTCATTCTTGTCCATCGATTTTATCTCATTTTCTTTTTCATTGTCCAATTGTTTACTCTTCTTAGGTCTCATGTGTTGAATAATTCTCAAGAGATTTGCCACAAATGAATCACTAAATTCTGCGCCGTTTTGGTTAAGAACTTGTTTGAAGTCATCAAAAGTGTTGTTACTTTCGGCCAATTTTATGATAAACTCTGCCATATCTTTGTCATTGAATCCCAAGTGATTCTCCAGTTCTGTACATATCTTCGACACCAATGATAGCTCTTGTAGTTTCTCTAACTCATCCATATCTGTGGTGTTGTGTTCAGTCAAATATCACTTTAATTGTCATCAAAAATGTTTGAATAAATAATTGAATTAAAATCGTATTTAAATCACAAATAAAAACATTTTGTCGTCATTTCAACGATTTTGTGACCATTGAAGACGTCTTCAAATTCATTCAATCAATCAAATGATTTATATAATCGACGAAATTATCAACAATTATACAAATCCTATCAATTTTTGACTAAAAGTGATGTTATTTTAAGTTAAATATAATTAAAATTAATTAAATGTAATTAAATTAATCCCTTATTTGAATCACATTTAATCCAAAACTCAATGCAATTGTTGTCGTAATTGATGTCATTTGTTGTCAACATTTTCAGCCATAGCTGTGTTGAAGACATCGATTGGTTATAGTATTGAATGACCTTTTAATTGATACAAATCAGTGACAAACAAGTGGACAAAGTAGTGATATTTAGTTGATTGTAAAGATGGATAAAGTCATCGAAAACAAGGGAAAGGTATTTGCGGCCGAAGATGAAGACGAAGAGCAAGATTTGGTCGATCCTCAGACACAACTGCGCGAAGAATGCACTGAAAACCACTGTCAGGGATACCAACAGAAACTTCAAGACTGTAACGATAGGGTCAACAGCAGGAAGAAGACCGCAGAGAACTGTATGGAAGAGATCATAGATTTGATGCATTGTGTCGATCACTGCGCCTCTAAATCACTGTTTGCTAAACTTAAATGATATAAGAAGTTGATCTCAACTATCGTATGAATCAACTGTTATATTGAATGACAATTAGTTTAACTCTTTGTTTTATTTACAATCTAACAGATAATGCAATCAATGATTAGATGAATGCGTATGTAATGAATGGTCGACTTTATGGTTGATGTAGTTTTCAAATTAGTTATCAATTTATCATAATTTAGTCAAATATATAATTCAAATGCAAATAAATTGTTTTAAATTAAAACATGATTTTATTGATTGTCTATTAATTATAAGTAAATTTATCATTAGATATATATTACCGGTTAGTAATCTATTTATAATAATTTTTTATTGTATTACCGTATTATACAAGAGTTTAAATTATTTCATTATAATTAATTTAAGTTTTAATTATTGAACGCATTTAATATTTACATTGAGAAAAACTAATGTTATTAATGAAATTAATAATTTTTATTATTACAAGTATTTTACAAAATATTTGATATACAGTATATATATTTATAGACCAACATTACAATATAAATGATAATTACCGTACATTTGTTTTCAAATGTTAAAAAAAATAAAATTAATTACAAATACAAGAATGTATAGCATTTACAAGAGTTTTGGGCAATACTGCAAATTTACTTATACTTATGGAAGTCTTGGAGCTAAATAAATGTTTGAAAACCATTGGTGACACTTAGTATATGAGTGCCAAATGACATTAAGACATAAAACATGAAGGGAAGGGCAGACAATCTCTTATAATTGATTAGTTTCTGTTCCTGTTTTTCAACTCTAATCCATTTGCGGCTCCGATTGACAGCCATTTTCCAGATATTAATTCTGTCGAGTCGTGTCTGTTCATCCAATTTGGGCCAAAATATGTCAAATTTTTTGCTAATATTGTTTGTTGTGCTCTCCTTATTGAATGACAATCTCCTAGTAATGTGTCCCATAATTCCTTGGTTAGCAATTGTCAAATGAAGATCTGTCTCATCGGGTTCGCGAATATCCCAAAGCCCGACATGATATCCGGCGACCATAGCGGCGCCCAAAGCAGTTGCTTCTGTGAGTTTTGGTCTGACTATTTGACAACCAGATATATCGGCCAACATTTGACACAACAGGTCATTACAACTCATGCCTCCATCAACTTTGATGCCATTCCTGTCCTGACGCATCATTGCTAGTATATCGTTGGCCTGAAAGGCAACTCCTTCAAGAGTAGCCCTAACTAAATGACACTTACGACTAAATTGTGAGACACCTATTATGGTTCCGGTGGCATTGGCGTCCCAGTAGGGGGCGTATAGACCTGAAATTTAATGGAAATGATAAAAACAATTGCAAACACATCTCTTATAATACCTTGAAGTGCCGGAACAAAGAAGAGTCCGCCGGCACTGACGTCTTGGTTTGCAATTCCTTCAATTTCGCTATAGTTCTGAATAATCTCCAGATTATCTCTGAGCCAAGTTATGGCAGCACCGGCTATAGCGACACTACCTTCCAATGCATAACAGGCAGGATTTGATCCTAACTTATAAGCAACAGTTGTAATGAGATTTTTTTTGGCCTCACTCGATACACCATTGAGTGCTCCGTGAATTGGTCCAGGACCTAAATTTTGAATTAAAAAACACCCGGTGCCATAAGTCACCTTTGCCTGTCCAATACCAAAACACTTTTGTCCTACAAGTGCTGCATTTTGATCGCCAATTACACCTATAATATAATATAAATGAATTTGTTTATAATTTAGTCAAATGTTTAGTTATATTTACAAATAATTATAAATACCTGTTATTGGTATTCCTTCTAATGGTCCCAATTTAATGGCTCCGAAATCATCGGATGAAGATTTAATTTCAGGCAATATTTTCATTGGGATATCAAAGAAGTGACACAAAGAAGGGTCCCATTCAAGAGTCTCAATATCCATGAGTAGTGTTCGGCTGGCATTTGTTACATCTGTCATGTGTTGACCGGTTAGCTTCCATAATAGCCAAGAATCAACTGTTCCCACAAGTAATCTATTATTTTTTATTGACTCAAATATTGTCCGATCATTATGTAAAAGCCATTTAAGTTTAAATGCCGTAAAATATGTTGAAAGAGGTAAACCAGTCTTTTTCTTAAGCCAATTGAGATCACGACCCGGAATATTATCTAATATTGTATCGACAATCTCAGAGGTCCTATTATCTAACCATACAATACAATTGTAAAGGGGTAGACCTAATAGATTTTTAGTAAAAATTTTACAAATTATTTTGATTGTCAAGGATTAACAATGATTGTCATACCCGTCACTTTGTCCCAAACAAGAGCTGATTCTCTTTGATTGGTGAGTCCAATACATTTAATATCTTTATAGTTGATGTCTAAAGAATCCAACTTTTGTATGACTACTTCGATGGTTTCACAAACTGAGTCAAACAGCTCTAGTGGGTCCTGTTCTACCCAACCCTCACATGGAAACACCCGTTTAATTTCAATTTGATGATAAGTGACGAGTTCGCCCGTTTCGGCCACAAACACCAAAAATCTGGTAGAACTGGTGCCCTGATCTATGGCACCAATTAGTGGTCCCAAATGTCTCATATCTACTTTAATTACTAACTTTTATAAACTTTTTAAAACTCTTTACATAAATCTTTATTTGAAATACAAATACAATAAAAATTTTAATGAATTACAAGTAATTTAAATATATAATAATATATAGTATTTACGAAAAATTTTACTAATTTACTAATATTAATACAAAAGATACAAATAAAATATATATTAATATTTTATAAGAGTCTGAATATTTAGGCGACTTATCCTACAAGAAGCTGATAGAAAATTCTTATCCAGCAATCAGTGGCAATGGTCTTAAAGCACTTCTAGAGTCATATAGACTGGAGAAGACTGGTTTAGATGTAGAAGCATATCATAGGTTTGTTTGGTTAGCACTTTAATCTTGCAGTCAACTCTCGTTTACTGTTTAATTAAAGTGTTAATTTTATTTTAGATTAATTGCGAATTTAATGTGATATAAAAATTGTTTATAATAAATATAAAATAGTAGATAGTATTTCTATTTTGTAAAAGATTATTAAACACAACTAAATTTTAAAAAATATATTAAGTTTCATAGGAATTGCTATAATACAGTATAATAATACAATATACGGTATAACATATTATTATAGTTTTTTATGTTAATATTTATCAAATAAAACTAAATAAATTCAAACATTAATACAGTATTTTTAGTTTGCCATTACATTTTTGAATGTTATTTATAGTTAAAGTTAACTCAATGATTACACATAAACCAAATTAATATTACATTTAAAACTATGGACTGTCAAACATCATAATCGATTAATTTTGGTTTTTAATAATTTTTGAACAAATTTTATTATAGGCTTACATTCAATTAAATATAATAAATCTAATCTTATGAGGAAATAATGAATGTCTTTGTTTAACTGTTATTTAATTTGTTAAATTTTAATTACAGATTACTATAAGTTATATAAATTAATATAAAAAAGTTTTATTAAGAAAAAACAAAAAAACTTTTTTATTTTTAATGTTATAGTCTTTCATTACTTAGTTTAATTTATAAATCAAAGATAAGTTATAAAATACATAAAAAACATTAATACTAAACATTTTTTAAAAATTATGTAACATAAACTTAAATATTAATCTTAAATGACTAGTAAACTATATTTAATTAATAACATGATTAAGTTAAATCCTAATTCTTATTTATAAGCAATTATGAAAAAATTAAAAATATACTTAAAATAAAATTTTTAAAAATAGGTTTGAATTTATCGTTTCTATTAATTTCCATTCAAATCATAACTTCTCATTTACTAAATAAAAATATTATACATTTTATAAAATACTAGTTTTGTGTACATTTGGGTCTTTCCTAAAGTATCGAAATCAAGGTCTTGTTAGTTATTTTCCATAAATTAAAGGAATTTGAGGTATTTATCAAAATTTTGTTTTAATAGACAAAATTTATTAATTATAATTTTTAATGCATATTAATATTTAAATTATCAAAAAAATTTAAATATTAAATTTATATCTTAATAAATTAATTACTAAACACAATAAAATATTTAATTATTAAAATAGAAATAAATGATAATAAAAATATCTTGTTATTTATAGCGAGAGTATAAAAATCACATTTGGGTTGAATGTGCCATACGATTAGTATTGCTGTAAAACTATATAATAAAATCAATAATACTTTATAGCAGTGCTTACCTTATAAATTATAAGACAATTTTTAATTTAAGTTTCAACTAATTATCAAAAATAAAAAAATGTAATATACAGTACCAAATGTTTATAAAATTTAACAACGAATTAATTGTCATGAAAAATGAGACAAAACATTGTTTTATAAGTTTATATTTATATAATATATTTATTATTTATACAAAAGAATATTTGGTTAATTATAGTAAAATTAAAAATGTAAACAATTTAAGACAAATATGATATTATTGACTGATTAATTAAAATATTTGAGACAATATATATTTGATAACACAATTGAGCCAATGATTTGGTTAAATACAATCAACACAAAAATTAAAACAAAATTTCAGTATTTATCATATTATCGTATTTGTAAATTAAATAAAATTTCAATTATTTAAATATAAAATGTGCTTAAACTGTGATAATATAATTTTACAATAGACCTATTAATTAGTTATTAATATTAAATAATTTATGTGACAAATCACTAATCATTGCTAACTGGATGTAGTAGTGGATGTGACTCAGAAGACTCTTGTGGTTGCGATCGGGTAATACTATTGGACGCGTATTGATGCAGAAATAATGTGCTTAAAGACATAGCAGCGGCTCTCTCCTCCTGTTCTGTAAGACTGTTAGACATTGCATTCAACAGTCTTTCCCTTTCATTTCTATAGGCATTGCTTTCAATGTCCGGTTCATTATTAGATGAACTGGAATTAGACGGCGGAGGAGTGGCATCACTCGTCGTATTAATTCTTAGACTAGAATTGAGACCACTTCTGGTCATTATTTGACTTTCATTGGGACCACAATTTGATTTAATATTATCAATAAATTTCTTTTGTGAATCATTAATTGGTCTCCAATTAGGATTTGTTAGCTTAAAATGAATTAAACTTAATTCTAATTTTCCATTTTCTGTAGCTCTGGGAGATAGAGGTGAGATGTCAGTCATATTTTCATCAATTTTAAGACCAACACCTTTTTGTTCACAAGAAATATTTGGTTTCCACAATGGGTTTCCATTTTCTCTTATATTCATCATTGCAAACGTACAAACATCTCCCGTTCCTGTTATGTCAACCGTGTAATTGTGAAAAAAGTCAACAATTTCAAGTGCTCGAGGTCTCAGATGTCTCATCAAAATATAAGGAGTGGCCAATGGACTGATGAGTTGTTCTAAAACACTAATAATTCGATACTGAAAAACACAAGACATAGCATTCCTGGCCTGACTCGTGTACGGGGCGTAACCATGAGGTTTGTAGTGGATGTGCTCCAGAACTTTGGCGTTAAGCTCTGCTTGAGTATAACGTGAAGGTATTTCAGATGAGACGAAAGTACGTGAAATGGCTATAACGGCACCTAAAAATGTGGCTAAAGTTATAATATGTTCAACAGTAACGACGTCCTCATCGAAAACTGTTAATATAATAATAACCGAAAGCATAGTTCCGGCAATAAATAGGAAAAATCGGGCCAACACTTCAAGTGTTGGTGACGTAAATGAGTTCATATATTTTGTAGCCGCTTTGTATCCACTATTCAGTCTATTGCTTAGCTGATGATCTAATTCATTAAAGTGTCTGCAATACCATTTGGCATATAGTGACCAACTTCTTGAACCCAAAGCCATTGATGGATCTCGTTTGATGGCTTCAGCGTAAGTATATATTATGTATAATAACTGCCATAAACTTATCAATGGAAACAATATAAAGTTAATTAAAGCCAATATAAGACAGTATTTGGCAAATCTTTGCGCACAAATCACTCGATTGGATGCAGTCTTCACTTCGTCCTTAAGTTTCCAATTATTCTCAAACAATGAAAATGAAGTCTTAAAGAGTAAAAGTTGGAAATTGAATTGCAATCCTTTGGTTAAATAAATGACTTCTCCAATAAAGGGAACCTTATAATGGATTGGAAGCAATCCTTTATTAATTAGTGCAATCATGAAGTTGTGGTGACGAAGTAATCGGTTATGAATCACTAATTCGTTAAGTTGTCCATCTTGTAGGAGACATACGTGTTGTGCTTGTATTAGACGATTTTGGATGTCCTGCCACGTGAACAAAGTCACGTCAGTTATATGAAGAGCTTCATTATAGAAGGCTTTGATGGCGTGATTCACAACTATTGTGTGAATGGTTTTAAAGAGTTTAAAAAACCAGAAGAATATTGCAATCACTATTAGATACACTTCGAAGACATTAAATGTGACTCTACTATAGGGTATGAGTACATCACTGATTGTCACTTTAGGGGAAACGTTAATAATCTTTTTCTTAAACAAGATATCGTAATCAATGAAATGAAATAAAAATATCGTAAAAAATATAACAAATAGTATTTGAATCAGTTCTAAGATATTGCTTAAGACAATACACACAAAACCAGATTTCTGGTGGTATTTATATATCTTATTGAAGAAGTCGTCCAAATCATGGATGTAATGTTGCCACGAGTGACCTCCGAGACCATCGCTGGGCAACACGTGTATCATCACATGACTCGTGTCGTCGCCAATCTCTGCAAAACTTTGATACGACGCGGAAGTCATGTTTGTCASTATCACCGCAAACACCAACTGATCTAATCATAATAAATACATTATATTTTAATAACGATATGACAACTACAACAACATCTTAATATTAATAGACTAATCAATAGCTATAAAACCCATTGGATATAACAATAGCACAAAAATCAAATCATCAAAGTGTTGACAATTTAATCAAAACTATAAACTACTCTATAGTTTAATACTGTTATTAATATAACGTTATAAGCAGTCATATGATTGTCATTAAGTAAGCCTATAGTCATAACGTAATAATAATAATAATTCAATCATTCAATTGAAACCATTGTTTCCAACATTACTTACTACACAACCATTTAATAATTGATTCAATTAATTATTTGAATCATACATTCAATACAAATACAAATAAATAAAATAAATGTAAATAAAACTCACATTTTGTTTAAGTAATGTTAAGTCAATGTTTACAATSAAATCATATGATTTGAGCGATCAATTGATAGCAACTATTGTGTCGATGTTATCATCCAAATGAATACATTGAATGCATTCAATCGATGGCCAAATATATGGTCACTCAGTGTCTCATTTATATGTCTGTCAATGTCTTGGATGTGATGGACAGTCACTGTTGTGGTCTGTAATGGCCTGACCTTCACGTCAGCTGACAATAGCATAAAAATGTTGGAAACAATGATAACTACGTCATTGATGTGACAGTTGTGTTAGTACGCAGTCAGTGAACAATCCATACAAACCATTGTTATTACTATATATTAAATGTATGAATGAATGCATTAAAGTATCGGTAATAGTGTTGACCACTGTTTGGCACTACATATGACAGACAGAGAAGAGAAACAGTTAGAGGCAGTGGTCGACCACTTGATAGCTCAGGTGACAGATCTGAAGACATCACTGCAACACCTGATAATGAGAGTCGAGTCAGAGTACGAGTCGATATCGTGGCCACAATTGATGGACTCGTTTGTAGCGCTGAGCGGACGCATCAATAACTTACAGAAACTGATCAAAAACGACAAAATGCCGACTCTTCGCAATCGTGTCCTCTTTCCGATGCTTCTAAACCCAGATCTCGATCCCGAGTTGGCCAAACTGACGGAAGGACGCGTACAATCATTTAATCACGATATGGTTCCCGACTATCTGCGGACAAAACCGGAGCCCGAAATTGAGGCCAAAGAGAATGCCATCCTTTCTAAGGCTTTCAATTTGAATTCAGATCAGAGCCACAAACAGATTACTTCTGCTAATAAAATTGTGACGAATATCACTGAAATGATTAAAAACAATCGCGAAGAGTGGGAAACTGAGACCAACCGACAAAATCAGACACAGACTTGTCTAATGACAGATACGTCAACACTTCTCGCAGCCATCACTTTCGGTAAAGGACTCAAAACAATGAGTCCACCGATCAAAGGACCGGCCAATGCTGGCATGTCATCCGTACCACAAACACAACCATCACAGCGACCTCCAGGCAAAGCACCCGCAACTATCAAGACTAACATCAAAGCGGCCAATAATGTACATCCATATACTCGATGACCACACTATAACTATGAACTTATTTAATGATTTTTTATGTTAATTCATAAATAAAATAATTTTATTTATACATATATTTTGATTAGTGTTTATTTTAAATAATGCCAACAAATGATGAGATAATAATTTTTAAATAATATCATATAATTCTATATAATCGATGAATATATAAATCAAACTAAATAACTATAATCTACATTAAGCTTAAAGAAATTTATCTATGAATTGAATACATATGAAGTAAAACAAATGAAAATATAATGTGTGATTAATTTAATCAAAAGTATCTCTTTTAACACATTGACAACTTTGTGGTAAAAAATTCTTCAATGTCTTGATTGTTGGATTTGAATTTGAGTCCAAGTATATGAATTCAATATCTTTATAATCAGTTAATTTACATTCATATTCATTGCCCTATAAATGAGATAAAAGCGAAAATTATTTAACAATTTATTATATTGTTTACTGAAAATCAAATGAATTTAAATAATGTTTGTTTTTTGTGGTAAACATTTTCATTACTTGACTGTATTTCTTAGATTTTTTCTCTAAAACTTACTGAATATAAATGTATATAATTTGTTAGCATAATTAGCTCATTGACTTGCAATTGTTTTTATTATATATTATAATTATGTTAAATAAAGCACTAATTTTTACATTTATAGCAATTTTTGCAGTTATTCTAAAGCATATGACCTACAAATGAGTTAAAATTAACATAAATTCTTAAAAAATATTTACTGATTCACTTGAATTGCAGCTGTTTTTAAAAATAGCTGTTAAATATATATTAAAAGTTTAATAAACATAAGTTACTTGATTTGTACGGCAAAATCCTTTACAAAATGCCATCTCTATAGTCGTCGGATATAATATGATATCATCTAAGTTAAGATCTTTTATTGATATAACTCTTTTAATTGTACGACACATGTATTTATGGTTAACATCTCTTTTTCTTTTGCCATTTGAAAAATTAGTACTTCTATTGGTATCAACAATAGAGACACTATTTTGTCGGGCGATTTCAATTGTTAACAGATCCAAAGTAGGAAAATTATCATTATTGAATAGTGAACTCTCATTATCCATTTCTGGATAGATTTGAGCCAAATTAGGTATCGGTGTGTTTTGCACTGTTAGTTTAACAAATAATTTTAATATATGTGCTAAAAATGATAATTTTTTGAATTTACCGGAGCAATTCATTTGAGTTATATAAAGTTCTGGATTATATCGACCGCCAAATGGGTCTTCAATTTCAATGAAAAGTCCAAAATTACGATTTGGATTATTTTGCCAGTAATTGATTGCATTTATTATATTAAACTCAATATAACTCCTCTTATTCCAGGCAACGGCACGACTATCAATGAGTCGTTTTTTCTCTAAAATTTAAATCAAAATAATAACATATTTTATGAAAATCAATTGAAATTGAAAACAATTTTCCAGTAATACCTCTCCTATTTTGTCGCAATGGTCTCATGTATTGATACACTGAAATAGTAAGACCTTCTTGTGAGGCCACTTGAGAAACACGATCTGTTACTATATTATCAAATATATAATATATTTGTATTAGAAATTTAGACTTTAATTTTTATAATATTTAATTTTATATAACAATAATAAAATATTACAAATAAGATACCAGTATTTCCCATATAACTCGTAGCAGTTGCCCATTGATTGGGCGGATCATTGAATTTGTAAATTCTTAACTTCGCCGACACAGCGGACACTTCGTTATGTGTATCAACAGAACGCGGGAAAGTTATGTCAAAGAAAAGTTTCATTTGAGAGTCTGAACTGAGACTCCATAGTAGAGGATCGGTATGATTTGGTACAGTACACGATGGGTAGAAACTCTGCAATCTTTCGGAAAATATTTCTGAGGACGAGATTTCATTAACACCGGTGACGGTATCGATGCGAGTCCTGGGTGTGGGCGACACCTGAACCACTCGATTCAATAAATTTTTCTCTTCATTACTCAATACTTTAGTATTACTTGAATTACTATTATGTCCACTAATACCTAATCTTTGCAATATCTGTGTCTGTATTAGTTGTAACCTTTCGAAACGTTTTCTATAAAAAATAATAAAAAATTAAAACCAAAGTTAACTACAAAAAAGTGCTAACTTTCCAGTCATTGCAATCTGTGTTACAGTGAAACACCATTGCAGTCAATTTATTTTTAAACGTCAATTATTTTTAGTTTGTTTTTTCAATTGTTTGAAACATTAATTTGAAACACTAATCACAAAATAAACTGACAAATAGCTGTAACATTGATTTGAAACATATCAACAAACTATTGAATTTGACATTAATAAATATGTTGACTTCAAATTTATTACTGTGTTTATGTTACATATATGCTTATAATACTGTATTAACTAATTTTATGCTAATTTTCAAAACTTTTTGTTTGTTTGTTTTATTATATAATAATTATACTAATTAACTAAACATCTAACGTGTGAATGAAATAAAAATAAAACAAAAATTTACTATCACTTAAAGTGATGAAACTGTTAGGAATTCAGGTTTGYTTGAAATGATAGTAATGTATTTGTAAAAAATACACCAAAAAAAGTTGGCGCGACTGCCGACTGTCTAATCACTACTATAATCACTGTCTGAGAGATTCAGTCAAAACATTGCTTAAAATAAATTCATTGAATTTTTTCAATAAAATTTATTTTAGTCTATATTTGTTTAATAATTTTTATTAATTGTTAATTAATTGTATCAATTTTTTATAATTAAAAATATCATCATTTTTATATAATGGTATATTTATCAATAGAATATAACTTATCTAATATGCAGAAAAAAGAATTTAATTATAATATATATTTATAAAATGTTTGATTTGAATTATGTTTAATTTAATTATTTATTATATATATTTATTAATTTATTATAAAAAATATGACAAAACTTACTTTTCTCGATACCGTTGCTGAAGAAGTTGAGTATTGTTGTCGTTTTGAAGATCAGTTAAACTTATGTTTGATACGAGATTCGTGTCATCAATTGAGTCAATGGATGAAGAATTTATATTATTATTAAAGAATTGAAACATATGTTCAGATATTGTGGACATATTCTGTTCAATACTGTTTGCAAATTGATTTGTATTAACCAAACATGTCATCAATTGAAGACAATACACGATAATCAATGAAAAGTACATTTTAGTAAAACTTTAACGAATAAAACTAAAACTTTTTACAGCAATTATTTATATACTGACAGACTGTGTGGCAAACAATGAGTGACTGTTGGGGTGAACCAGTAGTGAAGCGATCTATTGCTTCACAAAGAGATGACGTCTTCGACAGAGAGGTTTCAGTCCAGAGAAGAGAAACTTTATGTTTAAGAGTAGGAAAAGTCTGAGTTCAGATGTGATCCTCTTTTTTTGAAGAGTGTGTCCAAAAAATGACTCTTAAAACGTATAGCAATCTAAACGTCTAGAGTCTAGACAACAGGAAATATGTGTATTTAACAGCCTATAGATTATACCTCAAGTGCTTTCCAACAAAAACACGTGAATTTCGTTTATTTCAAAATATAAGCGCCAAAAACATCCAAAATATTTATTTTAAAATATTTTTTTCAACATTTTATATGCAAACTAATAATAACAAAACACAAAAATCTTAAATCAGACAGAAAACAAATAAAACGATACCTTATAAGCAAATTTTATTTTCATTTATATATAATTAAATGCTTGAAATCCATTCAAATAAAACAAAAATGAAAGCTAATATATTTTCAATTTTAAATTAAATGTCATATCATTATTAAATATTAATATTACAAAATAGCTTTATTAATTCTTGTGTTATTAAAAGATATTATTCAACTAAAAATACTTTTGATAAATTTTTAAATATATGATAATTATTTTATTCAAAAAAAATTACATTAATTTGAATTTTTTAGTAGAATATATACAGTATAATAATAATAATAATGTAAATTTAATTTAATTTAGAAATAAAAATGATTATAAATATTGATTTGCATAATGACTGTCGGATAAGTGAGAAATAAGTCCTCCTTTTATATTATTACAGGTATTGTACGGTTAAAGTGAATTATTCSAGACGTCAAACGAGGCCTCAGATTAAAGGATTCCGCAAAATATGACAACAAAACTGAAAACAACGAGAAAACCAATTTTCAAGTTCCGTGAAGTCATAGATATTTGTATATATTATAAAAGAGTGAGAGAGTAAATGTGTGTATATATGTATGTATGTATATGTGTGTGTATGTGGAGAAAGAAAGAGAGAGAGAGAGAGAGAGAGAGAGAGAGAGAGAGCATAAAGTAAGGTATCCCTTGGATGGCAATTACCTGTCTATGTCTCAGTCGATACCAAATATGCAATTATAATAGTATATAGTCTGCAACCAAAAGAAGGCCAACGACTCAACAAATGAATGTTTTTTAAATGAATGTGTGATTTGAAGATTGAGTCAAACATTTGTTTCAGACATTTGTCAGACTTAGAGGTATGAATTAAGCAATTGGTTGATGTCATTAGCTGATGGTCTCTTAGACGCGTCCGGTTGTGTACACGTGCGCACCACTTGACGTAACTATTCATCATAATTGTATCATTAAATTAGCCATTTTGTATTGTTGTTAACAAATATTATATAAATATGACCTTGATATAATTTTATTTCTCATAAAAAAATATTTAACTATAAAATTGTTATAATGTAGTTATTATATTGTACATTGTAACATTTTAGTATATAAAAATATGTTAAATTTAAGCACTTCTATGTTAAACTAATAAATTATATCATGGTTATTTTTAAATATGTATTTTAATATTATATAACTATATTATTAAACATTTAATTTAAATATAATTAAAATTTGTGAAAATAGTATTTGCGAAATTATATAAAATCGTAAATATAAAAAAATATAATTAGTTTATTATTAATATTTAAAAATATATTCCTATATTATTTGCTAATATATAATTACAGTATTAACAAAAATAATTATATCTATTTATTTTTAATAGCAGTCTCAGAAAAAAACTAAATTGTATATTAAGGTATCACTAAAAAAATGTCAACATTTTATATCTATAGATATACAGTAGGAATATATTTGAGATTATTTATTAATTATTTCAAGATTTAATAATATTTAATCAAAAAATCTTCCTAAATTATATTGCAGTGTATGTATTACTATGTAATGTAGACATAACAAACATTTTAATTACTTTGTTTACCAATTTTAGTTTTTATTAACTGAATAATTATAACTGTCAAATAGCATATTAAATAAATTATAGGTTGTTATTACTAATTACTATAAATATTATATAAAAAAATAAAATTAAAATATATTATTAAAAAACGTCTACAATATTGCATTTTAATATTACTGACAATAGCAATAAAGTGATTGATACAATAATTTTATGGTTTTGATATAAGTAACATAAATTATATAACATTATATTATTATGTTATATAATAATTGAAATTCTAGCGATGATTTTGATAGTCTATCAATTAAATGACATGAAATATTTAGGGAACAATTTGTTGTAATGTAAAACAGATTAAACTCTTAATAACAGACCTTATAATTGAATCCTTAGACTAGACATTAAATTAAGGACTTCAGGTGTGCTTACAGTGTCTATCACTGAATCTTAGACTATCACTGTCTAAGAGAGTCTATGTCTGACTGATTTGTTTCAGTCATTTACAGACATTTGAGTTAAAAAAGATATTACTTTACAAGTATTCACTTATTTGTTGCTATTATTGATATATTCATTGGTGTCTTTTAATAATGTTAACAAATTTAACACACGTTGCCATTGCATATATTACGATGAAATGTGAAAAATAATAATTTAAAAGTTTGTTTAAAATATTTAAATGGGTTACATGTGATTAGGTTTTCAAAAAAAAACTAAAATATATTTTAAATACAGAACCAATTATATATTATTTTATATTATAATTTACAGTTTTTCACGGAAAAAAATTTGCACATTTATAATTAATATATTAAACATTTACATAATTATTATCACACAATCTATAGTAATTTGAATTATAAATTAAAATGACTGTAAATATAATTAATTAATTTATGTATATTATAATTTATTAACCAGTAATTTAATGTACACTGTATGATATATATATTATAATTTATATGTATACACCCGCCACAAAACTAACTTATTTACTTCAACATTAATTTTTCGTAAAATGCTAAATCAAAGTATTATAGTTAAACAAATTTTTTATTAACTAATAGTTGACATATATTGATATTTTTAGTTGTAACTCAATTTTAGTTGATTTGATGTTTTTTGTCATAAAAATTTTATACACTATTGAAGAATGTGAATTTATTGTTTAAAAATTAGGTCATAATCTATAAAAAAAATTATTTATAATTAAATATTTATTATTTTTTAATAGTAACGAGAAATTAACAATATTTAATTTATTAGATTTCTTAAATTAATATGTTATTACATTTTAATTTAAATAATTAATAGAAAGAGAAAATTTAGTTATATTATAATATAAATTAGTTGTTTGAATATTTTAAAATGGTTTATGATTCATATAAAATTTATATTATAAATTATGACATATCTCATGTTAAATTAGTTAGTTTTTATATTGACTATACGGTATGTGTTATAAATACAGTATACAATATAAAGTATATACAATACTATAYGTATACATAAATTTATACAATTTACTCTATATTTATGCATTTTTAAATTATGTGTATGTATTGTTTGTATGTTCTATGTGTACTGTATGTATGTATGTATGTATGTATGTATGTGTGTGTGTGTGTGTGTGTGTGTGTGTGTGTGTGTCTTTAAAGATGACTAAAACATAAATTAAAAAGAGGACCACTGGTTTGTTGTTGTGGGGGTCTTTTGGTAGGGTATTGACCTATACTTTAGGAATGGATAAGCAGTCCAAAGATGAGTTCCAATATATTTAAATTAATAGATCATATAATCTTATATTTTATTTATAATATTTAATTTTTGTTTGTTTGTCTTGAATAAATATAAAATCATTTTACTTAATAATTAAAATAAATAGAGAATATATTGTATTTTTTAAATTAAAGAAATAAATAAAACTGACGGGTTTTGGGGGTCAACCGGTCATATCGTCAATCAGTTCTACCATTGATTTGTAACTCTAAAAAAGTAAACTATAAAATGTTTTATTTTATGAATGGTCTAGACTTGTCTATAGGGGGTATTGGCTTTAAATACTTTTACAAATCGATTAGATTTATTCAAAATAATATTTATTTGTCAGTTAAGTAGAAAATTATTTTGTTGTCGCATTTGGTATACATAATAACTAATAGATTTACTTTTTTAAACACATTAATTATATTCATTTAAATTTCTGTTAAAATAATAACCAAATTTGGTAAACAATAGTTGCTATAAGATATTAATATCAATTATTTAAACTATAATTACAATTATTACTATAATAATAATAATAACAATATGATTAATATCATAATTTTGCGTTGGATTTAATATTACATCAATGTCAATGTGTTTTTTTAATCATTTTGATGTTTTATGCTATATGTTTGTAGTTTGTCAATAATATTTTGAAGTTTTTCAATTTGCATTGTAGATTACTTTATATATCAAATTACATTTATTGTATATCTATTAAAAAATGACAATTATATTTTAAATAAATGTATGATAAATTAAGTGGCTATACATTTTAAAAACTTTCAAATTAATATAAATAAAGATAAATTTCAAATAGTTTTTGAAAACTACTATACAAAACACATTCAATAAAACTTTAAAATAAATAAAAAATGCTGTTTTAAATCATTAATTAATACAATAGTTTGTTATTATGCCAGTTGTGCATAAGTTATTTTACACCAGTAATATATTATATACCATTTTTTAAATATAATTTATGTTACATTTCTATTATAAAATATAATTTATATTTATTTGTGTCAATGTTATAATAAAACATTGAAATCTATATAATATAAAATTAAAACTATTTATAATAAAATATACAATATGTTTACTATATTTTTAAATTAATTTTTAATAATCTTATTAAATGATATAAACAATATACAATAATTGAGAATTGATTGTGTTTAAGCTAAATAACTTATATTAATATTAGACGTCATATTTAAGTTATTAAAAAATTAATCAAATAATTCATAAAAGATTAGGTTAAGAGTGGGAGGTTTGAGGACATGTGATAACCAATAATAAAAGTTATATCAAGTGGTTGTTGACGTTTGAGCGTTAATTTATATTTACAATAGCATTGATTACAAATTAATTTATTTATCAAAAAACAGTATAATTGATAAAAAGTATAATAATGTATAAGAATAACTATATTAACTTACATTTTGATAAATTAAAATTTATACAGTATTTTGCTTTATATTATTACTTTTACTATTAATAAGCTTTGTAAACGAAAATAATATTACAAAATATTATTAGAATCTATAATTATTACTTCCAAATAATAAAAATTAAACTTAGTATTTTATTATAATAATAATTACATCTATTATAAAAATAATGTATATTAAATAAGATTTAAAACAGTTAAATAACTATTATAAAAACAAATATATTAAGTAATTTTAATAAACTATATTTTGCAAAAATAAATAAACTTAATTTTTATAAAATATTTTACATTAATAACTAATTAACTATTAATTTAATATAAATCAAGACAAACCACTTCAATGATATTCTTGTTCTCTTCCTTTTCAATGGTAATCATTTGACTATCATATGTAGTGACATCACCTTCAAAATTAGTCACACCTTTACCTTCAAATGATACACTTGACTGATCACCAAAACTAACTCTATGTCCAAAAATCTGTTTTTTATTCGCACTTTTGGTTAAAATATTTATTGACTTTATTTTTTTAGTTAAAAAGGTAATGAAATTTCATATATACAGTATATATATATTTACTCACATATTGGCTTTTGTATGTCCGAGAGATTCAATTTCACAATTATCACTACTTTTATCATCACTTATATTATCACTTAATTTATTTTTAGACTTTTGATTTAATAAAACTTTGAGTTCAAAAGTTTCTCTTTTTTCGCGTTTAATTTTATCCTTAATTTCGTTGTGTTTAAAAAAGTCTCCATTTTTTAGATGTCTATTTGATTCCAAGTTATGTCCATTACTTTGTTTTGATGATAATTCATTGACATTAGCCATTGATACACAGTTTATGTATTTACCTTATCATCATATTTAAGTTTACAACAATTTTTGTTGTTGATTACAGACTATTAATACATTTTGATCAATAGTTTTTAATTAATCAAATTGTCAATCAATTAATTTGAAATTTGAGTCAATCTCATAATTTAATATCTTTAAACTTACAATTTGTTTCAACAATTTGTGTACAACTAATGTAGAAACTAAATAAATGGCTATATTATTGTATATAATAATAATAAAACAAATTAATTGGCATTCATTATCTGTCAATTATATTTACACACATTAACGACACAATCAATTTTTATGAAACATACAGAAAACTGTTGCTATAATTGTATTTAATTGATAATTGATTGCAAGCTTTCAATCATTTTTAAAGATTATAAGTGTTTGAAAAACTAAAGTCTACTTATAAATTATCAGTTGTTAAGATTATTAGCTTATATTCAATTGAAATACTATTAATATGTAATAATAACAATAATTTAATGAATTACTAAATCAATTATAGTTTGCATCTAAATGTTGTAAAATTAATAATACTGTACAGTAGTATACTTTTATAATTACCGGTAATACATAAACTGTTGCATTATTTATAATATTATATTAATGTAATTTATTTTGTACTGGATCATTTTTTCTTTGTATTTAAATTATGAATTAACTAGTTAGATCCATGTTTTACTAATAGTTTATTATAAACAGAATATATATATATATATTTAATAAATTAATAATCGCGCGACACATTAAAAGTAATTGTTTGCGTCACACAAACATTTCCAAATTATATAGTAGTATAGATTTACATCATAATTATAAACAGTTTACTAACAATACTTTATTATTACGGTATTATCTGTATATTATACAGTGTATAATAAAATGCATAAAATAAAATAAATGCAAATTTGATGTAATAATTAATTTTTGATGAAAGTAACTTGTTTAATTACTTACTGTAGTTTTCTAAAATATTTATAATAGTAATGAAATTTATTGAATTTAAACAAAAGTAAAATACATATTTCTTGCATTAGTTAATTAATTATAAATTATTTATGTAAACCTTTAATTATTATAATTTGTTCAAATGTTTGATAAGATTGTGACTTAAGTAAATTAATACATATTAAATATCTTATATAAATAAAAATTTTAAACAACACATAAAAGGAGTCCTTAAAAGAGTGGTTTTAATGAAAGGGCTCCCTTTGAAGGTCCACGAAGTGGTGTCAATGTTCCTCTTTGAATAGTTCCCATAAGTCGACCATTACTTGGAGTTCTTCTATCAGGAGAACCAACTAAACAAAACAATATTAAAACATAAAATAAATAATATTTAATAAACTAAAACATACATCTATTTGGTTCCCATGAATTAACTGAAGTTAAGATATCATTCCAATAGTCATCAGGAATCCTAAAAAGCGCTTCCATTACTTTAATTTGTTTGGGATTTTCAGCTAATATCTCAGTCATCGGGGGATCAATTGTTGAGTGACCAACAATAGTGGGTCCAAATATTTTTGATAACGAACGACAATCCATTGAATTGCCGTCATTGTTGGCCACACGCATCAAATGAATCATAATAAATGCCAGACTATCTCTGTTAGAAGTCGGTAACTCCTCAATCGTTTGCATTATTAGTTGCCTTTCAGTGTCAGGATTTTCCTGACCTAATGATATGGATTTATTAAATAATTTTAATTAAAAACAATTCATTGATAACTCAATTAAATACAAACCTGAGGCGCGAACAAAATCTCGCCAAAGTATACGAGTGACAATTGGTTCGTCCAAATCACGCAAAAATTGTTTGACAACACCGCAGAGGACATGTATGTCGTACTGATCCATACCGAATATACCGTTCTTTGCTTTCATAAATTTCTCTTTTAATTCTCTAATATCTCTATCAGAACCGCATTTCCGATATAAACCTTCTTCATTAAGACCGCGTCTTTCAATTTCGTTGCATAAATGAATAACGATTGCGGGTATCATTGGACGAGTCTGTGGCGCAAAATCTGCTATCAAAACCATTTGGGAAGTCTTTCCGTTTGGTTTACGAAATGGAATACAAGGAAGTGGTAATCGATTCTTACATTTCATATGACAAACTACTCGACAGTCCTCACAACATAAGAAAGTGCCGAAGAAACCAATGGCCTCATGACATGGGCCGCAATACACCGGTTTAAATGCTTTCTTTTGATGCAAATTATGCTTTCTTTCATCTAATGGCGTCAAAGAAGCCGTCGAATAAACTGGAGAAATGTTTATCGGGTTTTGAGGAGTTGTGAGTCGAGAGTTCAATGACTTTATTTGTGGCGAACTCTGCGAAATGGACACAATATTATCATCGATAGCATTGCGATTGACATTAAGTGAGATACGTGGAGGTATGACATCCACATTGGGTGTATTGAAGTCAATATTTCCCGTTTCATCAAATGTTGCCTTAGGAGCCCTGCGCTCGAAATCATCGTTAAAATCATAATTATTAGTCTTTCGTTTCAATCTTTGAGATCTATTAATAGGTGGCGATTCAGTCATCATATTGTCGTCATTATCATCGATGTCGTGTCTATCAAATGATCGTTCTGTGTCTTCATTAACTGTTTCCAAATGATTCAAATTAAGATAAGACAACACTTTCTCTCTGGTTTCCATATGTCCTGAAGGCGTCGAATCTTTGAGAATAAAGTCTTTAATTGCATTCAATTGGTTTCTCAAAGCATTTCTTTGTTTAATAAGGTCTTCTCTTTGTTGAACTTCTTTGCCATAACCGAAACGAATACTTTTAATCTTTGCGACTAAATCTTTGTTCTCGTCATCCAATTGTTTACTTTTGACACGTAATGTATTCAACTCTCGCTGTGTGGCCAACCATCCCAACCGATTGGACTCACATTTGCGGATCAAATCAATCAATGCTAACAATTAGAAAAAAAGACTGACATTAGACCACAAATCAATTCATTTCATGTGATAATTGTGTCATACATTGTTCATCTATAGTGACCAATGAGTTAGAGAATCGGCACATATCATCAAATTGTGCCACAAGTGATAGTTGGGCACCGGTATGAAAGACACCCATTCTGTCCAATGTATCCATACTATTGGTCTTGGATTGTATTGACATCACAAGTGTTGGATGTATTGGATGTGTTGTTGTTGTCGACAATCAATACAATTACATAAATTGTTTGTCAATAAATAGATTCAAATATAAAACAACAATAAAACAGTTGAAACTCAGTCTCAAATCGAACGCAATTCAAAAACTTTCAGCCAATCATAGGCTTCAACTGTAGATGTGTTTCGAATGAATCAATGGAAACATATGATTGAACGCATGCGTACTGTTGTAGTCATAGTTATTGTAGAATAAAGAGACTGTAAAGAGACAAATGTAGTTACAATAGATGTGAAACTTTTTGATTCAATTTTTACAGTCCTATCCAATCCTATTTCTATACATTGATTTATCCGATTAGATCTATGAATTGTATTAATATAAGCACAAAATCATTTACAAAAAAAAACAAAAAATTAATACATTTTATTATACAATTGCTTTCATAATATATTTATATACAATACAGTATACCATACATTATGTTAAATAATATGATATAAAAAATCATATAAAGCTTTATACTAATTATTACAAAACTTTTGTTTTATTGTATTATTTGAGCGCAAAGTTTAATACAGTTATTTTAGACATTAAAAAATATTTTATTGTTTGTAAATGATTTTGTGCTTATATTTATACCGTATTTACTACAGTATTTCGATGCATACACTTTGGGTAGCTTTTAGTGCAAATGTATAATATGTGTGATTTGATGTCTAGTGTAAAGCAATGTCTGTTTTTGGTATTAATATAACATTTGTCTGTTATATACTGTATATAATATATTGTAAGATAAGGTCAGAAAAAGATTGAATGAATGACTTGTGCGCACACATACACACACATCACATACACACACATCACATACACACACATCACATACACACACATCACATACACACACATCACATACACACACATCACATACACACACATCACATACACACACATCACATACACACACATCACATACACACACATCACATACACACACATCACATACACACACATCACATACACACACATCACATACACACACATCACATACACACACATCACATACACACACATCACATACACACACATCACATACACACACATCACATACACACACATCACATACACACACATCACATACACACACATCACATACACACACATCACATACACACACATCACATACACACACATCACATACACACACATCACATACACACACACACATACACACACACATACACACACACACATACACACACATCACATACACACACATCACATACACACACATCACATACACACACATCACATACACACACATCACATACACACACATCACATACACACACATCACATACACACACATAGACTCCAATACATACATAGACTGTATTGCCGTCAATATAACAGTTGATACCAAACGTGTGGCGCTCTTGTAGTAACTGACTGTCAATGTTATGAAACGGTTGTGTTTTGTATACATTGTATAGCAGTAGTTGTGGTCCAACACAACAACGCATTCATAACCATAACAGGCATTGCATTGGTTTCAGTACTGTTTGTTTGCCAATCAGTTTTAGTTGTCATTTAGAAACTGATTATTACATCCATTGACAACTCCTTTATCTGTTTGACCACCAAATTCATCACTACTTTCATCCCAAACACATCACATATCATACCAGTGCCAGTGTTTTAACAGTTGTATGTCAATGTCTCAACAGTTATGGCAAATGATCAGCAATTGAAAGGCCTTTTAACTCAAGACAACTGTGCTCTGAGTGTGGACATCAAGACAGAGCCCATCAGTCACTACTATGACGTCCAGACCCGACCTTTCGCCAGGTTTGACAACATTTGATATCCATTTTATAACTAAATCAATATATCATATATGATATATCATATGACGTGCACTACAATTGCATTAATTAATTATTTAATTAACAGTCTATTGGTATTGAAATTGACTGAACATTACTTTTGAAAATCAATTTAGTAATAAAAGCTAAGTTTTGCGTCAAATAAAATATTGCTTACAAATGATTAGTAATTAATAAATTTCAAATCATATCAGTCATGAATGTATAGACAATTGATTGTTATTACTATTTTAACAAATTATTTAATATTTTATATTATATGATACTGTATATCATAATTGCTTTATTAAAGTTGTCATCAATACATAATCGATGCTATATTATGATAATATTTTGCTAAAACATTTTTATTTATTTATTGCAAATTAATTTGTGTGAAACACTTTGAAACATTAGAAAATATTCTCCAGATATATATATATACATATATAACATAAGTGTTTATTTATAAGCAATGAATATATTATAATTATAACCCATTTTTGTGATAGAGATTAGTGGATCAGATGCTCAACAAATATATCATAATTGCTTGCCTTTGATATGATAAGCATTTTAATGATTTAATTAAAACAAAAGAGAAGGCAATATCTACTATACTATATGTACTTCCCTGTCCTGTTGGCACTGTTAGACAATATATAGATAAACTTTATATATTTTTTTATGAAACACATGAATAAGTTTGTGATGTATTTTTGTATGGCTTGTGATAGTCAGTACAAAGCAATTATTTGATGGGAATTATGAAAACTTTTAAATAATAAAATAGTATTAGTAATAGCATTAGTGATATAAGAGTTGAATAACAGATATAAAGAAACCAATTGTTGTCAAAGTGTAGGCAATTGTATAGCTTTTTTAAAAAGAGATCTCAATTTATATATTAATTCATGATATTGTAAAATATTTTTTATACATTTCAATACCAATTTAAGTGCCGAAGAGAGTACCGATTGAGGTCAGGGTTGTATTGTTTGAGCCCACTTATAGTGACTGTAGGGTATGCACTGTTATATGCCACCGGTGCTTATATTAATTGAGATCATATGTAGCCATAATTGTGTTATTATGCAATCGATTATACAATTAGTGATGATAAATAAGATTTGGTTGAAAAATATTGAAACACTTGTTATATGAATGATAGAAATAAATAAATGATTGATTGTATTTCAGAGGCAAGTTTGCACAAGTGAGACGTTGTGTTCATAAAGAGACATCCCGTTCCTATGCGGCCAAAACCATCAAAAAGAGAAGGCGTGCCACTGATGCCAGCCATGAGATTATGCATGAAATACGAGTCCTATTGACCACAAGTCAAAGTCCCAGAATTGTCACTCTTCACGAAGTTTACGAAACTCCCACTGAATTCATACTTATGCTCGAAATGTAAATATTATTCAATCACTTAATACAATACTTCACCTTATTTTATGCAAATTATATAAATATCTAATATTATTATTTGTTTAACGAATATTATTATTATTAACAATACTTTTATTACCTGTACATTCAGTATTCATTAATTAATATGAATTGAAGCAAAATGACAGTCTTTTAGATTAATTCATACATTTTTCCATTAGTTGCTAAAAGATGTTTATTTTTATTACTATAAATTATAGCCTATAATACAGTATAAGTACAGTTGTGTAGTTGTAGTTATTATTGTATATGTAACTAATATTAATATTATAATGATAAATAATCAATGTGTACGTAAATATTATACAGTAATTGTTAATATGTGTAACAGATTTGAAAAGTTGTTATACCATATTCATAGCCAAACAATTTAAACACTAAACTTGTTTTTGTTATATATATCTTACAAAAATATTATAGTTTAACACATTAAACAATATTAAAACCAGATTTTTATGTATGTATTTAAAAATTGTTTTTAACTATTTTTAAATATATATTTATTTGTTCTTAATTTAGTTAATAATAAATTTTAAGTAAAATCTCGTTTCTTATATGAAATTTTACTTTCAAATTACTTAAAAATAAGCTTAAATTATTAATATATATATATATATATATATATATATATAATTTATATAGTTATGAAAAACAAAAGAATTTATAAGTTTTTAAGCGTTTATTTTATATAATAAAAATTTTAAAAAACTATTTATTGTAATAAATTTTGATTTAAGACTCGTAACACTAATATTGAAAAGATTTCATTATATTAAAAATGTGTTAAATTTTTTGAATGTTTTCCATTGCTTTCTATTTTAGCCATCTCTTCAAGCGATAAGATTTAAGCTATTTATAAATTAATCCCAAACATAATAATTATTTTTAGACTAAATATTTTTCAAATTAAATTTTCAAAGATTATTATAAAAGGAATATATAAGTTATATAAGTGTCTGGCATTACTATAAAATAAATAATTTTTTTTAAATAAAAAATTGTCATTAGATTTGAGACATGACTTTCACTGTAAAATTCATTACGAAATGGTTTTCTTTTTTAAATTTTTTATGAATCATAACTGTTTGACTATAAATATATGTAAAATATGTAAGAATAGTAAAGAAATGTTTGTTTTGATGATAATTAGGGCAGAAGGCGGTGAATTGCAGCGGATTCTCGATGAAGACGACTCAGTCACTGAACACCATTGCAGACGTATTGTGCGACAAGTGGTCGAAGCGGTTCAATATTTACACCGATTCAATATAGCACACCTCGATATTAAGGTCAATATTATTACAATACAACAATAGTATCATTTATATTGATTGTTATGATTTAATAATAGCCTCAAAATATATTACTGACGAACCCCTTTCCCGCGGGTGACATAAAACTTTGTGATTTCGGAATATCTAGGATTTTGACCAAAGGTGCTGAGCTCAGGGAAATCGTAGGAACGCCTGATTATGTCGGTAAGGCTGCTCTCACTAAAAATTATACCGTATTTACATCGCATAACTAATGTATAAGACCTCAATATCTCTCAAACACATGATCTGCTCAATTGTTTATGATTTCATTACCAAACGTGTTGTTTAAATTGAATATTTTATTACAGAATTTACTATTGTATTCATTAATTTATTTTATTTGTGTTATGATAGCGCCAGAGATACTTCAATACGAACCGATTAGTTTGGCAACTGATATGTGGTATGTATTGCTTGTTTCCTTAATCTTATCCAATAATTTATTGCATTTTATATTTAATGATAAAATTATTTTTATTATAGTTTTTTATTCCATTTTATTATACTTATACTTATACTATATAAATATATTACATAGACTTTTATTGTAAGTTTTTTTCTATTTTATTTCCCATAAATTATTCTCAAAGCGATATTAAAAACATTTTTGTTAATTCAAAGCATTTATTTGTTTGATTTGGCCTTTTGTACCATAAATTTAATCAAAATATAAATTCATATATAATAATAGACTAAAAATATGACAATTGATTAGTTTTATTATAAAATATTAAAGTTGTTTATTGAAACTTATAATACATTGTTTACATGTATTGTAATATTAATGATTGATATTGAATTACAGGAGTATAGGTATATTGACATATGTGTTGTTGTCGGGTCACTCTCCTTTTGCCGGCGACACCAAACAGGAGACCTATTGTAATATAACTAACGGTCCGCTAGAGTTCCCTTCATATCTGTTTAATCAAGTTTCAGAAGAGGCCAAAGATTTTATACAACAACTACTCGTTAGAGATCCTAAGTATTGATTTTCATTTTATATATACTTTTCATTATAATATTAATTAATTAATTTTTAATAATAGCGGTCGAGTCAATTGTCACGATTGTCTTAAACATGAATGGCTAACAAACAATACTGAGACAAACGGTTCAATTAATTTATCCTTTCTCGATGTCTACCGATCCTATAGATGTATCAAATCTGATAAATTTGATCTAATTATAGATGAAAACTGTATCACCAATTGACACCATTTTTACAGTTATGTTATTGTTTTGTTAAATTCAATATAAAGTCTCTTAAATCTATAGTTAAATTCTGAAAATTAAACACATTATTATTATTAAAAATTTTTTTAATGAGTTGAGATCTCATTAGTAACATTTTACGTTAATTTATAACCAATCTATTGTGCGAATACAATATATGTACAATATATACGTAAATAATTGATATAACATATGATAAAAATAAGTGATTGCTATTTTTGATCACCAATGATAACATGGATCATTTTTTGTCGCCAAATGCTATCATTAACTGATAATTAGTTAAATCCCTTACCGAAAGCAACTATTTATATCATTTATAACATATATTTGATTATTAATATTATATAATCTTATTTGTATAGTGTATTTAATAATTTATATATCATTATAATGTAGCATATATTATTATTATTATTATTATAAGTTAATTCAACCTAATGTGTCATAAAAAAGTGTCAAATTGTTGATTCATCGCTTAAAGTGTGTATTAATTAAAGTTACTTTATGTGAACAATGAATGTGCGATACAAATGATTATCAGTACATATAGTAAACCCAATATCATTATATAAAGCCGGAGCTAAATGTTTTAAATATATGTTTAAATTTAAGATTTCAATTAAGATATATATAAGACTGATATAATATTTGTCCAAATAATAACAGATATATGTATGTTATATTGAAGGATCATAAAATAGCAAACAATAGCTGTTTAAAAACATATAACATATGCTAAAGATTTGATCTTTTGCTGATATAGCTATCAAAATGACAAATTAGTTTATTTTATAAATAATATAATGTATTTATACGTACATTAAGACGAGTGATAAATTTTTAATCACTATATTTTTCTTTATATTATGTAAATAATTAATTATACAATAAAAATATTTATAAATTCTATATTTGATGTTTTTTTTTGTTTATTTTTGTTTTTATTGCATTTATATAATTATGATATAATCGATTTTGATTCATGAGTAGTAAAATTATGAATTAATTATAGAAAGCATTTTAAAATTATTTTTTAAATAAACAAATCAATTGAAAATCGAGTCATTAGTGCTATGAAAGCAATATTTCCTTCCGGGTTTGCGATTGAAATCTCATTAAATCATAACTTTTACATAAAACTATTGATTAAATAATAATAATTTTTATGAGTTTAATAAATGTCAAAAAGCATTAACAAAAACTTATTGGATCACAAAATTGATTTTACTATTCATTGCAAGTCATTAGTTTTTGTTTGTTTGTTTGAAACTTATTATTGAGTCCGCCGTCAAATTGGGACCAATTTATTAATTATAATTACTCACTAAATCTTATGTAAAAATAATTCATGAATATGTAATTGAATTAATGAATTCATTTTGAATCAGTTCAAAATTAGATACTATTTTTAAAGGGTTGTTAAACTATATGTTATTTGCAATATATAGACAATGATATTATTCATTCAATTGTTCTTAAATTAGTAGTATTTAAGTAATTCATTAAAAGTTTGACTAATTTTCCAAGTTTTGCATCTTTTAAACAAAAAGATTGTTTTGAACTGCAAATTAGGAAATTGCGAATTAAGTGCCAAAATTACAGTACATTGAATTGAATACTGTTTCTATTGATATTGTAATTCAATCGTTTAGCAGAATATTCAGTACAGTTATACTTCCGGAAAGACATTTCATAAATATTTTTTTCCAATACATATCTGATGTCCAACTTATAGTACATCAAAACGATTAGCATTTGATGCCAACTCAACACTCATGTGACCATTGATCCGATGCATCGTTTATAATGCGACCCAATTATACTGCAATGCGATACTAAACATAACATTTTCTAACTCTTTGCGTTAATGTGTTTACCGAAAGGCTTGTCATCATCGATGGCATACATGTCTAGAAAAAGTGATTTGCGATATATTTTGTACTTTAAATAATTTGTAAAATGCTTTACTTATATTAAATATGTTACACAAACATGTCTTGAAACACTTATTTTTAAATTATTGCAAATAAAATATTTTCTTATAAATAATAATAAATATGAAAAATACACTTATTCTTGATATATGTTTATAAACTAAATATAAAAATGTAGAATACAGTACAGTATAAATACAGTATAATTACAATTATTATTTTTTTTTAATTTACCAAAAAACAAATTATATAATATGTAAATAATTGGCTTATATAACAATTATCATACTATTTATATATGTAATAAACTACTAAATTGCAAATATAAACCATATTCAAAATTTAATTATTTGTGTTCAAAACATATGGAAAATAATTGCATAAAATCCATAACTTATTTGTCTAATAATGTGTAATACAATAGGATATAAAATAAATAAAAATTGTTATTAGAGAGACATAAATACTATAAATAGTTTTGAGATAATCTAAGCAATTGTGGCAAAAATGTGATTAATTATTAGTAACAAAACATTTAAATTTGAGAATTTCTTTGTTGGAAATCAGTCAAAAACAATGAAAAATACAAATATTTAATAAAACTAAAGTCAAGTAAGTATTCACAAAATGACTTTCAAAACTGTTTGGCTATCAAATCGTATAATTAATAGTTGTGTAAATACATTAAGTTTTGAGACGATTTTGAAATTWGAAATAAAATTCGTGTCATAAAAACATGAGTGTAAATGTTGAACGCATTTCTATAGTATAAGAGGTATATATGTTGTCGACATATGTTTCCTTATTTCAAGCCATATAACACTTGACGTGTTTGGGCGTCAAACAAGAAATTCAACTTATTTTCAAAAATGACATTTCAGTGGGTATTTGTCCGATAATAGACCTCAGATTAGGACTAACCATGTATTCATTTATCTTCTCTTTTATATCTAAATATTATATATATATAAATTTATATAACTATATACTTAATGGTAATGATATTATTACTACAATTATATCACAAATTATAAAAATGAATTTATATTTAAAAATCATAAATTCAATGCTATTTACAAAGTTTATAAATACATTTATGATTAAATTAGTTAATCATCTATTTATAAATTTAATCTAATAAATAATTATTAGATTAGATTTGTTAGTGTTATTGTATTTGTCAATTGAATAAATATGTGAGATATAGTGTATATTTTATACAAAATGATAGATATCTTGATTATAAAGATAAAAATGATTATCTTTTATCTGATCCGTTTGCTTTACGAATACAACTGAAACTCTGTGAATGCGATGGCAAACCAAAGTAAGACTGTGAATGAGTTGGAGAGGACTGACCGCTCAGACTGGAAGTGGTGGGCACACAGTTTGATGGATAAGATTGTGATATATTTGAAAACAAATGATTTGTTAATCCAATAGAATCGTTATTATTATTATTATTATGAAATGACGAAAACGATGGATGGCTTCTGGCTATTGACGGACTGGCACTTTGTGCCGGACTCGACACTCGAATACTTTTATTTTGTATTTCTGATGGAGAATTAGTATGAGTTCGAGGAGATGAAGCCGCAGATAGAGCTGAGTGAGCGCTCACTGGTGATGCTGACTGACCACTCATTGGCATATTGTTTGAGTTAAAAGTGTTTAGCGCTCCGTTAATGGGAAATACATTATTTGCCGGAGCCGTGAGCCGCGCATTTACAGCCAGTAAATGATCGCGTCTGGAGATCAGTTCTCTAACCCTTTCTTCTAAACGATTATTTTCTGACCTTAATTGATGTAAACATGAAAGCAAAGATGCGATGTCAAAGTGTTGCGCCTGATCTATAATAAATTGAGATCCCTGTGCCCATTGGCGTTCTAGGAGCTGCTCCAAAGTTTGAGGCACATCATATCTACTTTTATATAATTAGAAAAAAAATTAATAAAAAATGTATTAAACTTAAAATATATATGTATTATATATATAKAAAAACTCACTCATTATTTGGTTGTTCTGATCCTTTCTTATGGTTTGTAGTATTATTTCTTTCGTTTGTTAGCATATCAGTTGAGAAACCATTGATAGTTGATTGAGAGGTTGTACTATGAAGTAATGAATTGGTATTTATATAACCGTTTTGAAGAGGTGTCATATTTGGGTGATTCACTGGAAGTGATCTGAAAATAATATACCGGTAATTGTTTTATTCATTAAGCATTTTTGTAAATTTATATTAGTATTATTGTTATAACGACTACGATATGATTACTATATAAATTAGCAAACATTTCTCACAATTAATAATTTCATGCAAATATTGTGTTAATACAATAATCTAAAAACATGTGTAATGGCAATGAAATGAAATTAATGAGAGAATAGTTATGAGGAAAGACATGTATTAAATAAGACAAAACTCACCGGTAATAGCTATGATCAGAATCAGGCATAATATAAAGCGGGTTAATTGCATTATTTCTATTTTTTAAATATCAATATAGTTTCCAAAATCAACCAAAAAAGTAAAATAGTATCAAAATAAATGAGAATTAAATGAAATCGAGAATATAAATAAAAGTTGACATTTATTACAAGACACACACAATCAAAACATTTATAGGATAGGCATTGCATTGTTTTTAATAAATATAATAAAAACACTCACAAAACACCGTTAGTTAAGTCATTGGCGTTAATCTCATTTTTCTTTCGCCGGACTTTCTTTACAATAGGCTTTGAATCGCTATAATCTTTTGCCGCAGACTTTGTTTTGAAAATAGGTCTGTAATAATAATTTACATAAAAATTAATTAAATATAGTTATAATAACATTCTTAATGACATACTCTGGTGAAGCGCTAGACTTCTTGATCTTCTTTTTATTATCAATACTGCCATCAAATTTGTTTCGTTTGAATCCAGTTGTGTTCTGGATGTTACTAACACTTTGTTTCACATTTTGATTAATTTTATCACTATTTGATGTACTATTTGATGCATTCATTGACGAAGAAAATATTGAGGCAAATAATGATGGGTTTGTTGGCTTAATCTCAGGAGTAGGTATAGAATTAGAGGCCATTGGACTCAATGGTGCTGTCGGTGGTGATGAAGAAGCAATCGATTTCTTTTTCTTTTTACTGGAAGTTTCAATTGATGCTTCAGTATGTAGTGGTGAATGACTTAATTTTGTTGTCACTATATCTTCACCGGTATTATCAGTCTTAATCTTCGACTCATATTTAAAAGAATGCATTAATAGGTGATTTGAATTTGAGTGAATAGAAGTCGGAGAAGCCATCGATGCGTTTGAAGATATGCTTCCAGTTTTAGCAGTCTTTTTCTTTGGATGTTTTGATTCACTCGGATAAGTCATGTTTTGCAATGACTGACCTTTTAGTGTTGAAAACTTTTCAGGACTCGACTCGGGAGTAGAGTTATCGTTGGGAATCGGCTTAAAAGCTGGAATTGGTTTTATGTTTCCCTCCTTTTTCTATTTATTTATTGATTATATAATTTTGAATCTAAATTACATTTAAATAAAGTATAATAACTCACAAGTTTCTGGTAGTGATGACTACAATAACCACAATACTTAACCTGTAATTAGAAACAGAAATATAAATGATTTGACAAATAAATCAAATACAATATTTATGACATACATTATCCATGTTATTGCCGGCCTCTTCACATAGTAGACCTGCTGCCTGTGCGCTGTAATACAATCATAGTTTAAGTAAAAATGAATAGATTGTCATCAAATGGTCAATTGGTGTCATACCAGGTAACGTGAAAGTAGTGTTTACATCCCTGTTTGTTGCATTGCATACACGCACCTGTATGTGCTTTAGCCTCCTTTCCATGTTCTTCACACAGATAACACGTGCGACTATACCTCTCGGGCGGAACCAATTGAAGTATAATCGGTTCCATAGTATTATTATTACCAAATCTCACTTCTGGTATATAAAGAGCGCAAACCACATGAGCCCAACTTTGGCTGTCTGTCCGCTTCAAAGCACCGTCTTTTGATGGACACAACTCGCACCTCTGTTAGTGAATACATGAGAGACAATATGAGATCAATTGCTAATTAATCAAAACAAATGGTCAATCAGTGACATACAACTCGAGCCTGTCTTTCCTGTGATTCACACTTTCGGCAATACCACGGGCCGGTCGGTACTGAGACAATACCATAACAGGCTATATGTGGGGCACAATCATGTGGTCAACAGTTGTGACACTAAGTATGGATGGTATGCATACCCTGATGTACGGCTACATTACATCCCTGTCCATCACAATAGACCAGCGGATTCTCATAAAAACCCCTTTCGTCGGAACAGACACAACAGCCGCCGACCATCTCTTTCATTGTAGTGATTGTTGCAAAACAACAAGTATTTGACGCTCACTCACATGTATTGATGTCATGATTGGTGCTATCGGTGGCCAAACAGTCATCCAGTAGTCAGTCAGTGGCCGAGCACTCAGTTGGCGCTCAATAGAGTCACTCAATAGTCAATACACTTAATAGACTCATAGACTCAATACAGTCAATGCATTGCATTCAATGCATTACATTCATTACATTCATTACATTCGCCATATTATATACACTATTAAAATATATAATATATTATACATAGACTGACAAACATTAGATGGCATTGTTGTATACATTACTACTTTAATTGATTGAAAAGTATTCACATAATAGACTCAAATATTATTTAATTATTAATTGTTTTTAACTTTAATTATAATTTTGTATTAATGTCTCCCAAAGTGATAAATACTTGTCACTAAAACATTAATTTAAATAAATAATTTTGATTTGTTTTATTTAATAAATAGTATATCTCCTCAAGTATTTGAAAAGTTTATTTCAAGTAATAAAATAATTAAGTTTTTGACAATTTATTTAGTATATTGTAGATAAATAGTATTAGTATTAGTGCATCAAAATATATTTAATTAAATATAATACATATTTTGGTGATAAATAAATAAGAAATATTTAATTAAATATTTTGTATTTTTAGTAAATATAATTAAATATTATAACTTAAAAATGTAAAAATAGATTATAAAGTACTAAATAAGTAAAAGAGTTTTTGATTAAAGTTATAGTTTTTAATGAACAGTAAATATATACAAATAACTCTATGATTTAAAAATTAGCAAAAATATTATGCAAAACATCATTAGTTGTGTTAAACATAATTATAGAAATTACACTCAAAAAACATTTATAAAAAATGATTGACCCGTAATCGTAATGTTGACCATAAATTACAAATTTAATAAATATATATATATTTACTAATAAAGACTATTAAAAAAATAAATATTTAAGTAAATATTTTGGCAGTTTTTAGTAAATATTTTATTAAATATTTCCAATTTTTAAATAAATATTTATTGATGAACTAATTATTATAGTTAATATGTACAATAAAATAATTATTAATCAATTTAATAAACATATTATTATATTATATGAATGTATTAAAAAATATATTGTTTACGAACTCCTTTCAGGAGTTCGTATCTGAATTCTGTCTGTCTGTCTGTCTGTCTGTCTGTCTGTCTGTCTGTCTGTCTGTCTGTCTGTCTGTCTGTCTGTCTGTCTGTCTGTCTGTCTGTCTGTCTGTCTGTCTGTCTGTCTGTCTGTCTGTCTGTCTGTCTGTCTGTCTGTCTGTCTGTCTGTCTGTCTGTCTGTCTGTCTGTCTGTCTGTCTGTCTGTCTGTCTGTCTGTCTGTCTGTCTGTCTGTCATTAACATTTTGACTTCATTTTGATTTGGATTGATTGAATTTTTAAGCATCAAAAATAAGGTATATGGGATCAGCATTAAAATTTTGATATCTCTTCGGGAACATAGAAAAAATGGCGACCAAATTAAACCAGTTAAGAATGCTAGAAAGCATTTTCAGAAAAAAAACTTGAATAACATTGACTATTAGTTTTATAATTATAGCGGCTATATAATAACATAAAAATTTAAAAACTGGTCAAATATACATAATATAAATATTGTAATGTATGGTATCAAATGATTCAGTATGACAAAATAAACAACTATAGTCATGTGCGGTATCAAATGATTTAGTATAACAAAATAATAATCTATAATTATACATTTGCCGCTTATACTTATTCTTTTTGTTCCCGTAGATATCAAAATTTAATGCATATTTTTTATCCTTGTTTTTGATGCTTTCTTCAAATCTATATTTAAAAAAAAATTCTTAAAATTTTTTATACTTTTTCCGCCATTTAAAAAAAATTATACTGATATATTATATCATATTTTTGATACTCTTTACAATTCTAAACGTTAAAATTTTTACCTAATTTTTTTTACTTTGGCCGCCATTTTCTTTATGTTCCCGAAGATATCAAAATTTTAATGTATATTTTTTATTCTTGTTTTTGATGCTTTATTCAAATCTATACTTAAAAAAATTTTTCTTAAAATTTTTTTTACTTTGGCCGCCATTATGTCTATGTTCCCGAAGAGATATCAAAATTTTAATTAAACTTCAATACAATATTAGTAGTTCTCTAACCGAATCTGAAGTCAGAATTTCAAAATTCGCAAAATGAAATGCTACAGATAGACACACACACACACACACACACACACACACACAAAAGGCTCGTATATATTTCAGAAAACAAAACTTTTCAAGTTTTTTTTTGAAAATTTAGGTAAAAATTTTAACGTTAAGAATTGTATAGAGCATCAAAAATAAGGAATAATAGATCAGGATTAATTTTATGAAAAATGGCGGCAAAAATATTAAAAATTAAATGTAGTTAATTTAGTCATACTGAGTCATTTGATACCCCACATGACTATGGTTGAATTTATTTAGTCATACTGAATATAGACTGAGGTATAGACTTTTATTGCATTTTTAAACTGTAATTTTTTAAAAATCCAAAATCAAAGGGGGGTCAAGAGAAAATTCCTTAAATTCTCGAATATTCCCATGTAAATTCCATAAAGTTCCTGTATAAATTCCCAGGAAAATAGGTAAATTTTCCCAAAATATAAAAAAAATTAATAAAAACTTAAATTTTAACAAAAAATAAAATAATGTATTTAAAATTTAAAAATATTATAGTTGATAAAAGTATTAATGATACACTATGAGTTATTTTTAATATTTTAATAATTTATAACTTTTAACATAATTAATAATATAATAATTACCTGTAATGTTTATATTTTATATGTACATAATTTTATTTTCCATTAATTTTACCATTTCTCTTATATACATTCACTTAAATTTTTATTGTTGTTTGAATGAAATTTTATTATATAAATATTTTATAAACTAAATTGTTTTGTAAATATTTTACAATAAATAATTATGTTATACATGTATAGTATATTATAAGTACTTTTTATAAAAGAAGATCGTAAACACCTTTAATATTACATTAATTTTATTAATAAAAGTTTGAAAAGTAGCAAATAAGTAGTTATATTATATTTATATAACTGATAAACCATACCATAGTATAAACCATTAGATAAATTATATGCTTTTTGACTTCAAATAAACTATAACTACAATATATAACTGTTTATTGTTTAAACTCTAGAAAATATTAATACCAAATTAAAATTAATAATGATCTAAATGAGACATTTAATTATCTATATATTTTGTGTTAGTCCGAGATATTGTCCTAAATTTATAATTTTTTATAATCATATATTTTAATAATGTAATATTATTATGAAATAAGTTAAATATAATATTAATGAGTAAATTAATTGAAATATATTGTATAATTTTTATTAAAACTAATGAAATGTTTTAATTACCGGTATTTAAGTTTATTTAACAGCAAAAGCCAAACTTAGAATAAAATATTTATTTTTAAAACACAATATTTGATAAACTTTATAAAACATTTAATTATTAAAAAATATATATTTATGTCATATAAATCCTAATTAATTAATTTTTTATTGGAAATTATTAAAGTTCTAAAATAAGTTTTTAATTAAATTTTCTTAATTAATTATTATAATTTACTATAAATTACTTAATATTAGTAGAATATTAATATAATTTCGCTTAATATTTAAAACACTTTTTCACGATTTAAAAAAATTAATTAAATTTATAACATTAACTGAGTTTAACATATTTTTAATAATATCTATTCATTATTATTTGTAAATTCATATGAAATAGATATCTAAAAAATAAAATGTATAAAATAATATAATGTTGTCAGTAATTAAAGCATAGATTATATGATAAACTATTGTATGTATTAATGTTTTGGACACAAAATAATCCATTTTTTCAAAGCAGATGTTGGCATTCGCATAGTTTTATTGATAAAATGGATAGTTTTAATGCAAACCTATATTACTATATGTATGTCATTCAGTTTGTATGCCCACTAAAGCTTTCTTTTGAATTCATACAGTAGTATAGAGTAATGTTAAATAAATTTATCTATTATAACAACACTATAAACTATTTTTAAATACATATCCAATACAAGTGCTATAAAAGTTGTGGATGTTATGAATTTGTTTGATGAGACCATAAGTTCCATACTATGGCACTATATATTACATCCATAAGCATAAAAAAATTATTGCCATATCTGTTATGAAAACGCATTTATTTATTACATTAAACACAAACACAATGAGAGAATCTGTAATTACAACTTCAATCAGTGAACCCATCCGTCCGTAAACTTGCAATAAACACATTTAAAATATCCTGAGTTATGATAAAACAATTTTAAATTATAGGTAAACCAAAGCTTATTTATGAAACTAATTACAAGAGTGACGACATGAGAGCCAATCTGGTGGTTGAGTCCACAAATAAACCTTTATATTATTATATAGTTTGTGTGGCATAACAGCTAACCGTCGATTATTTTTTCCTGAATACTAATAATTGAATGACCGCACAGGTATTACATGAGGAAATACATTAAATTATGAACTAAACGCTATATGATTGCAATCTGCGTCCGGTCTACTATATACTGTATATACTATATATATAAATATATATATATATATCTTTCTCCCACAATATTGAGTACTCTCTAAAATATTTAAATGAATGAATTATCAGTACTAACATAAAGACAATATTTTAATTATATAAATGTTAAATAAGAACTTATCGTTTATTTTATAATTTAATAATAAATACAATATTTTATAGAAATTATTTTAAAGATTTAAGCAAATAAAGAATGGATTTTGACTAAAATACACATTAAATGAACTAAAAATTAAAGACTAGAATATAAAACAAATTGATAATCAATTATTTATGATAAACTGCATAATAAATTATAATAAGCTCTTATACATTAATATTACTACAGTATGTTATGATATTAAGTACTTAATTTGAATCAGTTATAGTTGAACAACACTCGGCTAATAAGTCGTGTCCATTGATTGACAAATCAGTGCTTTTGTTTTTATGTCTTCGCGGGTCTTCAGGTGTCCAAAGCTTAGCAATCATAACGTTTCCATTCTTATAATGTCTCCTTTCATTAACATTACTGCTCCACGAAAGCGAATGAGTGCCTAATAATTAAAAACTTATAATTAAATGTTATTGAAATATAAATTAATTTTACTATCTTTACCTAAACGGCACTGAATTATAACTTTTTTTGGCTGTTGTGCTATTTGTGACTGTAATGAATCAGCTGGTTGTCCATCATTATCTACCAGTTCTGCTAAAAAGCTTATATATCCAATGGCTAATCTTAAGGTATCAACTTTTGAGAGTCTCTTTTCATAAGGAAGAGTCGGAATGTGTGTTCTTAAACCCTATTTATTGACAGATAATTATTATATACAGTATTCATAAAATTAAACCACAGTATAAATCTTTATAGATTTTATACATTAATTTTTAATAAAAAATATGACTGAATATAATGCTTACCTCAAAAGCATCGTTAATAGATTGCATTCTTCTTCTTTCCCTAAGATTGGCGGCATGTCTTTGTTGGAACTGTTGATGCATTCCTTTTCTCTTACGATGTCTTTTCTGTCTAAAATTTTCTTGTTCTGGATGTGACTTCATATCAGGTGATTGGTTTGGTGATGGATAAGGAGAGTCGAGAAATGGGTTATCACTAAAATATTCAGTTGACTCCGGACTAGAAAGAGGTATATTAGCATCAGATTGACTGAAATTTATGGTCTGTTCATTGTTATTGATATCATTAAATATTATAGAGTTTGTCGACACATAGGATCCACTATTATTATTGGAGTTATTACTGTAAAGATTTTGATAATTTTGATTGCAATGAATGGCTAATGAAGTGAGTGTTGTAGCACTTGGTTGTTGGCAGTGCTGTGAATGTTGTGAATGTTGGTGATGACCAAAATGTTGCTCCAGAAAGTGTGGGTTCACATTAGACACATTAGACATATTAGACAAATCGATATTTTCCATCTCCAGAACTTTGTATGTCGTGTACAGACTGTTTAGTTCCCACCAAAAAACATAAACTCAATCGTAAGACTCGTTAATTCAGTTACTCTTTATATTAGAAAAATACAGATACGGATCGTCTTAAATAAGACTATATAGTGTTTGGATGATTATGTTTGGCAAAGCATTTGTATTGTTCAACAGTTATACCTATAGCTTAATAAAAAGCATAAACGCTTGTATAGAGTGAACCCCAACCCCCGTTTCCATATCATACATATCACTATATTAGGTGTATTATCGGTTCAATTGGTAGCGCACGCGCCCATTTGGGGCCTGTCTTCTATGTCCAAGTGCTTACACTGTACCTGATGTGTCAGAGGTTTATTTGGTGCACCATTTGAGACGACGATCCGCCCAATCTATTCAATACTTAGATAAGCTATTGATTTATCACTTATTCACAAATTGTCTTTTATTATTGTATAACAAAATTATTGTAAAACTATTTTTACAAAAATAGTCTATATATGCAAACTATTAATATAAATAATATGTTACTCTTAAACATCATCACAATTGACTTTAATAGGGAAGTGCTGTGTAATGCAAAACAAACTATTGTCAGTCGTGTGTCCGACACGTGTCCAACAATGTTATTATAATTCTTGGCATATAATAAAAGATGAGTTCATATATTTATTTTATCAAAAGACTATTTATTTAATTATTAAATCTGAATGAGAGGAACAATATGTTGAACATATCGATACTTCAGATTATGACAATCATTAGGTGTAAGCGTARGTCGTATTCATGAGTAATAGCACTCACCTGTTCTTCATTTGTCAAGTATTTGTTTGTTTTACAACAATTCAATTATATAACAATTCAATGGATTTATATTTATATAATATATTATGATATCCACTGGCGTCTGAAGATGAGATTTTCAAGAAGTTTTAAAGACACGACAGTCATGTTATCATTAGATAAATTTGTTGTAAGACATGAGTCAAACACAAAGACTTAATTTTGTTTCACTTGAGAACAGGTGTCTTAAAATATAATAATTTAATAAAACATTCAAAAATATTTCTATTTTTCAATAACATATTCATATCTCATAATATATTTTCGAGTATCACTTGTATATTATTTGTGTTATATAAAAGTTAGTAAATTGTTAAGCAATTTATATGATTTTAATTCAATACATATTGGGCTCACATGTCAGCGGTTATGACAATTAGGCATTAAGTCTATTGGCCGCGTGGCAGACACTGGACCCACACTCCACTCAACTATATATTTTCTAGACTGTGCTTTATGTTCATTACCATAACACCCGTCCCCACCTCCACTGTCCCCACAAACAGTCTTTTATATCAATTGTCTCATTCAAGCTTTGAATGACTGAATGCATCAAAAGTGGAGTCAAAAGAGAAGGGRATATCAAAGTCGGCACACGTGTGGATAAAAACACACATAAAAGGCACGTTATATTAACGAGAAACTAATATCTGTGACAAACGAGACACGAGACCCACTCTACCGTTTCACACATTTACCGGTAATGTATATCAAACACTTCAAAGCAAAACCTATAAAAACTTCATTTGTTTAATAATTACATCTTTTAATCACTAAATTAACAATAATTTTCAAACTATGACAATAATTTAATTATATCTTATAAAATATAATAAAATAAAAAAATACATAATAAATACATAGATTAAGTGACTCGTTGTCGATATTATAGATATTGTTGACATAAAAAATAATATTTTATTTACTAAATTTATTATTATATTATATCATAGAATATATCAGTTATTAAAAAAAAACATTATTTAACCAATATTTGATATAATTGATAAAACATTTGGAAATCATAAAAGTCTAGACTTGTACTCAAAATAATGTTATTTCTGGTTTATACACAAAAACTGTATACCTAATTGATTAATTTTATTTAGAAACTACAATTAAATTTTTGCATAACTAGCTAAATTAATATGACATTTATTATAATTCAATACAAAACATTAATAAAGTAAAAATATAGAAATTAATGACAACCATAATATAGAATTATAAAAATAACGAAAAAATTATTAGAAAACTAAAATTTTCAATAAAAGTGAATTAGTTAGAGAGAGAGAGAGAGAGAGAGAGAGAGAGAGAGAGAGAGAAGAGAGAGAGAGAAAGAGAGAGAGGTATTGGTTGCAAACTGGTATGTGCTTTGAATGGTAGCACAAATAATGACCAAATCATAAATGAGTCGTCAAACGATGTGATTAACATAATTGAAATTTGATATCCTTTTGAATAGTTTGGATAACTTTAATCTGACTTTTGCTATAAAGACATCAAAGCATTGTTATAGTACTRACATTTGTAAAGCAAAATCCCAAAAATCTCTGGGATTATAACCCCATTGTATTTCTACTCTATGACTAACTGTAGGCCCACTTGTAATGTATTGAAAATGATGTGCACCTGGCGGTAGGCTTAACCATACTATTCAATAAAAGTTATATTATTTTCTTTTTATATTAATATTACGGACAACAATAACAATCAATTTATAGTTTAAACAAAGTATAGTATATTCACAATAATACTAATCATCGCCACCGACACCGATATGACCTATAGTTATAGTCATAAGACTAACACTTCATTTAATATACCGGTATAGTGACTGTACTGTATATTATACACTAACTTCAATGTATGCAATGCTTTCAAGATTTTATAGTTTTGCTAATAATTATTGTTTATTAACAAATGTTAGACATCTGTAATAATAAAAAATATATAATAAAATATAATCTCTTAAAGCAAATTTATTATATATATATATATACTTATTAAAGTGCAAATATTCTGTAATAAACTAAATATTTAGTTATAAAATTAAAAATTGATTGTAATATCAACAATTATATCACTCTATTACTACACAAAAAATTGTACTGATTATACGTTACAGTATGTATTAGCAAATATGTTACATACATAGTAGTAAAATATATTATATTATTAATTATAAATTATAATACTGTAATCCTTTTAAAATATATGTAACTTAAAATTATTTTAATGTATATCAAAAAGTATATGAAAAACAAGTTTTCTATATTTTGAGATAATAAGTAAAGACTGACTCAACTACAGTATAGTCTATAAAATCGATAGTAAAGTGTAATTCATTTTTTCCGAAAACAAAAATAACAGAAAACACCTGAAATTAAGCCCAGAATTCCCAGAAGTCGATCAATACATAGATTGAGTAAGTTATCGATTCGGACACATTTGAAAACATTTTATTTTATAAGCCCTTTATTATTATTATTATTATCTATTGCTTACAATTAGTAAAACTCACTTTCAATATTATCAAACATTATTGTGTTTAATTTTAGATGTTAATTATATGATAAGGTAATTATTGAAAATATTAATTAGTAATTTATTTATATAATATATTCATTCAACACTATTTTAAAATAATAGACAATAGAAATTATATAATTTTGCTCATTAAACAAAATTATCATCTTATATAAATATATCCTCTAAAATTTTTAAAATATTATTATTATTATTATTATTATTATTATTATTATTATTATTATTATACGCTACAATGATTTTAATGCAAAATGTTTAATATACAAACTTAAAAAGTATTTTGTGTAAAAATATATGTATTAATAAAATTATCTAATAACTTAAATTATATTTAGTGTTAATTAACATATCAACTTGAAAGTAATCAGTAACTTATAATTACAATAAACATTGAAAACAAGTTATGATTATTCAATAATATCATAATATATCAAAATATATTGTTTTGTTTTATCGATAGTTATTTTAATAAATGTATTGTAATTAAATAACAAGGTTTTAATTTTTTAAAAATAGATGTTTAAACTTTTTATTTTTACATTTTACAAAATATTTTACAGGTATCAACTCTAATTAAATATACAAAAAATAATATTGATATATATATATATATAATAAAATTTACATAATGATATAAAATATTTTTATATCTTAATTCTTAATAAAATTATAAATTATAATAATAATAATAATAATATAAGTGTACAGATTATGTTATATTTATATACAGATTATATTACAGATTATATTACAGATTATCAAATCATTATAACTAGGGATGAAAACAATTGTAAGAATTTAGAAATTATAAAAATTTATTATATATTATATATTTAAATGCATATAACATACAAATTTAATAATAAACTTCACTTTTATTATTATTATTAATATCATTGTATTTTTTAAATAATTCTATTATCTAATAAAATTTAAATGTTTGAAAGTAAACTTTTAATTATATATTTAATTTCAATGTATTGCAACATATGATTTAAATTTTAAAAATGATTAATTGTTTTGTTTGTAAGACTATGTGAAGGATTTTTATTTGTATTTTTAATTAAATCAAATCATATGATTCTTTAATAATTGTATAATTATTATATAAACTCCTGATTTGATTATTTTTTAAAATAAAAATAAAATTATTGTAAATAATTTTTTATAAACTATTAGAAAATATTTATTAAATTATCTTTAAATATTGTAAAATATTTTGCGAAAGATGTTTGTTTTACTAAATTAGATAAATCCTTAAAATATTATTAATATAAACAAAAAATATTTTTAAACATATTATAATTTTAAATAAGTTTTCGGTTTAAATTCAATTAATAACTTGAAAACTTTAAAAAGATAGTCAAACAATTGAAAAATAGAGGCATTGGAGAGCTAATTGTGTGCACTGGTATTGTATGCTCCCGGTGCTCATTTTGCAGCTGTGTTTTTTCAAACACCGCATTCACTTATAATGGAAATTACATTCTCTCTAACATTAAGGACATTATAAAAATACATACATATACTGTATTGTACTATAAATATATATATAATATTATATACAGTATAGTAGTGAACTATCACTGAGACTAATGCAATCATAGCATGTATTTGATGGGACCGTTAGGAACCGTAAGAGTATTTTGTGTATTCAATACTCAGTTTAGACTTACATCAAAATCAACACTTTTGTGATTTAAGCAAATATTTATTTTGCAACAAAAACTTGAAAAATTGAATATCAAATGTATTGAACATATAATTGTGGTTATAATTCATTAATCATTTTTTTCTTTATAAATTTTTATTTATTTCAAATTTTAATAATTTAACAAATATGATTTATCATTTCTCATAAATACATTTTATTTTATTTTTTGATAACGTTTGAACTTATATTATCCGCTAATATACCGGTAGAAACTGGTATCAGTTATCAAAACTTATATTAAGATATATCACCCTTGAATGTGATAGCATAGGAACCTTGAAATTAACAATTTTAGGGGAAATATTTCATATAAACGGCAATTAAAATAAATTTAAAATTTTAAAAAACTTAATTTATTTGTATTATAATTAGAATTTTATGATTTTTTATTAACTAAGCATTTTCTATTGATACAAAACATAATAAAAATTTAAATAATTTATCATATAATTTTTTCCATTCAACACTAATAAAGATAAAATGTCAAATATTGATGAAGTGATAGCTATTAGCAATGATTTGTTAATATATTGATAGTTTGTATACATTTGTATACACTATAAATTTATATTTTATACAGTATTACACGTATGAATTCATAATTTTTTGTTTATAAATCTGGTATATATAAGATTTACAATATATTGTTTATATCAACATTTGATTCGGTTATTAAATCGCTAAGTTTTAAGAAAATTATTGAAAAGTTTTTTAAAAACTAAAGCTATGGATCAACTAAATAATATCAAAGACTTAGACAATCTTTCGCTTGTAATTCACGGACCAAATGATTTAAGACTCGAACAAACGCCTATTAAAGACACTTTAGAGCCAAATGGTATACAAATTAACATAGATTTCAATATTAATTATTAATCCAATTATATATCATTTTTGTTAGAGTGTTTGCTTGAAACACACAGGTATGTAATGTTTTGCTTATTAGATAAAAATTGTAAATTAATAAATATAAAAAATTATATACAAAATATATCCATAATAATAAATATCATGTTATACCAGTAAATTTATTATTCATATACAATATATCTATAATATAAATGAATTTATACAGTAATATATTGTACTATACATAAAAGCAATGTTTAATATTAGAGTTTTATTGATAGTTGTGGTTTTTGTGGTACTGATATACATTTGATGGACCATGGTCGTATGGCTGATTTTATTGTAAAGGAACCGTTAGTTATCGGACACGAGACTTCAGCCAGAGTAGTGGCCGTCGGCGGTGATGTTAAAAACTTAAAAGTTGGGGATCGGGTGGCCGTCGAAACTGCCATTCCGTGCCAGAAATGCGACTATTGTCGGGCCGGTCGTTACAATTTGTGTCCCATATCTAACACTCAAGCAAGAGGTCTGCCACCAAAACACGGATGTCTGCGTAGATATTATGCACATCCCGCAGATTTCTTGTTTAAGTAAATATTTTTATTTATAATAACATATAATACTTATAGTTTTGAAATAATACTTATATACACCAGACTTCCGGACAACGTTTCCTGGGAAGAGGGGGCTATGTGTGAGCCCTTCTCGTGTATAGTACACGCGTGTCGACGATTAAACATAATGGCCGGACATAATGTATTGGTTTGTGGCGCCGGTGCTATGGGAATGATGGCATTCCTTTGCGCCAAAGCTTTCGGTGCCAACAAAGTCTTTGTAACTGATATTAATAAAAGTCGGTTAGCTTTGGCCGATAAATTAGGTGCCGACAAAACCTACGCAATTGATCCAAAAACATTTAATGACTTTGATATGGCACAGACTGTCGTCAAAGATATGGGTTGTAATCCTGATATAAGTATTGAATGCACTGGCAATGATTCCAGCACTTCAATGGCTATATATGCCACCAAAAATGGTGGTAAAGTTGGTATCGTTGGATTGGGAGGTCTTAAAAGTACTGTTCCTTTAGTTCACACAGCAATGAGAGAAATTGATTTGATTGGTGTCTGTCGTTTCAAAGATGAGTTAGTGTTTTCATTTTTTTTGTAATTAATAATTTAAAAATCAATCAAATAATTAATTATCATTTGTTGATCCAGTTATCCATTGGCCATAGAATTGATAGCATCGGGTAAAGTGAATCTGAAACCATTAATAACTCATAAGTTTCCCATCACTGAAGCCATTGAAGCCCTTAAATTCATGAAGAAGAATGTCGAGGGATCTCTTAAGATAATGGTTCACTACTGATACTAATACTAATACTAATACTAATACTAATACTAATACTAAATACTAATACTAATACTAATACTAATACTAAATAATAATAATCTTAACTATATTTTTACAAATAATTATCCAATAGTTAAATAAATAGTTTATTGTAAAATATTAATATATTAATTTCATTTTTTTAAATTAAATGATTCAATTAAACATAAAAGTATTTATGTGTTTGAGTTTGCTTTTATTGTATATCATAACTAAATTTTAAAATATTAAATGAATCTAAACTAACTAATATATTTTATTTTAAATATTGCAAATAAAGTAATCTTTAAATATTATAATTTAGATAATGATTAGAGATTAAAATATATATTAGTGATAATGCAAAAAAACAAATAAAATTTAAGCAATTTTGATAGTTTAATTTTTAACGTTTAAAAAAATAAAATTAATGAATCTGAAGCAAAATAAAACAATTTAATTAATTATGTCTTTTTGCAATTTGATAAAAATATAGTACAATATCTATATTTGACAAATTTATCAATATATTCATTTGAATTGATTATTTATACACATTTGTACTTAGTTTTGATATACAGTATCTGTTTTTTGTAGACAATTTAATATGAATTACATAAATAAGATTTTATTATAAATAACTTATAATTGGTAAATATAGGCAATTATAGACAATTATAAATTATATAAAAAAAAAGTTTATTTAAAATATAAAATCTTAGTTAAAATTTATAATTTCCATTACTTTTTGTATGAATTGGGCAAACTTTTTCAACATTGATCACAATCTGTGATACAGTTATTACATTTATAGCGCTATTTTGTAGTCATTATATTGTTATACTCATCATATAATGGGATAGATATAGTTAAGTGCAAACACTTACCGATAACTTACCTGTTATTGTCATAACTGCTATTATATTCTGTTATTATACTAATATATTAACATTTTTTAAGAGTCAAACAACTAAAGTATTGTATAATTTATGTTTATTTCCGTAATTTTTAAGTTAAAAGTCAGTCATTTCTGTTAAATAAATAATTAAAATTAAAAAATATATATTTATGTGAAGTAATGGCAAATAGTTTGAAAACAAGTAGTGATATCTAACGTATAATTCAATGGAAATAAATTGAAAACACATTTATATTGCACTTTGTTTTAGATTATCTTCAATTTGAATGAAGTGTCGATAAGTGACAAACATTTAACACTAAAAGTATACCAAAGACTAAGTGCTAACAGTTGTCAACAACTTTTCATTCAAAACCTATTGATTACTGTTTTGGTGACAAAATCCAAGAACCAAGACATGACTCAAACTGAATCAGAGTTTCGACTGAAGATTGGTATCATTGGTGGCACCGGTTTGGACAGGGATTCGTCGATTATCAAAGATCTCAAACTAGTGTCAGTACCGACCACACCATATGGCGATCCCAGTGATAATGAGGTGATTACTGGAACCATTGAAGGAGTGGACATTGTGTTGATGGGTCGACACGGAAGCAAACATAATATCAATCCCTCAGATGTCAACTATAGGGCCAACTTATGGACATTGAAAGAGTTGGGCGTAACTATAGTTTTGGTGACCACCGCTTGCGGCTCTCTTAAGTTGGAAGTAAGTCCCGGTGATTTTGCAATTCTAGACCAATATATCGACCGCACATGTCTTCGGGGGCGTACTTTCCATAAAGTATCGCACATTCCTCAGGGAAAACCATTTCACCCCAAACTTCAACAAATACTGGAAGAAAGTATCGCTCAATTGGGATATAAATTCCACCCGAAAGTGACGACCGTAACCATCGAAGGCCCGCGTTTTTCAACTCTGGCTGAATCGCGACTTTACAAGAGTTGGGGCGCAGATATCGTCAACATGACTACCGTTCCTGAGGCACAATTAGCCGCTGAATTAGGACTTATCTACGGAGCCCTAGCATTGGTAACTGATTACGATTGTTGGCACGAATCGGACGACGAGTCGGTCAGCGTTGACCTCGTAATGAACCGATTGAAGGAATTGTCTGAAAGAGCTAAAAATGTATTGTCTTTGACTATCAAAAACATTTCGCAAAATGATTGGCAAACTATTTGGCACAAAAAACAAAGCGATTCCAAGCTAGCCGTTATGTACCACTAATTGGGATCTAATTTAGTGATAATTATTTTTAGTACAAACAGCTTGTATGACATTTTATAAGTGTATTAAATTTATTAGAACTAATTATTTTTAATACATTGTTTTAATTATATAAATTTATTATTAAATATTTTAAATTATCAATAGATTTAGTTTTCATAGTCAATAATTGTGTTTAAATTCAGTGCATTTTACAAATACATAAAATTATTACATTTATTAAAATAAATAGAAATTTTATTATTCATATATAAATAATAAATATTAATAAATGTAATAATTTTATGTATTTAGAGAATGTATAATAATTTGCAAAAATTGAAGAAAATGAAAATATTTTATTGTAAAATGATATTAATGTTAGTATAATATTTGATAACAACTTAAGTGATTAAAACAATTTGAACCCAAATAGAGAGTTATTTGAGAAGTGATTTATAATCTGAGGGTAATTGAAATCAAATGATTTGATTATAACTTAACTTTTTATAAAACATTGATAGCATTGTAACCTTCAATCAATCAATTAAATAAATAAATCATTATTTATATATTAAAAAAAACTTTAAATCTTTGTTTTTTAATTGAATGCAATATTTGTTTAAAATGAGATAATTTGCAAATCAATGAATCATTTGATATCAAACCACGAGATGTCGTTAAATGGTTGTCGAGAGACATGTGTTTGAAGTGAAGACACAAAAACATTGACTCATATTTGTTGTGATCTTAAGCTTTATGATTGACCTCTTGTTGGACATCTTGTTGGACATCATCGACAGTTTAAAGATCTTAACAATCATTTTTTAGTCAACAATGTTTAGGTTGCAGTCAATGAGCGCCACGAAGAATGTCGACTTAGAAGAGGAAAGAAGAAAAGCCCGACAAGAAGTGAGTCGAGAGATCATGAAGTTTGCTGTTTTGGTGGTCGCCATCAAAGTCACACCAATACTGATCCAGAAGTTGTCTTAATTGGTCACATAATATGATACTAAACACAAGTCAATAGATATTATTGTAGTTTAATATATGAATTGTATTGAAATGACTCGACATTTATCATATGTATCGTTAAATTAAAGCTATTATTAATAATAAATATTTTTATGTCATATATTCATAAATAATTAATAGTATATTATTTAAATAAAATGTAAATTTGTTTTCATTTTGTAAATTAATTCAAATATAGATTATTTGTGTCAAAAAAAACTTAAAATAACTGACAAATAATGTGTAACTAAATGATAATATATTGCCAAACACTTGAGTCCATTACTGTATGTATGGAAAGTCTGTTTGATAAGGCCTTTGACCGACAGCTACCGGCGCTTATAACCTGTTTTTATTTAATTAACAAATTACTTAATTTATATATAAATTTATATATACTGTATATTCAATATTAGTATATTTTGTTAATTGATTATTTCTTATATAAATATATTTTCATAGAAACATATTATTAAAATATGAATTATATGAATGCCATGAAAATACAATTTTTTGAAATTATAACAAATTAACGATTTTTTTTAAATTAGACAAAAAATTAACAAACGATGGGATTATTGTTAAGATTACTTAGAAATTATTGCCATTTAATTAATGAATTTTTTTATTAACTAAAACTTTTTAAGACTAATTATAATAAACTAAAGTATTTAAAAATTATAAAACTTATAATAATATTCGTTAAATTTACAAAGTTAATCATATTTGGCAATTTTTGTCAATTTAACATAAAATTTTTAATTAAATATTTAAAAATATAATTATAAAATAAAAAATGTTAACTTTGCCAAATTAATAGGAAATATTTCAAAAATAATTATTTTTAATTTTATGGGTTAATTAAAATAAAATTTTACACATAAGCCTTATTTGATTAAACAATCGTATTTTATTATTTGATTATTTAATTACTTGTAGATTAATATGAAAAAAATGAATTAATTCGATAACATAAAAATGAATTATAATTTACATGTGAATAATGCTTATAAAAAACAATAAAATATTTGACATATAAGTAAAACTTTAGTTTTAAAATTATTTTTAAAAAATAAATTTTATTTAACATATTATATTTATTTTTAAAACTTTGGTCTAACTTTAAATCAAATATAGTTAACTGATTTTATTTTAACAAAATTTGTGACAATTTTTCCGAAATATATTTTTTAAATTATACAATAAAAATGAGATAAATCACAGATAACTATAGAAACTGAAAGCATAAATAATAACCACTAAATATATATTTAATAATAATTCATTTAAAGACAACAAGTGTATTATGATTGACGCAAAACATTTAAAATATTGTTTATAAAAAATAAAGAAATACTCTATAGTTAAGAAAATTTTACACTAATAAGTAATATAATCAATAAATATTTGTCATCAATTATTTTTTATAAATTATAAACATTTTTATCGTGATTTTATAGCCTATAAATTATATGACTTTTAAAAACATGTATTAAATTTCATTAATATTTACTATACAAATGTTTATGCTTTCAGTCGTATTATTATTCAGTATAATATAATAAATAATTATTAAACCCATTTCAATACAATAATTAATAATAGCCCGAAAAACGTAATAAAATTATAGGTTTATTATTTGTTTATTTTATTTATAAATATTTTGAACCTTTCTTTTGACATAACTTTCCATTTCATACGGATATGTAATGTAAATAGCTATTCATTGTTTATTAACAAAACGTATAAAAACATTAATATTTTGTTTAACTTTTTCTTTTAACGACTAGTAATTTAACAACAAAAACATGAAATAGTTTTTATACAAATATATATATATATTGAATAAACTCAAGAAAATATTAAAAAGATCACAGAAAATGATAAAAAATTAAATATAATAACCAAAAATATTAGTTAACATAAGAAATATATTGAATTAAATAACAAGAATACAACCATATGTGCAATGATATAATAATTGCAACCATAAAGTTAAATAAAGCGTTTAAAATGACACAAATTTTTTTGCTTAAAAACTTATGGTAGACTTGGTTTGCAAAAGTTTAAAGTAATTACTAAAATAAAACTATTTTCACAAAACACTGCTTCACCTCTCTCTCTCTCTCTCTCTCTCTCAACAGCTATTATTATTATTTCATAAATAAGTTGATTATCGTATAATAACTAACGATAATTATCTATAATTAATTGCAAACATTGAACCACTGTTTTAGGAAATGCAAAGTAAAGCTCATATTTACCTTTAATATTCATAAGTGTTATTCAAATAAAAAGATGAAATAAATTATAATTATTTATAATTGCAATATAAAAATTCATGAGCTCTTAAGTGTGTATTTTGATGACTTTGCATTCAATTAAACTAAATTTATAACATTTTCAATCTTAAATGGCTTAAATCAAAGCTAATATTAATGCATAAAATGTATTAAAAGTAAATATTCTTAAAATATATTATGCATAAACACGAGATAGGCGTTAAAACTAACTTTAAAGTTACAAAAGAGTGTAAATATATAATAAAGTGGTATTAATTTTAATTTGGATCAATGATTATGAGATTTGAGCCCTTGTTATCAATTAACTAATTCAAAACTATTGCAACAGTTTTAATAAATATTAAAAAATAGACGAAACACTATATTTCATTTGGATAGAGAATTAAGACCTTGAATTTCCTCAAACCCACTATCGAGTATACATTGCGGAGGCGTCTCATCAAATACCGACGGTTTGGCCAACTTTTCAAATTTTGCTAACTTTTGGTCTTTTTTCAACCTTTCCGTAATATTATTTCCTCTATTAAACATTTCGGTTAAATTACAGTTATTTGACAACAAATTATTTTCATTATTAGATGCATTTGTAGAACACGAGTTGAGGGTTGTATCCAATCTTTTGCAAACCGATGATGTCGTGCGAGTGGAACTGTTCATCGATATCGAACGATTCACTTTCGAATGACTAATACTCTTTCGATCATTTTGTACGCTATTTATATTTTTTGGCGATCGATTGGTTTTTATAGGCGTCTCATCAATACTAATGGCCGGAGACTTGAATCTAAAATGGTTGACATCTAAAGGCGAACAATTGTTGGACTCATTATAGCTTTCACTTAAATGAAAAGCCAATTCTTCATTCTTCATGGAAAGTCTTCGCTTTTCGCGCATCTCTTGTTCGTATAGTTCTTGGAGATCATGATGTTCTCGAGTCAATTGATTGTATTGATGTATTTTGCGATCCAATGTCACCTGTAATGTCTCCACTTGTTGTTGAAGACTACGAATAGTTTCCTTAGCGTATGGCAACTCATTGATCTTTTCTTGTGTTTCAATCATTTTTCTCTCTAATGTATGAATTTTCTCATTTTTCATATCCATAACCACTTTAAGTGATTCCACTTCTAATTCTAATTGTTTGCTTTTGTCAGTCAAATACTTAAATCTCTTATCCTTATCGGACATAATATTTGTTTCAATCTTTTTTAGTCTATTTTCGAGCGTTTCTTTTGTTTGCTTTGTTTGTGTCAATTCTTTATCTTTTTCCTCGATTTGTGACATTAATTGATCACAATTTTGCTCTATTTTTGTCAACTCTTTTCTAAACATTTCCTCCAAATTTTTTACATCTGAAGAATGAATTTCTTTGAGTTTCTTAACATTCAATTCGTGAGACACTTTCAGTTCATTCAAGTCGTGATAGTTTTTCTCTCTTTCTTTCATCATTTGATTAATTTGTTCCTCAAATATAATCTTCATATCATTTAATTCAGTATTTTTTGCAACTAATTTATCGATTAATATAAATAATAAACTATTTTAGAAGTTTGCGAAATGAAAAAAATAAATGTATTGATAGATAGATATATATACCGAGATTATCCTTAAGCTGTTCACACGTGAGATTTGCTTTATTGAGCGCTTGTTTTAGTTTTGGATTTTCAAAGGGTTCGTACTATTTATATAATAATATAATCAATCATTGAATCAATTTGCGATAATATCTCAAATGTAATTAAAATAATTTGTATTTCATTAGAAACCACAAACCTGTTCAATGAGATGTTGTATAACGACTGATAGAGAATCAAATGCAAGTCTTGTATAGTTCTGCTCTAATGTCAGAGATTTCAATTGTTTTGTTTTATTTTCACACAAATGACTTAATTTTTGCATCCGTTGTTTGTCATCGACTACCTGTGCGTTTCTAACATCTCTTTTGGACGTATTGTTAGTATTAGATGCGCTTATCTTAGTGCCTGTCATTCGCTTTGTCGCCACTGAYACAGATGTAGTAGTGATAGTAGTTTTCGTTTGATTTAATTTACGATTTGCTGTCTTCTTATCATTAGCTGATGAGACAAAACCTGATATTCAAAACAAAAATAATCATTTAATAAAAACATCAAAAACTAAGTCATTTATGATAACGTATTAATAAAATGCATAAATAAATAAGTTTTTAGTTGTTATTTATTTTATTAGTATTTAGATTTATGAGTCAATAAAATTAGTAAAAATAGGAAGACTATGAACCAAATTAATAATAAGTTTAAAATTATAAATTAAATGTCTTAATAACCTTGTAGTCGATATCATGAGGCACAGGTATATGCGGTTATTCAACTTTTTTTTAAATTAATGATAAATTTAACATTAATAAAATGTGAACAAACAAAATCAATAAAAAAAAGTGGAACACCCTTTCCAATAGATATTATAAAAAAATAAAAATATATTTAAAATTAAATACTAAGGACAGAAACATATGTTTAAAAGAGAAGTCGTTAATTATATTATATCGGAGCACAAGTAATATATATCATTGTTTTTAATATTGTTAGAGATTCGTACGTATTGTACCCAAAGCTCTGTTATATCGGGGTTTAGTAACAAAACTACGGGTGCGACTGGAGCTGTGATTTTGTACACAATTTTCAGCGAAATGCACTTTCTTTTGACTTTTATTAATCTGTTCCGATGTCTTAACAGAACTATTGTTGATTTGATTGTCTTCGAGACTTTCAGAGTCGCGACTTCTGAGTCTCAAAATTCCCTGAATCGGTGTCTTTGTATAAGAATTACATTTAATAATGTTTTCCTTATTAACAAAATCTTTGGCAATTGGCTCGTCGTCAACAAATGTAACCATAATTGGTCTCTCATTATCATTACTATTATTAGTAGCCGAAGGCATTACAGACACCATATTTGTGCCAAAATAAACTGTTTCTGATTCAGGCAATTGATTTTCTTTGACTTTTACTTTAACTAAATTATTTGTATTACAAGAACTGGTATGTATACTATCACTAATAGATGTATCGGAAGACACTAGTGATTCAATTTGCAAATTATTTGTATTGTTATTTATATTTTGTGTTAACTCTTTAGAAATGTTTGATTTTGAGATTAAATTGCAATTATTTGTTAAAATGTGTGAATCTGTTTGGTTGTCATTAATTATTGAATCACTCGATGGTGGTATTGTATGAATTACATTATCATCTAATTTTACACAATCAATTGGTTCAGTATTTTTATGATCACTTGACTCCAAAACCACATTTGTATGATTTGTATGATTGACACAAATACCGTTTGTTTGAATATCTTTTTTGGTAACAAAGTTTGTTTCATTTTTATCTGATTTAACTTTTTGCAATCCCTTAATATTATTGAAGTTGTTTTTTGGGTCAACAATTATTTTGGCGTTTAAAGTCAAATCCATATTTTCTATATTTAAAGACTTAACAAAACTATTATCCATTTCATCGCAAATATTATTCTTTTCACTCATTTTTCTATGAGTTTTACAATTGGTTTCCTCATTAATGACTGTTTGTTCATCTGTTTGTTGAAATAGCATAACATTGTTATTCAACACTTGTTTGTTATCATTATGTAGACCTCCATCTGTCACATCAATAGTTTGATAATCGACTTCATTAACTGATATTTTATTGGTTACTTCACTTATCACATCATCATTTGATATCTTATGAGAAATTGTTTCCGAAATTGATTTGGTTTGCAATCCATTATTATTACTATATAAGCCAACATCATATGAATTACGATTCATTGAAATATGTATTAAATTATTAGAATAGTTAATGAAAGGAATGCGATCTTTAGTAATAATATAACCCGAAGAAATCGGCAAATTGTTTGATCCATTCAATTGAAGCCACGATCGTCTTAATGAGCTCTTTGCCAAAAGACTGTTAGCCCGTCTGCGACGTCGTGTGTCGGCTTCAAAACCAATTTTTTCGCGACCAGAATATATAGAATCACGCGATCCATAGTTTGACTTATGTTTTATAATGGATGACGAAATAATTGAAGCACTGGTAGTATTGGACAGTTCGCTAAAATTACTGACACAGTCATCACTAGTAATGTCCGATATATTCTTGTCTTTAATCCGAAACAAACCAAATAAAGTTGAAATACGAGCTTTTGATTTGTCACTTCTTTTCGAAGTAATTGAAGCGGAAGAAGGCGAAGGACTATCGCACGCGCGAACACGCATTGAATCAGTGGTGGTATCGTCACAACTATTGGTTATATTCATCGATGTATTATTATTATCATTGAGATCAATAAATGCAGTCTTGTGGTCGTTGTCACTGTTGTCGATATTTTCATTATTGTAAACTGAAATAACATCAGTTTCGGGAACAGTGACCAGTGGTCGCACACCGTCTAAATTTCGGTGCCATTTAACTTTCATATTGATTATTATCAATAAAACGTTGTGTTGTATTAAATATTTATTACTGTAATATCTATTTGCATTCACACATTGTTTAACCAATAATTGTAAAATATTGTATAATTTACTATTTATTCAATGAATTCACAATAATATTCGTAACATTATATACAGTATATAAAACTATCTCTCATCAACAAAATCAAGGATTTTTTGAATTGACGATAAAAAACAGTACATTTAATTTATTAATAATAAATATGCATTTTTTCACTTTTACATTATTGACTTAATCCAATCAGAAAATTTTATAAATTTATGACAACACAACATTACTATAATTTATAATATATATAATTTTGTATTATATAGACAAATAGTAGATGTGATATTTGCCGTCTCATATGATTTTTAAAACTATTATATATTATTTTGTGACGAAGCAATTCATAAACTTTTTTCACTTTTAAACACTATAGATAATAATATTATATAAATAATTAACAATTAGATATAAACTAAATTAAACACGAATTTAATAAATCATATCAAATACAAGTACAAAAATAATAATATAATTTATATATACAGTATATATATATATATATATATATATATTAGTGCTATTAATAGTTATATAAAGTGCGAGTCACAAAAATTTTGACACAAATTGCGGTGAATATTAAACTATCAAATCGATAAATGAGGAAAATATATAATTGCTATTAAATACATATACTGTATATTAATAATTGCATAAAAAGTAACACAAGTAATGCTTTTGCGTCAAACACTCTCAATATGTTTACTGCTATTGCGGTAAATATGATATACAATATTCATAGAAATATAAGACACCAAACAAATTGTTAATCAACAGTGAGTTCCCATTTATGGCTAAAGATGTTAATTCAAAGACAAACAACTCATAAGATATATATGTACTTAATTTGTTGACATTACAAAACCAATGCTAAACTTTGCATATTTCACAACATATGGTATTAAAACATTTGAAAATAATGCAAATATGAATTAGATTTAGTTCACAGGTATAGTTCAGGTATAGTCCATACCAAACGAGTACATCAAAACATTTTATAATTTAAATCAATTGCTTCTCATTTAAAATTCAACACCAAATATCATATGATTATATGATTGCTTTAACACAAACAACATCACAACATAAACACATTTTCATTGACCGCATAATTAAGTCAATGCTAAAGCTTTTCTCAAACATTTATCTTTAAAAAAAGTGTAATTCAAACAAATTCAAGTCAAGAGTTGCTTTTAAGGAGTGGATATATATATATATACTGTATAATAGYCAATATAGCTTATAATGGGATGTGTAAGCAAAGTGTTATGAAATCTTGTGGTAGACTTCAGTGGCTGAAGAAGCGATACTTTCTTCTAAAATAAGCATTTCTTAAGAGCTCACGATATGTCTTAAGCATGAAATCAACGCTATATATACTGCATTTCACGCTTGCATTATATTATATATTTTATATATAGAAGTGAACAATAGTTGAATACAAATAAATTGAAACAACTGTTAAACAATTCATAAATGGGAGGAACTATTCATAAATTAGTTGACTTTCAGCTCATTTAGTGTCTATGGCTTTGATAGCGAGACAAATGAGACACTGGTTCGCACACATGTCTGTTCATGTGTTGGTTATGTAATACATATGGATATGTTGTTTGTTGAGCACAGGTAAGCACTGAATGTAGCGCTCTATAGATTGCTATGACTACTGCTATACAGCGACCCGACTCAAGACTTCCTGCTTTTCTGAGAGTGGTTTACACGACTCTGCAGTTCATAACTACTTCACACCAATTGAGTAGTAGTCCGATAGTCAACAACACATAACAAACACATCGATGCAAGTGTTGGCTTCAAAAAAGTGATTATCAAATCAAATCATTATTGATATATAAATGCTTGCAATTTATTTATAATAAGCAATCCTTTCGTTAGTTAACTCGAGGCTATTTGTGATTAAAATAATTGTTTACATTAAACACTAAAAACTAACAAACTTTAAACTATATTACGGTATAATATATTATATTTATAGTACCGTATGTTTACATTATTACACAGTGTAAATTATATACCGCAAAAAGTAAAACTTTAATTACTCGAAAAGTATTATAGATGTTTAAACTAATCAAAGATAGAAATATTAAGGGATAATTGCGGTTTGTGAAAATAATTTTTTTAAAATTTTAACTTACTAAACAATAAAGTTACAGATTTTATTGTTTACATGTGAATTGCAGTTTTTTTTAAAAATCGATTTTTAATTAAATCTGACTATGCTAAAATTTTAAATATTGTTACTCTTAATTTCTTATAGTGAGTAAAGTGTAATAAAATTATTTTTTAAAACTATAAATAAGTAACAAAAAGTCCATAAATTATGTCAATTTTTCCATTTTTGACTACATTTTTTAAATGAATAGTTTTATTTATTATTGTTTAATAAGATAAAAAATTTTAAAAATTATTTTCATAAACCGCAACTATCCCTTAATATTTTTATCTTTGATTGATTTAAATATCTATAATACTTTTCGAGTAATTAAAGTTTTACTTTTTGCGGTATATAATTTACACCGTGTATCTAATAGTATCGTTTTGAATGATTGTTTCCAAAAAACCAGTCTTTAATAACTAAGTCTTAGATTAAATAGTTTTTTATTTAAAGATATATTTATTTTTAAAACTAGATTCAATCCTATTTGACATACTATCAAATAAATTATTAATACACTACTCAATAGACTAAATATATGATTATTATTAATTAAGATTTCTATAGATTACTAAATTTTACATTTTTATATTATGAATATGAGTGGCAAAAAAAGTCTTAAAATACAACTGTTATAATAATAAGCAGTTTTAAAAAGAAATCCTTTTAATAATAGCATTAAATTGTCTTCAAAAACGATTAAAATAAAACTTAATTGTAGTCTTAAATAAAACAATAWGTAAAATAAAAGTTTAGCTCTTGTTATGGATTTTAAAAAACTTAGGGAACGGACAGACCAGTCATATAAGTGAAGGATTCGCTTCAATGCATGAATGCGTCGATATTTTTATTAATTTTTAGACAAAAATAATTTTTGTTTTTCTATAATAATAATGAGCCGTCAATACTGGTATCTGAGAGACTGTTCATTGAATGGCAAATAGTTATAATAGTGGTGTCGATGAGGAAGAATACAAATACTCGATAAAAACATTGGGATCTTATTAACCATTTTTCAGTCAACACGGCTTTAATATTGAAAGTAAAGTTYCAATTGTGTTCACYTGTTTTATTATATCAATGGGATTTACGGATCGCTGGTTATTAAGTTTTAAGACTAAAAAATTAATTATATTTATAAAAATATAATTTCATTAAATAAATAATGTAAATCGATTTGATTTGTTCACTATTAAATCATAACCTTAGAGAGACAAAAGCAAATAATAGCTATTTTAAGCACTTAACTTGTATTATCTTTTTTTTATTATTCAATTTAAAGTCATTGGCCAAATGTTAATGAAAATTAAATTATATTTATGTGTATTATATAAAAACAATTTATGTCTGATATTATTATAGAGGAATACATGCTATAGATATTAAAGAGAGAATCCTGTTTTAGCACATCTATAGTCAATTGAATAGTAAACCACTAATAATAATAATAGTCGGCTTAAAATGCATTACCATAGCAGGTGTGAAGCACACTATGGCAGTAAACGTGCAAAACTCATATACTATACATTGTATACAATAATACCTTATATTTCTTACTATTTCTTTACTGTAAAACATCTTATCAGACAATAATAAAAAAAAGTATTTTACGCTTTGATAACTCGTAGTAAAATAATGCTATTTGTGTTGACCCATACATATACTACAGTATATACAGTATTAATGAAATATTATATTCAAAATATATGTATTCAAAAATACAAAGCTTTCTTTAATTTGACTCTCAAACACTAAATTTTACTAAAAATATATAATAATTATAGAAAACAATAAAAATGCAAACTAGAAGACACCACACGATATAATAAATKTAGTGTAGGTGTAAGTGTGTTATTAAAAGAGTTGCCATCAATTTTATAAAAAAATATTTCAATTCAACTCAAATGAGCTGCTATTATAATTTTTGACAACAATTTTTTTCAAAATAATTAATTGGAAAAATTCAAATACAAGGACACGGATCGGGTTCACAACACAACACAAATCAATTGAAAGAGAATTTTCAATGTGTTTTCCCTATGAGACTAATATATAAAAATATTTGGAAAATTCAACAAAATATTTGTGTGAATTTGTACACATTTATTAAGCACAAGGCAGTCATCGGTGCGTAACCAACAATGTTATCATAAGTCAAAGTTGTTGTCCTCTCTTTCTTTCTAATTTATATACAGTATATATATATATATAATTAAATCGATTATAAAGACATACAAAGGGATTGTATAACTCTAAGTAATTTTCAAAGCTTAAGGAAATTGCATTTACACAGTGCATGTCGTAAATATCATASAAAGTTATGAATGCAAAGATAGCGTTACAATAATACATTTATGTTATTATATGACAAATATTAATATAATGGTAAAAACAAATTTGAAAATAAGAAAAATTATATAAATGTAGATTAAGTTAAATGTAAAACCGACTATAAAATGTATTTATAGTATAGAGTAACACAATTATAAAAAATAATTGTTTAGGTCATTAAATACCGGTTAAGAGTTAATTAGTCTATTATTTTATACATCAAATTAGAAAAACATTAAATTATATTTTTTTAATATGATATGTATAATAAAAATAAATAGAAATATAAATTAAAACAAGCGTTAGTTTGACATTTTATTGCTTAATAGTAAATTTTTATACTAAATGATATGAATTCAATGATAAAAAATATGCAAATAAATTGTTTAAATAATAACTAAACTAAAATAATTCATATAATAATATATAACTAAAATGATTAATAATAGCATACCTTTGTTATCCTTTCTAATAGTTTGTGATCCACTCTTGCTTTCCGTCCGATCTATTATTTGTTGTGACGCCTGTGTAGACATAGGTGTCACAGGTATTGATGGTTTCGATGTGGGCACTGGTTGTTGACTCCGGCTTCCGGAGCCAACACTCGCACTGAAGTCACGTACAAATGTTTTACTTTTGGGTATATTTACTAAATACAAACACAATTAAGAATATTAATTAATTGATTAATTCAAACACATGTGCCTATAATAATAATATCACTACAAATCTATCAAACCAAACATACCTTTACTGTTATTTAAACTGTTAGCTGTCGATGAAATGGCATTTGATTTAATAGATACATTAGAAAGGCTTAAATGACTAGAATTTGAAGAAACTAATTGTTCATCTGATGGACTGATTTTAGACAAAGACTCGTTTGGGACGGGTTTTCTGTTAGTGTTGATCTTGCCTTTTATAATAGTGTTGTTGGGAACAGAGGTCTTAGACTTTTCTATTTTATTCATCACAGCATCCCAACGGCCCGGAGTCTTGAATCTCTTGGGAACGGGAGCTTTACCAGAGGGTGATGCAGCTCTTTGCACCTTTTCTGGTAATACAGCTTTTGTATTAAGAGACATGGGTCTAACTGGACACGACTTCACTGGTTTCAAACTTTTATTATCATTTATTAAATTGTTTGCTATTTTCATAGGGATATCACTCATTGGTGACAATGGTTTTATTGAAATGTTATTAGCATTTAAGTCATTATTATTTAGTGCACTGTTTTTAGACACCTCGTCGTTCATAGGAATGTTAGTCTCACTTATATTATTATCATTGCTTTCAATACTCATATTATTGCTTTCATTATCTGTTTGTGATCTAAGAGTCATACTATTATCAAGAGTTAGTGACTCTAACTCTTCGACCATTTCTTGTGGACCAATTTGTTCGTCAATTTCTATAATATTGTTATTATAATTTGAGGCCAAAACAACTGTAATGTTTGAGTCACTAATATTGTTGATTGTCATATCTGAATCATATTCTTGAATGGTTGGTATACCAGATTGTGAGTCGTCATCGTCTTCATTGATCTCAATATTATTGATATTATTTTCTGGAAATAATTGCGAATCAATGGATAAAAACGGAATGTTTTGACCRAACGTATCTAATGGTGATATCGGTGATAATATATTCGGCAAAAGACCCAATGATGCCGTACTGCTCTCATCGATAGACATTTCCATCAAATTGAGATCTGAGTTATCTTTGGTTAAATAATTCTTCATATTATCGGTATAGTTGTCGTCCAACTGTTCATAACTGAATGCCTTTTGTGAATCGCAATCATTGGAAAAGACATTAATCATAGATTGTTGTCCATTGTTTTGACTCTGAATCTCATCCAAACTCAATGATTTACATAAAGTCTTTATGTTTTCATTCATTTGACAATTGCTATCATTTTTTGTGCCATTATTTCTATCCACACTTTTTTTGTCTAAAAAATAATCAAATAATTTTGTTAATTAATGTCAATAATACACTAATTATACAAATAGATGATAATTATTATGTGATAATCTAAAAAATACGGCTAATCCGGAGTTTACGCACATTAAAAAAAATTGATTTTTTTCAACAGATAATTGTTAATTATGATCTAAAAAACATATATCCATCAAAATTATTGCGCGGAAACACCTAAAACCTAACTAAAATCTAATCTAAATACCTGAGCTCTCATAACATAATTCTACACTAATTATAAATAAAATAATATTAAACAAACATAAAGCGCGTGAATATAATTAACATTTATAACATTGATAATAAAATAGTATTATTGTCATTTCTTTAAAATACTTTTAAAAACACTAGTTGTCCACGCGGAACATATAACCATCTAATTTTATAGAATTTATAAATTAATTGAACCACAATAATAATGATTTTAAAACATAAATCGAATATATGAATGTTATTTAACGTGACAAACACTGATTCCGTAACCCAAGTACTGTATAGATTAGGTTAGGTTACCATTGAAAATTAGGTTAGGTTGCGCTTCGAACACCAGGTTAGGTAACGCGACAAACACTGATTCCGTAACCCAAGTACTGTATAGATTAGGTTAGGTTACCATTGAAAATTAGGTTAGGTTGCGCTTCGAACACCAGGTTAGGTAACGCGACAAACTGATTCCGTAACCCAAGTACTGTATAGATTAGGTTAGGTTACCATTGAAAATTAGGTTAGGTTGCGCTTCGAACACCAGGTTAGGTAACGCGACAAACACTGATTCCGTAACCCAAGTACTGTATAGATTAGGTTAGGTTACCATTGAAAATTAGGTTAGGTTGCGCTTCGAACACCAGGTTAGGTAACGCGACAAACACTGATTCCGTAACCCAAGTACTGTATAAATTAGGTTAGGTTACCATTGAAAATTAGGTTAGGTTGCGCTTCGAACACCAGGTTAGGTAACGCGACAAACACTGATTCCGTAACCCAAGTACTGTATAAATTAGGTTAGGTTACCATTGAAAATTAGGTTAGGTTGCGGATCGTACACCAGGTTAGGTAACCATTGAATAGGTTACCATTGAAAATTAGGTTAGGTTACCATTGAAAATTAGGTTAGGTTACCATTGAAAATTAGGTTAGGTTACTGATCGAACACAGGATAGGTAACGCGACAAACACTGATTCGGTAACCCTAGTACTGTATAGATTAGGTTAGGTTAGGTTCAAAATTGAAATAACATTGCTTTAAATTAAAATTGAAAATATATCAATAATTTTTTGGGTTTGTATTAAAATATTGTTTTTGGGGAAATGTGACAGACATACAAAAATCCAGATTATTATCTTAAAGTATTATCTTGATAGTCATTGACAACAATATTATTTTATTAGTTATTATAAATGTTTATATAGATCTCGCGCTTTACAATTGATTAATATTAACTTTTTTATAATTAGTGTATAATTATGTTATGAGAGCTCAGGTATTTAAATTAGATTTTAGTTGGGATTTAGGTGTTTCCGCGCAATAATTTTGATGGATATATGTTTATTAGGTACTAATTAACTAATTTCTGTTAAAAAAAATCAATTTTTTCTAATGTGCGTAAACTCCGTATAGGCCAAAAATACAATAAATGTGTGAATATCTTACATGTGATGACATCTGGTCTACAAAAGACTACTTTAGAGTTAATCAATTCGTTATTATTATTAATAATAAGATTATTATTATTATTATTAAGTGTTTTGTTTGTGCGACCGATGGTTGAATCGATACTTCTTCGAGTGTCACCAGAAATGCGTCCAACACTTGAAACAGTGGTAGCATTTGGTCCGACACTCATCCGCGGCAATCGAGACTTGGAGTACTTGTTATCCATCGATCCAAATGTCTTAAGCGGTCATCAGTTGTCACTCAAAATGACATTCAAAGTGTCACTAATAGATCACTGAATTTGAGTCAAAAAGTGATTTCATTGTTATTATTGTTATTATTATTAATACATTGAAAACAATTGAGTCAATGAATGGGTCACTAATTGGTTAAAAACAATGTAAACGTACGACTAATGCATTAATTGTATAATCAGTTAATTGTTTGACTGTTTTAAACGTCAATAACATATCATTAGTTTCTCTCTCTCTTTCAATACATTCACTCAATACTAACACTGTTTTCAGTTATAATAATATGGAAGTGATTTTGCGGGAAATCACTGTTAAGTCTTATAAATGTCTTAACATATCAAACAAAATTCTGGTCCTTTTATTCCAATGAAAAATATTGCTTAATTACAGACATTGTTTGGTAGATAAAAGTACTGAATAGTCGATCGCATAAATACTAAAATTATGTTTAGTTGAGTTTGTCTTCAATTGATTTAAATTATAGTTTTAAACACAAACACTGTTACGACTATTGAGGGCTCAGTTGTGTGCAGTGTTTGGGGGAAAACAATATATGATTTACTGAAAACAAATATATTGTGTTAACTATATTGACAATCAAACAAAACACTATTTTTTGATGATTATACCAATTATTAGGTCAAACCAATGCTCAGCTATTATAACAATATTGTAATGAATGTCAAGTAATTTAGTTAAACATTCATTTGATTTTAATATTTAATTTATTATATAATTTATAACATAATATCATATAATTTATATGAATTACTTACAAATTACTGATATTAGAGTTGATAAGTGAGAGACAAAAGCTTAAGTTTATTACATATCATATGATTACACAAAAAACATATAATCAAGTCTTAAAAAGTCTAAAATCCATTTATAAATAATATTAAGTATTATAAAACTTAAGCACTTTATCACAATAAACCAAATAAAAGCTTATATATTCATAAAACTTATTTATCATTGACGTGATATGAGATGATAAAATAATAATAATAATAATAATTTGAAAAAATATAAAAAAGCACTATAAAAATGAGTTTTTGTTAAATAACACATACAAACAAACAATATGTTATTATTATACTGTATTGTATAACATGTTTTAAAAATATATGAAAAGTTCCGCTTCTTGTTTAGCACACAAATATTAAATATTATTTAATATAAATACTGTATATCTTATGAATATATATGATAGGAGTGGTTCCTTACAAGTCTGTGATAGTGTTTATTATATTATAGTTGAAAAACTTATTGATAAAGTTATTATAAGACTGGATCAGGTATTAAATGACCAAAAAGTGTTATTATTATTATTATTATTAGTATTAATACTGTATTATTAGTATTATAAGTTGTGTTGCGATGTTTGTCGAGTCAATTGTTTAGTGACCTTAAAGTTTTTAGAGAGAGAGAGAAGACTTATAATCTAATAATAACAACAGTTATAATAACATAACAGATATAATAACCCGAAGCGAAGCCAAAACTTTTTATATATAACTTTTTGTGTCAGTATTTTAGGGAACAACTAATTTCTTGTTTTGCTTTTACACCCAGACTTATATCTCATATAAATTTAGACACAGAGACTATAATACCTGTTAAAGTGTATATCATATATAAATTTATATATAGATACAGTAATATATATATATATTTATTTAGCTCTGTTGTATCATAAGATTTTATTTGATTTGATAAAATACATAATAAATTTATACAACAAATTAGAGACTACTTTTGAAGTCACGAACTCTCGAATATGTTATCAATGATATTCAGTTAACGTTTTATCTAACTTACCCATTGAGATGACCATCAAATATTGAAATATTCAATAAACTATTGTTTAATGGTTTAGAGTTGTAAAATATAATGATTTTATTTTAATAGAAAAACACTTAACATTGAAAATATTTTAATGATTTCAAATTACAAATAACATAAAGATAAATACTGTATATTTTATATTTGGACACAACATAAGCCACTTTTTAAGTTAACTAAAAAACTTCTAATTTTTATTTAATTAATTTTATGTAGAAATGTCTTGAGAGAGATGTCTGTCAGCTGACAATTATGGGACAAGAGTTCAATTACTTGTTGTCTTTCATAATAAAATTTATTTTTAAAATAAGTAATTTATTTATTTGTATTAATAATATTAGTGAAATCACTTAGAGGTATAATAAACATAAATTAAAAGAATGTAAAACATAAATTGCATTTAAACATCTCATTAAAAATTAATAAGTATTAAGAGTGAAAAAATTAATTTAAACAAATTATTACCAATAATTATATACTCATTTAATATGTAAAACCAATAAATCTAAAGTAATTTTTAATTGATGTTTTATCAATCAATGAACTTAAAAATCAATAATAATTTTAATAATAATAAAACAAAGTAATCAAGAATAACAGTACTAATATTTTGACTTTATATTTATATATAAAAACAAAACTTAATATAAATCTTATAAGTATTTTGTTGTATTTTAAAATTAATATAACCTAAAATATCACATAATATAAAACATAATTTTTTTTATATACTGTATATCATCAATAAAACAAAAATATTTTAACTATCTTGCATATTATATCTAAATTACAATAATTTCAATTATTTTAAAAACAAAATCAATGTATAACTAAAATATATTTTATTTTATTAATATTAATGAATCTCTCTCTCTCTCTCTCTCTCTCTCTCTCTCTCTCTCTCTCTCTCTCTCTCTCTTCTAAAATAAAATGATTGATTTTACTAGCATTTAGAGCACGACAAAAACAAAACATTTATGCAGTAAATTAATATAAATCATTATTGATAACTTAACAAATAAGTTAAATCTAAAATAAATAATTTAAATTTATAGAGCTGTGTATTATTTTTCATGTATTCATAGTAACAAAAAATAATAACTTGTTTATAAATATAGAATTTTTATGAAAACAAAAAGCTTACCTAAATTTGAAAAATATTTGTAATATTTGTTTTTATTATTTTAATTAAATAAATTTCATTTATCCATTAAAAATACTATCAATATAACATGCAATTAAATGTCAATTAAGACACTATATTTATTTCTCACTATAAATTTTATGATAATATATAAATAATAATAAAAGAATGTAACTAATAATAGTTTTATTTTAAAATGCAAATAAAAATTTTACACACAATTTATACATAAATGTTAACTTAAATATGATTAAAAAAAATCATTGGCATAGTTTATAGTTATAATTTTTTACATTCATATTGTTATTTTATAAAACAATTGTTAGAATTTATATTTTAGTAATAAAGTAGTAGTAGTAGTATTACTAAAGCAAATTTAGTTGATATCATCATTTTATGACTTTTTATGTTATATATTAATTTATTGTTTATATAATGCATCTATAGTTTTATTTATTTATTAAAAAACACATTGTTTTATACAATAAAACACAGTAACTTAAAATTATGAGTGTATTATGTGTTTATTTATTTAAATTTTTAACCCATTTCAAGATATCTGAAATATAATATTAAATACTTATTATATTATAATATTAAATATTAATTTTACTAAATATATTTTACTTTTTTCAAATTTAGTCTATATATACTAAATAAATATAAATGTTTAAAATTATGTTAATACATATTAATTAATTCTTTAAAAACCATATTTGTTTTTACAGTATTAATAACAAGTTTGCAAACAAAATAGTCAATTAATTTTGAATATACAGTAAATTATAAATAATATTCAATTTGAAAATATAAGCAATAAATGCAATTAATTTAAAGATTACACAAAATATGAAATGTTAGCCAACGAAAACATATTATTTTTCTATAATATATACTAAAAATAAGCAATTCATGTATAAATAATTGATTTTTGCATTACATGTGTATGTCATTGAAATTATGTGTTTCTTAATAAATAAAAAATAAACTTCATTTGTACATATGGTTTGTCAGATAAATATTAGCCATTTATCAATTAGTAATACAAAACTTATTATTATATTATTATTTTAATGATAATTAATTTTTTGTTAAAAAATAAATATAAAATAATAAATATATTATTTATATACACATTTAACAAAAAATTAATAATATTTAAAAATAATAATAAGTTCATATTATAAATAATACAGTATATAACATGTTTAGCATTATATAAATTAGTAATAACTTATTAATAAATTATTAAACATAGTAATATACCAAAATATAAATAAACATAAATAAAAAAGTATATATTGTATATCATATATCGTACATACCTGTATATAATATAATAATAAATTACATTATTAAATTTTACAATTATTATTATTGTTATAAAATTTTAAAAATATAACTTTAGCAAAAACATCTAAAATTATTTATATTACATATTAGACATCATTTAATTTTATTTATTGTTTTCAAGGTTTTAGTTAAATTATTTAAGAGTTAGTTTTATGACATTATAATGAATTAAATTCAACAAACTTGACATTCAATGAATTAAAATACAAAATGATTGATTGGACTAAACTTTGRTTAATACTAGAGTCTATAGACTCTATACAATCAATACGTTAACTAAACAATTGTTAATAAATCAATAAGTTTTGAATAATTTTTTTGCTGAAATATTTAGTTCAAAATTATAATTAAATACTAAAAAAATAACTATTAATAGAAATGCAATTAAAAAATATACAGTATATACAGTATATATATATTGTTTATGAAAATAAATGATTTATTTCCTAAATCATTGATTGTTTATAACTGTTATTAAATAAATTAACTATAATTTTAAAATATTTTGTACACTAAAAAAGTTTTATAAAAAATAAATACAATTTATAAATATATATACAAATGATTAAACAAAACATTGTCTCTCAAACTAATTGATCCGCAAGTCTTAAGACTTATGACAAGTGGTCACAACTTGTGATGCAATCAATGGTCTCGAAGTATACATCACTTAACGATTCAATGATAACTCATCTCATGTTAGAAATAATTGAATGAATCAAATGAGTCAATGATTTCAATGTTTTGACGCAATGTTTTCAGTAATCAATGAATGACTCATTCATTGAATTCAAGTATTTTTTTATATCATATGAATCATTGTTTTTGTTGTCATTTTTGTTGTGATTATAAACATCTGATTATCGGTTGATTTGATAAAAACAAAGAGGATATGTCTTTAAGCAGTAATTCAGACATTGAAGAGATAGTGAGCGTCAAGAGTGTAGACGTCTATCACTTGAAATACAACGACACTTGCGGTGAATATGAGTTGACTTCAGTTATCAAAGACCAAACATTTCGGGTGTTTCGCGAAGTAATTGACGGAAGACTGGATCCAAAACAACGAGAATTGTCGCAAAGATTAGCTTTAATTAAATGCAAGGATTGGTTTTATCCGTTAGAAAAGGACACGACTCCGATCTTCAGATATCGTAACCAATGTCTGTGTTATTTGTTTCCCGACGTTTCAAACGTCGGATCAATGACTTTGTTGTTTATCAACACCGAAGTGGTCGACGATATTAAAGTGTTGTTATTGGAAAATGTTTTACTTTTATATTGTGATCTTAAGGACTCACCACAAGAATGGAAACCAATCATCGATCAGTTGTTATCCATACCGTCGACTCCAACAGAAGCCGAGGTTGCGATGGAAACATCAGACTCGGAACCAATGCCTTTGGGCGCATCAACTGTTCCTTCTCCAGGAATTACTACAGAAACAGAGGAACAATCGGGAGGAGTTGCCGACACCATTGCTAAAGGTATAATACAAGGCGCAGAACTTCTTAACAATGGCATCACATATGGGGCACAAGTAGCTAATGATTGGATCAAAAGAGGTGCCTCTCATGTGAAAACAAGTCAGTCTACAAATACAAGTGAGAACAGAGAAGTTGATCCCCGAGTGATATCAGGCTTACGAGGTTTGCGCACTGCTTCAAACGCGGCCGTATCTGTCACAGGATTTGCTGTCAATGCAGTGGCCAAAGGAACCAATCAATTAGGCAAATGTTTGGCACCACATGTGAAAAGGCATTCAAAGAAACTGATATCAAATGTTTCGGGAAAGAGTGACAATGAATCGGAAAAGATATGCGACGGCATTCTGACAGTTGCTTCGGGAACTCTACAGGGATTTGGAACACTTTATAACGGAGTGACCGAAAACGCCATACTTTTAGCAAAGACAATATCAAATGAAACGGTTGGTATCGTTAACCAGAAGTACGGTCAACAACCAGCCGATGCCACTGAACATGCCTTATATACGGCGGGCAACGCAGCCATCACTCTTCAGAATGTATCAAATCTCGGACCCAAAGCTATAGCCAAAAGAGCAGCTTTTGATACGGGAATGACTGTCATTGTTGGCAAACAAGACAATACTAACTCTCAAGAGTCTCAACAAAAACTAAATGACAATACATATTAATATTTTCTAATTTTTATGGATTAAGGTTTATCTCCAATATTTTATATATCGTTTAGAGGGTTAATATTTTTTATATACAGTATATACCGGTAATCAATATTTGTTGTATTGAAACAAATTTAATAATTTAAATCTTATAAATTTTAATAACTTGTTGTCATTTGAATTTTTATTTATTGCTTTTTCTAATTATTTTCTAAGTTTTATTTAAGTCTTATTTGACAATAAAAGTATAAATTTGTTTTCTTAACAAACAGTTTTTATTTATTTTTGTTGTTCATTATTACGATTATATTGAGTTGATTGTGAAGAAGAGCCAAACAACGAGAAGGGAGTGAAAGACCAGGTGCTCGAAGACGACGAAGTGGTCGATCCAGTAGTTGTTAAAGTGTTTGTATTTTCTGCGTTTGAGTTTGAAGTCGCCGACAAAGGACTCCATAGACTACGACCAAACAAATTAAATGACGAATCCATTGAATCAGAAATAGTGTTTGTCGTGTTTGGTTTTGGATTATCTTTTGTCATCAAATTGTTGCCACCAATAGTTGAATAGTCAGTCCAAGTATTGTTGATATCATTAGGCTTTGCATTCCACAAATCATTAGCGAATGAATCGTTCCAAAGGGATGTCGACTGACTAGTAGTCGAGTTCGGGATCTGTGAGGGAGCGGACCATTTGGATGTGTTGTTATTGTTAGGCACAGGACTCCACAAGTCTTTAGTCGATTCAATTCCAGTAAAAAGATCCCAATTATTATTGTTTTTTATTATATCCTGTTGTGACTCAACACTGCAATTATTGTTTGAATTCCACGGCGAAGATGTAGCTCTCAATTGATTCAATTCACTGTCCAAAGTATTGCTACCATTTACCTGATTCGAGTCTGGATTACTTGTGGTAAACCACGGATTTGATGGTATGGGTCGTTCAATTGCCTGATTGAACTTATGAGGCGGTGTTCTCCTCTGCGACGAAATATCATCTGTTAAATGATGTGTTGACGAGACCGGAGGTGTTGAGGGTCTCATATTAGTCCAATTGCCAAACATAGACGACTCACGATTTTGTGGAAACGAATACTTAGATTGTTCTTTTGATTTTGATTTATGTTTCAAATTTTGATCTAAAGATGCATTTTTTTCGGCAAAAATTTCTGTTTGTTTGAGAATTTCATTCATAGATTTTTCAGATTCAAAAGTACTGATAGGTGTGTCCCATATAATTGAATCATTAGATGAATGGTACGACTCATTATCGTCTGCAACTGACTCTTCTTTCTTTGATTTCTTAGTCGTTATTTTACTATTATATAAAGTATTAGAAGTTGAATGGCTTTTAATTTTATATGGAAGCTCCAGACTGGAGGGCCCACTGTTTGACTCATGACTATTAACAGAACCGGTTCGCTGTTTCTTAGAAATCTTTGTGTTCTTAATAAAGTCTTTTTCATCGAAAGATGAGGCAAACTCTGGAAGTGGTGGCGGAGGAAATGATACAACATTTGTTAGATTTTCAAGTTTTGTTGAATAATTCATTTTCTTTTTATTATTATTTAATTTATTTTCTATTTCATTCTTCGGATTCTTTTTTGTTTTCGTTTTATTAGTTATTATGTTTTTATCGCTATTTATCGCATTCAACGACTCTTTACTTTTGATATTTTCACCACTAATTTGATTATTTTTTGATGTTATTGTTTGAGTTGTCAATAAATGCATATTATTATTACTACCATTACTTTTATCACTACTGGATGAGTCTCGTCGTACAAATTTCTTCTTTAAGAACTGAGCCCACGTCTGGCCGTCATATATACGACCATTAGTTACTTCATTGTTTAATTCTTCCTTAGGGTTGCGTATATTCTTCTGTTTTCTTTGTCTAACATTAGTATTTGATTTATTATTATTATCTTTAGACTCTTCAACACATAATTTAACTCTTTGATACATATTTTCATTAATATTTTCAGTGACAGTGTTATTGGTCTCGAAAGTAGTCACTGTATAAGTTGTAAGCACCGGATAGAATGAGAAATTAAGAATTCTGTCGCCATCGAAGAATGCCACACATATGGCCAACAAAATCATGAATAACATCATTGTTACCAAACAATAGTAAAGGACGGCCTCCCAGTTGGGACGCGGCAGTGATTGATTGCAAATAGGAAGCAAATGTTTGGGTAGTGTTGCCACCAATGCGTACTCAATCTTTTCATTTGGATTATCTGTTAATATGGTTAACGTATGCTTAACCTTATATTGTGTAAAATCAGGTGTAAATGCGATATGGATTTTGCGATTCTCGTTAGGTCTCAAATCAAATGGATTGCAATTTATAACCTTAAATCCAAATCCCTGACAAGTCATAGCTGTGCCACCATTTTGGGGTCCGATTGCAAAACCGTTTATTCGCATCGAAAGCTTTCCGACGTTAACAGCTGTAAAGGTTCGGTGGACTGTAAATGTGGGTTCAATTGGAAACGAACCGCTAGTTGTCGATTGACTGCTCTTCGATTTCGAACAACTTTTTAAGTGTTTTTCAAGTAATTCAAATGAAAGACTAGATTTATGTCCCGGCAATTGATTTCCAATTTTCAATATTCCATTCCCTCCCTGTCCTTGAAGTAAAATTGCATCAATTATTGTCAAATTGTTTCGAATTAATAAAATAGTCGACACTAGAGCTGAGTCATCTTTTGGGACAAAACTTATAGAAACTTTTTTTCGGGTTCCAAATGGCATCAGAAATGTTAATGAATTAAAATCAGGATTCACACCAATAGCTTCTTTAATGCTTTTCCTATTAGATATCATCTCATCTGAAGTCAAATTTGTTAAATGAAAACTTTTGGGTTTAGTTTCGGCTGCGTTTAGCTCAGCGTCAGACCATTGAGTGCGAAAACCTGACTTAAATAGATGTAAAATTGCTTCAGGATTTGGATAATCTGATAGTAAGACCACTTGGATTAGTAAGACTTGAGAGGACGGATTCTCAATCATTATCTCTTTGTTCTATAAAAATTCAAATTTAATATAATTTACTAATAATAGTGTAATTAACAAATAATTTCTAAACTTACTGTTATATTTCCAACCCGTGTAATCGGGAATTTGACCACTTTTTTATTAATTAGTCGTGGCCATTGTAATTGTGCCTCAGCGGGAATGGACAGTGGACTAACACCATCAATGGCTACTTTTAATATGACACTTATACTGCAAAATTAATAATTATTAACATATATTCAACAACAACAACAACAAAATAATAAACAAAAAAATATACTTTTTCTCCGTCTCTTTTAAATTAGTCCAACGACTGTATAATAATTTATGCAATTCTTTATCAATATATCCAGTGTCGGGATGAAGACCAATACCCAGAAGCCATAGATGTCCCACTTCTTTGGATGTGTCGAGACCAGAGTAACATAGTTTGCCGCAACTTTTGATTGGATCAAAATATAGTTTCCCGATATAGTTGTGACCATATCTGACAACTGAGTTGTTCACCTGCAATGAAAAGCGTTCGTCTTCGGGTACAATAAGACTTGACTTGTATTTGAGTTCATGTGTGAAATAACTGGTAATTTGAACACTTTGTGATGATATACGTCCCGGAAAGCAGTTAACAATAGATATGTCGTGTAAGACAAAACTTCCCTCAACTGCGTGCACAACAAATGGTATACTAAGTCTCTCATTTGGTGTCTCTACAAATGTCTCGCCATAATATACACCTTCGTCTTGAAAGCCCATTAAATGAAGTTTAAATATTGCATAATATTTAGGTTTCAAAATTGTTATTTGTTTTTTAGAAAGTGTGGAAAAATCCAATTTATGTGATATAATAGTTGCATTTCCTTCAGCGATGCCCATTAGCTCAACATAAGCTTTACTCATATTACAGCCCCAGTGTTTCAATTTAACTACAACTGGATTATTATTTATCACAGCAAAAGTCATAGACTTTTTCTCTCCTAAACCAATGGCACCAAAATCAAGAACCGTTTGATTCAACGATTGAGGAATAAACTAAATTTGTAATTATAAAACTATATTAATAGACAATAAATAAATCATAAATAATAATTACAAACCACATCTAATTTGCCGCTATAGGCTTGTAAGGGAACGTCAAAATAACTGAGATTTGTGTTTAATCGGAAAGTTGTTTCCAAATGAGTCAAATGAGATGATGGAGTAAAAGTAATCTTAAGCGCAGCTTCTTTTGAATTCTCAAATATGGTAACAGTGCGCGAAACTAATGTAACCTTAAAGTATGGTTTGGCTTCATCTGGCAGTGATATCGAATTAATTGCTATACTTGTGTTAAATTTATTGTTTAAATATAAAGTCCGCTTTTCTTGTACTGAATTTGCTTGAATATAAAATTGTGTTTGCGATTCATTAAAACTTAGATATCTATTAAATAAAAAATAACTAAAATTAATAAATAAATTAATGGAAACAACAAATAGCAACAAACCCTTGTAATAGTCTGACTGAGTAAGGAATGGCAAGTTTGTACTGATTGTTCTTAGATTTTACTACTATTTTACCGATGCATTGCTTTATACATTGAGTTATTTTGCTTGGCGTAAGAGTTACAGTAGCGATATCAGTCGTGTGGTATATGTTTGGCATCACTTTTACCGGTGCCGTGAAATCAATAGTAAGCGCTTCGTTAACTGGCGTTGCGATCACATTCTGGATTTGAATTTGTTTGGAGCCGGCGTTCAGCAGTTGAATGGGAACTGTTCGCGGCTCGTCTTGAGTACGCATAACACCAAAGTCTAACATATCAATTGGTGAATATATTCCCGGCGCCGATGAAACTTCCACTTCAACCGGTAATATCACAAATTGTTCGGCACTACTATTGGTTTTAATCCTTATATATGAGGTATGATTTTTCTCACTTCGAGCTAAGAAATTGGCTCTCATTATGGTTTTAGTTTCAAACGGTGCGATTTGCCAAAGAGTTTTTGGTCCCTCGGGATCGCCTGATGGCAGCTCAAGATGTAATCCACCACCAGTTGTATACATTTCTGTTAACTATTATATATATATTTAAAACTAAAAATTTTGTAATAAAATAACAAAGTATTGAACCAAAATAAACCTGAAGTGTTGAGTTGTGAGGATTATAGATGTGAATGAGTGGTGCATATGAAGAATTGATGGGCACTTTGGCGCCAATAAATGGCCTCAATCTGAATGGATTTGATACACCAATAGCTGTCACTCTGTATTTAAAAGAACCCAAAGACGTGTGAATATATAACGTGTTATTAACGGGTCCTTCAGTTCGGGCCAGAAATACCACTTCAAATGTGGTGTTACCGCCGGACTCTATCACCTGTTATAACAAATAATTTTATTATATAATCATTAAATCATACGAATAAATACATACTTTATCTTCAAAGAAGGAACAGTGAAAATGAACAGTATTTCCAGATATGGATAACATTTGTATTGAATTATCTTTTTGTATATTTTCGACTAAGACTTTTTGAATATATGGGATACCAATTGAACTGAAATAATAATCAGTGATTAGATTTTCATCATTAATAGCCTGTATTGCTATTGTCTTACTGATGATTAAAATGAAGTGATTGTGGAGTAAATCTAAGAATCGATGTCACCTCTGATGACAACGTATCTAATGAATCGTCTCTCATATAATTTATTTGATTTACTATTAAAATTAATGATAAATACGATTAAATGGTTAGTTAAAGACATTGATGACCTGATGACCAATCAAAGTGATACTAACCTGACTGTGAATGAACGCAACATTTGTTAAGAAATCGGTTTAAGTGAAGACTTATCACAAGAAATATTGTGACCACAAGTCGGTAACAAAATGTTAGATTCATGTCTTCATTTAAGTGGTCTTCAAGTCAGTCAATATTATCGGTAAATGTCTTTTAGTTAACTGTTTTGTATTCAATGAGTTGTAATTCACAGCTAATTGTCGTTAATTTGTTTTTATTAAAAGCAATCAATCGATTGATTTAATCAATTGATGACTGACTCGACATTCACTTCAATTCAATGTTTATGTGACTCAATGTTAATGTTTTCCAATGTTTTCTAATGTTTTTTCACAATTGCTTTATGTATTCATATGTTATATACAAAGTGAACCCTTTTTAATACACTATTACTGATTCCAACATTAATGCCATTCATTACGCAATACAATGCATACATTGGGCGCTAGTTTTGAGTTACTTATTGGCAAATAATGTGAAAGTCTTACGCAATCACTATTATATCATACAGTAGTAGTTGTAATGTATTAATAAATCAATTGGTTTATTATAATAGGACTATACGTCCAGATAACCAATAATGCATACATTTATTATAATATAGACAATTGTCCATGTTAATATTAACATACAATTGATTCAATCATTATCAATAATAATATGTACTAATATAACAATACATTAACATTTATATTATACAATATTAACAATTTTTTAGAAATAACTTTTAATTGTATCAATAAATTGATTAAATTTAATATATTATAATATATTTGATAATATAATCTATTAAATAAATATTTGATTTTTTTTTATTATATTAAAAGATTATGATTTAACACAAAATTGTTGTCAAAAGTAAATTAAGATAAAACACAAGTTTTTGAATCGTTTTGGGAACTCTTTGATTGACTTTTAGCTGCAATGACTGCCAATTTAGAGATGACTTTCCATGTCTTGGAGGGATCGCGTGTCTTCTGATCGCAATCTGACAATCGAGTGGGCAATTCATTGATATATTTGAGACCATCTCTGCTTTTGTGATCAGCTATTATAAGTACAATCAGACTTCCATCAACCCCTCCGACCACCAAATATCTTGAGTCAGGACTTGATTTGATATCTTTTGCTTCTGCACTCAGCTTATAGTTTGCAATAACATTACCATCTTTTAAACGGATAAGTCTTAAAGGAAAATCATATATCAATTAGATATGAAAATATTTTATACAGTCATTGATATACTAACAGAAGAGACTTTTTGATTGTATGATAATAATAGACATAGCAGTCATCAGATGTAAAACCAGTCACAACATTAACCATTCCTTCAGTGGTCTGAGGCAACAATACTTTAATAGTTGATCCGTACTTGAGTTCAATGAGTTCGAGACCACCTCTTGCGGGTGAAAACAATCCGTATTTGCCGTCAGAATCTATCTGTCCATTCCATCGCTTAATTTTGATCAAAACTCTTTGTGTGTAAATGTCAATAATATATGAAAAATCTGTACTAATTAGTCCAATAACTGTGTCTTTGCCTCGATATCTCATCGGAAAAATGTCAATATATTTAATTTTTTCGAGTTTAATACAATGTATTTGTTGTCCATTATCTAAATTATAGACATCCAGACCTTCATTGTATGTGTTTTCAACAATTGTCAATATTATATGTTTATTATCTTTTGTAATCACCACTAAATTATTACATCTATTTATAGAAATGAATGGTATTTCATATAGTTTATCACCCGATGGAACTGATCTAACGGTTAAAACCATTTGTTTGATATCATTTTCATCAGAAATGCAATTTACAATAATGACTTTGGAATCGTTATCGGCTAAAGACAATTGTTTGACATTTAAGTGTAGCTCTTTGTATGTGACATTGAAATCATTTAAGTCCCATATAATTAAGTTATTGCATTCAATGCATACAATATAATTGCCATTGTCTGAGATCAGTGCCTGAGTAACAATGGCACCAATCTTTGAATCAGACAAAGTGGTCAAGAGTTGACCCGTTTCTAGAGACCAAATGCCCAAAGAGTTTCGTGTTGTTGTCATAACTATGTTCTTGACAGATGAAAAACTTATTGAATCAATTGGTAGATCCATTCTGTTAATTGTATGGCTTTTCTCAAAAAGATTTTTAATATTCCATACTTTGATTGTTTTATCCAAAGATGACGAAACAATAGCATCCAAATCATTAATAATACAAGACTTCATTTCCAAAATTCTGGAGAAGTGTGCGTCTAATGTCTTAAGAAGTTGTGAGCTCTGAAGAGACCAAATGTAAAAACACTTTCTGATGCCTCCAATAACATATTGGTTAGACTTTGTGATTACCAAAGGATTTGGACATTTAAATGGTTTTAATTGAATATTAAGTACATTATTTGGTAGTGAAAGGTAAAGACATTGATTACTTAACGGAAGTGAATCAATAGTCCATATATGAAATCCTCTTAAACGAAATGCAACCAAAAATTTGGTTTTATATACTTTTAAATAAAGTAATTGATTATTACTCTTTGACTCTTCATCAGAGTTATGAACTAATTCAGGTGACAGATAAAGCTTTGGCGACCATTTATTTCTGCGTTTTCTATGATAGCAAACTCGACCCAATTGGTCGCCAACAAAGATAACTGTGCGACTATTATTCAATGCAAATGTATACCAAAAATCAATTTTTTGATATAACCTACAATTATGAATAGTTAGTAAAATAAATTGATTTTCTTGTTTTGTTTCATAAATCAAATGTCTTTCATTTTCTTTAATATATTCAATCATAACTAATGACAGTTTTTCATCTAATAAATTATCAAATTCTTTATCAATCATGTATTTAGTTATATATGAATCCATAGAAATATTAATTGATTTTGTATCGAAAACTATCCATTCATTACTAGTCCAGACAACGCACTGTTTTTGATCCCAACTTAATGATAATCCTAAAATATCTTCAGTAATATTTAGTTTATTTAATGAAATAACTATTAATTCCGATGATATTATATTTAATATTAATATTTGATTATAATTTGTATAAGTTATTGCATATTTGTCATCAGAAGTTAACAAAACTGAAAACATTATACCACTGACAATGGGATCAATTTCTAGTGATATCTCAGCGGTGGACAGGTCCCAAATAATAAAGCGATTCGATACAGATATAACATATTGTGAATCGGATGTCAGTGCAAAATCCCAAATTCCAAATGAATGTCCTTCTAGTGAATAAACCAATGGTCCTCCAGGTGTGTGCAGACAGTGATTAACAGGTAAAAGAGCGCAATGTGAAGATCCCTTAGAATCGCATTGTTTTAATAAATGATTTATATTTGGATATTCGTTACGAAGTGATAAAAGTCTGGCTAAAATTTGTGGTGCAATCATATTTGGATTGTCCACTATTACCGGTGCCGATAACTTTAAAGCATCGGCCAATAATGAAATCTCTTTTAATACATTTTGGTTATCATAATATTTGCTCATATAATGTATGGCATCCGAAAAGTCGGCTAATATTGACTGCAATGAAAAACAACTGAGCTTTGAATGTAACCAATTGTAGTCAAATAAAACAATTTTTAATAAATCATGAAATCTGTTGGCTCTAATCAAATGATAGGGCAGTTCTGCCAGTTTTCTTAAGTTATATCTCAAAATTTTTCCGTCAATCGTAAAGTAGGCCAATGGCTGAGTCGGCACTTTTCGGTCGGCTTTTGATTCAGTCTCTGTTATATTAAATCGTTTTCTTTGAGATTTTGTATATTTGAAAGGCTTTTCTGAAYCACCGCTCCAAATGCCTAAATAATAGTCAGCTATTGATGAATGAAAATATTGAACCACTTCTTCTTTGACAAAATATCTTTGTATTGAGGCGTCTCTGAACTGTTTGTGATACCAATTCATTGCATTCACACCATTGGCATCTCTTTCGGTCAAATAATTTGGTAAATCATTTCTAATTCTTGTCCACAAAAGTGGAGCTATTCTTCTAACTGGAGGTAAATGATATTGAAAGACATCATCCAAAACAATGTCGTCTAATGATAACAAGTCCTCCAATTCACTTTCACTCAAACCATTCTGCTTTCACAATATTATACACTATTTGTTATATCTTTAATATTGAAATTTTAACAAATTTTAAAATAATTGACTAAACTTTCAAAAAATAATAATCCATGTTTCTATAAAATAAACTAAATTAGGTTAGATTTGAATAATACTGCTTAATATTGAAACTGTGTTTTATATGATAATGCATATCATGATTGTATAATTGTTCAGTAAATAGTGGTATTTATTAAATGTAAAATAAATTGCTTTGTAATCATACTTTAGATGCTGTTATATATGAGAGAGCGTGTGATACTAATGTCTTTCCGTGTTGTACTTCAATTCGTTCAAATAGTTTAAAAATGTTGTCCATTGTTGTGTTGAAAAGTATGGTATGATTTGGCTGTGAGTATGACTTCCAGCGTATAATTTCAGCGAAAATAAGTTTAGCAAATATAGGAAGAGAGCACTCTTTGATGACAGTCTCTACTGTTTGCCACTGGTTTGCAGTGATATCACGTTTGACTAATTGAAGCCAACTTCTAATCATATCAATTGCCAACTGAGGTCCCAGTGCTTCAACTTCTATAAAGTGCTGCTTATTATCAATAATACAATTCAATGACTCAAAATCTTTAGATTCATCGCATGAGGAACAGGAGATTATGACTTTCACGTTGTTTGGTAACTGTTGACTGAGAAAAGACAACTTAATGCTAGACTCGATATTATCAGACAACTGATCGATAGAATCAATAAAAATAAAAATATTTTGTTCTTTGGTTTTGAGCAGAATTTGCTTAAAATGAAAGGTAAGGCCTATTAGATCATCGGGCAGTTCATTAAAAGGCAACATAAAGTTGTATGAAATTTGTTGGCAAATACTCGTTAAAAGGGGAATCACTGCAGAACTGTCGGGTGTGGTCCCAATGAATCTGACAATTAATGTATATTTTTCATCACTTTTCAGCCATTCTTTCAGAAGAGTTGCAGCTTTGGCGAGAAGTGATGTTTTGCCGCATCCGTGCTCTCCATGAAGTACTAGAGGTAAGTTTGACTCACTTTTTATATAATTTTCAATAGCTTTTAACTGTTGTTTTCTGCCCTCAAAAACCTGTGTATTACTATTACATGAATTCAAGTGATATAGTATTTCATTGAATAGACTACCAAAAGGACTGATATCTTCTTTACGCATCGCTTTTCGCACTAATTTTGTTATATTATTATAGAAATGTTGACAAAATTCTTGTATATATTCTGAATGGTTGTCAATATTAAGTCCCTGTTTTGAACTCCAATCCACTGTAAATCTAATAAAAAGCCATAATTTATAGCCAAAGCAGAGAAAATATAAGGAAATTGAAAGGGTATTCAAATACTTTGCCAGATTATGTGAGTTTATTCGCTTAACTATTTGGTTATCTCTGAGATAACTGAGCAAAGACTGTGCCTCTCTATCGATGTCACCCTTTGTCGTCAAATCAATGAACTTTTCGACAACTTTAGTGTCAGTCAAATCGATTTTATTGATTTGTCTAATATATGCTAAACAATGTCGTCTAGCATTTGAAACTTTTAGCAAACCATTGGTTATCTCGCGTTCAGTTACTATAAAAAAAAAGTTTTTGCATTGAATTTAAAGATTTGTTACACTATTTTGATACTTGAGTTATGATATATATATATATATATATATATATATATATATATATATATATATATATATATGACATATAATAACACCTGACATATGATAATTGTGTTTGACTTCTGCACTGAGTTTATTGCTTTCAAACAGAGCTGTGGCTGACATTCGCAACAATATCTGTAACTTATAGAGTATTTGCCACCAATTGCTCTGATCTCTGGACTGGAGTTCTGGTTCAGACTAAGTTTAGTTTATTATAAGTAAATAATATTTATTTATATTTACTATAATTAAATCATCAAATAAACTATATATTTATAACTCTTACTGTATTTGTAAAATTAATTAATATAGAGCTAATCGGTTGCAATATAAAAACGGACGGAACAGCGTTGGTATCCTCTTTATACCAGATGTCCAACAATTCTGCTTCACTTATATTCATATTAATCAACTGTTGTCTCAATAATCGAAATTCTTGTCCTTCTATTGTTGAAGGAATTGGACGATAACCATATCTAATGGTAAGTCATATATAAATATAGTTTATATTAATATATATATTATATTTTATAATCTCTAAATTATTTAATTAATAAATTTTGTGTAATTTGAAAAATACTTTTGTCCAACAAATACAACAAAGTTAGGACCCATTGATAATCTCTGACAGTTCTCTATTTCCTTTAAACACAATTCATTTGTCATGTGATCGTCTATATTGTTAGCAGTGTTTTATAGAAATTGTAAAAATTATTTATTTAAAGTAAGTAATAAAGTATTTGACTTACCTGTAGCCTCATCCCTAACACCCCATCTCATATCAACCACTTTTTTATTTATTAATTAATAAAAAATATATATTTAAAAAATAAATTACAATAATAATTAATCAATTTAAATATAATTTTATTAGAAAACTCAAATAATGATTATAAAAATATAATTAAGAATTACCTTGAAATTCAAGTCCATGTCTTTCTTTACAATATTGTTTAATTTTTGGATAAACATTTTGCATTAACATATTTCTTTCAAGTGACATATCTGTATAAATATGATAATACAATAAATTTTAAAAAATACAAAACTAAATATAAGTGATAATTCATAAATATTTATAAATATCAAACCCGTAAACGTAGAGCTCGTGAATATTCTGACAATCTTTGAGCTCAAAGTCGGAAGATCTGTTAGTTTACCACTGAATACGTTATCTACTACTCTATCATCCATTTGTATAAATTTTTAACAATACACTATATTTTACTATTTGTATTAAAGTACATAAAATTATTTCTAATATTTTCAACTTTAAGTAAATTGTGATTTTAATAATTATTTGTTTTTAGAAGACGTATAGCAACACTATTTGTAGTTCACATATAATTATATTTTTAGTTACTTTTATACAAAGTCAGGCACATATATACTAATACAATGTTATATATAAATTTATATATTAAGATAGATTTCCTGGAAACCATAATGTATTTTCATAGTTATATACAATATAAAACTTTATATGAGTAAACAATGTTAATTATTTTTAGCAGTTATTTGATTTAATTATTGTATTATCAAAAACTAAAATTAAAAAGTTAAGTTAACTATTTGACAAACTAACTAAATTAAAAACAATTTACAAATAAGAATTTTATTGTTTATTTTGATATTTTTTTATTCAGTAATATATTTAATGTCTAATTTTTATATATTAATACTATATATATATATATATATATATATATATATATATATATTCTATAGTAGACCATATGATATTGTTAAAATATAGTAAACTAAATAATTTAAAACAACTTAAATGGTGATATAATTTTTAAAAATTTGCATAAATGCAGTATATAAATGTAATAAATAGAAATATTGTAAAAATAGACAGGTTAATTAATATAATTGGAAAATTGGTATAATTGATAGCAAACATTAAACTGTCATATATATTGGTAACAATAACAGGTGTTTTTTCTATTTCTCAATATTATAAACAAGACATTAATTGTCTAAACATTTTTGACTGTTTTAAATTGCTATAAATCAATTTATATCATATGTTTGTTTCAATTCATTTATTGTAATTTTTGTTACAAAATTATCGAAACAGTATTTTGATTAATAGATGTTTTGTACAACATTTGTTTTATCTATACTTGTAATTTACAATTATAAACTATATATAATTTTATATCCTAAATATAAATTAATTAAAGTGAATTGAACTAATAGGGATAATCATTAAATTAAAAATATAGTTATTACATTTATATATATAAATAATATTTGACAAAATTGGATCAAATAAATAAAAATCCGATAATCATTAAAGATATAGATGTATGTAATACATACTTTGTATCATTTTTATAATATGTTATCTTATTTTCTAAATTGAATATAATTTAGACTATAAATTAGAGTACAAAATCCAAACTAATTTTAACGGTTTTGGATTTAAATTTTTATTTGTTTCATTGATTTTTAAATAATATTTAATCGTGTCTTATAGCACAGTAAATACCAAATATTATATTAATGTGAATATGTGATATCTTTTATTTTTAAATGTAAAAAATTTAATTTTAATATATAAAGTTGTTAATAAATAGTAAATTACAATACAATAATATAATATAAGATATTTTAAGTTATAATTTTAATAATATATTAATAYTTTATTTATTATTTATTAAAAATTTATTATTACTTTATAAACAGTTTATGTTTTGTTTAAGTTTATTAAACAATATTTACGGTTTGGATTTATATGGTTTGAAAAATCTACTGAACAGACATTCATGTTATATGAATATAAGTGGCAATACTGTACTGTACTGTACTATACAACCAATGCCACCATTAATCACAAGCCGTGAGTTATTAACAGGTGATCACAAGTGTTGCTTCATTTCATTATAATAATTGATTTGAAGCTCTTATAAGTTATAACTTTAGATTATATTCATATGTTAAGAGTTTAGCGTAAATTTTTATTACAATTTTAACTTTTATTTTGAGTGAATATAATTTTTAAGTGCTTATATTGCTAACAACAAAAAGTTTTTAATACTATCAGTGTTTAAATATACTTTTCAAGTTATTACTATACAATTAAATATTTATTCATTTTGATACTAAAAAATATACGACATTATAAATCAATTATAGTATAATAATATTATTGTTGTAAATCTTAATAGAAAAGTAAAGTTATGCCAAATGAGATCAATATAATTAATTGTCTAATAAATGCTTCTTTAACTACCATTATTACAGATATATTAAACAATAATGTTTACTCAAACACTTAAAATTATGATAAGAGACGCCTTCTATGGACTCATCAACGGCACCGTTATCTTTAGATATAACTAATTATGAACTTGTCTTATAGGATACACACAGTCACACACACACACACACACACACACACACACACACACACACACACACACACACACACACACACACACACACACACACACACACACACACACACACACACACACACACACACTTTAAGCTAAATAATATTTAATTTTAACATTTATTTTATTTTTCAGTTTACTCGACACTATCATACAGTGGTTTTTAATTTGTCGAGCATTCAGTCTATGATATCTATTACTAGTTTTGAAGTCATATTTATTAGTGCTGTAAATCGCGGAAACACATGGGTCTCAATTTTATGTAACCTAACTGTACTATATGTGAGTCATTTATTGATTATTTGTTAATTATTAATGTCTTGGTTATATTAATTTAATTAATTAATTTTACTTAAGATAATTTTTGTGTGATTGATTTACGATGAGATATTAGRTATATAATTTAAAAAGTTTAATGAACACCTTGTTATTAATATTTTTAAAAAATAGTTAAAATAATTATATTTTATAAATTTTTAGTAATGATAAAATTAATTAAAATATTTAGCAGGATTTGATAGTAGTAAAATTTAAAATGGTAAGTCATAAAACTTCATTATATATAAATAATAATAATWATTATTATTATTAGACTTTAATTAATTAATTTACTATTATAACTTATGTGGATATTATTATTATTATTTGTTATATATTATAAACTTTTACGATTTTAATATCAATGTAAATACTCTCTGAAATAGGAAGTCATAACATATACATAATGTCTAATCTGAAAATTTTATGTTTCCAACCAAATGATAATTTTTATAATTTTCTCTTTAATTTTATATGAAAGGCRATGAAAACAATAATAAACTGTTTTCCAAATTGTATTACATTTTAACTATCAATCACAGAAATATTAATGATGAATATTTGAATGTTATTAAATAAATACTAAAACAACATAGTTTTCTACATAAAAAGTTATGTTATTAAAGTCATTACAAAAAAATCAGATAACAACTTTTTGAGATTTCAGGTGGAGTTTGCAATATATATATAACTTTATGTATTATGTAGTGATAAGCACTTATAATACTTACAAATAAATTTTCGATTAATGTAATGCAATTTTAATACTATTAGTATTATAATAAATTTATATAATAATTACTTATTATAATTATCATTATTACTATTATTTTGAATTCTATAGATTGCTTAAAATTGATTTTACTAATTTATTATTATTTGTAAATTACAATCAGTACTTTTATTAGATAATGTAGTATTTCAGAAAATTTCTGTTTAAATATTACACAATATTTTTAATTAAAAGATAAACATATAAATTAAATATAAACATATAAAACAACAATTAAATAAGTTATCAAAAATTATAAATTGTAGGCCACAATTTTAATATCTATTTGCTGACATAAATTTATAAATCAGTGATAAAGATTATTACGAGAGAGAGAGAGAGTATGGCTTTATTTAACACTTTTACCAACTTTGATGAAAAACTAGTATTGAAATGTTGATACATATATTTGATTATTATTTTGATACATAGTATACATACAGTATTAAAATAAATATATAGACACATTGAGGCATATATAAGTTGTGAGTCGGGTGTAACCATTAAGTCACATAGAAATCAATCACAAAATGTAAGACAAAATATCGTCACTATATTTTCCACGCTTTTTTGTGTCTCTTATATATGTATATTAATATATGACTCTAAATATGACTGTTATATATATTTTTATAAATAGTCTTAATCCGTGAAATGAACCACACCCTAAACCTATGCACTCAAAACAGTTGATTTCATTGAAATTTGAATGTATATTATAATGTCCACTACGACTACCCCTACCCCTCGCAATCGATAATCAACTTTTTAAATATTGAATGCAATGTCAATACTTTCTTCAATACTCTGGAGACACTCTAATTCACTATAGAGTATACACTCTATGCTGTCATCAAATGTTTTCAGATAATAGAGAGTTGAGACCAAAATCTAAATTAAATGAATAAATAAAAAAATCAATTGTTATGATAGTCTCTAATTTATTAATATTATAAGAGTTTTTTATAAAGTAAAATCATTGAAGTAAATCATGTTTGTTTTAATTATAAATATTTTAATTTAATATATTATATTTAAAATTTTGCTTAAACTTGGGTTCAGACTAATGATGAGTTAATGTTTTATATTAGTAAATAATGCATACATTATATGTAATGGATTTTAATAATAWTAATAAAATAGAAATTTAATGAAAGAGCAGTCTCTAAAAGTTAACTAATAAATGGCGACATTATTATCATTGATTTGCTGACTTTGCAGTAAATTGTTGTCAAATGGATCCTTGCATTACCAATGCTGTGATCTATGATGACAGGTGTCAAGTGATGCACCTGCCGGTGCCAATGCCTATGCATCACATTTTCAAAAGTTAATATTTTTATTAAATGATGAGAAAAAGTTTATATTATTAAACTAAGAATATGAGAGCACCAGTAGATAAGAGAAAGAAAGAAAGAGAGAGAGAGAGAGAGAGAGAGAGAGAGAGTTTACATCGAGAAAGATGTGCTGATTCTAGAGAACAGTGATGTATTGAACATGAATTGTTTGGTTGATTTTCAGCAAAAGTGATAAAGCGTTGGATGGTTTAGATGTTGAGATACTTTGAGGACATAACTGTGCTGATGGGGTGTGGCATTGAAACCAAATAATGGGACCAACCTATAAATATGATGTGTATGTCGCGTGCTTCATATTAACTTCATAGACCACAGGCACGCCCTAACATCCCCTTATTAGAGCCCCATTTGTAACCATTCAACGATTATATTGAATCCAATAATGTAATACTGTATTGCAATTTTACTATTAAAAGCACTACTAAAACATTATAACGTTATATATTGRATATTATATATTGAAAGCATGAAAGCTTTTATTCATTGCACACATTTAATAGATAGAGACAACTCTCTGACATAACTTTCAGGTAAACCGATCTTCAATTACTCTGCTTTAGGCTCTCTATCTATCTCTCCCTCTCACTCATACCAGTGCTTTGCTATACTTTCTAAATGGTTATACTGTTTGCTTAGTGACTCTTTTATAGTGATTCCTAGTGATACACAAAACATAACTATTTTATTTAAGCTATTAATGTTAAGCTATTTGTTTGACTAAAATGCAAAAGTAAACATCAGTTTAATTCATGAAATTTTTATGTGAATTCATTTCATTCAATAATTGTTTAATTTGAGACACAATAGTATTGTTTGTCGATTTTTATGAGCCTTTGAATCACACTTTTGACAATACAATTAGACACTGCAGTCAAGTTTATAACAAGGCGTCGACACAACGGTATCGGTGTGTGGTTGTTATCGGCAATTTGTTGGCCAGTGGCCCGAATGTCTTGACTTGAGCTTTTCGGGCAAAAGTTGAAGCCATTGATTGCTTTACTAAACAATCTTTTGTTCGTTCGGCTCGAGTTAAGAGTTAATTTTCGGGAGATTTCATCGATCAGACCAACACTTCATTCATTCACTACAACACTCGGTATATATTTTTTCTTAAATTATTATTTTCTATTTATATATAAATTTATAATTTAAATGTTTATTTTAAAAATTATATTTTACAAAATATGACAATAAAATGTGATGCATTCATGTTAGCATAATTAACAAATAATGTTAGAATATTTTTTTGCCAATGAATACCGTATATAAAATACTATATATAGGTTTAATAAATATAATCATTTTTCAATTTTTATGGCAATAAATTAAAATGACATTTGTATAAATGTTAAAATAATTGTGTTGAAACATCAAATATATTGACTAAAAAATATATTGATATAATTTTACTGTCCATATTAATGATGTATTATTGATGCATACGGTAATGGTTTACTTTAAAAAAGTTATTTTCAAAAAATAAAAATATATTATAATAAACGTTTGTTCAATATTTCGTAAACCATGCGACGTCTGAAATAAGGCATATGAGACTAAAAATAAAATAAAATATTTAAATAAAATATATTAAAATTTTTAAWACAATGGTTAACCTGTGAGAAGTTAATTTTGGCATTTCTTGAGATATATTCAGCATATTTACAGCTAAACATTCCGCAATCGCTTCCATTTTCTTGTTGAGGAATATTCTTGACGTTAAAGATATTCCAATCGGACATATCTAATGTCACTTTTTTCTTATCCAAACTCTCTGTCTGTACGTAAGCTTTAAGAAGTTGTAAACACTCGTCATTATTGCCACCCATTGAATCGTAATATTGTAAACATTTATCTTTAAAATTAATGACCTGTAAATAGTTTCATTTTAATTATAATTTATTATTATTACAAATAGCATACAAATAACAAACCGCAAGACACCAATGCATTCCCAAATGAATTGGTATAAAAACAAAATCGTTAGCAAATATATCAACTTTTCGCGTCCATCTCTTGAGACTCTGTGGTCCGCTATCTTTCAATTTCTTATAGAAGAATGTATTAAATGCGTGAACTGAAGAGTAATTATCGTTTTTTCCTCTTTCGACAATTAGTGTCAAATAAAAATTTATGATCTGATAATAAAAATAATATTTACGGTAATAATAATTTTAACAATTTAATAATAATAATAATAATAAAAAACCTCATCATTGAGCCAATTGAGACCTTTAAGTGTCTCAATATCTCTGCGACATATAGGWCCGGAAGAGCTTTCGACAAGTGTAACATTAGGACCCGCTTTGAAGGCACTGTCAATTTCTTTATCCATTTCTGGTGTCAACACTGGCATATCAACCAATGCAGTCTCTTCTTCTTCTTCATCATCAATATCTTCGTCTTCCTCATCGATTTCATAAAATGGAATAAATGGATTCAGTTCTGTCCTATTGATAGGTCGATGGACTTTTGCTCTCAAAGATTTTGAGTCTTCAATACGCTTTCGATTTGTTTCCACAACTTTTTCTTCACATTTCGATGTTTTGAATTCATTCTTTTCAATGTCTGTCAGATTTTTTCTGAAATCTCTAATCCATTCTTTTGTGAAAATTTCTTCTTTAGAAGAAACCATATCTTTAAATATTTTGCTACTTTCAGGCATTGGTTCTAATGATTGTGTCAGTGGTGTAACATTATGTGGCGTTTGTTTAAATAAATTATCATTTGGTCTGTCGTTTATATTAGAAATTTTCGGCGTCGAGTGAATCGGTTGAAAGCTTTTCATACCAAACGGTGTATTATTTGATTTGTTTAACTTAATAGTTGGCGCTCGAGCTGTAAACCCTTCCCTAACTATTCTTTGCGTTAAATTWACATTTGAATCGCTTTTATCCAATTGTTTGCTATCAAAATGCAATGACTTTGATTGAATAGCCATCACCGGTGCTGAATATGTCGATACAGATTTGATTGATGTTATGGATGTTTCACTCGTTAAGTCAATAATTTCAGGATTTCTACACGTTTTTGTCGATAATTTTTTATTATCGGACTGTTTATTACCAAACTTCATATGTCTGGCAATTAATTGTTTGTATTTAAACTTTTCGCTCAAATCAATTAGTTTAGACTTCTTTTTAACCGTTTTTGTAGTCATATTTGATGGTCGATAATCACAAAAGTGTGGATCAGATGAAAACAATGGAAATGAGTTACTCGTCGTTGCATTTGATGAAAAGCGTGTATTTTCTGTTGTATTATTGACAACCATTTCATTGATTTGATAGCCACTTGTCGTGGCATCAGTTGGTTTGTCTTGTTTACCATTATTTCCTCTAACTTTATGCCATACTTTCTCCCAAATAGGCATATCATTGACTGATATTGATTCACAGTTATTCTGATTATCTATTAATCAAATAATAATTAATTTAATTCAATAACTCATTCAAACAAATCATTCATTACTTGTATTCAATTTGGTGTCAGAAGTGGTCACTTCGTTCAACATTTCTCTCCGCAAACGTTTGTTTTCGGATTCATAACTGTTTTGTAAATAAATGTAAATAAAATACTAATAAAAGACAAATCAAAGACAAGACCTGTGATTGTTGTGATTGTGACCGAAACCGGTCGTCGGATTGTTGTCTTCGGGCAAACCGTTGACCACTTCGTCAAAGCTTCGCTTTTTAGACTCGGATTTCGTCAGTTTATTAAAAATATTAAATTTACTCAAATTTAAACCTAAAGTCATTTGTTTTTATATGAGATGTTTGGCAATCAATGGTAATCAAAGTCTTGACATTGTTTTCAACGAAAAGACAAATCAATGAAAAAATCAAAATTTCATTTAAATCTCAATTCAATTCTCAATACGTATTCATTCATTGATTTACACGAGTATTATATATTCATTACATTAATTACGTCCACAATATGGCAAACGCTATGCATTCAAATAACTGGTTAGCAATCGATTCGTGGACTCATATATGTCGACGTAATCTATGACTCAACCAATACAATGATTGGTTGACAACAATAGCGCTCACAAACTGTAGTAAAAAATTTGCGCACATTTTGAACATACATTCGAATACAAGATATGGACAAACAGTGACCACAACAGTGACCACAACAGTGACCACAACAGTGACCACAACAGTGACCACAACAACGGCAATGACAATACATTGGTATTAATGTGACAAACAATTACAGTCTTTTGTCATTATGTCTGAAGATAGTAATGACAGCAATGAAGTGTACTTCGAGGCGAACGATCACTTTGTCGACGAAGACAAACAACACAATCATAACAATAAAGACAATGAGTTTGAACACAAAAGACYCGTTTGTGATAAACAAGTTTCCAGTGATGTCTACTCTAAGGATAATAATATCCATAAAATAACAGATTCATTGGTTATTAAAGACAAAAACTCTATCAAAGAGACAATTGTTTTAAGTATTTATCAATAAATTAATTAATTGTAACTTATTTTCAATTAATAATTTTTAATTTATTTAAAAGACAACAAATCAGTCAAATCAGGTCTAATAGTCAACACTGAAAAGAGTCCTTTTGAAGTGACAATTCTTAATGAAGATGACATTGAAATTAATGCAAACGATATAGAGATGAGTTCTAAGGAAAGTCTTAGCTTTTTAGTGATTGTCGTAATTGTTATTATTATTGACCGTAAGTTTTGTCTAATTTAGTCATTTATTTAATTGAAATATTTATTGATTCAATTGTCAGTATTCATAATATGCGGAACAGCTCATTGGATATATAACTACTTGGGTGGTATGGATTGGTATCTCAAAGAGAAAACTCATTTCAATTTCCACATATTCTTCATGTCTTTAGGAATATTTATTTTTGGTATTGGTTTGTATCGATTTATGTCTATCTATTTACTCATTAAATTAACAATAATTTGACATTAAATTTAATCAAATGTCTTCAACAGGAATGATAGCGCATCGCCTGTTCCGGGGTTTGGCTTCCGGAGCCCTGAATTGTTTGCATACAACACTTACTATGATTTGTCTCATATTGTTTACGATAGGCATATGCGCTGCCTATACGTCACTAAATACTGTTAAAAGTATACACTTTTATTCAGTGCACTCATGGTTAGGATTGTTAGCTATGATATCGTTTCTGTTTCAATGGCTATCGGCAGTCATTATATTTATATTTCCACGATTTGTATATGAAATTCAAATCCTTATAATACCAATCCATACGTTTTTTGGACGACTAGTTTTCACACTATTTTGTTGCACTGCTATTGTTGGCATTTCCGATAAATTGCGTATAACAGCCACCGATTTAGAAGGATTGGGACCAATTGACAAAACCATTATTATTGATACCAATGAAACTATACCTCGATATATCAGAAGAGATACCGATACATATTGGGAAATACCTAAAGAAGTATTTTTATGTAACATTATATCCATTACTATTGGTTTTTATGCTATTTTTATAAACTATTTGTCGACAAATAATAATTATAGAAGAAGACCACTTTCAGAGGAACAGGGAATTGAAGTGAAAACACAAAAATTAAAAATACAAGATATTTAGAAAAATATTATTAATTAAATTTAGTATTAAATGTTTGTAAATGAATGTTACTAATAAATTATTTAACAATAGGTAATATATATTAAATATTAATATTACGGTACAAACAAGTAATAAAATTACTGTGAATGTTGTAATTGATTTATAAATTTTTCAAATGATTTTTTTGATTTTAAAATTATTTTCAAATCAATTTTGTCGATATTATCTAATAATTTATGTTTTAGCCTATCATTGATTCTGTTAATACTATACGATAAAACTCGAGGACATGTTATGATATCATTTGAAGTATAGCCCAAATCATATAACAAATCAATGATATCATTCAATTTCTTTGCCTGAATTGTCATAACTTTAGGATATTTTAAAATCAAATTATTTAAATCATTGTCAGAACAGAACAACTTCTTTGCCAAAAATATTTTCTTTTGGTAGTCATAAGCCATGGGTTTATTGTTTTGAATGAATCGCTGTAAAAGCGGATACCAGACATTGTCGGGACACCGAAGACTCCACGTCCGGATCGGGTACTGATTGATAACACACTCTTCAATACGTTTCCTCATAATATCAATATTGTGGTTAAATATCCAAAAATCTTTAATAATATATTCATTGGGAACCAAATTATCTTTTAATAATTGCATAATTGTGTCAATACGTTGAAAGTCCATAACAAGTAAATTCATATTTCTTGAAGCAATTGAACAAAACATTTCACTATTGATATCGAGTTTATTGCAAAAGAAATCACATCTTTGATCAAAATCACTAAAAATCAAGTCCTGTCTTTGCATACGTTTACAGAGTATCTCATAACGGTTTGGTTGATCTAAAAACATCACTAATTTATAAGATTTACCATTAAATATGTCATCAATTATCTTATGATACTCTAAAAGTCTTAATCCATTCCTAAGTATAATACCATCAGTGATGACAATCCAAGTTCTTTTGATTATAATTTCAGAGAAACACAACTGATTTTTCTGCAAAATTGAACAAATATTTTGTAAACTYTTGACACTCAATGTCTTCACTGATGGATAACTTCTGTAAATGACATCAACTTCTTCTTGTTTCACATCAAATGATTTAATCAGACTTTTGGTCAATAGTTCTTCATTTATCTTCAAGCGATTCTTCACTTGTTTGCTACCAAATGTTGTACTAAAACTTTTAGTCAACAAATTGTTGATAAAAGACCTATTGATGTGATGTCCGTATGAATTGATTGTCGAGATATTTGTTTTCAATTTAATTGTTTTAATAGTTTTGACAAACATTTCAATGTATTTTCAATTATGTTATTAATATCAAAGTTTTCAATACATTTACAAATCATGTGTTAATCTAAACATATAAATAACGTAAAAAATAGTTGTTATAAATAATACCTTTTATTTTATATTCAATTAAGTTATTTATATAAATGTTTTGTTTTGTAAATTTATACCCAATTGACGTCATTTATSWWTAAAAACATTTAAAGTGTTGAAACAAATTTGAAAACAACAAACACTAAAGTCGTGGTGTGTTTTAAACTCAAGAGTTGATCCAATGAGTGAACAATCACTTGAAACGCCGTTATTTCCTTTGTATTTATTCAAAGATGATTTCGAGTCAGTCTACGAACCATCGGAGGACACATTTGTGTTGATGGACGCCATCGAAAAGGATCTGATGATAATCAAAGAGATGGAGTAAGTAATGAAATGATGTCTTAATGTCAAACTGATTGATACAACAATTGTTTTATTAGTCCATTGATTTGTGTCGAAGTTGGCTGTGGTTCGGGTGCTGTCATCACATCAGTGGCTAAATGTTTGGATCCAAACAAACGATTATATTTGTAATTATTACTAAAAATGTTTTTAGATTAAAGAAATACTAAACATATGTTTCAGTGGAACTGATTTCAATGGCAAAGCATTATTAACAACACAGAAGTGCGGTATTGTTAACGGAATCGACGGTTGTATTCAATTGGTTGGCACTGATCTGACACAAGCTATTGAAGAGCGACTCAAACATAGCGTAGATTTACTTATATTTAACGCTCCTTACGGACCAACTGATCCACAAGAAGTAATGTATATTTATTTTAATAATTTTTATATAAAGTTATTCAAATAATTCAATTAATGAATTCATTTGCTTTTATGGATGATTTATTTATTAAATATTATCTAAAATTATTTATTTATTTATTATTTAATTATTTGTAATTTAGACGAATGTAAAGCAATTTCTTAAATATTGATATATTTTTTATTATTATAAATAATTTTTAATAAAAAATAAGTCTTATATATAATTAAWAGGTTGGTATCAGTGATATAAGCAGCGCGTGGGCCGGAGGTCTCAATGGTCGGCAAGTAATCGATCGGTTTTTAAGGACAGTACCCAAACTTTTAAGTCATAATGGATTTTGTTATTTAATAGTTATTAAAGAGAATAATATCAATGAAATTAAAAATATTATGAAATCATTGGGTTTTGAGATGACTGTTGTTTTAGAAAGAAAAACATATTTAGAAATTATTATTGCATTAAGATTTAAAAGATTACCGGTTATTGTTTAATATAATTTTATTATAAATTTGATTTATTGCTTTTAAATGATGTGTAATTATTTTTATTTTATAATAAATATCCAATGTATTTATATAATATATTTCTATTTAATAATATTAGTAATTTTATTTTTCTAACTAAAGAATAATAATTTATTTTATAATGACATTGCTATAATTGCTAAAATAATATACACAGTATATTAAATAATATATTGTAAAATATTATTTTATGCTATTATCTAAAAATAATTGTAATTATTGTTAGAATATACAATAAAAATAAATGAATATTTATATATTATAATAGAATAATTACATTACCGGTAATATTATTAAATAGATCTATAGTGTGAGTCTAAAAATAGATAAGTATAAAATATTTTATACTTAAAAGCAAATTTAAAAATTTAACAATATCAATACTGTTRTGCTATTGTTTGTACTAAATATGTTTTACCACTCAATTGATAAGTTGAGATTTACTTTTAGTTTAATAAAGTTTATTTTACAAAAAAAAATAAAATTGTGGTCAAATATAAAGAACTTATTATTATTTTTTATTTTTAAAAAATGATATAAACAAACAAAACAATGACTATGTTTTATGTTGTCATTGATAATATTGACAATCATTTGTTGAATGATTTTTTGTGATCGGCTTTTAAAAGTATTGGCTGTTAACGTGACAAATAAKATAAGTCTATATCGAGACTAAACATGAAATCTATCTTTAAATTTCAAAAATAATGATTTTTTCATTTTCTATTCAACTTAAGTCAAGTCATCGATAAAATACAATAAAAAAAAAGTTTGACTCAAAAAATCTTTACAAAAAAGTTGTGTGACTATAGACTTGATCCCAACTTTCATACAATACTGACTTTTGTTGATAAATGGTTTTAAACATATTTTTGATATCGGATTAGCTTTTATGTGACAAATAGTTTATTGAATAGAGAAGAGTATATATATTTACAATAAATAGACAATTTTAAAGGAATCAAAAAAATTTCAGTCTATTAGATAACTATTTTTTATACTATCAAACAATTTTAAATAATAAATTTTGTGTATTTTAATTATATAAATAGGCAAATAACGTAGCTTTAAAAAAATCTCTTAGAAAATTTCTCGTTGATAATTTTCTTTAAAAAGTTTATTTTATTAATATAATTAGAGTTCAGACAATTCAAAGGGAGGGAAGTTCCCTAATAAAATTCCTCCAATTTTTTTCATTCATCGTTAGAAAGGGAAAATATATTTCATATCATTTACATTAAATAGTACCAAAAATCAAATATTTTGCATAAAATTTCATTGAAATATTTAAAAAAATAAATTTTAATTCAATAATTTTAGTGATACTATATATCAATACAATTTAAAATACATTTTAATATAACACTTGTTTTTCAAACTTTATAATAAAATGTGTTGTTTAGTGTTTAATAGATGGTAGMACAAGGAAATAGATTCCCTAAGAATTCCAGGGAAAATAAGCAACTTTTGGAAATAAATCGATGGACGGAATTTGATCGAACCCTAAGTATATAATCTTTATATAAATTACACCAATATTGCCAATAACTTCATATGATATTATTTATCAYATATTAATACATTATACCGGTATATAGTATCAATATTTTATATTAACACAATATTAGAAATTAAAAAATTAAGTTAAAAATATGTAAGAAAAAGTATTTTTTAACGAATTGCTCGACTGATTATAAATATATTTAATATAACTTATAATAGTTTCAATGTTATGATAATGCCTTACAAGTTATACACTTAAATACTAATAAAATAATAATTTTAATTATTTATGCAATACAAGATTAATTAAATAAATATTTGCATAGTATTATACTGTACATGCTAATAATTTATATAAAGCATATAAAATTTACAGTATAATAGATTAGTGTGTTTGAGTTGAAATAAAATGATATATGATTATAATTGTTATGTAAAATTTTTTAATAAAAGCCTAATTTTGATATAATCTTGAGTGCAAACGCATATTAATTAGATATTATGTAAAGTAACGTTTGTATATTCAATGTTATTATACATACAATACAAATTGTATTATACCATACGGTATATAAGTAATTGTTTGAAAAACATTATATATTGGGAGGCATTTCGGATTAAATCATTATATTGCTGTAAAACTATTATTATTTTATATAATTAGTTGCAATCCATAAAAGTAATATTTTTAATGAAATTTTTTCTGATGAGAAATTTATTAAAATATAAAATATTTTTGTTTGTATATATATAAATATGCATTTATACCAAATAATTTTGTAACTTAATGTATGCCTTCAATTTAATAATGTATTGTATTATCAATGCTATAAAGCCATATGGATTGAAAAAATTAAAAAACAATTTAATTAATAATATATWATATATTACCTTGAGATGAAAGAGAGCTTTTCAATAATGTATTTGCAAATTGGGTTACGGTTTTAAATTAACACTAAGTTTTTTACTTTATGTAAATCATTATCTTTTTTCATTTACTCCCCATCATCCCTGAAGTGAGATATAACTTAATTAAATAATTTTAATAATCAAATGTTGTTTTTGTGTATTTTTATGGTTAATTTATTGATAATTTTTTTTAATTATTATAATTGCTTTTTGACAAATGTTTTTTTGTGAATAATAATGATTTTTAAAAAAATGTTATTTATTTTAAATAATTAGAATTTGCTTATCATTCATGAAATATCTTAAATATAAATAAAAAATAAAAGCTTATTAATAATAAAATAATTTTTTAATAACTTTAGTGACACATAAAAAAGATAAAACAAATAAATTTTTATTTTCATTTATAAATTATGAATTTTATTTAATGTTACATTTGTTTGTATTATATAATATAATAAAAACAATAAAATAAAAGTACTGTTGGACACAACTTATGAATGCAATTATAAATCTAGACTATATATATATATAAGACTATAAATGTTTAATATATATTTATTTGATACATAATGTATATATTTTAATATTAATAGCAGTTTTACACAACTAGTGATTAAAGAATATTTAATTCATATTTTTAGTCTTTCATCGATAAATTGATCACATATTGCATATAAAAGTATATATGCTATGAATACATAGTATTTATTGTCAAAATCTAACTTTTCTGTGTACAGTATATAATATCATCAAATATTATAGTTTTTCATTATATTTGCTATTTAGTGAATGGGAACGGGTATGATATGCCAACAAAATATTCAATTGTAATATTTGTCTCACATGTGGGCTTTATTGCTATTTTGTGGGCATTATTACAACACATGATAATAGTATGAATGCTATGTATGCCTATATTTGGCATCACTTCGTGGGTGACAATAGTATCAATGATTTCATATATAAAATATTATATTTAATGCATTCACATAAAGCTTACAATCATATAAAGACAAACTCATCCATTATAAGGATTGTAATAACGGGTATTCTCTTAAAGTACAGTATATTCATATAATACATAACAGGAAAACATATATAAAATCTATAGCCATAAACAAAAACAAATAAATCAATATAAATAACTTGAGTTATAAATAAAATACAGATAAAATATAATGTAAAAATATGTATATATTTTTGAAATTAAAATAATGTAAATTATATTATTATCATAAATAAAGCACAGTTTTCGAGTCATAAAAAGTAAAATTGTATATTAATTGTAAAATAACATTACCGGTAAATATATTTGTGATTAAAATTTATATAAAAAATTAATGTGTCGATTAATACATTTTAGATTCAAATTTTTAACTAACAGTATATTTGAAATTTATTGAAACTAAAATTTAACAAAATCTGTTATTAAAGCATTTGCAACATTCGCTAATCAACTCAATCTCACATAACTTATAAATTGCATAATACATACATACATGCATTATATAAGGAAAGTATGTTTGATTAAAAAATTGAAAATTATATAAATATTGGCGTAAAATATTATATACAGTAAGTAATACTGTAATACATTGTGTATAAAAGCCAAAGATTTATTTAATTTTCTTTGCCATTCAGTTATTAATGTGTTTTGTTATATACAATATGATACCGACGACTGTTATAAAACTGTGTGAAGGCTTTCAGGGATTTAAATATGTTTCAGTCTTTCATCATTAGATCCCTCACTCACTGAGAGAGTAAATGGCTTTTTATTGAACAGTTATGCAAAAATCCATTACTACTGTACTTACAATATATACAGTATATACCGCAGTACTGTATAAGTTATAATATATATTGTACATTATTATTATTATTACACTATTCTCATAAAAGTTGGCTAACTTTTCTGTCTCCCTTTCCCCGCAAAAGTATATATCACTAACTAAACAGTTCTCTCTTTTATCAAGAAAAGTAAATCTATTCATATTTTGCACCAGTTTTGGCGGTATTCCTGTTAAGTATGGCAACAAACCGGTGCCGTTGCCCAACATTATAGCTAACACCCCTCGTGTGGTGTTTTCCCGTATCGATGAATCATTACTTTGAATCACTTGGCATTACAGGCATTATAGTAGCGCTCAGTCAGTAACACACTGTCTTCCTCTCCGTACAAACACTTAAAACTTGGCATTCATTGCACTCGTCTCTCACTAAAAACTAACTGTACTATCAATCGATTCTGTATTTTATAAGTAAGACCATAGAGTCAGTGGAGGTTTAGTTTTTTTTTGTGTCAATTCAATTGATCACAACATCACTAATAATACAGTGACGCGAAAACGAAATATATATTGAAAATAGTGTCTCAATTGAGCTAAAGTCACGTCTCGATTGCACTAATCATTAATATTAAGTTTAATCTCAAATCGTGTTTCATATCTGACAACTGTTTCGACGATTTTTGAAAATTACTACCAATAAGTCAAACACTCAGTCAATGATATATTTGTTTGTTTGCATTGCAAGACAAATGAAGTCAAAGT